GACTCTCAAGGAGCTGATTGTCAAACGGCCATCAAAGCAGTTTCAGTACCTGCACGTGCTTCTGGATCTCAGTTCACATGAAAAAGAGAAGGTGAAAACATCTCGTCCCGATACTGTTCATTCGTAACACACGTCCTCGTAGTTTCCAGAGCTGGTGCTATTTCTGTGGTTGTCATAATTTCCATGTTTTTAATTTCAGGTGCGGACCACTGCCTTGGCTTTTCTCAAGCGCATGTATGAGAAAGAGCATCTCAGGGACTACATTGAGAAGTTTGCCCTGAACTACATGCAGCTTCTGGTTCATCCCAACCCTCCATCTCTGCTCTTCGGGGCCGACAAAGATACAGGTATGGGATATGTTCGAGAGCCCCGATCCCATTCATAGTTGCCCAACGACACCTAGAGGCCAGTATACAAGGACATTGATATAATAGAACTAGACAACACAAGACAACAATTACATTGTTTTGTAAATAATGTGTGTCATAGGTATGGTCAACTAGTGCAGGTTATTAAACATAGAGACACCACTGCTATGGCAGCATGGATACGTTTTGCACTGGCTATGTTTACGCCACTGATGTCCTGCCAAAAAGCAGCTGCGCTGCAGGAGGGAGGAAGGAATTCCCTCTAACAGGCGACTTAGTCGACTAATGTAACCTTGGGTTGTGTTTGTGTTGGGACAGAGGTGGCTTCCCCGTGGACTGAGGAGACGGTGAGACAGTGTCTGTTCCTCTACCTGTCCCTGCTGCCTCTGAACCACCGGCTGGTCCAGGAGCTGGCGTCGGTCTACACCGAGGCCATCGCTGACATCAAGCGCAGCGTGCTTCGAGCAATAGAGCAGCCTGTAAGTCCCTGTTAGCATGTTCTCAGTCATACATGTGTCTTCTCTTTGAACTCTCAACAAATAACGGGATTAAAACAAAACGCGCTGTATAGGTTTCTGCTGATGATGGGGATTGATCGGTCCTGTAGGTCTAAAGGTCATCTGATTGTCATCTGAAGTTAACAGAGAGCAAAGGCTGGACTGTTGGACTACATGTTTGTCTATTTCGTCATGTATTTTGAACTTGTTTGACCATGAGAGAAGGTACACTAAAGCAGATGGTACACACTGCAACTTTCAGACCAAAGACAACAAAATGAAGTTGATACAATACACCTGTAGTCCCTGTTGTGCAACGGAAACAAACTGCAGGGTCATGATTTGTGACTGTTGTTTTTGTTCGGATCAAGTTGAAGCAACAAAAAACTTGGAAGTAATGGATTTAAATCAAGCAATGCTCCTCTTAAGTTGTCATTTTTTAATTGTATTGACACGTTTTCGCCGTCGTTTCAGATCCGTGGAATGGGGATGAACTCTCCTGAGCTGCTGCTGTTGGTTGAAAACTGTCCTAAAGGGGCAGAGACTCTAGTGACCCGCTGTCTGCACATACTGACTGATAAAGGTGAAATAAAGAATGCAACCTTACATGGGAAACCGGCACAAAAATCAAATGAGTGTTGATGTTCAAAACAAGTCCTCCTTTCCTCCATTCAGTGCCTCCATCTCCAGAGCTGGTGGAGAGAGTGCGAGACCTTTACCACAAACGAGTGCCAGATGTTCGTTTCCTAATTCCAGTCATCAATGGCCTTGAAAAGGTTTGATTTTGCAACACATGATAACAGTCTAGTAAACTGATCTGGCTGTTTGACACACCGCATGCATATCAATACCTTCCAATATTCTGTTGCACACTTCACATCATCTGGCTGGCAATGACCTCCTGCATCCTGGTTATATATTGTCACAGTAAATTCTGTCACTTCGTATCATTTTTCTTATTTCTTCTCATTTAGAATGAAGTCATCCAGGCTCTCCCCAAGCTGATTAAACTCAACCCGATCGTGGTGAAGGAGGTGTTCAACCGTCTCTTGGGTACTCAGCACAGTAAGAGACAGTTTTGTCTTTTAATCGTGGATCTCATGCTGTCTTCATTCCGAACTCTGTTCCCACTTTCAAACATGTTATCAATTTGTCACATATTGTGACCCTTCAGACTACTACTAGTGACAAACTAATTTAAAGGAACACATATATTCAAACATCTTCTGTTATAGTTCACTGCTAATGCTTCTCTACCTCTCCTCCTGCACCATTTATCACACAACCGCTTAAAAGTAAAAAACATGTCTTTTACCATGCTTTACTATATGCAAATATAGCAAATCTATTTTCTCACATGGATGTGTTTTGTCTTTCAGGTGAGGGGAGTTCATCTGTGTCCCCTCTCACTCCTGGAGACCTGCTGATTGCCTTGCACAACATCGATTCAACCAAATGTGACATGAAGTCCATCATAAAAGGTCAGTGTTCCGTTTACTGATTAAACCTTCAAGCTATGTTTATTCAGTTTGTTAAACTGCTTTTTCAGTGTCTCTGAACACAAGCGGATGCTTGCATCTATTACTCCTGTCCTGGCAATGTGGCCTCTGATGCATCACTTTTGTATTGAACACATTCGCCAATACATTGACATAATCACTGTAGACAGAAATACAAATGAAAACATGCTCGGCGGAGCCCAAATGACTTTTTTAAGTGGTTATTTGATCAGTTTCTGTTTCATTGTACGATAACTGGCAATGAGAATGTTCTGCGTCTGCACTGCAGCCACCAACCTGTGCTTTGGGGAGAAAAACGTGTACACGTCTGAGGTTTTGGCGGTGGTGATGCAACAACTGATGGAACAGAGTCCCCTCCCCATGCTGCTCATGCGTACGGTCATCCAGTCCCTCACCATGTACCCGCGCCTGGGAGGCTTCGTCATGAACATCCTTTCCCGACTCATCGTCAAACAGGTCGGCACCAATATTCATGGTTAAATCGGCCATTGATGTCACGGAATATAATACTGTATGTATATTTTATTTTCCTTCTCTATTAACTTGCTTAACATGTTGTTATGAGCCAGGTGTGGAAGTATCCCAAAGTGTGGGAGGGATTTGTGAAGTGCTGCCAGAGGACAAAGCCTCAGTCGTACAGCGTGCTGCTGCAGCTGCCGCCCGCGCAGCTCACCAGCGTGTTTGAACGCTGCCCGGAGATGAGAGAGCCTCTTCTGCAGCACGTCCTCTCCTTCACACCTCATCAGGTTGGACCCGTTTCCACTCCAACACTGAGCCCCCGCGGCGCATATTTATCATTAAAAGAATGCGATTTCATGCACCACCTGCCTCTTTTTCTTCTGTGCAACAGCAATCTCACATACCGGCCTCCATCATGTTGGTCCTGGAAGCACATAAGAAGCCAGAACCAAAACCTGTTGAGGCTGTCGTGGAGAAAGAGGTAACTAATGAGGATATAAACCTAATCCATAAGACCTGCACACTTTTCCCTGCCATAAATTAACGTATTCCAGGGATATATGTACATTTGTGATTTAGTGCAACAGAAATGAACATCTTGTGTGCTGCCAATTTTTACCTAATGTGTCTATTTAAAAATGTATGGTAAAAATCAAACCATCAAGATTACTGACAAGTTGTTATATTTTTCTCTTTTCACACAGATGGAACCAGCACCAGCCCCAGTTGAAGAACCAGCTGCTACTGTGACACCGGAAAGGCCAGAAACGCCCGAGCAGCAACAACCAGCAGTTGTGAAAGAGGAGGAAGAAGCAATGGAGCAAGAAGAGCCTGCTCCAGTGATACAGGAAGACACTGTTCATACAGTTTCCCAGGCAAGTAGTGATACATTTTGTTTCTGTTCTTCGTACAAGTTTGAAATTGTACAAAGTGGACCTGTCAGTCTGTAGTTGCATGATAAATGTGAATGGCTCAGTTGCATTTATGCACTTTAGAGGCTACACTGCAGAGATACAAACAGGATAAACCTGAGCATCCGCCTACACGTTTTTCTCCTATGAATTAATCTACAATGAGGCTGCAGACCATTAGAATATAATACTATTATACTTGGTTGAATAATGGTTGAATGCCTTTTAGCCTGAAAAGTAACACAATTATTTAATTAACAGACACTTTATTCAACGCCACGCCACTGTGTGCTGCCCCAAATCATATGGGAATTTAATTGTATCATAAAAATGTTATTTTAAAATTCACAATCAAATAAAAATATTTTTGGTTCTCTCCAGGAGGAGTTGACAAGAACAGAGGAGGCACAGTCATCTCAACCAGAGGCAGTTGAGGAACCGATGGAGGAGTCTCAGCATGAAATCTCAGACCTGCAGGAGCCTGTAAAAGATGTTGAAGCCGACGTCATGGAATCCGAGGCCGGAAGCAAAGATGTAGAATGACTGCTGAAAATACATGCACTATACACAATTCCCTCCTTTCCCGCTGATTTTTCAGGATTTATTGTTTAAAAAATGCTCTTTGTTCTTTTTGTATTTGTAGAAAACTCTTGAGGGGAGGTAGAGACAATTTAGTATATGATTTGCATATGCTTACATGTGATGAGTGTGCAAAAAAATAAATAAATTGTCGGTTTACTGCCTGCTTCAATTCTGTTTACTCCATTACTTTCCTATAGTGCCACTTAAATAGGTTTCAAACACAATGGGTGACTGTGTTTGGTTGTCAAAGACTTTCAAGTAGTCAACAATACGTAGGTATTTTTTAAATTCATGTTTATCAGAAAATGTAAATCTGTTTTTAAATGGTGCCAGAACATCTAGAAAACATCTGGAAACTTGCACTATATGGATCTGTGTATTTTAACTTTCTGCATAGAATTCCACAAGGTTTAATCTGTGTTGTATTGAGAGTCGCATAACTATACATAGTCTCACATTTTAACCACTCACACAATGATTCTATAATACCTGTGCTATTAGGCCTAATTACATGTTATTTTAGATATTCATACTTTACCTGAGTTGTACATTGAAAAACATTTTTTTTTCCTGTGAAAACTTTTTATAAACTTTTATTTTTGAAATTGTAACCGGAAGTCCTTCAACCCTTTTCTCGCGCATTTGGACTTGATTCTCGCGAGAGTTCAATCCGCCCTGTGACTTTTCCCCTCATTCTCTCCTCCGCGCCGGACCACCGATGAAAGCCGTGATTCTTGCCGCCGGGTACGGGACCAGGCTGCAGCGGGATGTGGTGGCCGACAGCAGCGGGAGGTTCGCTCACCTGGTCGGGACCGCCAAGCCTCTTCTGCCGGTGGGAAGCAGAGCCCTGATATCGCACTGGGTCCACGCGCTGACCCGGTCCCACTGCGTGGACTGCGTCCATGTCGTCGTAAGTAGTGCGGAGTAACTATGTGCATCTACAAGTACTGTTTTTTAAGTAACACTTAAATGTACTTTATATATATATATTTATGAGGGTCATTAAGTACCTTTATCTCCACAGAGTTAATCATTAAATTAAAAGTTAATAATTTAGTTGACCCTTATGTTACTATTTTGACCATTGTGTATGTTGAACTCCACTCTCCCGCAGACCAACGCCGTTTACCTCGCTGCTTTTCAAGAGTGGGCATCACATTTCACAAATGTCAAGATTGTCAGCGATCAGACCAGAAGCAATGATGTAAACACGTTTCCTCCATCACAACAACATCCTGTATGTGACATGTGTTCTCCTCTAGTACAGTAGACTTTTCTACCTCTCCCTCCCCAGGACCGTCTTGGTGCTGTGGCCTGCTTGCAACTTGCCGTGAAGCACTTCAGCATAGAAGACCATGTCCTTGTAATTGGGGGGTAAGTGCACTGAGTTAATTATCAACACTCCGCAGTCAAATTCCAGTCCTGATTGCAACCAACTCCCTTTGCATCCATTGCAGTGACACACTCTTCAAAGAAGATTTCAGCCTCAGTAAAGTAACAGGGAGGTTTTCTGACCTCCAAGCGAAGGACGAGAACAGCTGTCTGGTGCTCTCGTACCAGTGCAAAGAAGAGGGTGAGTAGAAGAAACGAGGCTTTCAGTCAGTTTCCAATCATATGTAGTCTGTCAAGTAAGTGTCTCATCCCGAAGTTTCAAACGTGGCTTGCGATGCTCACCATCAGTATCTGTATTGTGTGTGTACACAGAAACTCAGAAATACGGGATATTGGAAGTAGGCAGCGATCTTCGCGTCCTCTGTATGAAGGAGAAACCGCTTCCTTCCGAGACAAAGTCGAGGAGTGCAGTAAGTTCACTCTGTCATACTTACGTCTGTAGGGGAAATATTAGCTTCTGCTCTACTTTTGCAGTGATTGACGTTTCAGGCTCATTCGCGCTACTTTCGTCATCCACACGGCAACTGTCACATATGTATATCACATGACTATTACGGTACTCTGTGTGTGACGGTGGTAACGGAAAGAAGATGATATACATGGTCAATATATTCAATTATTTTTCCTGTTATGATACATGGAGATGTGAAGGTTACCAGTATTTTCCTCTAACTATAACATTGTTTTTCAGTGTCCATGTTTCTATGTGTTCTCAAAGAAAAGTCTTCCTCTGTTGGATCAATTTCTTGAGGAAAAGAAGGTACATTTAATAGTATAAAAAGTACGACATGTAATTATTTTTTGTTTTATTTCATTTCTCAAACGTGTGTTTCCGTAGGAGGCTCCTATTGACGAGAAAGATGCTCCGGGAAACTTTGTGTCTTGGCTCATTCCGAGGTAATTTCTGCTGGAGAGTCAGTGATGAGCAACGTTATCCAGATCAATATGTAGTCCTGCTTTATGGTGACCACCTCTTTCCATGTGTGTAAATGTACTGTATGGACTTTTAAACTCAATTTTGCAGTGTTTAAAATAGTTTTTTTCCTCTTTCAGAGAGCCTGTATACAGTCATCAGATTGCCGGGCGTTTCGATGTTGGAAACTTGCCTTCCTATATTGAATGTGACCTTTATTTCAGAGAAAAACTTCAAGATGTTGAGTCTTACATGGTCTAGAGGAAATAAGAATCTATAATTCAATGTTAAGTGATCCACACACCAGCGCGTTATAAATCAAATGACCAAATTCAAGAATTGTAACTGTAAATAAACCTTTAATATGAATTCTGATTGTATAATAAATATTTTCATGATTTTCATGATATTTTCAACGATTTGGCTAGTCAGTAAGGAGCCTTGTGCATTTGTCCGAAGCCTTTTCGTAGTGGTCCTCCATCTTTGCGATGCGGGAGCCAAACTGCATGGCTCTTTTGGGCAGGACTGCTGATTGGCCGAAGCCCATCCGCTTCGCCGCCAGCCTCAGGAGGAGTTTCTCCCCGACGCCCCGAGGGAGCGACAGGTCGGCCTTCTCCCACACGGGCAGAGCGTTCAGGTGGCTCACCACGTCCTCGTCCAAGTAGGGAAACCTGTGGACCGTTACAACGCAAGTGAATGAAATACCTTCAAACTTAAACCGTTTACCCTCAGAGGAGAAATTCCATGTAGCTACTTGAGTTTTAGGGTCCTGGTATTGTTCATGTTAGTTCACTTTTCAACTGTCACGATTTACCGGGACACTTAAGGATTTTTGCTCGACTAGAGTACCCAGAGGAAAAGCACTGCTGGCTTTTGCACAGAGATAATATGCACTTTGTGCAGTAAGTTACACACCACACTTACCTCGCCTCCTTCCCGTGGTCTCCGATCACTCGGTCATCTCTGCCCAGGTTCCTGGAGGGGATCCTGTCCAGCTCCATTTTCAGTTCCTGGATCAGCCCCTCGTGTCCAGACTTTGTAAATCGGACTCGGTGTCTGGAGTAACCTGCTAGCTGCTCATCAGCGCCGATTCCCGTCAAAACCACCTGCCGCCAGGGAATAACGTACCAGAAACGCACTTCAATGTGAACCAAGGATTGAAAAAACGTATTTAGACTCTTCCACCACAAAGGCATCGCTTTGAATCTCGCGTTTACCAAAGTTGTGCTTGTACGTTATGAGTTATTCGGCTTAAAATGCGATTAAAGAAGTTGAATGTACTAATAGGGGCATTCCTGTTAAAGTCCATTCACTTTGTATCTTTCATCGGACGGTTGCATCAAATCTCATCAATAGTTTAAAAAAGAAAGTCAGTGCTTCACCTTTGCTGATGATGTGAAGGGTCTCCGCTCACCGTCCTCCACGACGAACCCGCGTCCTCTCGCTGCGAACCACACGGCGCATCCGATGCTGTCATCCAGCACCGTGTCCAGCGGATGCACCAAGTGGCAAATGCGCTCCTGCCGGATTTTCTGCAGCTCCTCCTTCGCTACGTTGATTTCAACAAAATTCCATCTTCTTTCGGGATTCAACTCTCTTAATTCCTTGAGACCGGCTCTCCCGGTGATTCTGTCTGGGACGTCAAAGGGGCTAAATGTCCGGGGATCGGCTCCTTCCGTCGTAGAATCTGTGGCCTTGTTTTTGTCCTTTCCGTGTTTCTTTGCACTCTCTTTCTGCTTCTTTGGCGCCTGTAGCCTAAACGCCACATTCAGAAGGTCTATTGGCTGTCGAGCAGGTATGTGACGATCAGCTAAGGCCGCCAGCACCATGGAATCGATCCCTCCCGAGAAGAGCACCGCGACACTCGCCAGTTCACCGGAAGGACGGAAAGCGCACGGCAGCGACTGAACGCGCCGCCTCACCGCCTCGCTGAGGACGGCGACGAGACGGCTCGCCTCGTCGTCCTTCTCTTTGCTCGAAAGCAGCTGCTGCAGATCCTCCGCGCACCGACGCGAGTCTGGAGGAACTTCCCCCGCGCTTAACGACTCGGGAACGGATGTGTTGAGAGGGCAAACGGGTGCGGCGAGCACAAGGCCCGACCGGTTCATCACAGCGCTGCAGCCGCCGGGGACGGGCTCCGACGTGGCGGGACCGAAGCTCGACGCGAGGTCGCTTCCACCGCGGGCCCAGGGATAGACCTCGAACGTCAGGGAGCCCGCGTCGGCCGCTGCCTTCAGGTCAATCCTGTACACGCCGGATGCCGGGACTTCCTGCCAGGCACACGGAGCCGGTCCAGATCCGCGGGAAGCCACGGAGGTCAGGGTCAAGGCGCCGACCTCCGCATCAAAGTTCCACAGCAAACTCCGCCTTCCGAAGAAATCCCGGCCAAACCAGAGGTAGTCCCCGGCTTTTTGGTAGTAGGCAAACCCCCACGGTCCCCGCGCAGCGGACAGGACGGACAGAATCTGTGACGGGCTGTCACAGGAGGACAGCCGCTGGGAGACGACAGCAGTGTCATTTTCCTCCGGCCTCACTGTGAGCCCTCCGAAAATCTCCCCGTTCCACACCAGAACATTGCCGGCGTTGTCTTGAACGGGCTGAGGGGTGAGCAGGCCTCGCATGTGCAGAACGTGGGTGGAGAACAAGCACTGGTAGTAGGGATTAGTGCCTCCGAATGTGAGGTCCCCGCTCGAGTCGGGCCCTCTCCTCCTCAGATGTTCATGAAGTGCTTCGTCCCGCACGCGCCGAGCGGGCGACAGACTCAACAGACAAAAGATGCCGCACATTTTGGCGACGGAGGTCAGGCTTACATATCCTGCAGATCCCTTTTCATGTTATCGAGTTCCTCTGGTGAAAGGAAACATGGTCGGTTCACTTACGTGAGGCTGCATGTAGTTTATCCATCGCTTAAATGTACTGACATCTACTTACTTTTACATGAACCCAGTGTCTGACCTCTGTCTGCTAGGAAGAATATGGAGCTGTTCCTTTGCTGGGTGTACACTTTCTGGGAGGAGGGTAAACATTATACAAAATACACACTGGTATCAGAAAAGCATTTGAAAGACTGCATAACATTTTTATTATAACAAGTCATAGTTAGTTTGCGAGACGTGATCGCAAATAATAACAAGTCAATACATGTAAAGACTAAATATGTACATTCCAGGTGTGTGTTTTGTTCCTCACCCTGTTCTTCTTCAGATTGGAGAGCTCGTCCACTACAACCTTCTGCTCCTTTATCTGCAAACGATCAACACTTTGTCACCGACCTGATGACATGTTCATGTCACCGCTTCAGGAAAACGCTGAACTTCAAAGAGTCCTTTCAATGAGACGAATAACGAATAACATCGTATAACAACTTCCTGCCCGACACGCGCTCACGTCGCCGCAGCGCAGCCGTCGTTTTTCGCGATGGCGTCTCACGTTGAGCGAGTTTTTTTTACCTTTTTGTTCAGTTCCTCCTTCAGGTCGGTCGCTCCCTCGCGGTTACCCTCGTTATCGCGCGGCTTCCCAGACATGTTGGTTAATCTTTTTTTGTTTATGTCGCTGTGGTCGAAGCTACCTGTCAGCGTGAACACGCGTGAAAACGCTCAGCGGCTGCGGAAGCTCTTCCGGTTCTCGGTGAGTGCGCGCAGCGGTGCGCGGTCGCGACGGTGGCGCCTCCTGCCGGCGGGAGGCCGCATATCAGCACGCGCTTACGTTTCCTTGTTCTTTATTTGATATTACACATACTATACGAGCATGGGCCGCTATATTGTCGAGAATAGAAATGGAAACTGAGAGATATATGTGAGACAGGCTATCTGGCTTTGTTTGGTCCTCTTCCTCACCGGAGCTTTGTTTTTCACGTGTTCATGTCGGGATACTTCGCACATCGGAGGATTAAGAGCAGCTCTGATTTTAAAATTCTGAACTTAATCCCTGAATTCCAATGTAATCAGATTTTTCGGTAATCCTCTTCTGTAACGTTGCAGTGGTTTGTGGGAATTTTTGTAATTTAAATAAATAGTCTTTGTCAACTCTGTGTTTGCCCTCCTCCAATATCTGCCTCTGGACCTCTTTTACATGGTGACCAGAGTTCTCCATTTTCTTCTCTCCATCTAAAGCACATTATCCCAGTTTAATACTTAGTTCCAGATTTGTGCAACCTTTACATTCTCCTAAGGACAGTTTTGCTTTTTTCCCCCCATTTAATCAAATTAGACCATTGATATAACACATTGACTGCTTCAGCCAACTGCCTGCGATATGAAAGTAAATATACCTCAGTGTCGTGCTTGTGGGGTCCATTCCCATGAATTTAGGCCCCATGTTGTTGTTTCCACCTGAAATGAAAAGAACAGTCATTTCGAAATATCCAAAGGGCTACACTCAAAAATGACTTAATGTCCACAACAAATCGATTAAAGTCTTATTCAAATCTCTACCTTTTGGTGGGGGGGTGGAGCGCATTACTGCTTCAATAAGCATGCATGGATTTAGGGAAAGATAAATGACCCTGGATGAAACAAATATTGATCTTGCTCCAGCAGTGGGTCAAGCGTCCTTCGAACCTGCAGCGTGCCGGACAACACACCTGTCGGATGTCTGATGTTGCTGACACAGCTGTGTGATGTTTACAGGTCCATTCCCTGGAAACAAGGGCTGACATTGTGAGACAGGTGTCCAGGTCATCGCAGCCAGATAGTGACCTTTGCTGTTTACTTTTCTCTGGTAGAGCTGTCCGGCACACAAAGTCTTATGCCTCAGCCACCGGCACATATCCACAGTAATTCCACAGCACTGTTGTGTTCCAACAATGGGTCATTTTAATGAGTATAATCATTGTTACTGGTGTGCTATGGTCACAGAGATGGTTGGTAATCTTACTCTGCCCAGTATAATGAGATTTAGGGCGACCTCAAAAGCCTGGCCTGAGTTTCTCTATATATATTCAAGGAACCCAATAGAGCTTTGCAGGGTTACCTTTCAGATCCAACACATTCCTAGAACTCAGCACAACGAGTGGACAGAAGCCCCGCATTAAGAATAGATGAATAATCTGATCCAGCCTCACGTATACTGTCCACATCTTTCACAGCCTCCCTCCACCTCTATCCCTTCTTTAGCTGTGGCTTGGCAGTGGCGGGCCACAGGAGGCAAGTCATTCTCATATTTCTGTACTGGAAGCACAAATATAGCCGGCGTAAACACTGCTTGTTGTTGGCTCAATACGGATCGGGTCAGGGGCCGACATACCTGCAGGACACCTGGCCACAAAATGACACGGCAGGCGTCTGACCGCCGATGAGACGTATCTGAGCCTGGCTGACACGCTGGCCCACTAATAGTGCGGCGGGTAATCTGTTTGTACCAGCTCCAATGTGTGTGGGCTTTCAAATGGCTGAAAGCTCTCTGTGATCCCTGAATAGATCACAAAGGGAGAGACGTGCCCATTGTCATCACCTGGCCCAAAATATGTGCTTATCTTCCTTGTGAGTGTCCGTTTTGCGCTCTCATAGGATGAGACGGCACGGAGTAGGTCTATGTGTTGGTCTGGGCCAGAGAGGAACTAGTGCCACACGTGCAAAAAAGGGTGACCGTATGGGGTTTTATAGGCCTGTACGCTAAACATGAAGCTATTCTTCAGCAGACGGTTAGCTCGCTTTAGCACGAAGAATGGAAGCGGACGTAAATAAGTAAAACTCTGCTTCCCGTTTCCTGTCCGTTCAGTCCAGTGAAATACACAAAACACATCCTTTGAGAATAGGCATGAGAATCCAGCACAGACAAAAAGACAACATGTGTATAGTTAAGAAGCATATAAACCAGCTGCATCTGTTTTGTACTTTTTATGGCTGCGTGCCGAGGATCGCTCATCCATGCGGCCTGTAATTATAGCTGTGATTCTGTTCTGTTGACTTCGCTGAGCAAGTGCAAGTCATCCAAATGTGTGATTTGTATACAATTTTTATATTGTTCACTGAAAAGCTGTGTTACAACAGTCCTTTGGTAAACAGCCTCACTATGTCGAAGCAATAGCAACAGTTTCTATTAACAAAAAGTTCAAAACATCCAACTCTAAGTTGTGTTGTGTGGCAACAAAATGCACAGGCGAGGTCTTTTAGTCTTTTGCATTCTCTTTTCTTGTTTGTATAATTTACTGATATCATGTTTCAGTTTCAATATAATAAGTAATGGTGGGATGTAAATTAGAAAATTTATTTCTAAATTATTAGAAAACCTCTATGAAATGTCTCTTAATAACAATTATATTGCTTTATACTGCAGCTCTACTACACTTTTGACTTTTGAACTATCCATACATATTCATCCATATATATATGTGTGTATATATATATATATATATATATATATATATATATATATATATGTATACACACATATTTGTATGCATGTATATTCTATGCATTCTTTATGTTATTTACATTATAAATATCAAAATAGTTTAGAGGTTGTCAGGATTTTGAGCAATAAATGTAGTTTTTCTTATTCTTCATTGATGCAATTTGCTGGTTTGTCATCTCTGTCGAATTATTTATTTTCTGTACTTTCTGTTTTTATGAAGTCACTTGTTTTATTATACGTTTTGCTTTTGTATATTGATACCATTCATATTTACACCTATTCTTTGAATATACTATCTCATCTTTACCTTAACATTGTTCTTGTTAATTGTTATTAGTTAGTTGTTATTTCTATTTTTGTGCAAGTACATCATCATACATCAAGACTTCCATCCATTTCTTAATAACATTTCAGGGACACATTTTCCTTGATTATAGTTATTTAACAATTAATGACTTTTGTACTATTATATACATTCTGGTTTAAACTAAAGACATATAGTAGCTAATATGATTTCCACCATGACGTACTTCAATTGTAAAAGGCAGCTTAGACATTAAAACATCCGTTATGATATTTAAATGGTACAGTCTAGAATAATGTTTAAATTCTGAATAAAAAGGAGCATACTTGATAAACTACTCTCAGCACATTTTTTTCCATCCATACTGAAAATGTCCCTGCTCACTTCTTGTTAAGTTAAGGTTGTAGATGTAGTTAGAAGTAGTTTTACAAATCTTTATTTTATTGGTCTCATTTTCAAAGTAAAATATGTGACTAACGTGTGGTAGAATAACCCACTGCAGTGAGCCGGTTGACAAGCCAGTTGTGATCGATTGACAAGTCCCCTTTGTAGAATTCACCTCTGTCCAGATGTTCCCTGGCGTCTGTTACTCATCATCTCCGCTCGAGGAAACTCAAAACAAAGCCTCGCCAACCGACAGCCGTAACGATGACTCTTTTTTTTTGCAGAAAAGACCCATCTTTCTTTCTTTTTTCCTTATTCACGCTTGTGGTGGGATGACCGCACTTGTTCGGGGTGTTTCTTTCTTCCTCTTTTTTTTTGACACCGTGTAAATACTGCCGCGTCACGTGACCGCGTCAGTATATTAGGGGCGGGGCGCGAGCGCGAGGCAGCAGAACAGAGGCACCGTCCAGCCGAGCGGCGACCACAGCGGCAGCTCCGGGGTGTTGTACTTGTTTTTTTTCTTTCGGCAAATAAAACGACTTTGTAGGCCATAAAACAATTGCTTTCCGACTTCAGCTACAGTGTTAGCTAAGTTTGGAAGGAAGGAAAGGGGGAGAGACGCCGCGTCAGAAGCTGCGGTAGGCAAGAGGTCGACCTGCTGCACCTTCACAAAGGAATAGCCGGCAAATACAGAAAGGCCCAGAAGGGAATTCCACTGGGTTGCTTTTTCCCACTTGGGCCCGCTTTCCAAGGAATACCTCGGCACCCAAGAAGACATGCTCGGGTAGGTTCGTGTTTCCCCCGCATGCGAAACAATATTTCCTAAAAACCCGAGCGATCGCTGAAGGGGGGAGACTTATCGACCCCCCCCCCCCCCCCCGTTGTTCTCACCCTGACCGTGAAATGTCTTCTCCTCACAGAGTCCGTCCGGGACTTCTTCACTTCAGCCAAATTCCTCATCTACATGGGCCACGCGCTGTCAACGTGGGTGAGTGAGTCGCTGTCACAGTCTCACACATTTGATTTTTCTTTTCTTTTGAGTGACATTTTATTACACGCATCTCCATCATGAGGACGGGCTTCGCCGTGTGGCTTTGCGGGGTCAAAGTTAATCCCACATGAATGTGTTATTGTTACATTATATGCTGAAACAAGTGTTACTACTAAACAAAATAACATGTTTTCTCGGTGCAGCGCACCGCACACTTGTTACAATTACCTCCAAGTGATCAATTAAACTGAAGAGGTTGTTAGTTTACACGTTGTTATTGTTATTATTATTAATTCAAACCACATCCTAATGTATAAGTAATAAAAACAACTGTTGAATAACCGTAATTTGCCTTTCCAGGGCGACCGTATGTGGAACTTTGCTGTGGCAGTGTTCCTGGTGGAGCTGTATGGGAACAGCCTGCTCCTCACGGCCGTGTACGGCCTGGTGGTGGCCGGCTCCGTGCTGCTGCTGGGGGCCATCATCGGGGACTGGGTGGACAAGAATCCCAGGCTCAAAGGTGACGTGTCACCTTATGAGTATGATAATGATTGGACCCGCGTTATGGGCTATTCAGCCTCCTCTTCACAGTCAAATGCACCTCTTGTCGAATGGTTATTCAGAGGAATTTGGCAAAGACGTTATTAGATTAGTTACCCAATCCTCTTGCTGAAGCGGCTCAGATGAACCGGCTATCAGACAAAAATCCGTTGTCTTTGATCAGATTTCTGTCGCTAATGTTGGCCGCGCTGTTTCCACAGTGGCCCAGACGTCGCTGCTCGTCCAGAACAGTTGCGTCATCGTGTGTGGGATCCTACTGATGGTTGTTTTCAACTTCAAAGAGCAGCTTGCTGAGCTTTACAATGGATGGGTTCTGGTAAGATGCCCCCGTCTTTGCTTACTCACTGGTTGTTTCAACAAGGTCTTGACTGAAACCCATTTCCTCCCTTTCCTCAAGTACAAAGCGCTGACCCTGAGATTGAAAGCTTTTACTGATATGGACTGCTGGTTCATTTATGATGACCTCAGCAGCTTTTACAGATGGGCAAAAAGATTGTAGTTCGCTTCCAGGAGACCTTGGACTGCACCAAACACTTAAATGTAGTATATTTGTAATCACAAGACCACAAAGCCTGCTGGCTCGCAATCGTAATCCATTCGGGTTTCTTATTTAACAAAGAGGGGTCACAGCGCCGCCTTCTTCAGGAAAATAACCTCCGCGTCAGTGATTGGCACAGCGGCCTGTTTGCACATGTCGAGCTATGTGGCTCCCTCGCCACAGCGATTCGGACACTGTCCCTGCAGACCGAGATGCAGAGCTGCCGGCTCGACAGGTTTCTGTCCGTCGGGGGGGAAACGACACAGGCGCCTTTCTGTCGGGGGGGGGGGGTCTTTCGGAGTTGAACTCTGCATTTGTAAGACGCCTCCGGCTTTCTCACAGAAAGATCCTCCCCATGTGATGGGGTTTTTAGAGGGGCGGGGGGGACGGGGGCAGTGAAATAGGAGATAGCGTGTCAGCAGGTTCCTCAAGGCCGGTCACATGACAGAGAGAGAAATGTGGCCGTCGAAGCGCTTGCTGCTTTACAATGTGAACGCAGAGGTAGACAAAGTAGGCGGTCCTTGTTTTTTACACAAATGAGGCATTTCTAGACGAAACATGCTGTTTGTTGTGGCTTTTTTTGTCAACCAGTGCTTTTTTTTGACCACTTCTGTTGTTGGGGTCACATGTCGAGCGTTCTGTTGCTCTTGTTATTTTTCACAGAATTAGAAAGGCGTCGTTCATGAACTGAAGGATCAATATTACCAAAATTGGAGGCTTTTTAGCCCACTAGTGACTATATATAATATACTGTTAAGGTACTAAAATAGGAAGTGTAGCCTCTGTTGGGGGGGTCGATTAAGCTGTGGACTAATACACATTCAGCCAGCACAGAGGAATCTGACAAGTTCATGTAAGGGATCAGAAACCGTACACATCTGCTTAGAAAATGTGTTTTTTTCAGATTTATAGTCTGTCAGAATAGTCTTGTTGTTAGTCTTCACCTCTGCAGCCCTCAAAAAATCTTTCAAACGAAACAATCCACTAAGTAAATAACACTGTTGTTAAGCTGTGTGTGTGTGTGTGTGTGTTTGGGATGATTAAGTAACCTATTTCAACACTGCTTAAATAGAGGCAATAGTTATTAATCATATCGACTCTTTGTTTGATTTTAGACTGAGATACGCCTCATTCTTTACTACAGTAATATGCAAAAAAAAATGTAAATCCTTATTTTGTTTTCCAGACCACCTGCTACATTCTGGTGATCACCATCGCCAACATTGCCAACCTCGCCAGTACGGCCACATCCATCACCATCCAGAGGGACTGGGTGGTGGTTGTTGCAGGTCAGGACAGCAGCAAGTTGGCAGGTCAGTGGTTCTTACCCGCTGCTGGTTATCACCCAACGCCGGCCTCATCTGACCTGTTATCAGGGCTCCTCCGTGTGGCAGACTTTGACCCCCGCATGCTGACTCACTCTCAATGTTGCCTCTTATGTTATTATCTGTTTCAAAGATTCGCTCACATGGTGGGAACACTCATGCATTTGATGACCTTTTTATCTCTCTGCTGTGCTCGTTCCATCAGTTCAGTAAAACCGTGTGTGATATGAATATGAAATCCAGCCGTTTTAACCGGTTGCATAGTAACTGATGATATTGACCTTTCCTGCTCTTGTATTAAACAGACATGAACGCCACCGTGCGTATCATTGACCAGCTGACCAACATCTTGGCTCCCATGCTGGTGGGCCAGATAATGTCCTTCGGCTCCCATTTCATCGGCTGCGGCTTCATCTCAGGCTGGAACCTGTGCTCCATGTGTCTGGAGTACGCGCTGCTGTGGAAGGTCTACCAGAAGACGCCGGCGTTGGCCTCCAAAGCCGGCCAGAAAGAGCAGCAACAGGAGATGAAACAGCTCAGCCCGTCCAAAGGTAGCTGCGAGATGCGTAACCAATCCAAGTCGTGGATTCCAGTTTGGAAAGCTTTTTGCTTGTGTTGTTCTGACTAAATGAATCCCAAATCTCTCCCGTGTCCCTTCCCTCTGTCAGACTCGGAGAGCGGCCAGAGTCCCGAGGACTCCTTCCTGCCGCTGATGAACGACACCTCCGTCGCGGCCAAACCCGACTCCGCCAAGCAGCAGGGCTGCTGCTACCAGATGTCCGAACCGCTGCGCACCTTGAAGGCCGGCTGGGTGGCCTACTACAACCAGAACATTTTCTTCGCCGGGATGTCCCTGGCCTTCCTCTACATGACGGTGCTGGGCTTCGACTGCATCACCACGGGCTACGCCTACACGCAGGGCCTCAACGGCTCCGTGCTCAGCCTTCTGATGGGGGCCTCCGCGGTGGCGGGCATCTGCGGCACCGTCGCCTTCACCTGGGTTCGCAAGAAGTGCGGCCTGATCCGCACGGGCTTCATCTCGGGCACGGCCCAGCTGTGCTGCCTCGTGCTGTGCGTGGTCTCCGTCTTCGCTCCCGGGAGCCCCTTCGACCTCAGCGTCTCGCCCTTCCAGGACATCTACACGCACCTGATCGGAGAGAAGATGCTGCCCGAGGCCGAGCACGTCCTCGCCGGGCTGAACGCCACCACCGCCGCGCCGGCTGAAGAGGTGCCGCCCCTGCAGTCCTACATGTCTGTTAGTCTGCTGTTTGCTGGCGTAATTGCTGCTAGAGTTGGTGAGTGTAATATTGCCCCTTGATTTTAGTTTTCTTGTGTGTGTCAGCTACCTAAATACCACAATGTTGTATTTGACAGAGTAGACGCTCCAATTATTATACTTTACCACCGGACTTTTATTGTCTTATTTAAAAGGTAATTACAGTGTTCGCTTCCGCTCATGAGATTGCAAAAGGCCGTTTCCGAACATATGACTCCTTACAAGGGACTCAAACGGGTCCACGGGTTGCGCACGTAAGACCTCTACAGCTGAGCCACGGACGCCAGAGCAATATTTGCAACCTTTGGTTCCAATAACATAGCTTGACAATTCCTGCAACAGCCGCCGTCGTTCTCCGAAGCGGTTATGATGTGGCTGTAAAAGTAGAATCAGGACAGACTGTTGATCTCTGTGTTGCAGGCCTGTGGTCCTTTGACCTGACAGTCACCCAGCTCATCCAGGAGAATGTGATCGAGTCGGAGCGAGGTGTGATCAACGGCGTCCAGAACTCCATGAATTACCTCTTGGACCTGCTGCACTTCATCATGGTGATTCTGGCCCCGAACCCCGAGGCCTTCGGCCTGCTGGTCATCATCTCCGTGTCTTTCGTGGCCATGGGCCACATGATGTACTTTGGATTCGCCTTCAAGAGCCTGGGCAGTCGCCTCTTCCTGTGCTGCTCGCAGGAGCAGAAGGTGGAGACGGTAGACGCCCTCTCACTTCCCACCACCGTCTAAACCCCATCCAAGAGAATCCGTCCCCGGTACATAGTTCTCAAGCCATACCCGACCCCTGCATCTTACTAACATCTTTGCTTGTAGCTGGCAGAATGCTACTGCTAACGTAAACCACGAAAGGGCAAGCTAACATGCTATGCATACTGCAGCCGTGAATACAGCATTAATCACTAGTAGAAAGCTTAGCGCGGTGGACAACTAATCCACAGTGAAACTGTAGACCAGGCCGGCTCTTCTGACTTTTTTTTTTCTCTGAAGTCTGGGATGATATCTGTTTAGACACAACACGCGTACTGTCAAACAGTGATCCATCCCTTTCGAGGCTTCTGACCCCCACGTGGGTCCTGTTAACAAACTCAGGGAATAAGGCGCCGTCAAAAGACTCCCCCCTCCTAAACACACCATCTTGCTGTAGAGTTTAAAGCTTTCGGTAGTGGTGCTTCAGCTCAACTAAAGGGGAATGAGGGAGAAGTCCTGCAGGGACGAGACACAGACGCTCAGAGTAACGCTGACTGTCCCAGGACCCCAAGGACAGGATGAGCCATGTCCTGACGCTCGCCTGTCAGCGACGTCATTGGTGCTGTAGTTGTGTCCAGCAGCTGACCATGAGCTGGTTGTGGATGTCTTCTTCCAGGTCGGGGGGGCGCATTTATTTAACCAAACACAAAACTGGGTCTAGTTTCTCTAATACATAGTTATATGGATTATTCAGTTAACTGTGTGTATTCAGGAAATGAGAAATCCTATGCAGCCTTTTCAATATCTCTCAGTTACCAAAGTCCATATGTGGCATAAAGGAAGTAAGGGGAAACCAGATATCCGTCAGCATTCCAAATATATATTTTTCATATACAGTACAGTTTACAATAGTATACCTGGATATGTCTTACCCACTCTGCGATTGTACTTCAATTAGTTTACGTCATTGTGTAATTTTGTTTGATTTTGATTTTATGTTTTTATTTTTTTTTCCTTCTCTTTCACAATCATTATTGTTACACTGGCACTTTAAGTGATTGACGTCGGTCTTACACCTCACACGTGATCAGGCATTTGATCAATACTTTTGCACAAGCAAGTCCTGGCTCTCCCACTAATCCCTACGCAATCCTTTGTTTTTTCAATCACTTATTGTCAGTCTGTTCGGACACTTTGTTGGGATCGTGCTTAAAAAAGGCTCGAGGAAAAACACGCGAGGAAAAAGTGAACCAGCCCGGCCGGCTCTCGACCGCCAACGGCGTCTGGACCTCAGTTCTAGTTGTTATTGCCTCAAAGGAGGTGGACACATTTTACTGAAGCCTTTGGCTTTACGTTTGTAGAACATGTGTATCAGTAGCATCTCAAAGAAGGTTGTGGCTTTTTTTCCCCTGTGAATTAATTTCGTAAGTTGAAGTGTTTCCAGAGACAGGTGGTGTAGAAATCTGGGACATTTGCAAAGTAGCTTTAATTAAAAGTGATGGGGAACATTCTGACATTAGCTAGTAAGTAACTTTTTCATCCAAAACTACTTAAGTAACTGACGTAGCTGTAACTAGTCCCTCTCTGCCGCTGGCCTTCTTTACGTTTCTGTCGCCTTTATTGTGAATCAGCCTCGACAGCTGTTAAACGCACACGTGCGGATACATCAGGTTGGTTATAAGCGGCGCCCTGCCCATCAAAAGTCTAGCCATGGTTTTGGTGAGGCCGGGGCGGGCGGTGGTGTTTGGTTTGGAAACGGAGGAAGCCACACCAGATGGAGGAGAACAGAAGGCCACTTTTCAGCTGCACATGCTGAGTCAGGATATCTGCAGGTGTGGCGTGAGGTGCCGACCCGCCGGCAGTGGAGCTCAGTTTCCATGTTCCAGCCGGGATTAGTGCAACCTCAAGCTCAGCCCGGGCACGGGAACAAAACCAGCTCTTACGGTGCTCGGTCTGCTGGTTCAGGAAAACCTTACATTGCCATAACTCTATATTTGTAATGTAAATAACAGCGGTCAGGCAGGTTAAATGCAAAATTAGAAAATGCAAAAATAGAAAAAATATATAGACATTTTGTGTGTGTTGTTTTCGTGCTGTTGGTCTGGAAATGCTGACCATTTTTAACTTTTCTACATGTTTTTATACACATAAGGTTAAGATTGTGTTAAATTGCCATATCTTTTTAAAGATTTTGGAAGTTTGTATATAAAGCAATTACTTCATTTAATGTCTGTATCATACTGCTTTAATCTATTTCTCTGTGTGTGTGTGTGTATATATATATAAAGTTATTGGTGTCATTGTAATTCAATTGACAAAAGCATTAAATCATAAAAGAAATTATTTACCTTCAATGATTGCACTCCACTGAAACAGTACTCCTTGTATTGCATGATGTCTTTTAAATAAAGAAAACATTTATAATGGCCTTCCTCTATAACGCAGTGTGTGTCAGGGAGAGTGTGTGTGTTATTTGCACGATCTCGGGCTGCTGCTGTGTGAGGTCACATACCACAGCAGTTGGCTGCTAATTTCCTCCCCAGAATCCCTTTCTTTTAGGCAGGCAGTGTTAAACTCGCTGACTTTGAGCTGAGCTGGATCATCTGGACCTGCATGCCTGCAGAAAAGACAAAGGGTGACTTGTTTTTTGTGTGACGGCCTGGGACATGTTGGCGTGCCATGATTTGGCACTTTGTGTTTCATTTTAAATCCGTGCATTTATATATTTTTTGCTGATATGCCATCAGAAGCAATTATTTATGATAATGAAGTAAAATAAAGTACCAATTTTAAAAGGTTTAAGTAACAGCAAACATGTTTTTTTAAGAACATAATCTGCAGCATGTTTAAGTATGAACTTGTCGTTCATGTTTCTTTTGTTTCAATGACAACAGAAGTCATTTAACAGTTTTGTGCAGAAACAACTTGAAGGGCCTGTGTGAGAGGCACGTAGCAGCTCCCTGCAGTGACACAACGTCCACATATGATATGAGCACACAGGGAAATCTATCTTCCTCTATTGTGTAGGATCTCTTATACCGTCTAAAATGATGAGCACTTCTAGAGAAGCAGTTTTATCAAGAAACAAAACATGCAGGATCAGGATTTGCTTTCAACACCCCGTGTTCAGCCTTTAACCGTTATGTCAAAGGTGACATAACAATATTTAACCGGCACCACTACTGACGGAAAGTTGGGTGTCACCCGTTCCAGCAATGCTCCATTTCACAAGTCAGTCACTTAACATACTTTATTCTGTACATTGTGGCTCCTTTATGATAGACAACGGTTTTCCTTTTACATTTGGGTCAAGCAGTGTTTCTACTCTTTATGCTAAGCTCAGTTTACAGGTTAGAGTGAAGGTTTTAGAGGGAGTGAGTTGGTGTCAGTATGTGCTGAACTGAAAAAGACTGCAAAGTTTTAAAAAAATAAAGATATTTTGGCCTTTAAAGTGAACTTACCGGACCTTTGTGTGAACACTCCTCACCTCTGCTTGGAGCTCATAACTCAAGGCTACATTCATGGACACCAGCAAGTGTTTGTTTGAATATAAACTACAGTATGTGCATTTCTATACAGGGAAGCCTAAGGCTCAATGTTGTGCCTTGCTCAAGGGCAAATGCATAGTTGGTGGACAAAGACTCCGGTCAGAGTTCAAAGACGTAAACTAGATCCCTTTTTTTTCCAGCCAAAGTAAATTCAGAACAAGTAATCAGAGGTCAATGAACGTGTTTTTGTTCTGCTTTACAATCGCAGTTCACACACGTGACAGAGAAGCAGCTTAGGATCCAATAAGGATGGGTAGGATGACCCTGTTTAACCTCCAAAGCTCATAACAGATCATGAGAAGGCACAAAAGACTATTCCTCTGTAGGGGGAGGCCCCCGAGCCGGACCACAGCAGAGGAAGGAACCGGAAAATGCTGACATGAAAAATGTGTCGTCTTATGAAACACGGACCTCTTCCTCAGGACTTCTGGCCTCTCACCAGACTTTACTGCAGCAATAATGTGACTTTTAAAAAGGTCACAAGATTTAAGACCTCAACCAGTATTGTGAAATAAATAAGGAAAAGTACAAGGAAACATCAAGGCAAGTTTTAGGAAAGGCTGGTTTATTCAATTTATAAAAGGAAAATTAAATGTGTGTATGCATACAGTGCCTATCGAAGACTTCCCCCCCTCACCCTTTCACTCTTTCTGGTTCAAACATTGAATGCTAGTGGATCTGGTCTTCTCTTTTGTACATGGTTTCTTTTATGTGTGTAACAGGTGTTTCATGTGCATGAAAAAAAAGTAGAAAGTAACCACCGTCTACACAGTCGTATGAAGTGAAACGTTGAATAGAAGCATCAAAATAAAGCCCCTTGATATAATATATTGTCAAACGGCACTTCTTGAGGAAAACGGATTGCCAGCCAGAGAATGTTCTTCCTCGGAGTTCAACAAAAAGTTTAATATGGCATGAACACTGTACTAAAACATGAGGTCCTCACATAATTAAAACCACACGAGGCTTAAATGAAAATGTCTTTTGAACGTATTCCAGCAACTGGGGAGGAAAATGAAATATGCAAGTCACAGGCAGCCATTTAACTGAAGGGCCTAACGCGGTGAAGCGATCTATACAGCTGGCGTCCTAAAGGGAGTCAGGTTCACAAAAGAGTCCAAACTGCTGATGAATGCAGAAGTCTGACAGCTCGTGTATCGTGGAGGTCTGTGAAGTGTCATGTTGGTGTTTGCCCCCCACAACGGCAGCTAGATACACAGAAAACCTGCAGTCTGAAAGACAAATTTGCTGAATGGGGAAAAATATTTATTTTCACATGAAATGTTATTACATAAAAAAAAAAAAAAAAAAAAATGTCCTGGAGAGGCGTCATCAACTAACTGACATCAATGTAGTCTCAAGTATGTGGAGAGACCTGCCAGTTTACACCAGATCGCCGTCAAACCTTCTCCGCTCAGAAAGCGGGGAGAGGTTTTAGTTGTTTGAATGAGAAACCCGATATAAAACGTCCACTCATGACTAATTGCTGCCAGAAGAAGCACTCAAATATTTTCTGTGGTGCGATTGCCAAAAGATTTGTTTAAATGTTGACATTGTTTTGTTCTTTGCAAGAAATCCACTCTGATGATGTGTGAAAATCAAACTACTAAAAAACAAACTAAAAAAAAACATTAAGGTGGTAAAAACTTTTAGGCCCTGTATCTGTGTGAATGTCTTCTTACGCGCTCATGTTCAAGAGCGCAGGAGGCCTGTGAGCCAGCTGTGGTCAAGTTTCTTCACCCGCCTCAGTTCTCTCAGCTGGGCTTTGGTTAGAGGGGGGGCTGCTGGCTCGGCCGACCGACGAGCAAGTGACCCGCGCTCCGGTCTTGAGGCGCTGGATTCCATGTCTCCCTCTGAATCCTCTTCCTCTTTTTCACTCTCCATTTCCTCTTCTGCGGGTTTACTTTCCTCGCTGAGGCCGTGAGAACACACACACACACACACACACACACACACACACAAAAAGAGTTAACGTTTGTGATATTGCAGACAAGAGCCCACATTCCCCCCGTGTGCACAGGTTTAACCCGGGGCTTAAGTTGCTGAGTCATGCACAGCCTGAACTCCGTCTGCAATTGTCAACTCATGCTGACACTACCAGGGCCACCGCAACGAAATTAGAGACGCCAACAATGCGCCCTCACACTGCCCCACCCCCCCCAGTTTTCGTAGAACTAGTTTAAGTAGAATGTGGAATTCGGAGCGGCTCGGCAGACTACTGACCTGGCGTCGCCGACAGAGACGAGCAGAGACTTTACAAACATCGAACAGAGGAAAGAAGTTGAGGGCAGAACGTGCGCGGGGGTCCGCAGGAGCTGTCGAGAAAAACAAAAGCACATTTTAACGGACAACAGATTGACAAAAAGACAAAACTCAAGATATGTGAAACTCTTAGTTGTGTCACAAATCAGGAACTCAACTACGGACCTCTTTGACGGCCCCGGAGCCCTGAGGCAGAGGAGGCCTCCCGGCCGACTCGCCGCTCGCAGCGGCTCCGCTTTCTCCTTTCCGGTGTTTCCCCAGCAACAGGTAGAAGGGTGTCATGGCAACACTGTCATCGATTAGAAGCTTGAGGGGAAGTCACAATGTTAGGACATTTCTCACATTAAAAAAGTCAACAGTTTTCAAGAGGTCAAGCTGAGCCAAACACAAAGGGGCTGCATTTGGATACTTTATAAGAGCAACTAAAGGCGACGTGGATCCACAGATGGCTTTAGCCGTTTCAGTAACTTTAGCGAAGTAACCCACAAGCGCTTTTCATAGTGCGTCATGTTGCTTCAAACATGTTTCGGGATGCGACATCCTGAGCGCTTGAGTGGCAGGCCGAAAACGGGCCAAACCTCCGTTACAGAGAGGGCGATCCAATCGGGATTTTTGGGTCCAATTACTGGAAACAATATCGGACGGTACCGATCACATGTTCCGTTTGATGCCTTATTTATGTTGCAGAGCTTTATTATTATTCATTTCTTGAAAGTGCAGAGAAAAATGCCTTTAGTGTGTCTTTTGTTGTCTGAAAAAGCTTGATTTTATTATTATTTACATACGCTCCTCTTTCTCAAACCCACCTCCTCCTACTTGCGTCCCACTGACTTCACTTCTATCGCCCTCATTTTGCTTTCACCCCGGTCGTCCCCTAACCAAATACTTACCCTAGTAACCTCTGCCCGTCGGACCACCTGCCCTCTTGACCCCATTCATCACATCTACTACAATCTATCACACCTGACCTTCTTCCTTTCCTCACCAGTCTCCTCAATTTCCCAATTCTCTGAAGGAGGCCAGAGTTGGTTAAAACTACCCTCAATCCTTCTGAGGAAATCTACAGACCGGTCTCTCTTCTTCCCTTTTTGTCCAAAACTCTTGAACGTGCTATTTTTAACCAACTCTCCTCTTATCTCCACCATAACCTCCTCCTTGACCCCCACCAGTCAGGCTTCAAGGCCGCTCCAGAGACTGCTCTCCTTGCTGTCTCAGAGCAACTCCACACTGCTAGAGCCGCCTCTCTCTCCCTCCTTAATCTGCTGAAATTCTCCCACACTGCTCCGCTCTCTTCACTGGCTACCGGTGGCTGCCCGCATCCAGTTCAAGACATTGGTGCTCACGTACCATGCTGTGAATGGATCGGGTCCAGCTTACATCCAGGACATGGTGAAACCCGACATCCCGACCCGCACTCTCCGCTCTGCATCTGCAAAACTGCTTGTCCCTCCTCACTGAGAGCAAAACACTCGACTAGATCACGACTCTTTGCTGTCCTTGCTCCGAAATGGTGGAACGAGCTCTCTGACGACACCAGGACCGCAGAGAGCCTTCACATCTTCTGCCGCAAACTAAAGACACACCTCTTCAGACTCTACCTCGACTAAAAGACTAATTGTAGCACTTAAACTGTACTTATGCCATTTATCTATGGCAAATTGGCTTATTTGATAAAATTACTCTTTTTTTCTTGCCCTTCTGAGTTTGTACCCTATGGTTGAATGCACTTATTGTAAGTCACTTTGGATAAAAGCGTCAGCTAAATGACATGTAATATGGAAACACTGGATATTTAGAAAGAATCAGGCGATGGGAGCACCTGTACTGCTCTGCTGTGGTCGGTGCGCTGTACCTGTTTGCTGGACGCCATCAGTTTCTCCTCCTCCGCCTTAGTGGTGAATGTCATGAGGTCCTGTAGAGGAGCGAGCACATCAGCAAACACTATAAATACAATAATAGCCACAATAGTCAGAGCACATGAGACACAACAAAAGCCTAAAGATATTGTGTCCAGTAAGTTTAACCCAACCAAATTGATCATTATCCAAATCACTAGCGTATTCATCAGTAAAACAAGAGCTTGTCTGTTGCTTGAGGAGAATATAGCACATGTTCCAATGTCAAATAAACAGACCATGTATTTAAAATCATCTCCTTGGCGTACCATGCACTGAGTGAGGAAGTACAGCTGTGAGTGGTTGAGCCACTGGCTGCTCTCCTCACAGCTCTCCAGCATCTCCTCCCTCGGGGCGAAGACGGCGTGCGTGACCTTCCCCGAGCACACGGCCTTGAGGGAAAACACGGGCCGAGGCTCGCTGGGCTTAAACACAAACACTGAGAATACAAAAAGAAAAAAACAAAACATCTCAGTTATTCATGTATATTCGGCCCCAATAGAAATCAGATAAACAGGCATGATCTTTGTGTGTGAAATGTTAAAACGCCCAGTTTAAAGCCTACAGTCAGTGGATCCAGCGTGGCAGCAGAAGGCTGCGATGTTCTCAGTGAGGGGGTCACCCAGCAGCAAGCTGATGTCCATCGAGGTGCTCCACTCCACTGCAGGAGGGGACGGCACACAGGAAGAGGAGGTAGAATTAGACGTGTACAAAACAAACAGTGTACAAAGTCATTCAGCAGCTAGTTTTTTTCCCCACATACACGAGCAGGTGAGGAGGTTCCAGCAGCAGAGCAGGTGGTCGTCGGTGGTTCCCAGCAGGTACTTGGAACAGCTTAGTCGCCCAAAGCAAAGATTCCTGGTGGAGGATGAATAAAAGGATATTCTAAAAAAGAATCCCAAGTACAAACCCAGACCAGCCAGCGTCTCAAAACTACACATATTTCAGGGGATTAGCGCCGAGGTTTCTGCTTTGGTCTGAACACCCACCAAGAACTGGACACACAGAAAGTGTGTGACTGGCAGAGAAGTCATGACTTTACAGTGCTGCCCTGGAAACATTGAGTTTGTTAAAACATCCACACCTTCTTGATAACCTCAACACTTTTTGGGGGTGGATTGTGTTTTGGCATAGAGAAAAGGCAAGTTATGGGAAAAAAAAAAAAAGGCAAATTCCAGAGTGGGCGAGATTGGAGGTCAAAGTAAACGCTACACACCCACAGGTGGTAGTTAGGAACTCTAAAGCGGAATCAGTCAGCTGTTTTCACAGCTGACTGATTCACATTTTTTATAAGTCTCATTACACTCAAATTCCCCCATTCAGCTCCCAAAATGTCCAAGGAAACAAGTCTGCCCTTTTCAATGATCGCGTTAATCCGTAACACATCTTTAGTTGGGACGACTGTATATTCCTGTAAAAGAACACGGAACCATGAAGTGATAACTAACCGTTTCTAGTGCGGTTCATTGTTTTAAAAATGAGATCGTTTGTAAGACAGTTTGTGTTGAGCGTATGCTTAAGGCTGACTCAGATGGAATATTTAAAGAACAACAATGGAAGTAGTCGTGTCCTCAGTGACCCGAGGGCCCCTTCTTGAGGGGGGAGGGGTGGCCAACATTTCTCAGACTCCAGCAACGTTTCCTAAGTGCAGCCGGCGTTTCCCTGATAGGCAGCGCTTATTTGTTTCAGGCGGTAAATCCTCGGCTCTGCTTTCAGAAGCAAGGCTCTGGACTTCTGCCAGTGTGGTTAAAGAGATCGTTTAAGTGCTCAAGAACGTCCAGCGCAGAGGAGCCTGTACAGTGTCACTTGTTTGTTGAGGGAGGGGCTCCAATAACACCCAAAAAGTGGGCCAGAGTGTTTGAAAAGATTTAGCAAGAAAGTCGGAACGTTGGCAAAACTGGTGATGCAGTGAAAGGATGAAAAGTTATAGAGGGTAAAAGACGCCGATTGGTCAAGGCTCAGCACGACACATTTTCTCCTTGTCGCACTCCAAATCTCAGAAACGCTGGCTGGTTGCCCCCCACCCCAGATAAAAAAACATTCGGATTTACACAATTCACGTGGATGACATGTTTTGATTTCAAACTATCATAACAAATTTTTTTTAAAAAGGGATATAATCTGAGTTGAGGTTACACAGCCCACCCCTCTTCACTCGATAAACCATTTAGTCAAACCAACACCTCCACCTCTCTCAACACTGCGAGTTTACACACCAGGGTGGAGCGGGTCCTTACTACTACAAACACGGCGAAGGTGCCGAGCGCTCACCTGATGGCTTTGGGCGGCTGGGACAGAGTAGCCAGGAGCTCCCAGGAAGCCGGGCTCCACACGGTCACCACCTCCTGGAAGCTGACGGCCAGCAGAGAGCCGTCGGCCGAGAAGCAGCAGCAGTGGGGCACCAGGCCGCGGTACGCTCCGACGAAGTCACACAAGCAGGAAGGGCCGTCGTCTGTTCAAAGTGGGGGGGGGGGGCAGAGTGCAGAAAAACGAAAAGATGTTAACTCTGAATCTCAGCATCGTATACATGCCACAGAAAATAGTATCTATACATTGACCATACGAGAATTTAAGAAATGTAAATAAACAAGCAACAACCTGTATTTTGCGGGGATGTTTCCATGTTTTAGCGCATTTCTTCCAACATTGTGCTTTAAAGATATAGTAAAGAATCTCAAAAGGGCTTCAGTTATAGTTTAACTAAACAAGAACGACAACAGATAGCGAGCTACGAGTGCCCTTAGGTGAGGGCCGAGTCATGAGCATTCTTCATTGAAGTCTAAAGCCTTCTACAGTTAAGAGCTGGGATCGGCCAATCTCTGCCTGTCGGTGGAATGCACCAAGAGGAGCCGAGCTGGACTGCTTACCCTCACCGGGGGCTAATCGGCGCAACTGCCAGGCTTTGAAGTGTCCGTCTTCGCTGGCGGAGATCAGCATGGTGGTCTGACTGGCGGCGGCCTGGCAGAAGCACATGGCCGTAATCCGGGACTCGTGTGGGTCCGCGACGGTCGTGTTCAGTACAAAACTGCAGGCGATACGGTCAACGTGTCACAGGGTCACAGGGTCCATTCCCCCCCCTCCAGCAGTGTTTAGAAACCAGTTTAACCTGAATTGTGCAGAGTTTACACGCACGTACCTCTGGGTCTGCTCGTCAAAAGCCCACAGCTTCAAGTTGAGCTCCTGCTCAGCATCTTTCTGTTTTCGCTCTTCCACTGTTGCCATCCAGTTGCCAGAGGCATCGAAAGCCACCTTAACCACCTTAAACTGCTGCAGGCCCAACTCATGAATGTATTCCTGCTGCACGATGTCCAGCTGGAGAAAGAAAGCAGAAGACAGACTTTAGTTAAAATAGCAAGAGCTGTTTGTAATGAAAACACCTCGTCTGAAAGCACTCGTATCCATGCCAATGAAATTTAAATTTGCTGTAGCAGAACATTCTGTCCTTGAAAGCCGCAGACCTGGCGCACAAAGTCACTTGGTCGGGCTTATATGTCCGTTTATATAGCAGAATTCTTACGTTGTACAGCAGTTTGTCTCTCTTGAGGGAGTAAAACTGCAGGTGGCCTGGTTTCCCGTTCAGCACCAAGGCTTTGCTGCGTGGGTCCACCATCAAGTCCGTCTCGACACTTTCTCCTGCACCAAGAGGAAAACGACGTAAAAAAAAATCATTCTTATACAAGTAACCAAGCAGGTTCAGTAACTAAACTAAGGTTTGCCTCCAGCAAAAGACAAATGTACAAACTGTCTATGTGATGCAACTTTTACTCCTGCACCAATCCAGAATTATCTTTTGGACAATAATTCACTGAAATTGAGATATTTTATTTTTCTATGATGGGCAAGATCTTTCTTAGAAGCAGGATGGTTTCCAGGATTGACAAAGGTTGTTTATTAGACATGTGTATTATCAATGAACCCTTTTGTTGTACAGTGTGTACTCACCTGTGACCAAGCCCTGAAGGACAGCGGACACCTTAATGCCCTGGATGATGGTAATCTCTTAAAACAAGAGGAGACAGAAACCGGTTACCAAAGCCGTCCTTCCACACTGGATAGCAGAAGTAACCCCTTTTACATTTAATTTTTCAGAGTTGACTTTCTCCACCTAGAGACAACCAAGAACTCTTTGGAGCAAAATGTGTCAATGCTAATGTGTCCAGAGTTCATATCAGGACACTACCATTGCACAATAACGCACTAAATGCTGGATGGTGTTGAATGCAAAATGATATCCACCATTACTGTAATTTATCCACAGGTTATCCTCATTTTCAGATTCATCAGACTGTATAAAGAAGGTAACGGTCTTACTGTTGTCACTGTGTGAGGTGCAGGACAGAGCTCCGTCGGGTGAGACGGCGATGTGTGTGATGGCGGCACCCAAGCGAGGCAGGAAGTCCCGCTGGCTCACGTCGTTGTAACGCCACTGGACGAGCACCGACTCCACGCCGCCGCTCAACAGGTTGGTGCCTGGTAAAACAAAGCCAAAATAGATATAGGAAGCAGGACCAGGACAGACGTGCCTTTTTTTTTTTTAATAGAACAATTAAAACAAAATCCAAAGCAAATTTGGTCGTTGTAGCTAAAACAGCGGGATTAAAAATAATAATGTGTGTACCTTCTGGTGTGAAGCACATTGAGCTGACAGCATTGCTGTGCCAGTGCAAGGTGGAGTACGTGTACTCCTTCTGGTGGTTGAAGTTTCTCCTGAAAGGATACAAAGTAATGCGAGACGTTAGAATTAACGTCCACTGCTTTGAAAGCCAGTCATGTTGCAGCTTCCATCCACGTCGGTCCAAAACGTCAGTACTTCATATTTCCTAGAAGACATTTAGCTTGAAATTTTAAAGATCAGCATGCGAGAGTTAGTGACCTAACCAGTTCTGTAAGTTCAGGTTTCAAGTAAAGGTTTGGGCCAAATCTTAGAAAAAAAATATCCTGTCATGTTTTACTTTACGAGAAACAATATCGCAAAAGGCCAGAAACCAAGATGGTGACGACCAAATGATGAACTCAAAAGGCTGCAAAGCCCTCGTCAAAACTAACGGGTGACATTATGGTGTTTACATCCACTTCCTATATGCAGCTTATGCCACATTCATACACAAGATCAACACCAACCTGCATAGGCATTAAAAAGGTTTTCAAAAATAATAAGAATGCCCCCAATCACACTACTTGAAGCCCTAATTCTGGAGTGAAGCAGCTCCAAGGCCGTCATCACCACACTCACCACAAGCGAATCTTGCCATCTTCATGGCCGGTGGCGATGCAGTCATCTTTTGGGTGAGCGGCAACACACATGAACGTGTTCTTGCCCCCCGTCTTGGTGTCTTTTTTGAGGAAAAACCTATGCACAACCACGCAAGGACAGGCCCACAGAGTTATTAACATTCCCATGGCTTTGTAAGCAGATGTGGGTTTGTGAACATTATTGGCATGAAGATTCATACGTATAACAATGTCATAATATGACAACTTCACTTCTGAACTCCATCGTTTTGTGTCCAAATAGAAAAACACATCTTCGTTGTGGATGGTTTGTGGTTTTACTGGACAATTTGATGTGATCATCTCAAATTAATTTTCCATCATCTACAAAAAACGTCCGCACCTTGTAACCAAAGCATCTCGCATCGCGTCTCACCTGTACGTCTTCTGCTTCTTGAAGAAAAAGACCTCCAGATGCAAACCATTAGCTGAAGCAATATATTCCCCCTGTGAGAAAGGCAACTTCTGGTTATTAACTCATCAATGCAGGAAGGATCTGTATTTTAAAACCTATTATTACGTAAACGCTGGTGACAATTTGAGGCGGGGTGTTCCTAATAGAGGTGATTTATATCCAACCAAATAATAAATAATGATTCAGAATAATAACTCCTGTTATTAAAGCCATCTGGTTTGTCAACGAGTGGGAAATATCATTGTGTGTATGCAACTATTCCACAGCGCGTGTTGGTGGTGTACGTACCCCTCTGCCGAAGACAATGGCCCCCGGGTTGGAACTGACGTCACTGATCACAGCAGAAAGCTCCGGGGCCTTTACCAGCTGATCTCCGCTCTGCGGAAGATGCACCGCGACCAGCTGGAACGACTCTGCACAAACACACACACATACAGTCGAACATCAGCCAACTACACATTCCTAATCAGTGTACTTTTACAAATTCTTTAAGACCTATTTAAAAAAAAAAAAAAAAAGTTATATAGACAGCTAGCCTGGTTCTGCAGTTGGGTATTACTTCAGCATCAGGTTCTCTTGTTATTTTTAAGAACTTATAAAACAATTCTGTGAATTTTTTTCAGATGGAGCATCACACACAGACAATGACCACAAATGAAGAAAAGGGTCAAACCTACCAGATTTCTTGTCACTTATTGTGGAAGTAACAGTAAAGACGACCCCTTTGTGGAATGCAGAGGTGTGGATGGAGTAAATCGAGTATCCAATATCGTATGTCTGAAAAAGATGGTGCAGCTGTCACACAAGACTGTCGGGACCTTAGAAAAAACAACAACACGGGCACCTCGCTGTCTCTGCTGTGGAATAAACCTTCAGCGTGTAGATACTATCAGTGCATATACAGTAATCCCTCGTTTATCGCGGGGGTTACGTTCCGAAAATGACCCGCGATAAGTGAAATCCGCGAAATAGAAAACTTTTTTTTTTTTACAATTAGCAACTATTACATGTATACAAATACAGTGACTCGCGTGTAGGCCGTTTCACTGCTCTTCAGACTGGGCCGCTGCATCGTGACTGCGCTCTGCAGTTTTCTCTTCTTCTGAAGCCCGCGGTGCAGGTGTGTTTGTTCGGGAGAAGAACATAGTGATAGGCAGCTGTTGTCGCTCTTTTTTCTTCTTTGCAAAAAGATCCTTGTACACCGACATGCCACCATCGATTACGTTGGAGAACTGTAATGAACGGCTCGGGAGTGAGTTTTTAGCGAATCAGAATGCAGAGCACAATGCACCAAAAAAAAAAAAAAAATGCATTATGAAAATCCGCGAAATAGCGAATCCGCGATAAGTGAACCGCGAAGTGGCGAGGGATCACTGTAGTCCAAAACAAAAAAATAAAAACATACAGCGAGCTATATAATGAATTAAATATGGTTGAGAGACACTGACTGTAAAGACTGGAGCAAAATAAAAATAAAACAATACAAGAATGAAGGTGTACCTTGATAAGGATGCCATCTGTGAAGTCCCAAAGCCGGATGGTGCCATCTAGTGAGCAGGAGTAGGCCTGCAACCAAACAAATCTATCGTCACCACAGAAGTGAAATGTAATTGAGTAAAGTATTAAACAACAATATTGCTTTATAATGCATGCACAAAAAATAGGAAAGTAAGAAGTAAACTCTTCTACATTGTCTAGCAACAAGACGTGCAACCCAGAGGCTCTCAAAGTCAACACACACACACACACACACACACACACACACACACACACACACACACACACACACACACACAAAATGATGTTTAGGTTTTGGGATACCACTCAGATAAAGTTAACTTTCTAAAGAAGTCAGCTCTAGGAAGTTGTGATACGTATTTTGATGCATTGTCTAAAAACAATTTGTAAACCTATGGATTAATGAGAAAAAATATACATGGAAACAGCCGCTAAAAAAATATTTGTATTGATATCACTAAGCCGTCTAGGAACTGATTGTGAGAAGCACAAGTATACTAGGCCCTAATAAATGAAAACATTAAAACATATATTGAGCATGCACTCATTATGATGTTCAGTCATCGAATGAATTGCTTTAGTGGTTAAACGTGAGCCGCTTTCAGCACCACTCGTGAGTCCTCATTACATGCAAGGGGGAACAGGGCTTTTCTTTGGCTAAGTGGGGGCCACGCTGCGTGGGGAGAGGACTTTACCTGCAGGTGGTTGGAGGGTTTGACCACCACACCGGTCACCAGGTCGGTGTGTCCCCGCAGCTCGTGCACACACTCCTCCGTGGAGGTGCTGAACACTTTCACGCTGTGTCCCGAGGCGCACAACAGCAACCTGCAGCAACACGCACACGCCTCCGCTTTTACACGTCTTTAAAGTTCACAGGCGAAACGACCATAATGGCTTTACTTATATTTGTGCTTATATGCTAATGCTAGGTGCTAGCGCCGGCTCGAGCTCCGCGGCTAAAACAAACTTGTAGAAACGCCGGATTGTTTCCCCCCGAACAGTAAACATCGTCGGACGGAAACCACTCGCTTACCTCGAATCGTTGGTTATGACAGGCTGCCTGAAGTTTATTTTACTGCCACCTCGGCGAACCACGCGGATATCCCCGTGTTCAACCATGTTTTCACTAGATTCAACTTTAACCTCTGACCGCCGCCTCGTCTTGTTTGTGATCGTTCACCGGTTCTCTGCTTGAAGGTGGTTTGCTGCCCCCTGTCGGACTGGAGTTTGATGTTACTCTGCAGGTGCGATACGCTGTTTCAGCTGGCTGAGAATGACAGAGAATGTGGACTTAACACATTAGAGACTTTTTTTTATTCAATCTTCAAAGCGGAGGGGGTTCCTCGGCAGTTAATCACGTGTCTTTGGACTGGAAGCCGGAGGACCAGGAGAGAACCCACGCAGACCCGGGGGGAACATGCAGACTCCACACACAGAGGCCACTATAAAATAATACTATTATGTTTTTATTTTTTTTATTTGACCTACTGCTGCTGTAAGCTGCACAAGATAAATACATTCATACAAAGCATTACAGTGGTACTATGGAGGATAACAACAGTGCTTCCTGGGGTTCTGTAATACACACTCTTATCCTTACCATATAAACTACATTTGAAGCGTTTGGAATTACAAATTTAATTACTTAAGAGCAGCAAATATAATTAAATTGCAGTGCACTGCAGCAATTGCTCCTTCACAACAGATAACATTCACATAAAGCAATTATAGTTGAACCTTTTCTACATGGCTCTCCAAATAAAGTCTTGGATAGATAACGTTAATAAACTTGAAAGTGTTTTAAAGAAAGAATACACTTAGTCCAGTTAATGAACAATGAACATTTCACAGATCAATAAGGGAGGTCTGTTTAATACTCTTCTCCCTCTTCCTCATCATCTCCCACACTATCAGCTCCAACCTCCTCATAATCCTTCTCCAGAGCTGCCATGTCCTCTCTGGCCTCAGAGAACTCTCCCTCCTCCATCCCCTCTCCCACATACCAGTGGACAAAGGCCCGCTTGGAGTACATCAGGTCAAACTTGTGGTCAAGCCGAGCCCAGGCCTCTGCAATAGCAGTGGTGTTGCTCAGCATGCACACGGCCCTCTGGACCTTGGCCAGATCTCCACCAGGAACTACGGTGGGTGGCTGGTAGTTGATGCCAACCTTGAACCCAGTGGGGCACCAGTCCACAAACTGGATGGCGCGCTTGGTTTTGATGGTGGCAATGGCCGCATTCACATCTTTGGGCACTACGTCACCACGGTACAAAAGGCAGCAAGCCATGTATTTGCCGTGGCGAGGGTCGCATTTTACCATCTGGTTGGCTGGTTCAAAGCAGGAGCTGGTGATTTGTGCCACGGTTAGCTGCTCGTGGTAAGCCTTCTCGGCTGAGATGACGGGGGCATAGGTGGCCAGGGGGAAGTGGATACGGGGATATGGCACCAGGTTGGTCTGGAACTCTGTCAGATCAACATTCAGGGCGCCATCAAAACGAAGGGAAGCAGTGACGGAGGACACAACCTGACTGATCAACCTGTTCAGGTTGGTGTAAGAGGGACGCTCAATATCGAGGTTCCTACGACAGATATCAAAGAGGGCCTCGTTATCTAACATAAACGCACAGTCTGAGTGGTCCAGGGTGGTGTGGGTGGTCAGGATGGAGTTGTAGGGCTCCACCACAGCGGTGGACACCTGGGGGGCTGGGTAGATGGAGAACTCCAGCTTGGACTTCTTGCCAAATTCGACAGAGAGACGCTCCATCAGCAGAGAGGTGAAGCCGGAGCCGGTGCCGCCCCCAAAGCTGTGGAACACCAGGAAGCCCTGAAGGCCGGTGCACTGGTCAGACTGTGGGAGAGGGGGATCACATATGAGACCGTCTTTTCATAAGAATTTGACAATTGATCCTCGGGTATTATGTTAATCACCAGTTTGCGAATCCTGTCCAGCACCAGGTCGATGATCTCTTTGCCGATGGTATAGTGTCCACGGGCGTAATTGTTAGCAGCATCCTCCTTACCAGTGATCAGCTGCTCAGGGTGGAACAGCTTGTGATAAGTCCCACTGCGCACCTCATCTGGAGAGACAAATATTTTCGTTTCTTAACTTTCCTAAATAGCTACTATCAACATTTCAATTTTCCTTAATTATTGCTCAGCCTGAAGGGATTACACTGACCGATGACGGTGGGCTCCAGGTCCACAAAAAGCGCTCTCGGGACGTGCTTTCCGGCTCCGGTCTCACTGAAGAAAGTGTTGAAGGAGTCGTCTCCTCCTCCGGTGTTCTTCTGGTCGGACATCTGTCCGTCCGGCTGGATGCCGTGCTCCAGGCAGTACAGCTCCCAGCAGGCGTTGCCAATCTGGACACCGGCTTGACCAACATGGATGGAGATGCACTCGCGCTGTGGAAAGCGGAAAAAATTGTTGGGGATTTTAATAAAGCAACGAACTTAACTACAATCGGTTCTACATAAGTTACGTAACGTTACCTTTTTGTTTAACCAATTAACCGTTGGTGGTTAAGCTAACGTTACCAGGCGATGACATACTTCTATCGCATTGAATTTGGTTAAAAAAAAGATTATATAACTAATACTAGCACCACCATGTTTTCCTGAATCTGAACAAAATATATATTAAATAGTCCAGTCCAACCCCCGCCCCCTCACAAAGTTTGGAATTTAAAAATATAACGTGATCTAACAATTTCGCCTAAAAGCCAACCACATAACAGTTACAACCACATAACAGACTTTCATGACCAAAGTCACGAAGCCATGAATAAAATAAATTCTAATAAACGTTAAGCAAGAAAGAACATATCCCCGTCATTATTCTGTGGTGATCCTTAAGCGTCTGTAAGCTCCTGCGATCGCAGTTTCATTAAACACTTGAGCCGGAAAAATGGCGGTAAAAACGGAGGCTTTGTCTAGGGCGAGAAGACGTTGACCCGAACTTACTGAAGCTGAACAGCCATGAAAGCCAGAAATGGACACAATTTTAATATGTGTTGGGCTCTTTCACATTAGCCGTTACCCGATACTACTCACATTACAGTTAACGGGCTTATTTAAAACACATTTGGTCAACGGTTCTAGTTAAGTTACGCGACGTTACCTTTTTGTTTAACCGATTAACCGTTGGTGACCGTTGATAACGGTGGCTAAGCTAACGTTACCAGGCGATGACATACTTCATACACGGATCCACGAGCAAAAGAACATAACTAATACTTGCATACTCACCATGTTTTCCTGAATCTGAACAAAACAGTTATTAAATATGTTTGGATGTTTGGAAGCGAACAAGGCGATATTGCATGTAGCAGTGAGTGCGAAGTGAGTTCAGAGTGAAGCCGAATAGACGTTGGTCTTCTCCAGCCGCGATATTTATGCTCTTTCGCCCGGTGTAAAAGCACCGATGAATTCAATTGGTCGAAAGTCACGTGATCCCCTCTCCTATTGGTTGTGTTAATGTTATATAACGCAGTAGCTACGCCGTTCAGCGGACACGAACGTAGAATACCAACGCCCATTTCGCTTTTTTTGCCAAGTAACTTTATTGTCTCGTTCATTTCAGTCAAAGTAGTGATTTCTATAAAAATTTAAAAATCCATTACATTTTAGCAAAACTGTGGAGAAATGGCCCGCAGTAAGCGTGTCTCTCAAGCAGTTTGGCCAATAGAGGATTTAATGTGTAAATGTGTGATATACAAGTTAGCCAGTTAGCGTCCTCAAATTTCCACACAGATTTATTTCACAGACAGTTATTTGACCACGAACTTGGGCATGTTCTTTAGAGCTAGACAATGGCGAGTATGAGCATAGCGCCATTCGCCATTCTTCCAAAAACCAACCCTAATCCTGTAAGGGAAATCTCTCCTCCAAGAGCCATTTGAAACAGTCAGCATGAGTTAGCTAGCTAGCACACCCTGCATTCCTCTGCCACTGGGGGCCTCTGCAGCGTTTTCATCTACTCTCCGGCCTAGGATCCATATGTGCTCTGCTCACCCAATCCACAGAGTAAATGGTGCAGTAGCAGCTAAAGCCGAACCAGCTCTGTATAGCTGCAGGAACAGAGAAAAGCGCAATGCAAGCAGAGTTGTCCAAAACAGGTATGGAGGTCACTGAGAAATTGTGGAAGGACGGACTCTTTAATAAAAATTAAATAGTTATTATTCATATTGTTTACTGAGGGTCAATCAAGTCACTGTTGTCCTTTTGACATTGACTTCCACACCATCCAATGCAAGCTTTAAGACATTTCTGCATCGGGTTCACTCTGCTGAGCCAGACGTCTTCTAAGTAATACAAGCAGAAAACATACTGAGCTAATCAGGTGTGTACGGTGTAACCCTTTAGATGTGACTAATCCCTCACCTAACTAACTGAACGTAAAGTTCAGACGAGAAATTAAACCTTTTAAGAGAGAATAGAAGTTATTGTATTGGTTAGTGTCTGTCTTGTTGGGAATGTTTGCTATTTTTGATTAATTATGTTTTTTAAATTTTATTTTGTAGCAAGTGAGACACTGCCTTGTTATTGGTTTATGTATTAATTTGTGATTTAATCGTTTGTCTAAGTTGTTGTGAGACGCACTTAAGTCTGTGACTTAGTTCTTTTAAAAAGACATTTTTTTAGTTGACGCTCACAAGTGTGACGTACATGGTTTTCCCGTAATATGTCACCTTATTCCTCTCGCGCGCATGTGTCTCAGTCCGCACAGGAGCGATAATGCGTGCTTGTGTGTGTGCGCGCGTGCGTCTGGGTGGGCGGGTTTTCTGAGAGTGAGGACAGCCCCTCAATAAATTAGGTCGCTTCCTGAATATCAAAAAACCGAAAGTCGAAGTGGGAAACAAGTGCACGTGGTAAATGAGAGCGACGGAGAAGCAGCGCAGAAGCAGCACAGGTAACAAACATGAAAACAGCACTGAACTACAGGCACATTTGTATTATATGTAGGTTGTATATATCATACAATAACAATATCATACTTCACCTACTTAATCTGTGAGCGCACGATGATTTTATTTGTTTTGTGTGCACGGCAGGATGAGCCAGTGGAAGCAGATTCAGCAGCTGGAGATCAGACTCCTGGAACATGTGGACTATCTTTATGATGATAACTTCCCCATGGACATCCGTCAGGGTCTGTCCAGCTGGATCGAGTCCCAAGACTGGTGAGTGCTGCGGTTTGTGTGTGCGTATGATGAACATTGGCCTTCTCTTCTCTCTAAAAGATAACCATCTCATCAATTCAAAAACCACATTTCACCCAAATCACAGTTAAAAGAGGCATATTTTTCACTGGAAAATATGGAATATGTCATTTGGGTGAAGTAACATGAAACAGTTTTCTCAAATCTTGTTTTAAAGCCTTTGCTGTCTTCAAACTTTTTTGTTAGTCAGAGGGCAAAACACCATCGGACTACTTCCTCTGTCAAACAATAAACAGCAGACACACGCTTGTAGCTGATCATTCAAGAGCCAAACATGAGCGAGCAGAGAACAAATGAGAGGCAAAAGAGTGTGAACCGGACACTGTTCACCGTGTAACAAATAGTACTAACTGATGTTTTCACCTCCTTCTTCTAATCCCTTCTAAGAGGGAATAAAAATCATCTAGTTTATCATTTAACATTTGACTAAAAAGTAATAGTACACACATTGAGCGTCTTTATTGGAGGTCTATTTTTCTGTTGTCAGCTGTCGTCTTCTTCACGTGTTCTGCTAGGATTCTCCTAAACACCACGCAATGTGTGTCTTTTTTCCAGGGAAATAGCAGCTAGTGACGAGTCGATGGCGGCAGTGCTGTTCAGAGACCTGCTGTCCCAGTTGGATAAGGTGCGATTACAGGAGCAGAACTTCCTGCAGAGACACAACATGAAAATCATACAACAGCAGTTACAGGTGTGTCACCCTCCATTCCTCCTTTCATGTTTTCATGTTGTCTCTGGTGGTAGCAATACCTTTACATCACAGCAATCTGAAATTAATTTAATTGTCGGACATTCTTGTGCAGTACTTCATGAATGCCATGAACAACTTTTAGCATCAAAGCCCATTTTGGCCAATGGGATAAGAAAAGATCCCATAAGTCCTTATGATGACTTATTATCTTAAGACATTCAAAGTAATTACTTTATATATAGAAAGTATGACAATCGTTCTCAGAATAATGATTCAGTACAGCAAATCAGGAACAAGAATCTCTTTGTTCCTGATCTCAGAGAGCTGCTCATTATCCTGAGTTAGTATTTTGAAAATGACTCAAGGGATCTTTTGTTCGTTTATTCACTTGGGCAAAAATTAGATTCCATATGAATGAGTGTATCTAGACAGACAAGAGCATCAGAGAGTAAACAAAGGAGGTGCTGATGTCACAGCAATTGGGGATGGAAACCGGTTGTACAGTAGATCATTTCACTTACATGTTTCTGTTGACATGTCTCAATGCAAAGGAAGGAGGAGGAAAGAAACAGCTGGCGAGAATTTGGTCTGAACTTATTTCATTTCAGTTTATGGTTCGAATTGATCATCGTGGGGGAATAAGATCCAAACATCCTTCACTTGCTGCACACTATTACTCCCAGAATTGATATTGCACCACTAGCACGACACTCGTCAATTCATGGCACTCAAATTAAAAACAGCTGTAACAAGGGGAAGTTGTTTGTTCAATTTATGGTGTATCTGCGAGTGAAAGGGAAGTAAATTAAAAAGCCTCTCTGAATGTGTAACTGGCTTTTATTTCTATGTTTGTCCTCTGGTGGTCAACACAGTGTTAAAGGCTATGACACTCTATGGCTTCATAATTACCCATGTATTACTTGTTCTAATTGTTGTCGAAGCACCTCTGTCGCTCTCTTTCATGTCGTCATATTCTGGGGGGGGGGGTAATCTCCCTCGGTGAGCTCACAAGAGTTCGGTCCCGGACGTTTTGGTTTAGTGCTCAATGACTTAATGAGCCTCAGCACGCATTTTACTCTGGAAAAGATATACCTTTGCAGAACAAACCCACGGGGCTCACGCAACCGTTTCCTGTGTCTGAATGTGTGCGTGTTATTGTCGAAGTCAACACCTCTCAGAGGAAGCAGTTACTCCTATGCGGTAGTCAGGGGTGCTAAGGTTTTTTTTTTTTTTATGTGTGAGAGAAGTTTGTCTTGTCGATTCAAACCGCGTTAGAATGTCCTCGCACTTGGTTGTCTCTCGTCAACACCTTCAAGCAGAATCTTCCTTAGGAAAACCCCCCTGGCCCCCTGATGAAATATAATATATATTATTTAATAATACACTAAATAATATTTAGGCACGCTGCTGGTTTGACAAATGATCTCTGAGATGGGTCTGGTATAAGTCTTCAATATTCTTATAATGCAGGTCAACAAATAAGATTTCAAAATTTAAAAAGACTAAATCAAACTATTCTGCCGTCTGACAATAGCACGCGTCATTGGTGCCACTGTTATAACTGTGAGTGGGTAGGTGGGTCTGAGGTGCATGATAGATAGAGAAAAAAGTTTCTTCTTCCCACAGATGAGTAACTCGTACTTTTCGAAGTGTGGTTTTGACTGTGATGGAGAGCAAACAGACCCACACTCTTCGATCTTGTGCAGAACAGGAGAATTTTTGCTGACGTGGATACGGCGCGCGGAGGCGGAGGATTTGCGGAGGGAAAGTTTGAGGCTGCTTTGTATTTCATCGACTACAATTTAGTCCATGAAACCAAACATATTCTCTGATCGGTAAAATGCTCAATAAGCACAAAGAAACTGTAATTAATTCCAAGGCCTTGGCGATTTCACTTTTAGTAGTGATCTACCTTTTAATTAAGGTACCTGCGGAGAGATTTTTGTTCATGCATTTCATTTGGAGATTCCTTCTGTCACTGAGTAGACCCATGACAACAAATCTCTGTGAAAACCGTTTCCTTCTTCTTTTCTCCCCTAATGTTAGATAAAAACCAATGTCATGCCAATAATGCGGTTGGTTCTTTTCTGGCTTTTGTGCATTTCTATGATAACAAAATCCCAGTGTGTGGTTGTCTTTCTAACATGGACTATTATTCGTGTGTGTGTGTGTGGCCCCACAGGTGAAATACACAACAAACCCTATTGCCATGGCCAGGGTTATCTCCACGTGCCTCAGGGAGGAGCGCAGAATCCTCTCCAGCGCCTGCATGCAGGAACAGGTGTGTTGCATCGTCTCGCTCAGAGGGAAAGTCCCTCCGATAAAACAGCTGCTGCTGGGAAATCTGAGCTGCTGGGCTACCGGGAAAGCAGTGCACTGTATGGTACACGCCCGCGTGTTCTCAGCCGCTTCACTCTATTCCCATAAAACACAGCAGCATGGCTTCGCTTTATGCCACTGCATCTACGCCAGCAAATGAACACTTAATGATTGTATAAGTTCTTGTTATAAAGAAATCATCAAAAATATGTAAAACTGCGGTGTCCCTGACGGTGTTTAGCCGGGCCCATTCGCCGCTCCCTGTCGGTCCGTGTCACTTTATCGGTGACTTCTTTACTGTTGGCTTTCATGTTAGACTGTCATATGATATTAAGTAGTTTACAAAACAGTTGTAATGATCCCCTGATTTTTCACTCAGCTCAAAGTTGTGGAAACCCACATGAGGAGCGAAAAAGAGCCGGTGAAGAGATGTCTGAAAAATGTGGGAATAGTTTAAAGGAAGTTTTTTGTGTAAAAAAAGTGTAAAAATACAGTAATATATGATTAAAAACTATGTATTTATATATTTTAATGCAATTCATTCAGAACAAGGTTTGGGGTTGGGGGTCTTGCAATGGACCTATATCCTCAAAGGGGGCCCGGACAGAAAGAAGTTAGGGAACCACTGGCTCACATTAAAGTGGGGAACATCCAGTGTTGTCATTTTGTCTGTATTAGCATGCTGATATTAACATTATTTTAATGCATAACATAGGGCCTGAGTAGCGGCGTGGCCTTGGAGCGCTGTAGCATGTATCTAGACTCTTGTTTAATATTATCAAACGTGTGCATATTGGTTGAAGTGCCACATAATATTTTCAGGTATGTTCTGGCAGAAAGTGCTATCATAAATTGTTTAACAAAAGAACACAGTTTCCGGAGTAAAAAACAGAAGTCTACTGTTGATCTGTGATAAAAAATAATAAAATGCAGTAACTAAATTCAAAGTTACTAAAGTTAGGATCTTCCGACAGGGACCACTGGAAAAATCATTGCAGAATTCTGTGGCCTTGGAGAAGCAGAAAAACATGGACAACCGAGTCGGGATCATCAGGGCCAACGTGCAGGTAAATTAAACACACACCTTTAAAAAAAGTAAATGAACTTTATAAACGATGTCTGTCATTGTCTAGTTGATGGACCAGGCTGTGAAATACATCGAGGACATGCAGGATGACTTTGACTTCCGCTACAAGACACTGCAGTCTCGAGGTGTGCCCTGTTATACAATCTACACACATCACACAATATGCACACAATACACTAGAAAATATCTGTTGCGGTTGTTTGTGTTTCAGAATCAACGGATACTCGACAGAACTCTGAGATGATGAAACAGGAAGTAACAAGACTTCAGGAAATGCTCAACCGGCTGGATTATAAAAGGAAGGTACGCATTTGTATCATCATGCAAAGCTCTGACACGTGAGGCAATCGAGCCAAAATGTCTCCAGACATAAAGGTTACAGAGACGCCAACATCAATGTACAAATTCAACCGTGTCCAGTGACGTTTATTAAATCATTTATTTAATAAACTTGTATTTGTATATTTACAGTTTATTGTTGTGGTTTACATATACGATATATGAGTTATTCCAATTGTTCAGACGTTACGCAGAATCAAACAACAATACAATTTGTATTTTACACCATAATACACCATTTATCAAACATGGACAAATTAAAATCGAGACGTTATTGGACATTTGCGCAGCTGACGTCACTACCCAAGCCACGTTGTGAGCGCAATCCCTGCGAAATTCAATGTCAAGATGCCCTCGCCATTCTGTTACTGAGAGCCAGAGACTTTGCAAACTGAAACCCGGTAGAGACGAGTTTTACAACGCTGTGGTTGACGTCTTCACAAGGAAAGAGCGTACAAATACACAAATACCGATTGGTGTATTTGAGATTGGTGAGTCAGAAACTATTTCGGACTTAATATTGAATTGATAAGTGTGGTTGAATGAATGCCGACTGTCAGCCATTTGCCGTTGCTGTTTGTGTTTTCCTTGTTGCTGACACAACAATTGGCCGCTGTGCAATAATTAAGCAATAAAGGGCCGACAGGCCGGATTGTTGTCTATAATGTTACATGTGTAACCTTACTGCTCAATTTCATTGGCCGCTATGCAATAAATAAGCCATAAAAGTCATTATTGACGACAAATTCCTGCCTCGAGTTTTATGATAAAGGATAGCGGTGGTTTGATTCTGATGTTGGATATTAACTGCTGGTATATTTCCTGATATCGACCGTGTGTGTCTGCCGCGCTTGTTCGTAACCTTTACTGTTTTTATCTTAATGCCTTGCCTCTTACTGACATCACCGCACGTCACTTATTGTGTCGCATCTACAAAACAATGACAGCTTTTTCAAACCCCTTTTCTTAGGAGATCTTATCGAAGATGGATGATGTGATCAAGGAGATCGATGACCTGATGACCTCTCAGCTCAACCCGGAGCTGCAGGACTGGAAGCGCAGGCAGCAGATCGCCGCCATTGGTGGTCCGCTGCTCACTGGCCTGGAGCAGCTGCAGAGTTGGTAATGACTATTTATAGAAATCATTACTTTCAGTCCAGTGTTAACTCTATGACATGTTTTCAATGTGCAATGTTTAGCAATATAGGAACCTTGAAGGTTGAATTTGTAACACTGACTGTGTGTTTATAATATTCAACAAAGTTGTGCTCCTCAATTGAATCACTTTTTAGTTTTTGTCATATAGTTATTGATCGTACAATTTTTTTCTGTATGAGAGAATCCATTTTATTTTCACGTTTCCATCGCTGCAGTTTGTGAGCCAGTTTGTTTCATATTTGGCAACCATTGGTGTTGAAATTGTTAGCAGGAGGGATTGGACAGGTAAAAAAAAAGAACGTTCCTTACTAGAATGGCAATTTCATTGGAGAACATAACATTGGCTGTAGCATGGTGGTCAGAGAAGAAAGTATTTGAACTTAACATTTCTCTGGTGAAATGTTATTTTATGATTTAATACAGAAAATCCATCCATCCATCCATCCATCCATTGTCAAACCGCTTATCCTGCACACAGGGTCGCGGGGGGGCTGGAGTCCATCCCAGCCAACTTCGGGCGATAGTACACCCTGGATTGGTCGCCAGCCAATCGCAGGGCCAGAAAATACGTTACATATTATACTTTTTATCTTTGCTCAGGTTACTTCCAGTTCGTTCCAGTGTAAATTCTCACAAACAGAGAATAAACCCAGATCAGCATAACATAATATTGTTGGTCATGGAATTGAAATGAACTTTTCCCCCTTCGTCCTCTCATCTGTCCCCTCTCAGGTTTACTCTGATCGCCCAAAGTCTCTTCCAGATAAAGCGTCAGCTGGACAAACTGGTGGAGCTGGTTGTGAAGGTCACCTATGAAAGTGATCCTATCCCCCTGCAAAAACATCAGATGGAGGAGCGCATCAAATACCTCATTTATCATCTCATCAAGAGGTACTCTAAACAGCACACAATACAACATTAGATGCAAGTAAAAGCATGTACACATACGTAATACAGATGCTTTCTACTCCATCTATAACTGGGGGCTTTGACGCTGTACTCTGGTGCACAATCCAGCTTGAATGTCCAACAGGCATGAGGAGTCAAGTGAAAGGAACATAGTGAAAGCAGTGTTAATTACACGAGGTGTGGTTTGTTCTCAGCTCATTCGTGGTGGAGAAGCAGCCATGCATGCCCACACATCCACAGAAACCCCTCATCATCAAGACGGGAGTGCAGTTCACCACTAAAGTCAGGTATCATTACTGGACGATTTCTTAATGCCGTGCTTGGCTTCTGTTTGAACCTCAGTTTGTAATTAAATAATTAGTGGTAATAACGGTTGTTAATTCAATGTGTTTTTTCCTCCTCCTGTTTCCTGTCAGACTTCTGGTTAAACTTCCCGAAGTGGATTATCAGCTGAAAGTGAAAACAACATTTGACAAGTAAGATTTTTATGTTATCATTTGTGTAACGTTTGCAATTCCCGGCCAAGCATAAAAAACTCAAATACACACTAGTGAACATACAGAATGATATCTATATATCTTACATGTTAAAGCCATATTTTATAGATGAATTTGTCTTTGTTAATCATTATTAATTGTTGTGTGTGTGTGTCTCTCCAGGGACCTCCCATCTGGCAGAGTGTGAGTCCACGCGCTCCTGACAGGACACACGGCTCATGCCCAATCTGAGGCCAGATAAAAACATTGTAGCAAGTTAGTGGATCTGAACCTCAGCGGTTGGTTCTTTATCTCAGCTGAGTTTTGTTTCAAAACAATTGTGGTTCGAAAGCTTTTCCAGTGATCTGAAAACAAGTCGTTTTCCTTCACAGTTAAGATAGTTTCAGGTGAAGAGTTGTTATTTTGAAACCATACACAAAACTAAATTCTAAATTGCAGGCATTATTTTCACCATCCACAGCTGCATTTGTCTCATCTAAAAACAGTCAGCAGAGATAGCTGTTGCATAAAAATCAGGCTTCTTTCTTTGACTTTATTCTTCTCCTCAGAAGTCGTCAGTTTTTTATCTTGACCAACAACACTAAAGTCATGGACATTGAGGACTACTCAAACGGCTGCCTCTCTGTGGATTTTAGACACCTGGTAAGTCAACCCATCCACTCTTCAATTCTATTAAGTGCTTATGTGTCATTTATTACAAGAAAATACCAATACCTGGAAACTAAACACTGACCAGTTAGTGGTGATTTGTTCTTCTTCGTATTCTTACAGCAGTTGAAAGAGAAGAAATATATTAATGGGACAAAGGGGAGTGAGGTAAGACATTTAGATGAGTTAAAGGGACCGATGGATTGGATCAGACAGATTATTGGTGCATCTGTTCTGTAATACATCAGCACACCGGTGCTTCATACCTGTGCTACTGTAATGTTTAATTGTCTGAATACAAATAAGTAATTGTTATCCTGTCTGAAATACATATTATTATCATTGTTGTACCGAAACAGCCTCATAACTCAAATTTAAAGAGCAGCGCTATGAAGGATGGACTCCAATGAAACTCTACTAAAAAGCTCTGTGTTTCGCAGGGTCTCCTCTCGGTGACGGAGGAACTACACTCTCTCAGTTTCGAGGCTTGCTTCACGGTGCAGGGCCTCACCATTGATCTAGAGGTCCGAACAAGCAACGTAGATTGTAATTGATGCTTGGCTCTCTGTTATTGATGCGACAGCTTGCTCACTGCGTGTGTGTGTGTGTGTGTGTGTGTGTGTTCCAGACTTGTTCATTGCCACTGGTGGTGATCTCCAATGTGAGCCAACTGCCTGGAGGCTGGGCGTCTGTCATGTGGTACAACCTGCTGACTGATGAGCCGAGGGTGAGCTGTCACATCTAAATTACGCTCCATTTCTGGTGAATTGGTTTTGAGTAACTAAACTATTTTAGTGAGCAGTTGATTCAGCTTCATGGAAATTTTAGGGGATGTTGTTTTCTTGTGCCATTGAATTATATTGCAGTGTCAATCAACAGGTGTTATTTAAAAACCACTTCCCTGATTCCCTCTGACGTGGTGCCTCTCTTTTTTCCGCAGAACATGGCGTTCTTTGGGAACCCGCCTCGGGCCACATGGAGCCAGCTCTCTGAGGTCCTCAGCTGGCAGTTCTCCACCTTTGCGGGTAAAGGCCTCAACAAGGAGCAACTCAACATGCTGGGAGAAAAGCTTCTCGGTACGTTTGCCTTTTGCTTTAGTTACTACACAATGGTAGGTTTTGAGAAGGCATTGAAAACACTTTTTTCCTCCGGAGTCTGAAGCTTTGTTGTCAGATCACACAGGAAAATTCCGGACTTTAAAAAAGAACTGATGCAACTGAGAATTAAATAATCTCTTTGATTAATTACACAAAAGCGTTTTCAGGGGGTTGGCAGGCCGATTGTATGGCGATGATAAAGTTATTTATACATGAGCCAAAACATCTAGCAAGGCCTCTGATCAGCTTACTGACTCGGTACTTTCTACAACGCAGCGGCTCGAGTCCTCTCCTCTTACACTGAATGTAAATAAAACGCACAATTTGTTTTTCCACATGTAAACGACACAAAAACACAAGATTTATGGTAAAACAAATGAGGTCATCATCAGTGAGGTTGTAGTGAGTAGCGTACATAGGAATCATCTTAGACGTACTGGGAACTGCGGTGCGGCAGTTTATGTTATTTGCTGTGTGTTTTTTAGGTCAACATGTCTCCTGTAGTGACTATCAAGTGTCCTGGTCCAAGTTCTCCAAAGTAAGTGCTGAATAATACGAACCACTAAATACAATGTGGTCTCATGTCCAGTATAGTTGTGCCATTTAATGGGTAAATGAGAAATAATGTTATACCTCCTATTCTATATTTTCGATCCTGGATTTATTTTGTAATTTATGCCATATCTCACGTCACGTTAAATTTTAAAAATGTACTCATTGTTCCTCCTCCGTGTGACACTCATTCTTCAAGGAGAATATTCCAGGAAAGCCCTTCAGCTTCTGGATGTGGCTGGACTCCATCCTGGAGCTCATCAAGAAGCACTTGCTGCCAGTCTGGAATGAGAAGTAAGCCACTGTCTCACCCCATCTGACCGCCCCCCCCCCTCAACTCTCCCAATAAATATCTGCCATGCAGACTGTCCTTCTCAGGATGTAACTCTTTTCCACTGGACAAAAATACGGCTTATGACGAGATAAGTTAAGTGCCGTGCCAAAACAAACCTTCACTCCCTGTCCAGGAAATAAGGTTGCAGTATATGTGACTGTCTATCTTAAGAATGCTTATTAGCTCTTCTTTAAGACAAATAAAATGGGAAATTCAATATCATTAACTGTGTTAGGATAAAGGCTCTGTTCTAAAGGAAACACAATCAGGCAAACGGCAGCCACTAATTGGCAGGTTATCCCTTGTTTGTTTGTGTTGTTCTCGCTTTGAGGCTGCAAGCCAACCAGCATACAGATTTTCGCACTGTGAAATCTTTCTATCGATTTGTCTGTGTTAAATGAGTTTCATTTCTTGCATTTACATGCATCTTGCAAAAGTAGCTTGTATCACAATATTGAGCAGCATACAGTTTTTGTCCAGATATTGTTCTACACTGTCAAATTGCAACACTTTTAGGAAAAAAGATAGCAGCAGCATTTCAGACGTGCCGACCAAAAGAGAAGGCCATCACGATCAGAAACGTCATATTCTGAAGGTTTAAAAGCAAAAGCACAGACAGCAGCTAGACGTTCTCATCTCTGATCCATCTAATCGTCTAGGTTTCATAAGCAAATGCAATCAATTGGTAGTGCAACAGGCCAAGATACATATGGATTTTACTGTTGGAAGAATGTTAAAAACATTAATACAAGAAGCAGGAAAAAGTAAATGTTTATTTTGTTTGTTTTTTCCCCCCCATGTGACCCCCCGTGCAGCTACATCATGGGCTTTGTGAGTAAAGAAATGGAGCGCACTCTGCTAAAGGACAGAGAGCCCGGCACCTTCCTCCTACGCTTCAGTGAGAGCCACCTCGGAGGCATCACGTTCACCTGGGTGGAGCACAACGCCAATGGTGAGGAAAACCGCCACGTTTGGCTCAAAAAAGTGTATTTTTACACAATACTTTTTTTCTCGGCAAATCACATAAGTCAAGTGATGCATTTCCCGGCGTCTCTTTTGCCTGATGTCCTGGCTTGATACACTTTTTTTTCCAACAGGAGGGGTGAAGTTCAACTCGGTGGAACCATACACTAAAAACCGCCTCAGCGCCCTCCCATTCGCCGACATCATCCGAGACTACAAAGTCATCTCGGACGGGGTCGTCCCGGAGACCCCACTCAAGTTCCTCTACCCCGACATCCCCAAAGATGAGGCCTTCGGACGTCTCTACAACAGTCAGCCGAGCAAAGGCACGGATGCAGAAAAACTAGTCAAATGTTGTTTTTTTGCGCTTGTTTGGAATCTGGCTCACCACGTTTTAGGCTGCAACGCTTATCTCTCTTGTATTTCTGTTGAATTTCCAGTCCATCCATACATTCCATCTACCCTGATCCCCATCTCGGAATTGCGGTGAGTTCATTTGAAGACTATAAGACACTGACTAAAAGGCACATGGCTTGTACTGTCAATACAACAATACTATATAACACAGTCCCTTACTTGTATTGTCTAATTTCCTCTGTTATGTCAGCACCCATGCGATCAGCACGGCACCTTCTCGTCAGTCTCCTGAGCCACCAATGACTCCTGGGGAGTTTGACATGCTCAGCGAACAGCTGTGCTTTGACATTGACAGCGTAAGTTTACAATCTTTGTCCGCACACTATTGCAATATTCTGCAGGTTTTGGATGGACTTCAACCTACAAGGTAGTCTTGTATTCAAAGGCTGTTGTATATTTTATTCCTCTGCACCACAGATCATTGTCGTGATCTTTTTGACTGTCTTTTCAGAGGATTAGATGTCTAATGTTGTATCTCTATTGGCTTTATAGAGGAGTCCTCTGGGTGTATTCTGCTATAACGCTCTCCTTTTTGTTTTACAGATGAGCTCTTCATATTCAGAGTAAAGCAAGTTGAAACATTCAACATTTTGCTGAAAGATTCCTGACACCAGTCTTTGATCAATGTCTACATTGTTCTTACCACACAACTCAGCCTGTCGTCTGTAAATAGGTTTTAAGTGGATCCATATCTATAGATAGGGATGTATACAGTATATTTGTTTTTATATGTAATCTTGTTTTTAGTTTACTCTTTTCTATTACTCCTTTATTGGAAATAAAACAATGGAAATATGTTATTTTTTTTGCAGTGTACCATGTTGACGTTTGCTTGTTTCTTTATTTCTTTATATCAGTGGCGCCACCATCTGGTTTCCCAGAGTTACCCTGTGTTGCAGAAACACTCACCCACGTCATAATTGATTATCAGGTTAGCTCATCTGCCACCTTCAGCTCAAGATGAGGCATCACACGATACGAAAACAACACATAGGGCTTTTATTTTGAAAGCAGCCAAAATGTGAATATCAAATATGACTACAACAACTTCCTAGAGCATTTCTCGAGAACCACGTGGTTCCCGGAGAGCGTTTGAAAGGGCTGGTGTGTAGTTTTAGGCTTTGAGGAAGTACAGGGTGTGTATTCTCACATGTTTTCAAGAGATTTGATTTTGGTAAACTAGCAACAAGCTGATTTTGATTGCTTGAGCCAGTTCTTCAAAACATCATGTAGGTGCAATACCATGACATTTCTGTCAGAAAGAAGTTTTATAAAATTGATTATTGTTTATGAACCACATAAAGCCCCCATTTTCATACAATCGGTAAACACCATGAAGAATGAATACTGAATACATGAATACTTGATTGTAAGATACATTCAACCAACAACCCTGAAACCAGAACCATCGAATAGATAGACTGAGTGGATTCCACCTTGAAGGATTGTGAAATGTGCACCAATACCTGTGAGATCATGTCCAGGCCCGGTCTATGATAATAATACGGACGTTAAAAACGCAAGTTCAAGGGATCAAAATAGAAAATAGAGGGCAGAACATATTATTCTAGATTCGTTAGTTTTCTTGTGAGGATTAAGCAACAGAGATGCAATGTAATATTTGTGCCTTCTTACTTTGGATAGAGTCAAGTTTCCCTTTTCCTCTATTCCACAGCTGATGTGGTACTTTTACCAAAGGTTCTGAATGAAGCATTTATATGTAACTACGTACTTATCCCACCAGTGACAGTGAGCCAGAGCCAGATTTATGTGTGTGGTGTGCTTCTCCTGGCTCGAACAGGTCAAATTGTGGCCGCTGACTAGGGTCCATAAAACAAGCCCTTTCTCTAGTAATTGACATTTCATTAATCCTGTTTCCAAAAGGTGAAATCTCAAATGTTTTTGCTGCTGAGTCGCTTGGATTAATTCACAACCCTTTTCCCCCCGCCGGTGAAATCGGATGCAGACAGCAAGCCGTCTGTGAAATGAACAGAACTTTCCAATGCACACACGTATTTTGAAGGCGGAAATTAACACCGTGCGAACAGCTGTTAACTTCACTTGCCTCGACTTGATTTCTCGAGAGTCACGTGGTGCATCTGCGTGGGAGTTCCCGGAGAATAAAAAGTAACCATCATACTTCCTTGAAGTGTTCTGGTCGTGTTGGTCACCCGGGAAGTCTGGACATATTCTATGGTTCATCACAACAGTATTTAAAACAACGAGGACGCACCGCCACAAGGTAAGTTGTCACTGGAGGAAAGTGCTTTTGTATTATATTATAGGCCTACTATACTAGATTAAATACTAGATTATGTTATAGTGAATACAAAGGTGATCTTAACCTGCCAGCGCGTGTGTTGGTCGTATTCGTATATAAGTGCGTCACCAAAAGATAAGCTGTCATTAATATTGTTGTGGTTATTTTAATGATCTGTATTATTATTTTCAGCCGGATTACCTCCGGCGGATAGATACGCAAACCAAACGCAGCACGATTCTCGGTTAAACGCACTGTCTTCTGCTGCAGATGTCCCAGTGGCAGGACGTGCTGAGGATGGACTCCGTCCTGCAGGCTCGAGTGAGCCAGTTGTACGAGGGAAAGTTCCCCAGAGAGATCCGCCACAGTTTGTGCGTCCCCATCGAGAGCCACGACTGGTGGGTGATGAAGGCGGGCCGACAGGGGGCGCCCTCCCGCCGCCCTCACCGTGTAACTACAGCAGGAGGAATTGCATGTTTGTCCGAAATTGTATAGGCATCTTAAAAAGGCATTTTTGTCCGTTTTTTAAACTCAAGTGGTGTATTTTACTTAATGTAGTTACCGGAAACTACTTACAAATGATTAACCAATGTCTAATAAATGCACACGGAATGGAAAAAGTTTTTTGTCCAGGGGTGACCCCCACCGGGTTAATCGCCCTTAAAGAAGATACCTTAAATAATGTTTTATCTAAAATAAAAAATAAAAACTAAATTTTGTAAGAAAAAGAGAGGAGGAAAACTATGTATAGTATGTCATTACCTGTATTTAGAGGACCTAATTACTTTATTACTAATAATAAAAGGTTGATGATGAAGAAAAGGAGGAGGAGGAACAAGAAAAAGAAAAGCCTCATAACTGCTACAAAAAATCTAAAAGAAGATGCCGTCGATATATTTATTTGGGACACAGATTAGCAATCCCCGTTTCACATGTACAGAGTTCAGGTGTCTGGATTGAATGAAACTTCTGTGTGTCCACATATTCAGCACATGTAGACAGACACAATGCCAGAGTGAATGTACTTTTTCTGTTGCTCATTGACAGGGACTTGGCTGCTATGGATGAAAATGCAGCGAGTGCTTGTTTCCATGCACTCCTGGTGTATTTGGAAGAACTTAGGAACCGTTCCGTTCAGGAGAACAACATCTTGCAGGGACCTGATTACCCAGGGATGAGACAGTACTTGCTGGTAGGACAGACATGCTGTTATGGTGAACTGAACTGTACTGACCATTACATTAAACATTTACTTTAGTGTTACCTTAAAGCAGTGGTTCCAAAACGTTTTTTGTCTTCTTGTAAATATATTTACTTCAACTTTTTACTTTTTGGGGGGAAGGGGGTCTGGGTGATGAAGCTGCGACACCCCTGTCGTCCCCCAGTTGGGGAACCACTGCCTTAATGTCTCTTCTCAAAATAGAATAATTGAAACATTTACTGATTTTAAATTACTTTTCTGTTGCTTAAAGCGCTTTGAAGACAAGCCTCTGAACTTGGCTATAATCCTGTCAGAAATCCTAACGGAGGAAAAGAAAATCCTGGATTCAGCCTCTGAAGCGCCGGTGAGGTGGAAGAAAAGTCCGGGCTGCAAAACCAAAAATGCCCTATAACTGATGTTTAGTGTTTTGTAATGATAACTAAAGAGTGAAAGTATATATGTATATATTTGTCTTTGTCAGGGTTGCAGTAGTCCAGCCACAAATGACAAATGTGAAGACTTGGACAACAATGTCAATGAACTGAAAAGACAGACTTTGGTAAACTCCCTTAGACTGGATTCATTTTTGTTTGTTTATTTTCCACCGGACAACTGTCCTGTAGACAAAGACGTCGTCATTTATCATTTTGTGACTCTGAACTGTTAATGCAGGAGGTGAAGACGAAAATGAAGTCGCTGGAGTTCCTCAATGAAAACATTGACTTCATACAAAAGACCTGGCAAAGCCAAGGTACGGTATGCACGGAGACAAAAGAGAAACAGGCGACCGGTTTAATGCTCAATGGATGCCTCTGTTCTCATTTCCAGTGGAGCAGCACGTTGGATTGGCCAAGTCTCAGGGTTTTGTGGAGGAACAATGTCATAAGCGGACCAACTTTATTACGCAAACGAAGAAGGTACTGTAGACGTTAGTCGAATGAGTTCAATTTGTTTTATGCTTTATGTGTCAGTTCTAACAATGTTGTGTTTGGTTATTATTATTAAGTATTGCTTTTTTATGCAAAACCAGTTTTCTCCTATTGTGGTGACTCTTGAGGTTTATGGTATGCACAAGGCGCAGTTGCGTTCTTCACAATTTAATGATTTTTAAAAATGTTTATACTGTTTTACAACGTCAGTTAAAGGCTTGTCCTGGGCAATCGGCTAAGCTACAAAACAGCTTCAACTGGTCCGCTGCAGGACGCACTGAACCGACTCGTTTTGCAGGTGGTGCTGCAGCAGATAGAGAACATTTTGAACCTGGCACAGAAGATGGTGGCCTCTCTCACAGATGTGGAGCTACCCCAGTGGAAGCGCAGGCAGCAGATGGCCTGCATTGGAGCTCCAGCGGACACCAGTCTGGACCACCTCCAGAAGTGGCGAGTACTTATTAGCACCAACCTGGCTCGGCGTGGGCCACGCGGATGAAGAAACATTTCTCATGTCTCCCGTGCCGATCGCGCTGAATACAACAAACGCGTGTGTTTGCTGGTGTCGTGTGTGCAGGTTCACGGCCGTGGCAGAGACGCTGCTGAGAGTACGCGAACAGCTGCAGAAACTGCAAGACCAGAGCAGTAAAGACGACGGCGTCCCGGGTCCCGTGGCACAAATGGCGGAATTCGCACACTCCTTGTTCACAAAACTTCTGGCAAAGTGAGACATGCGTTCGGGGCTCTTCCGTTTCATGTGCTTCACGCAAACTGATTATCGCCATGTTTTGTCTTGCTTTGCAGTGCTCTGGTGGTTGAGAAACAACCTTTCATGTCCAGTTTACCGCAGCGACCTCTCATACTTAAGACCCTTGTGCGCTTTACTCTGAAAGTGAGGTAAGGCTGCAGGCTCACAAGGAAGTAGCCAACACAGAATCGAGGAGGAGGAAATGTCTAGGTCTAATAACTAATTCAAATCAATTAGATTTTTATCTTCATCTTGTGTTTGTTTCTTCTTTTCTCAGGTTCTTGGCCAACCTACCCGAGTGTGTGCTGCAAGTCAAACTTGTATTTGACAAGTAAGTCGAACGCAGCCCGTATCCAAAATAAATACGGCTTTTTTATTGTTGTATAAAAACACTTCATGTTTAGATTTCTTATCAATCTTGTGTTGTTGATGTATTGTCTTCCTAAAGGGATGTGGAAGAAGCAAAGACACTTAAAGGGTAAGTAGAAGGAAATAATAAAAATCTGAAATGTAAATTGACGAATACTTTGAAACTTACATACATTTTTGGATGTCTTTTTAGGTTCCGTCAGTTTGACTTCAACAAGGTCGAGAGTAAGATCTTGGATTCGGACTCGCCCTGCGGAGGCTTGGTGGCTGAATTTAGTCACATGGTATAAAACTCCTCAAAATGCAGCCAACCTTTGATCATTAAATAAATAGCTTTCTGTTTAGTGAACATACATGTAATATAATTTATACATCAAACCAGTCTTGTATATACTGAGTGCCTTTGACACTTGTTTTTAGTCACTCAAAGAAAAGAAAACAAGAACCAAAAGATGTGAGGTAAGATGAGATATTTAAACTTAATAAATGCTATTTGTTTTCTATTCTAAATGTGTTGGTTGCATATACTGTCCAACGTGTTCCTCATCTGCATGAAAGTGGAGCCAGTTATCGTGCCAGATGTGCGTCAAGATAGCCGGTGTAATGTTTGCCGTGGTCCCAGTTTGACATATTAGCTTTGTGAAAATGTAGAAAACAACAACAAATAACAGCTAAGGTTGATAGAAGCGTAATTCATTTTGCACGAATGACAATCAGAGGAAGATTTGACCTGATGATGGTGCCATTGATGAAAAGTCAAAGAAGTTGATTTAATTCCTCCTGCAGGTTTTTATACCACACTTTATCATAATTCTTCCTTCTCTCTTTCTTCTGCATCAGAGTCGTCTGGTGGTCACTGAGGAACTCCACATCATAAAGATTGTGACACGCTTTCAGCACGCTGGACTGAAGTTTAACATTGAGGTGAGTAAACACGACACTCAAAGCACTTTTACTCTTTTTGCCGCTGAACTAACTATTATATTGTTGTTGTATGAAGAGATGGAACAATTAGAAATTTGAACCGAGCTGTTTATTTAACGTCCTCCTCCTTCATTGTTGGTTCAGGCCAGCTCTCTGCCTGTGGTCGTCATCTCCGGCACCAATCAGGTCGTCAGTGCGTGGGCCTCTGTCATGTGGTACAACGTGCTGTCCGCCAGCGAACCAAGGGTGAGGCCCCCACCTCAACCCAACGCATCAACAATATCAGGCTCCGCTTAGCTGAATGAAAGGACCGTCCGATTACTCCCATTCTACACATGCATCCCATGTCCTCCCCTACAGCGTGCGCCATGTTCTTTTCCTCTCGTCGTATTCCAAACGCGGGTATTTGTAAGCTTAACTTTCCAGTCCTGAATAGCATTTGAAGTCCATGACTTTGTTCTGCAGAACCTGTCGTTGTTTGTCGATCCTCCTCCGCTCACCTGGCAGCAGCTCTCGCAGGTCCTGAGCTGGCAGTTTGGGTCGGTCGGCCAACGGGAGCTCGACGAGCACCAGCTCTCCATGCTGCGAGACAAATTTGTGGGTGAGTTTCTTGGCCGTTTGTTACACGCAATTGAACCGCGTCCGTTTCTAGAGTCCACCTCTTGTTTCGGAAAATTTGCCTCCTTTCCAGTGTTGGGAGTAACGAAGTAACGCGTTACTGTAATTCCACTACTTTTAGCGGTAACGAGCATGTAACGAAGTATTTTTTTAAATAAATTAACGCAGTTACAATTACTGAGATCGAAATGAGTTTGTTACTCGCGTTACTCTCTTTTGTGACGCGAAGCGGAGGGCCGGCAAATAGTAAGTAAATAGCTGCCTGTCAGCACTAAATAGTTGTGGCCACCAAACGTTGTGTCACAGAATAGTCGCCGTACGTGCACGTAAACAGCATCGCGTCGCTCATGACGAAAGAGCGCAGCCCCGCGGATGCTGCAGGCGCCGCTCCACGCAAACAACCACGGCTCCACTTTACACGGACTGCAGTGCAGCCGATAAACCGGGCAGAGCTGAATAGATTGATCGCTCGCTATGTTGAAGATGAGATGCATCCTGTCAACTGTCGAGTCAGGTTGCCTTCAGGCAAATGCCTGAAACAGTTATTCTGTATTAGATATTAAAAAGGACTTAAAAGTTACTTTCCAGAGTAACTAATTACTTTTGATACACAGTAACTGGGAAGTAATTCAATTACCTTTAAAAGAAGTAACTAGTAACTGTAACTAAATACTCATTTTCAGTAACTTGCCCAACACTGGTCCTTTCTGATAAGCCTCATTAGGGACAAGCAGAAAGACTAGAAACAGGGAAACAGCTGGACAAAAACTAATGTAAATACTACTGGACTAAGAAGTAGAGATAGCGAGACACGCAGCATCAGAGAGACAGCGAAAAAGACACGTGGTGGTGGTCTTACAATGTCCCTGTTTAAAGGACGGAAAGACAGAAAAGGTTTAGGAAACCACTGATCTATGAAAAAAGCAACTGTCAATATAAAAAATAAATGACTCAATGTCCTTTTTTCACATATTTTTTTGAAGCCTAACTGTTGGTTTCTTTGTAGATGATCCTGATGATCTCATTTCCTGGAACAAATTCTCCCAGGTGAGGCGTCACACTGATGGCTACACTATTTTAACAACCTTAGTGTGTCTGTCCCATCATGTTGAATCTTTTTTTTTTCCTCTGTGAGCAGAAGGACAATCATTGGATTTGGATTGATGGAATCCTGGATTTGATCAAAAAACACTTGGTGAATATTTGGCGGGACGGGTAAGTCAACGCAACAATGTTTTCCTGATCGGTTTACTGTTCGTATCACACATGTATTGTCCGTTGTATATCCCGGTGACCTAAACCCTTGTCATATTCTGTGTGTGGGCTTCAGGTCCATCATGGGGTTTGTGAGCCGGGAGAGAACAAAGGTTCTGCTGCAGGAAAAACAGTCCGGCACTTTTCTGCTGCGCTTCAGCGAGAGCAACAAAGATGGAGCCATCACCTTCAGCTGGGTTGACCACTGCAACGGTTAAGCTCTCCTCACACAACGTCACATGAATACTGTTTCTATGTTTCTTTCTCATTGTCCCTTCACATAAGCCCAATAAATACGGGCCAGACAAAAAACCATGATGATTGCTGAATCCTTTCAACCCCACCCATTCTGATACATATCGCTCTGCTTACTTTTCTCTCTGTATGTGCTTCCCATTCAGGCACCCGTGTGCATGCAGTCGATCCCTACACCAAGGACGAGCTGTTGCTCATGTCTCTACCCAACATCATTAACCACTACAGTCTGAGAGCCCAGAGGAGCGCGCACAGGAATCCACTGATCTACCTCTACCCAGACATCCACAAAGACCAGGCCTTCGGACGCTACTACGGAGGTGCCTTTTGTTTCACCTCCCCCCCCAGTTAAAAATATGAATGGTTTTATGATTGGTATTCTTGAATAAACCTATTGAATAATAGTGTTTTTTAACATATTTATTTGACCCTTCATGCAACAGTGGGAGGACATAAAGCTCCTCACTCTTGTTATGATTGGATTCATAATATTAATGTTGCGAATGACGGTGAGGTTTATGCCACTGTTGTTCTTAGTAGCATACTTTCCCTAATTGAACATGAATCATGTGAGAATCTCTAATCGCCTTTGTTCATGCAGAAACGTCGGCAACTAAAAAGGTCATGAATGGCTACGTCAAGAGAAAACTTTTGTCAGAGTCAGAGTAAGTACGATGATTGAAGACCATGATTTAACTATTCGTATCACAATTCTTTAACCGTCTACAACTGTTTCCATCATGGAGCGCATGGGGATGCTTTCAAAATGCTAAATAGCAACTTTAAAAAAAGTGTTTAATTATAATGTTGTTCATTGCTATTGGTCGAAATTTCCTTTCATTTTCTTTGTTTTTTTCTAGTAATCCTACGCCACCTCCATCTCCACCTACAGAGATTCTTCCTGAGGACATGGACATAGATGTAAGAGTGGGTTCCAATTACTATTATAAATTCCCCTCCAACACCATTTATTGATATGATGTAGATAAACGTATTTCTTGTCATCTTTCTAGTTCTACAACTTCAATAAATGATTTCACTTATTTCAAACAGACAAACATAATTTAAACGGCACAACATCCATTCGATATTGTGCAGTCTCTATCTATAGCCCAATCATGACAGATATTGCATTCTTTGACCAAATAATGTTAAGTTGAGTCTGTTTAAGGCTAACTATGTTTCTGTGATGAAGCTAAAGCCCTTTGACAGCGTGCTGCTTGTGTTACAGTGACATGTGGATGTGTCAGAGCTTTGCAGTTGGCTTTTCCTTTGCAGTTTATTGAAAACATATTCTTGTTTCTCTTCAGATGGATGATAATGATATCTTTGATTTACTCAACTTACCCGAACTCCCAGACCTATGGACTGTACTTCAAGGAACACCAACAACCAACTCTGTCGATCTTAATTGAGCCTACTGAAAATGCGCTGGGTCATTGTCTCAGAATCCGACAATCAGCACAAACGGAAACATTAATGAGACACATGGAATGTTTTCATAGCAGTTAGTAGAATAAAGAAATATATAACAATGTCACTTCTAATAAATATCAGAATTGTTATAGAAGCAGTGATGTACGAGCGGAATTGTTTAAGATTTGTTCTTAATCTATATACAGTAGTGTACGTAGCTGCGAGCAACGTTAGTAAGAGGGGTTCTAAAATAACATGTTAGGTTTTCTACTGTATTGTTTAGGAACGAACTGCCAACCCTCCTACTTTTTGAACGTCTTTCTTTGAAAAGAAATACCAAACTGTAATGTGTATATTCTTAACTTTTGTTTATTAAAATAAACATATCATTCCAGTGGCAAGAGAAATAACATTTGCGTTTTACAGTACTGAACAACTTTATTTATACAGAAGGACAAACACAGTCAGCAGCCTACCGTCTTGGCTGCTTGTTTTCACTTTTCTCTGTCTTGACCATCTCCTGCTCACAAGCTTGCACTACTAAAATATACCACGCTCTTTTAGAAAGCCGTTCAATATAAGAAAAAACATTTCATAAAAAAGTTTAGGAACAGCACAGTACATTACATCTACTGAAATATGTCTAATTTTGTATTACTTGTGTATATATTAAGCACTAGACAAATGGAGTCCCATAAGCAACAGTAGTGTCACAAATGGGTAACCTGAAAAGTCAAGTTAAACTATGTATAACTGACTACACGTGTATTATGAGGATGAGCTGAATAGTTCTAACAAAGGAGTCAGAATAACCACCCAATGGAGCCTGAAATCAAGGACAGCTTGTGAGACACAACACCGAAGTCTAAGTTCCTGTCTCCTGACACTGCTGCATGTTTGTTAACATTAGTCTCAGGCCTAACAGGGTGAAATAAAACTACATTGTCAATTATGATTATATGAAAACACAAGATTCATATATTCCATCTGAAATGGCTACTGTTAGCATTGGGTTGTCAACTCACATGGTTTACATTTGGAGTTAGATTAGCTTCCCACTCTCTTTTCAAATTCTGACATAACGATATCTCCCACGTGGTGACCGGACCGCAAACAGAGTGTTTGCTGGCAGTGCTGGTTAACATTAGCACAAATCTAATCCAATTTAAATGTGAGTTATGTATTGATTTTTTAAAATCTGGTTTCTTTAATTCTATTTCTCTGCTGTGACAGCTACATTAGCATTAGCTTTGTACGGAGCAAGTTAAAAATAAACTATTTATTGAATCACCTCATTGGAGTTTAAACATATAACCTAGTTGTCATTTGTTTAACTAATTTATAAGTATGAATTAAACTTTACCGTTGAGAAGATATTTAGGGGACTGACACTTTTGGGGTTTCAAATTGTGAACAATTATCAGTGTTATAGTGAGACCATTAGAAATCGTCACTCGGAATGTGACAGCAGAACATAAAACCTGCACTTGATACATTTTCTTTAGGTCAGGTCAGTTTTTATACAAATATGGTTTGTTGATATATATATATATATATATATATATATACCTAAACTTTTTACATCTCAATATCATTGGTGGGAAATTCAGTACATTCTTATTGGGCCGTCAAAGATTTGGATTTTATCTGTATGAAACTTTGTAGTGCATAGGCGACATCGTACTTAAGTGAGAACGTCTATATGGACGTCTATACACATAGACGGTCTTTGGGCTGCTGAAATTGTTGCAAGAAAATCAGTGCAAGAAAACCCAACATTGCAACTATCCAAGAAACAAAGTAAAAAAAGCTGCTCCTCAGGTGGTCAGAGAATTAACATCTGACATTGTTGACCGGAAGTGAAGGAGGAAGTTGCGGGAAATGCAGATGACAGAAAAAATATAACTATGACAACAACAAAAAAGGAAAATAACTTGACTTAATCCCAGATGCAACAAACTACACAATCTTACATCTCTATAAATTGACCCTTTAAAAAGTCTTTCAGTGAAATAAAAACATTGCTTTTCTATTGCAAGTGTTTTCCCAATGAAAAATACATTCAGAGTACAATCTTTGACTTCAAAGGAGATGAAGTTTCATAGGAGCCTGCAGCAGCCAGGAGAACAATCCAAGAATATAGATTCAGCTTTATGGAGATCAAACAGGCACACAACTGTCAGCATAATGCCTGTGTTGGCCTTTTTACGTTTACACAATCAGAGATGCATATAAAGCTTATATGATATCATCATTTCCACACACTTCACTATCTCACAAAACAAATACATTGAGAGTATTACTGAAATAGAGAACAATATAACAAGCTCTATACTGTGACTAAACTAATACACTTTGATACAATTCACGGTAGCGACACATTACATCAGTGACATACTGTAAACGTGATTGCATTCCAGATACCCAGATATTGTATGATTTGTTCAAATAGGATCGAGATGCTCACTCACACATACAGTGGACAGTACAATATGATAGAGGCAAGGGAGAGATATGAAGTGAAGCAGCGATGTACAGCCAGAAAAGCCAAAAACACCAGAGGGGAGATTGCAACAATAACTAATTGATCACACATTTTCAGAACTATGGTCCAGTCTAGCTTGGAAACCTAAATATTGCAGATGTGTGCAGCGGGTCTACAGCAGGCTGTCCAGGCTCCTGTCAACGCTCTCCTTGTTATCAGCACCAGCAGGCGGGCTGTATTTGTCATGATAGCTTTGCAGCATGGTGACCACATCGTGGTGACCAAAGTGCACCGCCTCATCCATTGGCGTGTTCCCCCATCTGCACAAAGAAAACAGTGGCATGTCAAAAAAATACTACATGAAAAATATAAGTGTGTAACCTGGACACCAAGGACCAACAAAAGATTCATCCTGCAACTTATCACGGGGGAGCCATGAGACGGAAGGCCGGACATGTGAACGCTCAATTTGGGGAGAAAGAAGGCTGGCGAGGAGGAGTCAGGTGACTCACCTGTCTCTGGGAACTGGGTTCACCTTGCAAGCCTCCAGGAGGAAGCGCACCACCTCTGTGTGTCCTGAGAGCAGATGTTGGAAAGACAAAGCATACATGTGACATACCTAATATAAACTAATATAAATATTTTGAAAGTATGAGCACAGCAGAGAATTACACCCAGATGTGATGGTTGAATGTCTCATCCCAAAACCATGGACATCAATGTGCCTCAACTCTTTCAACTCTTCTCCATATTGTTGTCTCAGAGTTAGAGGCTATGGAACGCTATTTTCATTCAGTATGGAATACATAAACAAATAAATACATAAGGCAATATATATATATATATATATATATATATATATATATATATATATATATTTGTTAATATAGTCAAAAAATAAATTGACTACTTTTTATTTAATAGCTGCATTTATATAAATATTATATTTATCTATTTAGTGTTGTAATTAATGGCAATCCTTAGAAATAACCCTTATTTAAATGTGAATCCCGTGACCAAAAGCACACTACATTCACACACACACTTCTGCATATTCACATCATCCACCCATTACCAGATGTTGTACACTGAAGGACAAACGCTGTATGACTCTGTAAGTCAATAAAGATGAACCGAATAACTTTAGGATCCAGGTTACCTTCAGCTGCGGCCACATGGAGGGCCGTTCTAGAGTCGTAGTCCCGCTGCTCCATGTCCATTGACGACAGCGCAAACCTACACACACACACACACACACACAGTTTGTTTCACTGACTTTGTGAGTACATTTCATTACGCATTCAAAAACGCTGGACTCCCGATCTTGAGATCTTTTGTGGGAAAAGTTCTCTCCACTTAAAGGTTATTGTGTCTCAACACACTCAATGCGACACAACTCCACTAACTTAATGGTGGAGGAGTAACACAAAGAGAACCACAGCAATGTGCCGACAAAGGCCTGGCCAATTTACTACCAATTTAATTTACTAGTAAGTGCACAAAACAAAGAAAAAGAAAAGAAAAAAAGTTGACCTCCTCAGCGCAGAGGCGTCTCCCGTGTAGGCAGCAAACAGCAGGTTGATGACAGACTTGACCTGTGGACGGAGACAGACAAAGAGAGAGAACATTTGCAGGACCACGGAATCACACATCTCCAGCTACTATGAGAAATCACACCGCATTGCATCACTATTTGGACATTGGGACCACCGGCCAGGTCGAAGGGAGAGTGAGCAGCGCTTTTGTTCCCACACACAACTTTGGAAATGTGACTGAGAATAGATGCAAAGCCGCTATACTGTAGATATTCCAATATAGGTTGAGAGAATATATTACATAATTATAGAGATCCTATGGAATAATAAGAAAGGGAATTAGAATTAATATGGACTCAGATGTTAACTTGCTGTGAACCTCAGCGACAGGGATTTGTTAAACTTAAGAAGAAAAATAACTTGGTGTTTTGTACAACAAAGGAAACAGATATACACCCATATTTCACCACTGCACAAAGGACCACATCACTTCATAAACACGGAAAGCCAGTATTTCACCCCATGCAGCAAAGGCAACCACCTCACCAGTTAGAACTATCAAAAGCCAAGCTGGGACTGAACGCCACGGCGAAACACTGAAAGCAAATCATATTGCAACGGCTGGTGTCGGGATTAGAAGGGCAGACACGGAGACCGAAGACAGAGAGGAACCAAACTATTTGGCCTCATTTCACTCAAAGCTCAAAGCCCCCCCGTTTTACAAACCGATCCATGGGGAGAACCTGTAAACACAAGCAAGAGACACACACACACACACACACACACACACACACACACACACACACTTCATTCTCACATCATACTATCTCTGTATTTCACTTCCCTTTAGACTGAGGGAATTAACTCAAATAATTTAATAATTTAGCTGAAAACTGCACACAAGATTTTATCAAATTGCGTCAGTCGCATGAAATTCAGAAAAACATATTTTTGTCATGATTGTTGGAAGTAACTAATACAAACTCTTGTTAATGAAGCAGCAAACTATTTGCTCTGTAAAGGTGGATATTGGAGTAATGTCTATCTGACAGCCAACCGAGTTTGATTCATTTAAAGCATCTAAAGCAAAGCAGGCGCTATGTGGACCTTCTTCGAGGTGGCGTTTTGGAATCTCTTTGTAAAAGGGGCTGATGTTCATCATCACAAATTTTTCTTATGAAAATAAAGCGGTCATCATGTGACTCGTCGTCACAAATTTTGCAACCAAAATCAGAGTAACTTGTGGGTAACATCAATTAACCTCTGATCCAATGTTTTCAGCGGCAGAGCTTCGTTTTTGCTGCATCCTAAATCGCTTTGGTTGTCTTGCGACCCGATGTGGGGGACTGACCGCCACTCTGGGAAACACTGAGCTAGCTTATGGCCAGTGCAATAAAACATGTTGCTGTGATGCTTTTTACAATAATTTGCATGTAAAAGCAAAGATTGTAGGAACATCTAAAAGAATCGACTGTTTAAGCGACTCCTTTGGGTGTAATATGTACCAATGGGGAATGACATGGGGCCCGTTGAGCGGCAGAAATAGCCTTTTCTGTTCAGGGAATCAATATGCAAAGTGAAAAACACATGAGTAATTATGTTTCGTCAGCTGTCTTTTTTGACATGACCCCACATTGCAGTCAGAAAGATTTAAATCTTTTTAAGAGCAAAGAGCAAAACCCATGTTTCTATGTGACACACAGCAGTCTTTGGATTTCATTTGTTCCTGGTACCGCTGACCAAACTTAAATAATAAACCTGATGCTTAATGGACACATAGATGGTTGTTATTAAAGAACGCTTACAGGCGCAGAGAAATTAGATGATATATAATAGTACTTTATTTAATTTTATACAAGGGACAGCAATGCTAAAAACCTTCTTAACACCCACTGTCATAGACACAGATGTATTTGTTTGGAGTAGTGGAGAAAGACCAGTTCATGTTTTACTGCCATCTACTAAAAGCAGACAGGGCTGATGAAGATTATGGAGACTTTACATACAGAATTACAACCATGTGGGAAGAAAAAAAATCCAAACAAAGGAAAGTGAGGCTGGTGAGCTTGGAAGTGCTTTGCTTCATCTACTGTGCGTTCGGACACGTTCACTTTTGGGGATTTTACAACCCATTTGTCAGACATAACATACTTTTTGTCTTATTTTTAAGAATTAAAAAAGGTCAAATCCACTTTTTCCGATTGTGTATTCAAAATAATCTGATACCTGACAATAACACGAGAGAACCGCACAATTCCAAAGTCACCGATCTAAAAAGCTAATGGTAGTTTACAAATGCATACGCAAATCCCACGTCCCAGACATAAATAAAGACATATGGAAGGTAATCAAGTGAATTTCAGACATATCGATTATATGGGATTGAAAACATATTTATTAAATAATACAAAAATATGCATGCATGCTGAGAATTCACAGAAAAAAAAAATGAACACCAGGAAAAATACATAAAATTCTGATGATTTCCATGGAAATTGATTCCATATTCAAAATCCCCATCAGGAGTTCCATTGTACAGAATAATAGTCAGGAGAAATAATGAGGAGTGAGAGAAAGGTTGCCAGTTTCCAACCTAAAAGTGTGACAGGTCCTTGTGCAAATCAACCCTGTGCTCATCGGTCTCATTTTCCAATTCAAAGATCGGACGTCTTTGATTGCTCGCAGTAAGGTTAAATCCCTCCTGGTCAGGTCTCCTAGACATGTAGACACTGTGTTTGAGATGCTCCACCGATGACCCAGTAGTGTAGCAGCCAACAAAGAGAAAAGCTCTGCACTGTGTTTACCGATTCCCTGCTCTCTCACACAGGAAAGACAAACGACGGACTCTTTGTCCACAACAAACCAAAGAGAAAGAAGGCTGGGACTGAAACGAGAGCTACTCTTGGAACCCGACCACATCTGAGGTGAGAGGGCGTACTCAGGACTACTGGGAAAAAGCACACCTACATCAGAGCTTCCGATCCTGCCCACATTCATACCGTATTTGTACATTTCATGTTATAAACCATATCGATCCACCAACTGACGGAAACATCAGGAACAACTAGTTCTTACAAAAATCTTTTATCATACGTTAAAAGACATGTGCACAGGAGTGACGTGCAACGTGTGCACGTGCCATACTGCACATGCAAGACGCCATCGCTGAGAACACGGTGTGCATGTGCACATATTTTCAAATCTAATGGCGGACTGACAAAACTACTTGCTTCATAGAGAGGCAACTAATGAGGTCAAATACATGTATTGGTTCTAACAGAAGAATTCGGTGTCAGTTTGGAGGATTATAACTTCGAAAAACACAAACAGAAGAACTTTTCAATTATTTCAGGACCTTTAGCTGAAAGTAACAAAGTCAGGGGGTGAAATCATTAAAAGTATGAACCAGTTCTACTTCTTGCTTCCGGTAGAAAAGATTTCCAAAAAGCATTACTGATGACACAGGCGTTTGAATACTTTGTACCTACACACAACAATGAGCAGAAACATGAAAACAGCAGGTATGTTAACAGAAGTCCATGACATGAGAGAAACAAAAGAGACAAATAAAGTTATCACATGACTTATCATTGGCTCAAGCAGCCTTCTCTCTATTCAAACACACCACTACAGTTTTAACAATGATTGAACAATAAACAGATGAACCCCAAACACTACAGTCACAGTATAGGCAGCTTCTAACGTAACATTCATGTGCAAGTATTTATATTTCCTGGAGGAGACAGTGTCGCAGGTTTGGAACGTTGGAAGTGTATTGTATCTGTTGAGAAGCGCTACATACACCCGCCACTATGTGCATTCACAGGAACAGTATCTATATACGGAGAGGTGTTTTGATAACGAACTAGCCTGCTGGAAGAGTAACACTTTGAGAACCTGACCCATGAATACAGAACACCTGCTGTGTGTGTGTGTGTGTGTGTGTTTGCATACGGAAACTCAAAATACACTTTTTGGTTCACATGGATAAACATTTCTGCACTCGTCTCAATTTGATACATCGAATTGATATTGCAGTTCCAAGTCCTCTCTCCTCCTCAAGGCGTATTATCCCAAGAAAAGAGAACTAATAAAAAGCTTTAAAACCATTAATCATATCACCCATTGTTTCATTTTTAAATCTGCAATGCTGCAGATTCCACAGAGAAGCGACGCAGTTTCTAGACCGAGCCGTCGCGTTTGGACACATCGCCGTGGGCCAGTCCGGAGAAAGCAGCAGACATGAGAGACGATGAACCAATCCGACGGCAAAGAGGGGATTAACAGGGAGGCCACTGCAACCAACGCACGCTATCCCTCTGCTAACTTCATACTGATACCTACTAACACTGACAAAGACACACACACCATCTAAACTAATCAGCAGCTCACTAGGATGCAGAAACCCTGCGAGAAGCAATCCTGAGGACAAGTTGGACGAGTCTCCGTGGAGTTGTCAACATCTCGGGGCCGTAGTCGTGTCACCGCTCTCCTGAGCAAACGTTTGATCATATCTTCATCATATGATCACAAAAACTAAAAACTGCAGGTTTAACTGCAAGTGTTTAATTACTTAACGTCTATTCCGTCATTCTTTTCCTTTTTTAAACGTGAGGCGCAGCTGCTGCTAATTGTCATTCAAATGGATGAACACATACAAATGCTCAGTAAAAATCTGCTGCATACAAAGGGCTTCAATGGGGGGGTTGCTCCAATTCGCTTATCAGAAATGTTTGTATTTATTGGAGTCCAGATGTCTATAGACAAGCACAATGCATGTCACAAGTGCTTGTATGTTGTGCAGGAACATGTACTTTAAAATTCAACTACAAAAGAGAATCACACGCTCTTTGGTTCTTTGACTGTGTCTAAGGTAAGTGACAGATAAGCTCGCACTTTATGGGTTAATTTCAGTCCACTATGTTAAATTAGGACAACAAAAATTATTGCAATATTTAAATCCCTTCAAGGGTCCTGAAGAAATAGGAGAAAACGACATTATGTATTATTGTTGACAGCCCTTCACTGCTGTCAACAATAATCTCATATCGCCAAACACTTCCAACAAATAATCAGGAACAAATACCTGCATTCTGTCGTACTGATACTTCCATCGTGTACTGCTATAATAGCACCAAAACAACAGCACAACCTGCGCACACACACACACACAGACACACACACACACCAAGCAGGTGGAGGCTTTAGAGTTCATTTGGAAATTATAGCAAAATGAAGCAGCAACGCATTGCATTTTTAACCGACAAACAGACAAAAAACCTCCCCCTCCTTTCCCGCACACACCAACTACTTCTCAGCCAATAAATACTCTTCTACGTAAGTTGGAGGGTGAGGAAAGGCGGAGGTGATGTGTCGAGGTGGGGTATCCCTTCCTCTTTTGCTTAATTTCTCTCGGTGACATTGTCCATCCTATAGACTACAGTGGTGGAGCTGTCCAGGTGCGACTCGGTGGGGGACACCTTTTTCCAAAGGGGGGCTTTCAGAGCCAGCTCTTGCTGGAGGCTCTCGTAATCCATAGGTCCGAAGGAGAACTGCTGTTTCAACCGACATGAATAACAAATTAGTGTCGCTCCTTTCGTGTGTGTGCGCTTGTGTGTGTGTGTGGTGTGTGTGTGTGGTGTCTAAGTGGCTTGTGGTTTGCTGAAACATCTTCAGAAAAACCAGTTCATTCACTTTGCTTTGAGAACAGCAGGCTCTAAGGCGGTCCCACTTTGGTGTTTCATGGGTGCAGGCCTCCCTGCAAGGTCTCACGCCCGGGAGGCAAATATCCTTCGACTGGGGCTCAGCAACCACCACCAGAATGACGGACGGAATCTTATAAATTTAATAAAAGTTTCAAACTATTTAACGGTTTATTTTCTGTTTCAGTGCAATCGATATATTAAAAAGAGGAAAGGGCCGTTACCTCACTGAACTCACATTGCTGCAAAGCCATTAGTGTTTTACATGTATTTGATTTGAAAAGGGCACGTTTGTAATAAATGGCAGGTTGGACTCATACGTTGCTTTCCTCACTTTGTAAAATAAAACTGAACGGTTATTTATTAAATGAATGGTATCTACCAGCTATCCGAGTCAATATTTACCGATTTTTTATATTATATTATATATAGATATTTACCGGAGGCGATATGCCCACGCGTTGCCTACACAACACAAGTCCCGTGGGGCGGATCAATTACTGACACGTTGGCCGAGTAACGTCTCTCTTGTAATAGTTGCTGATGAGTTTTATATATATTCTAAGTGCCCACACAGAGACGCACACTGTGAGGGTACATTCAAAAACATAAATAAAAAAATCTATTCCGGATGCTTCGGCCTGGCGTTGGGCCCTTTAGCTAGAGGCACCTAGCAGCGATCTCCATAAGAGACAGAGCTGCCAAAGACGAAAGCAAGAAAGAAAGAGGACCAGGGTTATCCTGTTTAGTTTGTTGTTCTCGCTCACGGTGCAGTCATGGAGATCAACATGTTAGCCAACGGCCCATATCAGCTGTTACATCTGCACTAGAGTAGCCTCAGCGTCACCCGCATTCTTGGAGAGATAGTGATCAGGCCAGTGTGTTGGATGAGGGAAATGGGTGCCGGTTTGGGATGGTTTGTTCCTCACAACATGATGCTGTTTGTCCTTACCCGCTGGTCCCCTCCTTCTCTGCGCGGGTCGTGCTTTTTGGTAAAGTGCCTCAAGTTGTCGTAGTTGTGGAAGTTGAAAAGCTCCACGAGGTCCTGGAATGAAAAGGCAGATACAAACATCAGATGTGCCCGGAGGTTGAAAAGCAAATGATTTCAGTAAATACATTGGAGGAAAAAAACAAATGAGCTGGAATCTGATTGTATTTGCGGTATAAGCTTATTCTTGCGTGCGGCGCTTACTGAGATCTGTATCTGTGACTGGCCTCTAGCTAATCATTAATCAAGCATTATTTACTTATTAAACAGCTTTGGTTACTCTGAAAGTATGTCAGCCAGGTGGAATCAGAACTCTCCTGCATACAATACAACTTGTGTTTACAAACAATCATTCCCTGTAGCCCAATCACTATAAAATGCAAAGTATAATCTGACTGCACGGAGTATGAAACATCATCAGCTCTGTTCAGGATGGATACAAACAAAACACTTTCAACTCGTAAAATATGCTGTGATGTTTCTTTCTTTGCCCTGGTATGTTTGTTTTGTACTCCATCTCAAACAGGTAACATGTATTTTATCACATGATCTTTTTATGATTGTCTTTATCTCCAGGAGCTTCGTGATGGAGGCCTATTTATGTTTTCTCTCTAATCCCATTTATTTTACTTACTCGTCTAGAGACAGGCTCTTGAAAATGTTTTTGTGAAGCTTTTGAAATGATACATTTTAAATATACTCACTACTTTGGCAGCTTTTCTTCTGTATGTTGTGCATTTCCATCCAGATCATAATACTCTTTCCGTATGTGATTATGTGGATGTCTTCATGGTTGTATTGTGGGCCCTTGGTGCCATGATGTGAGGAATAGAATTCCTTTTTGAGGGTTGTCATTTGTTAAGTGTGACTCAATATCTGTCAACCTATTTACGACACGCCCCTATTGGCTCGTGAAGCACCTGATGAAGCTCTATGTAACCAAACGTTTTAAATGAAGTTCCTGTGAATGCGAGGGAAGTCTCCATTGTCAACCACAGGTGTTCTCCTATGGACCTGCCAGTGTAAAAACTAGTGACGCAGTTATTTCTTGCACCGTATGCATTCTAAGCACACAGGCGTGCCGTGATCTGCTCTCCTAATGCCGGACATCACGTACCGTGCAGAACTGTATTCCTCGGACTGAGTTGCCCAGCTTGTCTAGTGGAGGTGACCAGCACATGATGCCCATCACGTTGGGTACAACCAGCAGGATCCCCCCCGCTACTCCAGACTTGGCTGGCAGACCGACCTACAACAGGGAGGACGGTTACGTAACAGAAGATCATCGGTGTGTATTTACAGTCGCAACATGGCACGGCACAACGCCGAAAGAGGAAAGTCAGCAAAGAACGAGTCAACACACTCAATAATTCATGGGTTGGATGAATCAGTCTACCGTGACATTGTACCCAAGGCGTTTTGGGAAAATGTACGATTTTAGGTCAACATTTATTTTAATATTCCATCAATTAAACAATGGCAATCACCAACTCAAACAGAATATGCAAAAAAGACAGAATTATTGGGGATTAGATTTTCGCCTCGGTGAAACTTGAGTTAGTGACTCGCTGCCAAAAACCTACAGCTTCATAAAAAACTGAATATTTTCACAAATAGCTCCTTCTCTACGTTTTCCTGCACTGAGCAGCATGTTGCCACAAACACCTCAGCTTAGTCAGTCCATGTGTGATATGACATCTATTGCAAATTGTTTCAGTATTGGTGAAGAAAACTGAATTTAGTAGATCACAAGTACCAAATGACACAGAACTTGACATTTATTTGTAGCCTCTGAGTGGGACTCACAGGCTGTAAACATGACGTGGACAAAAAACCTGACAAAACGGCACCCGTCCGTTCGTCAACTGCTGCTTCGAAGCAAAGTGAAAACCAGAAAATGTCACGAGCTTGTGATTCGTGCCGATTTACTTACATGGAAAGCAAACTGTCCAGAGAAGTCGTACATGCCGCAGGAGTGCATCAGACTCAGGGTGTTCCTCACCGCCTCGGGGCTCAGCACGCGCTCGCCCGAGATCGGGCAGATGCCGCCGTTTGCCAGGGTGGCCGCCATGACACTGGCGCTCTCGCAGGTCACCTCAATGGAACACAGCTGGAGGTTCACACAAAAGGACAACTTGTATCACGTCTCGATCACATCTGTGCACGGCGGGTCTCACGTCACGGCGGCCGAATGGAAACACGGCGGTGCGGGGAGGGGAGAAAAGAGAGGGGAAGATGGAGCATCACAGTGCAGTGGTGGTGGAGGTGACAAGAACACACTCATTCGGTTGCCTGGTTGAGACACCGAGCGACAGATGCGCCTTGAAAACTGCACTGAGACGAGAAACTCAATGCATAACGTAGGGAGGGGAGTATAATGGAAAACAAAGTGACTTTGATAGGAATACTGGGAAATGTGAACCACATTGATGGAGAAGAAGAAAGTGGATCGAGCAGCAAAAAGCCAGACAACAATATTCTGTATATATAAAACACAGGTGAGTAGAACACGGATTACTGAAAAACAGAAGCAAGAAAAATGAATAAATCACTGCTAGACTCACTTGAAAGTAGAAGTCCAGTACAGATGTCATGTCCGTCCCCTCTGGGAAACACTGCAGAGCAACACAGAGAGGTTAGAACAAGAGGAGCACACAGAAGAAGTAAAGTACTCATTTACTAAAGGGTCACCAGAATCCAGCTCCTTCCAGAGGAAAACGTAAACTAAACCTATTATGAGCAATTGATGGGCTTTTGGCAGTAATTTCCCCATCACCTTACTTTAATTTTGTGTCATTCCTAGTTGCAGCTTTTGAACTTTGTAAGGCACAGAAATGGCAAACAAAACCAGCAGAGCCGTATGACTCATGCATGCTCAAACCTTTTTTTCCTTCAGGTAGTAGCCGATGGCAAAGTTCCTGTCTCCTGACTCACGCTCCGACTGGAATCTGTCACACACAGAGCACAAAGCTCACATTACTCAGAGGAAGGAAATATTTGCCTTCGTGTGTGTGTGTGTGTGTGTGTGCGCGCGTGTGTTTGCACTGGTGTGTTGAAATGCCCCTTCCCCCTCGCCTCGTGTGTACAGTACAACAACAAGAGCTCTCATGCTCACGTGGGACGATGAGGCTGAAACATGAGAACACCAGCGTGTGGCCTTTTTCTGAACACGTGGTGTCGTCAAGAAACATAATCTCTACGAGTGTCCATTCCGATCCCAATAAAGTCCACCAATACAACACATAACCTCTACTGTCTGAGTAATGAGGGTCAAAGCCTGACCAATTTATTAATTGCACTTACACTGAGGTAAAAGTCCTTAGCATTAAAACATTAATACCCCCGTCATTATTACTTCTATATTATGGTTGGAAAGGTCTTTGCATACTTTGCCAGCTGTTTGTATTTCTGTTGGCATATTTTGTAAACACAATAACATCATAGAGCAACATAGCAACCATGCAAACACTTTACAGGAATGCAGTTGACATCAGAACCGAGCCGCAGGTAAAATATTGGGCGTGGCCTGAGCGAAGGGGAAAGTAGGAGCCATTCATTTGCGTTCGTTCAGCATCGTTTACAACGCTGTTGATAAGCGTTGCTTGTTTTCCGTGGTGCGTTCCAGAAGCCACGGATTCAGGTTCCCGGTTGTTAAACCATCAGCAGGGCCAATTGCGTTTTAGAGCTCGTCATCCAACAGCTGATTAAGGACTCCTGCTGGGATGTGCCTCATAGTTTGAACACTGAGTGTAGACTTCATCATTTTATCAGCATCAACTTAGGATTTGGAAGGACTTACGTGGCATTGCTGAAACCCACATACTCGTTTCCCGCCATCTTTTTCAGAAAGTTCATGACCTAGTAGGGAAAGTAGGGGGAAATAATGAATAACAGTGCTCAATGGTTTGTGGTTGAATTCCATACAATTTACAAATGTCATATAGTAAGTACTATATATAGTGGCACAGTTAACATATTGGGTGGTTAGTAGTTTGATTCTTTAGGCATCATCCTTGAGGTATCTCACCATAACATCTATTGATATTCTGGGTCAAAGAATTAAATTGCAAACACTGACACATAATCTTTACGGTCGATGTGGCAAACTATCTTTATTTACACATTGAGCAGTTACAGAACAAAGTTTGGATTTGAAGTTGTGTTTCTGGCCACATGAGGAATGTGAGCAATCACATTTTGTCTTTAGGTTCACCTCGACTTCCACGTCGTTTATTTAGTAACTGTAAAAATCATTATTTGGTAACTTTGGTCTCTGGTATAAAGAGAGAGCCTACGCATCTACACACGATTCCCTCCACAAGTGTTCAATGTTTGACCTCTCATACTTACATAGTCAAATCGCTCAGCGTTGCTTGCGCCTTGCTGAGGGGAGAGCAAACGAAGAAGCCGTTAGTACAGTTCACTCACCAAGGGATGAAGCACAGGACAAGCACAACTTCAGAAAGATTATTCTAAAATGATAATGCTGACAATCTCAAACTACGGAATTAGAAAAGACATGGAAAGATTTTTATTACAAACAAAATGTAAAAATCACATGAGCATAGCCAAGAATTAAACAGGTAGGAACAAAATATCAATACGATTAGCTTGCAAATAAGTTACAAAGAGGCCTTTTTTTGTCTTAAAGGGACGTTTAGTTGACATGTGCATTAACTGAGCTTAGCCAGTTATAGAAAAACATGTCTCACTTGATTATTATGAATTATGAATTATTATTTCACGTCTAAAGAGTAAAAACGACTCAAGCAGCTGACTGTGTGTGTGTGTGTGTTTTACATATAAGTCACATGGGTGTATGAAGGAAAGTTTGTACTACGGGTCACCGTAATGCGGGTGTGTTTGAGATGTGCGTCTACTGTAGGTCAACATGTGAGAGCCTGTCGGCCAAAAGTGAGGGAGGCAACGATGGGACAAATGGTCTTCTGGTCCTCTGAGGATTAAATTCACAACTTGTACTGCAGCTCAGTGTACATTTTGCATGCTCATTGATGCTACCTATTACACCAAAGAAAACACACAAAAACAATATATATATTTATATGGAAAACATGCACCTTTAAATTACTATAGCATTAGTTTCCTCTATCAAAAATACTAAACAATGTATGATGGTGTGAAAAGATCAACTACATTTAAAAATGCAAATGCTTCATGTGTGATTTTTTTTTCTTTTTTCTACACTTTACTGTGCAGGAGAAACAGTTATTGACACGGATGAGGTGTAAAAAGTCACTAAATGGGGTTCTACACAGCTGATGGGGGGGGGAAGAGAGAGGGGGGGGGGGTTGGGAAAGTGCGAGGAGATAAATATGGAAAAGGAAGAAAAAATTACCAACGTCATTTGACCTGCAGCAGCAGTCATTATTTCCCACAGTTCTGGAAAATATGCAACAACATACAAAAACAGCAACAATATGTAGCCTTCAAGGACCATGTAACAACAGTTTGGGGTATTCTGCCACGGCAACCATCCCACAGTTTCCCACCGGGGTTAAAGCTATAACCTGATCACCGGCTTCACATTCGTGCTTCAGGGTAGAAAGAAACATGAAAAACACATTGAGACACTAATGACAATGGTGAACAGATGTGGACGTATGATGTATCATCATACGTGAGGTTCTCTTCATCTAGAAGTCAGTTTAACGGGTTTCATGAGTGATGGAGGAGAAGCTGTCAAACTGCAGCATGAATTAATGAGGAACTGGTGGAAACTCGTTTGTAAGGAGTTCAGCTACTGTGAGGATCCTGAGTAGCACATGTACGGAGGAGCGTACTGGACTATGTGACACCAGAAGAATAAAGTAAGACAGTGGACTTCTGGGAATGGACGGGATGTTCTTCTGCTTCATCTTGGCCCAGTTTTGATCTGCTCACACCAATGCCAGCAATGTTTTATAAGTAGCTCAACATTTTATATGCATTCCTTCAGTGTGAGTTGATGAGATCAAGGGCGTGTTCAGCTTGTTCAGCATGTGGACTGAAGCAGAAGCAAACGTCCAACTTGGCTCTATGCAAGGATCAAAAACACACCCAGGAATACTAAAGCGCACATTGTATTGCGCTGCTTTAAATTTACTCAGAGGGAGGCATGGATTAGAACTAGAGGTTCCAGATTCCAGGTGTGCCAGTCTGGTCTACGAGTTTGAGTTTGGCAACCTTCTGCTCGGATTAATTGTGGGCAAACCAGAGGCGTTGGCAAATTATGCATCACTGAATTGAACCCAACTAATTACACTACATTATTAAAAAGCAATATGACAACGCGATTAACAATGTGTTTATAAATTGCTGAATGGAGCCATGGAAGTGTTTGTTTGTCCGTGAGGGGAACGGCCGCACGGCGTGTTTGGGTAATAGAAATGTTTTTTTGAGGTTGACGAGACAGGACGTTGCAGAGTCAGCCTCGAAGAAAACTATAACTGTGATAGATGGCAACATTTGGGATTTGAAGGCCCCAAAAAAAGAAGTTCAATGACAATGTTATTTAGATGGCAACCTTCTGCTCTGAAAAGGGAAGCCAACCCAACCTGCCATCTCGCGCACGGCCATCAGCAGGTAAACCCATTGATGCAAAATTGTAAGTTTATTTTAAAACATTACCCTAATTCTAAATTGATTTGTTAGCTCAGCAAACAGTGTGGACATGAGTTTATGGTGTCTCTATTTGATACGGAATAATATTCATTAACCTTCTGCCCAATGAAGATAAATGTTCTGTAGTTTGCTTATAATAAACTTTTAATGAAGCCGATTTTATAAAAAACATGCCATTGTATAAAACCTTACTGTGAAGGTGTTTTAATATTTGTTTTAAATACATAATATACTCAGTTATTGGGATTAAGAAAGAAAAAAACGTATTCCACCTATTTGAATCGAACATCACAGATCCTCTCAGCTCAAGTGGCCTCATGATGGTTACCTGTCACGGCAAAACACCAGCACATTATTTCATGGAAATAAACGCCGTGCCGGAAGGATTCACCTGTCAACATAAACTATCTGGTGAGGAGCAACAGGTAAACTACATTTACGTTGACTAGGGTTGTGTTTGCATGATGATAATGGGCTACAAGCACAGGTGCCAAAAAATAACAAAAAATGGAAATTGTGATTTTATGTGTGGACACTGAAAATACACAGGTCGCACACCCTGCGAGTATCCCAGTTCCAAAATCACATCAAGTTCAAACAGGCCACATGCTGCAGCATGCCACGTCGAACATAGTGGAGGATTTTGGCATCTTCCACAGTTTAACCCCTGTGAAGGATTTCATTCAAAATCCCTCTCTAGATTGCTTCCTCCCTCCCAAAACAACCAAACAGTAATAATCCCATCCCTAGGCTTGACAGCACACCAAAGTTTGACATAACATCAGGCCGTCTCAAGAAGAAGCTAAAGTCAAATACAAGTCATTGGCATTGAGAGGTTTGAAGCAATTAACAGAACAATATAATTCAATGCAGCAAAAAAAAACATCAAATGTCTTTGATTGAATCTTGCATTCTAAAGAAGGTATTGATAGACAGCTGTTCTACGAATGTGTGTCCATAAGAGCGCTAATAATTCACTGCCAGCATTATCTATTCAAAGAGTGGCGGGTTAGGTTAAAGAGTTCAAGAGCAAACCTGAGAACATTAACAGCTGTAAGGAGGTAAATTATCAAAATGAATGAACTAGGCTGGTGTTTCAAGGTTAACTTAAATATGTTTCAACTCTGACCCGAAGAGACCAATACAGTTTTGGAAATGAGTCCAGCATAGAGAGAGAACACAGTCCCAATCACAAATAGACAGGCATTTATTCCTATGTGGGGACCTTTCTATGATGCTAAAGATACTTATGTTGACAATCTGAGCCGTGGCCAACAACAAGCACTTTTAGTGGAAGACCATTTAGCGTCCGCCATCTCCTATGTGCTCCCTCAATACCGGACCAATCTCATAAAACTGTGGTACACTTTAGTGACTCAGACACAATAGCATTGGAAAATGATTTTAAAAACTACCAAAGGCACCCTTCAGGCCAGGTTTAATATCTGCTTTGCTACGCGTGAACCTGTGAGTCGGTGGGTTAGCGTTTTCCTGACTGTCTTCACTCAGAGCCACCGAGGAGAAAGTGGAACACTGAACCTCGCTGACTAGATGGAGCAGGTGTGGCAGGTGAGGGGTCATTGCAGCGCGGGGCTGGTTTGCATGCACCTGCATTTGACTAGTTCTCCCTCCAGGTTATTTACAGCAGGGCCAAACAGTGTGTCTTTGTTTTGCGTGTGTGTGTGTGTGTGTGTGTGTGTGTGTGTGTGTGTGTGTGTGTGTTTTTGTGTGCTATGTGCCTTCAGGAAGGATTAGGACAAGTCCTAATCACCACAACAAGACACATGGAAGTGGACTTAACGTAGTGACCTCGAAATGATTCCTGAGTCAAGAGTCCCAAATATCTGAACGGACTCTAGTATTTACCGAATAAGTAACAACACCAGCACAGAACAGCAAACAAGAACAAGGTCTGACATGTGTGTTGAGTCAACAAACGTCTGTTGATTGGACCACGGTCAAAAAGTGAAATGCTGCTGCCAATAATTGTGCTGACCTCATTTTATGTAATTAATGAAGCAGCTCGCTGATACCCACTATACAGGAAGGATAAGTGGAAATGACAAACAGACTGCACGTAAAAAACACACACGGAGGCGGGTTCGAGTGTTATTGCTTTTACCTTAATCAGTGATGTACAAACAATGGCGCCGGCGTTAACCATGGGGTTGTGCGGCTTATCTGTAAAACAACAAGAGCTCCGTTAGCGCGCCACAGAGGATCAGAGTGTAAACACTCGGCTCTGTGTAGAGACAGGCAGCGCACACATTGACACAAGATACTACTGATAAAATACATCTGACTAAAATGATACTTGAATTAGAAGCAGAACCTATTCAATCATTGGTATTGTGTTTGGGTTCAGAGGCTTGTAGGTTTTGGCGCGTTCTTAAACGTAAACGTGTGTAAATTTGTCCTCACTGTAAAAACAGAATACATTAAAACCACCTATTCCAGTTCTTGTTAACCCTCTCGCGCTTACCTGCGTCAGTGATGACGAAAGAGAGCAGGAGCACACATTTTGGCAACAGTAGTAAGGCAAAACGCAGAAGCTTGTAAATCGGAATATTCAGTTCCTACAATCAGTAAATAATATTGATTAATAATCATTGATCAAAATATTCATGATTAAGATTTTGCGCATAAGTGTGCAGTTCACCCCATTGTTTTATTATCTCCAATACCGTCTGGTTTTCGCGATGAAATAAAACCGAGGAGTTTTAAATTAGAGGCTGATATTACGGGTTGTCACCAGCAGTTTGGACACACAGGATGTGATTCTATGACTGTGAATGACTGCACGGGACACTGCAAAGGGTCTCCACCGCAACGGTTTCAGGAGGAACAACCCTGCGCGTAGGCTGATAAGCGCGTAGACAGAAGAACTAAACGCTCACCGTCGTCGTTCAGGAAGAGCTTATTGAAGCGCAGGCCGCTGGGCTCCTTCCCGATGAAGCTGTGCACGTACTCCGTGCTGTGGTCGTGGATAGCGACGGCGTACTTCAGAGGCTTGACGCAGGACTGCAGACAGAAGGGGACCTTGGTGTCTCCTACCGTGTGCCTGCAGAAGGCAACAGATACAGAGTTATGCAAGAAGAACCAAGCAGCTGCGACCAAAATGCGGGATCTAGGAGTCTGAACACCGACTGTACTCGTCCTGGTACGAGAACGACTCCGACAACGCATTGATGGAATCTGCTGTTGTGTTGAGGTTTGCTTTAAATAAAAAGTCTCACAATTTTTTGCCGTTGGTGCCTTTATGCTTCTATTTTGGGCCTGGAAAAGAGCTTTTAAATGTCAATGGGACCCTCTTCTAAAATGAAGGCAATTCAGTGAATAGAAACAACACATTCAGAATGAGAAACATGAAGAGAATACAAAATGAAACAAATATTTAAGTAAATGCTTATTAAAAAGAGGCCACTTCACATAATGATTTTCGGAATTCGGGGAAAACCATAAACTTGACGGAGTGATAATACAATCAGTTCAGCGTCATGTTATCTTTATGACATCCTCTCTTACACCAACATAATCCACACATACGCTCTTTCGTAAATGAACAACTGCCTATCAGAGAACAAGCTGAACAAAACAACCCTGTTATTTCTCCTTCTAAATGTTGTGCCTTATTGGGTAATACAAGGTAATGTACACAGTAACACCAAGCCCCTGTATATTATATTACAACGTCCTGCAATAAACAGACAGTGAAGTTGCATTAATGCTTCTTTGAAGCGTTATTACACACCTTTCAAATATACTAAAGCTGATTGGTCGAGTCTATGGTGTGGTATTTCTATATGTACTGGTATGTATGACAGTATGACAAGCCCTTGCTATGGGCTCAGTTCTGATCTCCGTACACAGCGAGCAGAAGAAATAAACAAACCTAACTTTTTTTATTATTATTTTCTAATAAATACTGTGCCTAATCAGCACTTTAAAGATTTAGATTAAAACATGTTGTAAAAGTACAAGAGATTTAATTGAACGGTAATAAAATAATAAATGTTTTACTAATACTACAACACATAATGAATGGTTTCACCACCTACTGTACTTAAAATAAATCACAGCTGGCTTGTTAGCGCCCCTCACATTCCACTGAGACCACTGGGTGCACTTTGGTAATTACGTGACCTACAGGGAATGAACACAACATTGTGCATGCTGCATGTGCATTGCAACAGCGGAACGTCATATAGACATTTAAAAACATCCCGGCGTCGCTGTGGCGCTTCTGCCGGCTCGTGTCTCACCTCTGTCCGTCGACTGTGCACAGGGAGACGGCCCACAGGTCAGGGCTGAACTTGGCCAGCTGAGGAATGTAGTCGGCGACCTGAAAGAAGAAAGGCACCTGAGAGCGGTTCACCTTGCACCACCTCGACGGAAAGCCAACACCACTGGTAAAGCAAAATAACAACTCACATATCCTCATCCGCTGACCCCAGAGGAACAATCCTCCCTCAGTTAGGACAAAGTACTTTGCTTTTATCTCCTTCCGCTAAAAGAACAGCAAATAATTTCCAATATTTTCCAGGATTATGTTTCTATGCCTCATTGCATCCACAATATTGCATATGAGAAAACTAGCACTTTTTCTCAGAATGTCTAGAAGTTTACTTTGGTAAATCTGCAGTGAAAGAAGCTGGTCATATGCCGTGTCTATGTTAAGTCCTGCCATCGGAGTAAATAGAGTCAGGGCCCAGCGCTAGCATCAAATCGACCGCGGTGAAAATTTCCGCAAACACAGCCAGGCCCTTCTTTTGGCCTCGGGATCATGAATCCCTCGTACCAGATGCTTTTCAAACAAGAGCTGCAAGTTTCCAGTAGAAGGTTCATACAATTCATACAAGAATTGCACCATGATTTGTCTGTACCGACCATTTCTGCTGCTCTCCCCTTTTAAGTGTGTGAACATTCCAAAATGACTTGTCATAACTCAGAGAAAACGGACTTGCACAGACAGCCATTTTTGTTTTTTATACACATTCTGGGTCAAATGCTTCCTTCAAGTGTAAGATGGCAATGCACACCATTGATACCAGCCAAATGCCGTCTGAAAGCAGACTTGAAACAGGCTGATGGTTAATGAAGATTAATCTCTGTGGGCTAAAACATTAATGAAGATGCACTGGCAGAAGCAAACAAATAAAATACATTTTTTTAAAGTACTGGATCTGAGGACACACCTGTCCTCCAGTGAGTTTTTTGGCACTCTCATACAGCTCATCAATATGGGAGGTGAAGGACTGGAAGTCTGGGATGACGAACTTCTTGCGGAAGGCCTGTGTGAGCAGGACAATGTTGCTCTGGACACACCTGATGAATAAACCACAGATGGCATGTTAAAACATTGTGAGTGCATGCAACTGGAGGAAAGGCTTGTGCATGAAATGCCTTTTGAGACTGGTGTACAGAGAATAAAAGACGAGACGTATCCTACTTCTTGAAGAGGTGTTTATCCAGCGTAACGCCATCTGGGGTGTTCCGCAGAGTTTCTTTGAGGGTGTCCATGCATTCCTTCAGTCTGGGATCTCCACTACGAAGCCCGGTGGCTTTAAGCGCCTAGAATTAAAGAGCATTTAGAAACACCTCTGAATGGAAACAACAACCCTGTTTAGACATGACAAATTATATATATATATATATATATATATATATATATATATATATATATACACACATACATACATACACACACTGCAGCTGCATATCTCATATCACTGTGCACTCGTCAATGATGTGTAATCAGCCCAAACATCACGCTGAACTAAACTTCAAGGACTTACTGTAAGAAATTTATGGGCAGGAATCGTCTCTTGACCTTCTGCGACCGTGTGGAAGAGCAGGTCCTCCAGACTGGGGAGAATGCTCGCATTTCTTCTGCTACGTTGCAAAGTGGTGGAGAGACACAAACACACAAACACACACACACGTATGAGGCGGAGCACTCTGAAGTGTGAAGTGAAAAACATGGGGTTAGCAGCACAGCTGCGCAGTTTGTTGTCGTGTAGATTTGAGTAAATACAGTGCCAGCGCAGTGAAGGCGTGGTGTGAAACAGGATGGCCCCTCAAGCACAAGGTTCAATCGAGCCTTTTCCCACCTGGCTTGCCAGTGTAAACACGGAGCTTATCTGTGGCAGTTGATACAGTCTCATCACATTAGTGAGGGATTCAAGCGGCTATACTGGAAACATGCTAACCAAGTGGAAGCCTTTGCAAATGTGTCCTGTTGCCGATGCTCCCCGATGGGTAAAACTATGTTTGACCGGGAAATTGGGAGATAAAAAGGCAGATCAAAGCTGGTCTGGTTCCAAAAATGGGCTCAAATTAGTATAGAGGGCCTGGTCCTGATAAGAATAATGTCCTACTGATTATAGGAGATACCAAGGGCTGAACTGAGTCCAATATTTAAATTTAATACAGCTGCACAGCATGCGTTGTTAAAACACGCCCCAATCAATACTCTCCAAAAGAAAATACAGCCTGCTTTTCATTCGTAATTTTTACTGTGCATCGTGGGGTCTTGCATATTTTCCAAAGGGAGAGCCCTACGGATCCGTCGGCAGTGGAGTTTGAGCCCTGTGGGCTGCATGCTTCTCTCCAGCCGGAGCAAAATGCTTAGAAGATGTTTTCAACCAACAGCCGACACTTTGGAGGTGGACACCCTTCTGGAGGTACATTAATCTCCCCTTGAGCAAAAAGACACACAATCAGTGTGGTTGTAACTAATACTAACTACGGGCTTCAGTAGATTTGTTCATTGATTGGTCAGTACATGGTCCTTTGGTTCACAACACAGCCCCAATTTGTTACCAAGATCCTTTTCATTGGGCAATAGATAATGTTTCTATTCTCTCGACCACAGCAATGGACACTATAATCCCGATAAGTATCAAAGACTAACTGGAATGATCCCTCCTTTCTTTTGCATCACAGGGCACCCTTTTAAGTCACTGTCCTTTTTTAGTGAGAAACAAACAACCACACCTTAAATAGAGTAATTATAAATCATAAGAACTTCCTTCATAGCGAGCCAACTATGTGTGGTACTGTATTTAGAATAATGTGAGTACACAAGCATAATGTCCCTGTACGGGGCGGTAGTGTCTGGAGCACTGTTAGACCGGGCCTAAATTCCAGGAATTCTCATGTCTTTAGCGCTGCCCAGCCCGCAGGCGCTCTTGGATTAATAAAGCCAACATTGTGGGCCGTTCACACGATGGCTGTGACACGGCGGCATGGTCTGCATCGGTGGGGAAACTGCACTCGACGTCCTCTTTCTCTTTATAACCATTCACCCCGGCGTCCTCTACTGCCCCACTCTCACGTCCCGCTTCTAAATCGCACCGAACGCCACAGAAGTCACGAAGCAGCCTCAGCGCAGCCTTTTTTTTTTTCCACTAATGGCCAAACTTGTCCTCACAGGTACGACGCAGATGCTTCTAAATCAACAGTGACAGGGTAATATCAACACCACGTGAGCCTACATTCTCTGCTCTCCGCACAGTAAACACTCCACACGCAGCCCAGGTGGCTCAACACGTGCAAACAAGCCGAGATGGACAAAAATAATGCTTGTCGGGCGTGCCTAATGCGAAGGGAGTGTTGTCGACCTGCACATCTGTCACTGCAGCGGCGTTCCACACAGCAGAGGGCAGGTGCACCGCAGTAACGCAAGGGAAGGCAGCGTGGGACGGACGGTGCGCCCCCAAAAGGGACACGTTTAGAGTTACGTTGAATCAAGGACAGAACGATGGACGAATGGGGGAGAAATGATATTTTCATGTACATTTGACTTTAGAGTGTCTGCTATTGGAAGTGGCTCTCCGTGAATCCAACCCGCTTCTACAACCCGCCAATGACGGCTTGTAGAAGCGCTCATATTTGCGCATTTCCTCCGACTAAAGTTCTTCAATCTGATCCGTTCTCTCGTAAACATTCTTCGTTTTAATAATGGCGCTATCGGGCTATGAAAGCGGAAATGTGAGACTCCGTAAAGGACGTAGTTAGCGGCGTCGAAAGCGACGTTGGCTCAGATCTGCGTCTGACTTTACACTGACGTCCCATCATCGATGCAACATGCACACGCTTAGTGTTTTCTGATGTAGTAGTAGTGGCAGTGCTGCTTCTTAAAAACAGAGACCTGTGAATGGGTGTTATCAGTGCCAGGGTATATGGCCGTGCTGATATCTATAGGCGTTGCAAACCGGGCCTCAAAACAAACACTGGACCACTGGGGCCTCTTCCTTCTTTAACTCTAGTAACACATTTTGTGGACAGTTTTAGTGGACTTTCTGTGAGGTCAGTGCTCCACAGAGTCTGAAGGAAAAACCAACACTCAAACACTAAAAGAAGCAACAGGGAGGTTTTCTTCCAGATCAGCAGCAAGTCAGCAAGAATTTACACAGAAATACAGTTTTATAACATCGGTTTTGGATGTTTCCTGATATATTTTGAAGATCCCAGTCTGTCGTGTCCTGGGTTGGTTTCACTTTCCGTTCTTGCTTTTTCTTCTGTTCAGCAGTTGTCGGTCATGTCCCCTTCTGTTCCCCAAGTTTCGTTATGTTCTGTAATTTCAATAATTACTTTTTTATGTTGTTTTACTCACCTATCCTCTCATTTCAGATCACTTCCCTTTCTGCCTTGCCGTGCCCCTCCCTCATTGAACCCACCCGTGTTTGATCACCTAAACCGAGCCACTTAAATCCTGGCTTCCTCCAGCTATATGTGTCCATTTGTCCACTATGTCCTGATGATGTCCATTATGCACATGAGCAGTTACTCATACTGCCGTGTTCCTTTCTGGTTTCTTACTGTGGATAGTATCCTCTCGGTGCGTTGGGGGGCTCTCAGCTGTTTGCCGTAGTGATGCTTTGTGAAAGTGCCGTGACATTTCATCAGCAACCGAACACCTTTGCTGGCTGACGTCCTTGTTGAACAGCAATGTTCTTGCCAGCGAAAACAACTGTTCTAACGTGTAACAAAGTAAACTGCCTGGCGGCTTGAATGACTGGAACTGTGAAAATAATAAAACATTCTTGTTTCTCTTTATTTTGACATTTGAAGTCCTCTCAACAGGCAGATGGCAGAGTCCATTTTCCTCTGCGCGGCTGCTCTTGAGCGTAACGGGGCACTTTGGGAGTTTCCTGGATACGAGGTAGAGATGGAGCTGTGCTATCGAAATCTATTTTATGCTCCGGAGGATTTACAGAACAGGATGGATGGCCAGCATTGTATTAGTCACACAGCATTCATTGTTCTATTCCCTCATGTCAGAGCTCTATCCGGCTTAAATTAAAGAAGATAGCTGAAAATGAATATCTGGCCTGCGTGTGGATTTCAGGGGTCATCTCCATGGCTTAATACACTTCACTGAGCAGCATGCGGGCTTAACACGGAGGGTCTCTTTCACTTTTCACAACAGTCATTGGTCTGTTCTCTTTTTGATACCCTAATATTACCCACCATAAGCTGTAACTGATCCCACAAATGTACCCAAGTAAGTTGCTGTAAGCCAAGGAAAACGTATCATGTGGAATCCGTCTGAGAGGCTCTCAGAGGCCACTAACGATCCAACACTGTATTGTGCAGTTGTACAAGAATTCAGCCTTTTGGCCTTTCCTCCTTTAATTCATTATTCATATAGATTTCCAAATGCAAAACCTCCATTTGCTTCGGAGATGTAGAGAGGCATCATCTGTTTTCAGGCTAGAAACGTCATCCCTTCTCATGCTATTAACACTGATTTAAAAAGGAGCGTTCTGAGGGGTAACTTTCCATGGACACCATTGTCCTGTACACACGATTTCAGACGCCATGATATGGGAGATTGCCGATGACTCTAAAGGGACACATCGGGTGAAGTGAGCTGGTAAGAGGTGCTTATCTGTAGTCGAGTTAGTTATGGTTATCGCGTGTAGACGGCGGACGGCCTGACCCCAGTTTAGAGGAACAGACAGGAGTATCGACAATGCAGAGCAATGTGCTGCCGTGGCTCCAAAAGTTGACGTATTGTATTTACATTGAGACAAACCCTCACTTAAATATTCTGGTATTTTGTAAATATATATATTTGTATTCAGGTTTATACGACATGTAAAACAATCCATAGAAAGTGCTATAAACTTAATGTGGTTATCACCAATGTTGTACATGAGCTTAATGTGTAATTACAAATTAAAAGCAAATGAATGATAAACAGTGAGACCACTGCATGGAGTCAGGGAATGGTAAGAAACGCAACTATGCATCTCAATTGGGAAGTTGGAATTGGAAAACGCCCAGAAACCCACGCACAACAAATTCACGCATTCCGATCTGCAGCCAGACCGCTATTCTTATTCTAAAAACAACAACAACAACAACGTGTGTGGAAAAATCCTGCTGCCACCCATATCTGTTATCACGTCCACGAGCTGGTGTCATTATCCTCCGCCTTATCTCTGACCTTGTCAAAGGCTTCCAGCCGCCTCACTTTTGAAACCTGCACCGCATCGAGCGGCGCGTCTTCCCCGCAGGGACGGATAGCGAAACCCCGCGTCACGGCCAAGCCCTCACAAGGTCAAATAAATGCCCAATTAACTTTGGGGGTCAAGTTGCCGGCGCGGTATTTATAAAAGCTTCTCGGCCCAAAGCCACCGGAGGCTGCGCCCAGTGTTGCAGAGAGTCGCACGCGTGGCTCGCGAGCTGCAGCGGCGAAGCCAAAGGCGCTCATGCGCGAGCGTGTCAAACACAGAATACAGTGTATTCGGAGGTTGTTTTGTCCGCGGCACATACGTGTGTGTTACACGCTTCACGCCGGCTGGTTATTGAGCTCTAAATAACGCGGTTTTAACAGCGTCTCTGACCCGGTGGCGAACAGCGGAACGTTACATCCTGCTCGCCGCCGCATGCGTCACTCATCTGCGTACATCCTACGCCGGCCGTGAACGCGTCACTGCGTGTCTGGCTGTGGCACCCCGCGGGGGGGGCGGGGGGCGCCTCGCCTCAAAAAAAACCCTACCTGTCATCGGGGGCTTCGCTGCCGACACCGTCCTTCTTCAGCTGTTCCTCCAGCTCCACGGCGCCCTCGGTCTTCGTGCAGTACGCGCGGAAGGAGGCGGCGCGCGGCGCCGGGCGGCGCGCGGCGGCATAGCGGACCGTCAGCTGAGCGGAGGCGGCGCCGGCGGTGCCGAAGGAGCAGCAGCGGCGGCGGCGGGTCGGCAACCACGTCTTCTGCGTCGAGCCGGACAAGGGTCGCTTGAGGGTGACTTCAAACAGCTCCTTCAGCACTGTGGAGGACCTGAACTGGAACATCTCAATCCAGTCGGGCAGTCGGAGAGAAAGTCGCGGTTCCTAGTGTATCCGGTAGCGACTCGAGCGGCCGTTTGCTTCTGTTACCACGTTGACGTTGAGGTGCGATGAGTCAGACACACGCTCGCCGGCGTCCACACGTAACATGGCAGCGCGGCGCCACGCCCCCTCTGGCTGCCATTGGTGGACTTGAAATGACGCGCGCCTCCGAACATGAATTATGGCGCTTTGAATCTGTCTATTGGATTGTATTCGTGTCTGTCATTTCTATGCGCGACAGGAGCTCGGGGGCAAAGCGGGGGGGGGGAGGGGGTCACCTCAAGAAGTCAATATCCAACAGGTTTTTGAATTTAAAAATAATTTGGCACGTCAAGAAATGACTTTTGCTTTCTTATGTGGCACAGATTTTACAGTATGTTGTAATGGGTCCATCCCGTCTATTAATAGAAAGAGATTAACATATTACATGTTTAGACGTTATTTTGTGATAAATAACACTGGTGATCCCATCACCTTGTACTTTTCGATTGTGCTGTACGGAAAGACATGATCTTATGCGGTTTTATGCAGTTTATCAACTAGCAGCTATGCATGTGTGATGAAAATAAATCCCAGACTGGGTGCAGGAGTATTTAGTCCAACGACGGTAATGTGTAAACAAACCCTCCCACGTGTAGTGTTTTTCACCTTTGAGCACAGGAACATCCGTATAACGTTACACATGCGTGGAATGGAATTGCGTAATAGGGTTGTATCTATTGCTCATAGCCTGTCAGGCTGCAACCTCCCCTGGTCCAATGAGCAATAGGTTAAAAAAAGGGGGTCGGGACCAGATCTCGGGCCAATTCTAGTGACGTAGGTGGGCTACAACGAACGGGGAGGGAGAAGTCCCTGACAGACCAAACGCAGGGCAGCAGAGGCCTCCCGGCAGCAGCAGCAGCGGTGTGTGCACACGTCACGCCCAGAGGTTGCCACGCAGACACAGACACAGCGGCATGATGTGGAAGGTTGGAAGTTGCACACTGTGCCTCTTCGTTTCTTTCTTGGTTTTGGCGACAACAGCTGAGCTGGACGCCGAGATCAAGGTCGAGGTCTTGTTCCGGCCCGAACAGTGCACCCCGAAGAGTAAAAGAGGAGATATGATCAACGTCCATTACGATGGGTTCCTCGCCAAAGATGGTTCTCAGTTCTACTGCAGGTTGGTGGTTTGAGAAAAAGTTCTGTACAGTTCATAGATATTACCTCTGAGAGCCAGATTATCCTGTGAAAGTGCACATGGGAAACTGCAGGCACTTTATTAATGCATTATTATTATTTGTATTAATATTAAATAGCTTTCATGTCTGAAGGGGGGAGGGAGGGGGAGTATTTCACTACTGGTTTCATATTTCATGTTTCCTTAACATTCCTTGGTTTTTGAAAATTATATATCCTTTTTTCAGGGTTAACGGAAATAGAGTCAGGGTTGGGATCTTTGTCATAAGGGACTGTAAAAAGAGTAATTATTGTTATGAGGGGGCCGGGGGGCTGAATCTTACATATTAATTTATTGTTTTATGTATTTACAGTCCTTTATGTCACTACTCTCTTTGTTTTAGTCGATCAGACAAGAATGGGCACGCTCAGTGGTATGTGCTGGGCATCGGACAAGTCATCGAGGGCCTTGATAAGGGGATGGTAGACATGTGTCCTGGAGAGAAACGAAAAATAACCGTTCCACCTGGCCTGGCCTTCGGCTCAGCCGGCAAGGGTAGGTAAATACAATACACCGTGAACGTGGCAACAGAGGTTTAACGCTTTTATTTTGTTATCAGCTCCCGACAGAACATCATGAGCATCCGGACCACGTGTCATCAAACAAACTATTACTGAACCCTAGAATTACACAAAATGACCGTACGTTATAGGGTTTCTAACCAATAGTATTTCAGACTCCAGGAACACTGGATCTTCCACTTCCCATAATGCAACTTGATATAATATTTTAGCACATACATGTCCTTTAACCTCCACAGCCTCAGTTTGTAATGTCATCACAAATACCCTGGACAGCGGTACAGTATAGACGACATGATTACATCCCTATTGCATCACCAGGGTTATGTCGTCAACTTCAGGAAACTCCTCTAGAACAACATAATACATTTGTAGGTACTCCTCCTATACAGCTTATGAGTCTTACATTACATTACATTACCACAAAATTAAGTAACAAAAATTATTTTCTCACATGTTTGCTGATGATCACCTGCTCCAAGTTGCATGTTTGCAAGTGAATTCCTTAGTGATATATATATATATATATATATATATATATACATACAATATACGGTACGTCAGGTGCCGGCGGGAACATACAAAATCATTTTAAATGGAGAACAGTCTTATGCACGTATTGTGAATAATCAGTTCAATAAATCCTACTTATGACATTATTTCATGTGATTATTATGTAGTCTATTATGCATGTGTCTGTCCTGGAAAAGCTGCCTCATGCTGTCTTGTGTTCTTTCACAGAACTTTAGTTGGAGGGCCGCACATTCCTTGCAGTGCTTGTCTACTCACCCCCCCGTGGCATGCACTGTCAGCATGCACAAAGGTTTAAAGGTGTCCTCTTCTGGCTCTTTCTTGCATGCATTAAAACAACTTTCAGAATACTAACAGCTGATGAAGCGTTTGCCTTAAACCACAGCTTCCTACAAAGTGCTTCATGTTTTTGTTCATATGCTGTGATCTGACTGTTGTGTTACAGAACCTGGGATTCTGCATTCCAGGTTACATCCGTTGATTTTGCAATTTGGCTATGGAGCATTTTTCTTCTTGATCGCTCTGCTGAGAGCGCCCGCTTCAGCTTCTCCGGCATTAGTCCGCTTCACAGATACGTGCATGTGACGCTCTGCAGGGATGAGAGTTAAAGGCCTCTGTTGTTCAGCTGTTAAGGTGAACGGCTTTAAATGCATGTTGCTCTTCTGACTCTGTTATCTTTCTTTTCTTGTTCAATTAAAGTTGATAGCTTATGGTCCTTTACATTTTTCTAGTGACTTTAGCTCTTGATGCCAAATCAGTGTTACGCTGAGATTAATTCATTTATGTGGTCGTTGTGTTCATCAATCCCTTCCATCCTGAAAGAACATTCCCATGAAGTCCCATGAAAGGTTGCTGAGGACTTTGGCGACGTGGCGCACAACTGACACGCTAGCTCCCCAAATGAAACACACGCATTTGTCGTTTACCTACGTTAAGAAAAAACACGGCTCTATTGTCCATTCCAGTGGCTCGGTTAAATGACCACTACGTCATAATTGCTCTAATGTGCTTGTTTTTCCTCCTGATGAAATAGCTCCTGTGCCGCCCAATGCTACGGTGGTCTTTGAGGTGGAGCTTTACTCTATTTCGAGGGGGCCACGCAGTGTGGAGGCTTTCAGGGAGATGGACGTTGATGGCGACAGAAGTCTCTCAAAGGCTGAGGTAATTATAATTCCCTGGGTGGTAATTATCACAAAAGTAGCTAAGCAAGAAAAGGCAATAACCATGGTTGGATTAACATGCCATGGGCTCCGCGGGGCAAAACAATATGCTGTCGGGCTCTTTTAAACAGCTGTTACTCTTCCTGCGCAGTGTGTACATGTTTTCCATCCACAATGATACCTGAGATAATGTAATCACATGTCAGCAGAGCAGGGGATGTAACTCATTGCTAGAGGTATTTCCAAGCAAGGACAAGCAGAAGACACATGTGGCTTTGCTAAAAGAATCTGACACATTCATTCGGATGATGCTCAAAACTCAGACAGACAATTGAGTGTTTGGTCTTCCAAGCTGCGTCTCTGACGGGTTCAAAAGTATTTGGGAGGAACTAATGATTAGAAGGGGTTTTATTCTAGAAAACAATATGTAGAAGTTGCACTTTTATTTAGTACATCACTAAAAATGATTAAAAGCTACTTCTGTGTTGGAAATGTTTCAATTCCGGTCGGAATGTCCCAAATTATTTTGCTTATTAAAATGTCTCAGATTCATGTCCCTTATTGCAAAAGGACTGATGTTAGCCCAGAGGTTTTTGGGGATTTCAAAAGAATTCCATCTGGCTAGTAGTCACTGATGTCACAAACAATGAATGCGCAGGTGGATTTTTTTTATTTTTAATAATAGCATCTATTGCAGTTGATGGATTAATGAAAGGTTCTCTTTACAGCCCTTAAGACGTTATTTAAGGAACATGCATCTTACAAGTACAATGATACATTGGTGATGATCAATGAATCGCATAAGTTAAGTAACATTATGACAACTGAATATATGTAGAAGGTTCGTGATGATGACATTATCAGGATTGTTGGCAGCACATTAAAAGACTTGAGTGAGCTGCTATCAACACAGTTAGAATGATCATCTTCATGAGTTGTTGTTTGAAAGGCACAGCAGTTGGTCATTATATAATAGCATTGTTGTAAAGGTACAACAAACATCCGTTTCTGATTCCAAATTTCTAACAATGAGGTGCTTCTTGTTTTCAGGTGAAAGCATACTTCAAACAGGATTTTGAAAAATCCGGGAAGCCGCGCGACGAGTCGTTCTACGAGAAGCTCATGACTGATGTGTTCCGCAAGAGTGACCACAACCACGACGGACTCATCAGTGCCAAAGAGTATAATGTATATGAGCACGATGAGCTCTAGTGTATCTGGGAATTCTTTTTAGATGATGTAATTTTGTTCAATTAGCGAGAAAACATGAATAGTTAAAAGGAAAATCCACCATCAGAAGGTTTTACAATGTTGTTTTTTATCCCCATCAGCTGGATTTAAGTGTTTGGAGTCACTAAGACATCTTTCCAAGCCAGTAAACTAGCCACTCATGTTTAAAACAACGTACTAAACTATGCAAGAACATCTCCAACACGTGGAAACATCTATGCAAATATCACTACATTTCTTATATGCAATATTTTCTTGTGTTCATTTTTTTTTAAGACTCGTGTCCCGATGAAAATTACAGCACAAAAAAGAAACCAGTGTTGCACAATGTTGTGGAATGGAAACTGTAACGTGACTGTCACGTGATTTTCGAGAGGCCTCTCTGATATCTCACCAGTGTACAGATCCATAATGGTTGTGCTTGTTTAAAGGACGTCTGTTCTTATCCTACCCAGATATAAATAATAATAATAACAATAAACACAAGCCAGTATTTGTTGACTGTGTACGACCAGTTTGATAATAAAACTTTGTGGTTTTTAGAGATGTGTAAAGGTTTTTGTGTACAGCTTAATGTGGTTGAAATACTGATTATGGTGTCAAGTTGAACAATTGATTTTAGCACTACAAGAAATAAACCATAGTATATGTGGAAAATAACAGAATGCTTCAAGTAATTTGTGTTTTTCTCAGGGGTCTCAACTCTCTCAACAAGAGAATTTGTATTTTAACTTCCAGCTGTATTTGGTATTGGAGGACGGAACTAAAAAGACAAATCGTTGATAGTGTGAGGTGTTTATTAAACATGGCACACTAACATGCATGACATGCAAGTTCATGTGTCGATGTTTTCTCTGCATATGTTTATGTATGACGTGTATGTTTCCACAATAAAATCATTTGGATTTGTCTTCGAAAAGATCAATTACTGTAACGTTTCCTCTCCAGTGTGCTGATATGCATTTACATAGACTAACCCCTAGAGAGTGGTGTTTGCCCACAAGTATTTGCCTGAATGAGAGTTATTTGACAGTATCGAATGGGCCTTCCTGAATATCACAACAGCTGTACATCATGAGACCTATTTTGTAATAAAAGAGACAATAATTATTATCATTTCTATGGCAGATTGGACTGGCAAGGTGAATAATTGTTTCCTTTTTAGAAAGTAGGTTGCTCAGTTGTCATGGAATAAAATAAAACGCTTTCTTTGCAACAAATATAAATGCAAGCAGACAGCAAAAAATGTAAAGACAAATCTTTAAACATTTGAAAAACACCCTTCCATGCCCACAGTTTTTTGCAGCACGTAGAAAAACAGGTCTATTACATAGTATAAACATAGTATATACTCTGAACTGTGAGTCAGCAGTCTGTCATGTGGGGATTTTCATCCTGACTGACGGTAACCGGATAGCTGCTGCTTTCACCTCCGCTGTCAAGTCCACACCCAGCTGTGCCCTGGAACACCACATTCATGTGAGCGAATGGTACGATCTGCATCCACAGTCATTCTCCACTAAAATTGCAAATGAAACCTTTGGTTTAGTGTTGACTTACTTTGGCTCATAGGACACGTCCACATCTGGAGAAAGTATTCCCTTCCCTTCCCTCAGGCGTTCAACACCGTTCCTGGTTAGCAGAGACAAAAGTAAGCAGGTCTCTGACGGACAAAACTACGACTAACCAGATCCGATGAAAATCAATATACGTACCATGCAATCATCACTCCATTGTCAGTGCAGAATTTGGCTGGAGGACAGAGCAGGCGTAGCCCCGTTGTGTCGGTGATAATGGTCAATGCCTTGCGGATGTACTGATTGCTCGCAACTCCTCCAGACAGAACCTGTCAAAGAAGAGTTCATGTCAAAATATTTCAATTTATTGTCACAGCGTTCTCTTATTTGAAAGATAAGCCATGGATCCCCGACCAGGGGATTATACAGGGGAACCCATGTTAATTTATTAATGTGAAATAACAGTAAAAGCTGTTATTAGATGATATTTCTTAAATCAGAGTGTCTTTTACATTTAAAATGCTAAATGTTATTCATTGAAATACATATACAAGTGATCATATATATTTTTACATTATTATTTTAGTATTCCATTTTAATGGAAAAGCATCTGGGAAAAACATCTTGCATATATATACACATTTATTTATTTATGCAATGATGCAATAAAATACAACCTGAAGTAGAAAACTCACCAAGGTGGGACTGTGTGATGGCAGCAGGCCGTTGGCCTTACAGAACAAGATGGCACGATGTGTTCGCTTTGCAAGGTGAGAGGCAACTGTGTGCTGTGTAGAAGCAGCGATGTCATTCACACATGATAACAGATCCCCCTGTTCTATACCTAAAGATGGAGGACAAAGGGGGCAAACTTATGTGTTCAAGTTACAAATGAAAATGTGTTTTCTAGAAAAAGCTCCATGAATTTGATCACTGGATTGTCATTTCAGAGACGTTGTGTCCTTGTACCTTCCTCTGCCTCCTTCTTCTTTATCAACATGTTTATTTGATTTCGCAGTCCAGCGAAAGAAAAGCAGCAGTCATACGTTTGTCCCATGGGTGTCCTGAAGGGGACCCTCATCCTGTCGCCATCCTTTGCCAGAAGCTCTATAGCTTGTCCTCCACTCAGTGTGGAGCACTGAGGGTGTTTTATGAGGGACAGACGTCTTGCCACCTAAGAGTCCACAGAGAAGACAACATTCAAATTCATTGATATTCACAAATAAAACATTATAGCCACGTTCCATTGTGGAGGCCTCACTTTATCCAGCGTGTCCCCCGGAGCTTCATCCAGAGCGTGACCCAAAAGCAAGAAGTCATCGACTCCTCGAGCCACAGCGAGAAGCGAGTGACCGCCGGAGACGAGCAGGACCAGGAAGGGGAAGGCGACGGGCTGAAGCATCCTGACGGTCAGGGCGTGGGCTTCCATGTGGTGGATGGGGATGAAGGACTTGTTGTGCTGCCTCGCAAACGTCTGACTGAATCGCAGGCCGACGGCCAAGCTCAGGGCCAAGCCCGGCTTCACGGTGGTGGCCACAGCGGCGAGCCGGCTCGGCTCCACGCCGCTCCTCTCCAAAGCCTGCTGGACCACACGCTCTATGTGTTCTCTGTGGAGCTGCTGGGCCACGGTGGGGATGATGCCGCCGGTCCTGTGGCATTCAAGCAGCGAGGGGGGGGCGAGATGAGTCAAAGTGAAATCCCTGAAGCGGATAGACATGTTGAGCTGAATACAGCTGTGACGCTCACCTCAGGTGGACTTCTTTCTGTGAGTGTAGAGACTCTCCCAGTATTTGCCCTGTCTCGTCCAGGACAGCAGCTCCTGTGTCATCACAGCTGGTCTCAATGCCCAAAACCAGTCTGGAGCATGCTGCTTTTCCAAGTGAAGGAGGGCACCAAAATGGGTGCTTAAGGTGCAGCAGCCTGTGCGGTGACTTTACTTTAGTAGGGAACATGGTGACGACTCAGGAGCCCTAAGCTAGCCAAGTGTTATAGTAGGGTGACCTCCACTCATCTCTCCTTGAATTTTAAACCCATAGCATTTATTTTACAACAAAGACACGTATGGTAACGGTATCACAATAGGTTTCAGGGCTAAGAAAACAAAACCAACACACACAGAAAGCCCGTGGAGTGGCGAGCAGAAAACACACGTTTGTCGCTCTGAAGCCGCGTCCATGCGTCACATGTAAATAATTCCGTGTGGGGCAAGTCTGTGACCTTAGATTAGATACAGATTCAGATAGCAAGACACAAACAAAAATACGTGGAAAAAACAGTCAAATTATACTTGTCAAACGTATTATTTTAAAAGCTTAATATTTTTTAGGACGTTCAGAAAACAAAGCATGGGACCAAAGTATGAGCTTCATCTCGGGGGACATTTTAGTCGGCTGCACATGCACGTCAGCATGGAGTTGTGACCGAGCTTCCTGACCAAACGGTATTTTCATTTAAGTTTTGATGTCGAAGGAGGTAAAGTTGATTTTGTGTCACTTAAAATATATCACTCGTCCTTTTCTCTTAACGTGTGTGTTGGTTGCCGCGCTGTGCTTCGCCAACATGGCGCTGATAATATGAGCCCTTCCTTGTGTGTTGTGCTGCCTTCAGGGCTTAAAAGGCATGCGGAACTCTGGGCTGAACCCAGGACTCTGACTAGGTCATAACATCACTACTGTGGTGGATAATTGATTATAGACATGCTTATCGGATAACCGTACCTAATACATATTCAGATACAACATATCAAACATAGCTAACTTAGTGCTAACATTATTGTCAGCCACCAACAGGGAGATTTGCTAGCATTAGCACTTTTTTCTCTTGGGTTTTAACAAGCATTTCATGTTGACTTTCCTTAAGGAGGCATGGAACACCCAGCCTGTATTTTGGAGGATTTGAAGCAGTTTGTCGTTAACGATGCCCCACCAACAGTGTATTACCTCCCAGATTTCATATCGGAAGACGAGGAGTCTTATCTGCAACAGCAGGTGTACAAGTCTCCCAAAACTAAATGGACTCAGCTGTCAGGTCGAAGGCTTCAGAACTGGGGAGGGTTACCACACCCCAAAGGAATGCTGGCAGAGAAGATGCCCGACTGGCTCCACACATACTGTGGGAAAATTTCCTCTTTGGGTGCATTCAGCGGGAAAACCGCCAATCATGTGTTGGTGAACGAGTATAAAGCAGGAGAGGGCATTATGCCTCATGAGGACGGCCCTCTGTACCACCCTACCGTCACCACCATCAGTCTGGGCTCGCACACCCTCCTCGACTTCTACGCGCCCGTCAGCATCCGGGAGGGCGACGCCCCGCAGACCGAGGAGAACCGCTTCCTCTTGTCCCTGCTGGTCAAGCCTCGAAGTCTCCTGATCCTGCAGGATGAAATGTACCAGCGGCTCCTTCACGGCATCCAGCCCCGTGCTCAGGACGCGCTGACGGACAAGGTGGCAAACCTGTCCGCTGCCGGGGCCTCGCCAGGGGAGACGCTGACCCGGGGGACACGGGTGTCACTGACCGTACGACATGTGCCCAAAGTTATGAAGACGAAGCTTATGCTGAGGAGGAAATGAAGAAAGACTGCATGATGGCTTGATCGTTTGTTATGGTGCTACATTTGTCAGCAGGAGGCTGCTCTTAAGTGTATTTCACCCGTAATCGATCATGATTGAGCGGTGATCTCACTGCTGTTATTTTTAAGTTCAGGATGTATGTAGCAAGTAACTGCAGAAGAACATTGATGCCTTTTAAATTTGGTGTTTTTAATTGCTGAATGACTTATCAAATTGTTAGAACTATAAGAAATGTTTGTTAAGTCTTGCATTACGTACATAAAATTCACCATTATGTGTAGGCTTATGCATTGTTTACTTTATGGATGTATTTAACGGCTACAAATAAGAGTCTGCCGGATGTATAAGAATGGCCCAAACAAGTGGTAGATTTATGATTTTTCTATTGGACTGGCAGATAAGTAACAGTGAAGACATGTTTTGAGTAATTGAAACATTGTTTTGACATCATGGCATAGTTGGTTCTCAAGAGAACACTGACAATTAGTTTTTTCAACTCTAAAAGGTTCTGCTCCAGTATATAATAATGGTCAAAACAGTCAGACATTGTTTGCCATTAACAATAAACCCGTTTTACAACCAAGCTTGTGGATTTAATTCAAATGTTTCATGTGACATCGATACAACATTCTTGCATTTCTTCTTCAGAAATCATGTATTGTAACTCTCCGTTACATTAAAAAAAATGGCTAAATGCTTTGTTTCACGTACACTATTATCTTTAAGTTGCACGTGGCTTGTTCATGTTCTGAGTTAGAAGATCCCAAACTGTTGGGACACAAGCTGCCGACTGATCTCTATGAAGCAAGCGGCAGCTCAAAGGTCTTTTGGGTTAAGCGCTTGTATTGTATAACTCAGCTTGGCTTCCATTTAGAAACATCTGAAAGGCTTTTTCCATCACGTGCCCTGTTCAGAGTTCACACTGACTTTGATCTAACTCTGGTGTGAAATCACATTTCACAGGAGAAAACAATGGAGCCGCAGACGAAACGCTGGAAAGGGTCCGCGTGTGACGCCGACTCCTGGGTCGCTTTTCCCGTACTGTCAGATCAGCAGTCCCAGGACGTCGAGCTGGTCGAGGCCTTCGCGGCTCCCATCGTCGACAAGAAAGAGACCTCCCGACTTCTCCGCGAGCTGAACGCCGTCCGCCCGCTGAACGGCCTCCAGCACGTCAAGAGGGTGCGGGCGGTCCGGGGGAGCGGCGGGCCTCACCCCCTGGAGGTCCTGGTGTGCCTCGTCAGTGACGCCCCGGACCTGAAGGTGGTGAGCATAGACGATCTGCTCCCCCCGGACGGAGTCCAGCGTGACGGATTAGGGGAACCTTTCGTGGTCAAGGTCCCCGCACGTCCCCCCTTGACGCGGCCCCAGTTCGAGCTGGCGAGCAAACACTGGCCCACCTCCTTCCACGAGGACAAGCAGGTGACCGTCGCCCTGAGAGGGGAGCTCTTCGGTCCGCTTCGGAAGGCCAGGATGTCCGCGTACATGGCGGCCGCTCTGACCGCCGCCGAGACGGGGGCCGCGCTGGGAATGGAGGCGGTGGGGGCCGTGGCGGTCGATCCGGCCTCGGAGAGGATCGTCGCGGTGGGCCACGACTGCAGCGGGGACCGCCCCCTCCACCACGCAGTCATGGTCTGCATCGACCTCGTCGCCCAGAGCCAGGGCGGCGGATGTTACTCCTTCGACAGATACCCCGCTTGCAGGTTCACGCCACAGACCTCGGGCACATTTGGAGGCACGGAGGCGAGCTCGCAGCCGTACATCTGCACGGGGTACGACCTTTACGTGACCCGGGAGCCGTGCGTGATGTGCGCCATGGCGCTGGTGCATTCCCGGATAGGCCGCGTCTTCTACGGGACCTCCTCCGCCGACGGCGCCATGGGGACCAAATATAAAATCCACTCAAAGAAAGATTTGAACCATCACTTTGAGGTTTACAAAGGCGTGTTGGGGAAGCAGTGCGAGGAACTGGGTGGACTGGGACGGCCGCGTCAAAAGACGAGAGCTCATTAACAGCTCGTCTCAGCGGGATCATTAAGCCAATTGTTTTATATGAAGCCTTCTTGTTTGAGTTAATCATTGGCTTATTTTATTGAGAGCATGTGCGGACTTTCTTTCAACGTGGAGGCGTTGGAGTCATTTAGATTTTCACATATCACAAGCTGAAATAAAAACTTTTGTGTCACATTTAATCGCAGGGGATGTTACACACACTAGAACTAGTGATATTTGACTCAAATCTGAGATATGGTTTGCAACTGACTGTTTCTTCAAAGATTCATTTTTAATGTGGAATCTGAAAGTATCAAGTAGTTTAATTTAGCATTTATGTATTTCAAAAGATAATCAAATGCTCACACAAAAAATGTAAATGCGCTGTACTATGTAATATTCCTTGATAACCTGAGAAAATTCACAAATGAATTGACAAAATCTCATTAAATTCTTTATATTCCATAAACATGCTTATGCACAACAGTAAGAGAAGAAACAGGTGGAGGGCACACGCTTTTTAATGAGATTAAGAACCGGAAATATCCAGAGCTATGGCCAAACAAAGTAGGCGTAGCTGCCTTAATGATAGCAAATCTAAAACAGAGCAGCTACATGAACGCAAATGGATCAGAGATACTGTAGACCTCCCTCAGTAAACACTTTGTGTTGTCATTAACATACATGACGTTCACCAACAAAAAAAAAAAACTGTACAATGAGACGGCGTGCCCTGTTCGACATATTCACATACAAAGGAAATCGTGCAAATAAAGAGTATGATTCAATTCTTAACTCAGCATTAACAAGCTCGACACCCATTTCAAAATCAGAGTGTACCAACGATCCGCAGGCCCCCTACTCTTTGAAAAAATACATTGAGGGGCGTCTCTGGACTCATGCTCACAATTTGTGTTGCCGTGCGACTTGAGGGGCAAAAGAAACAACAAACTCAACCAAAAAGCCTCACCGGTTCCTGGGCCAGCCCAGGCCTGTGCAGGCCGAAAACACATTGTTAAATATTCAAATAAGTTAGTAATGCATATGGCATCCTGTCACCGACAAACCCCCTCCTGTTTGTTTTAAACATTTCGTCTTAGACCCGATGATACGCCTAAACGACGACAGTGACGTCTACACAAACTGTACGACTCGGTGCACGCGTCTGCCGCTGTGGGCCACAGCCTTTACAATGAATTAATACTTGTTGATGCCGAAAATCCGCACTCCGTGCAGCTGCGGCAGCTTGGGGATCAGGACGCTCAAGAGCGAGGCCGTGTTTATGACAAAGTGCGCCGTGTCATACTTTGTGTAGAAACTTGCCAGGAAGTAGCTGCAAAACAAAAAGGGTTTGTTAAAAAAAAAAAGGATGGTGATGAATTGCTTTTTTTTTATGGCTGTTATAAAAATGTTCCCTGTGTCAACATATAAATCAGTGTAAAGACAGAATCATATGGGATTGAATACATACAGAACAATTGGAGAGATGGTGAAGAACTTCTTAGAGGAAGTGAACTGCACGCCGTAGTCGAGCTGTTCCCAATGTGTGAGAAGTCTGGCTTTTCCTTGGTCGGGGGTTTCAAATGGTGTTCCTTTCACCGCATGCATGAACACATACATTCCCTGTGGAGACAAAAACACAACCAGTAGAGCGGTGCTCGCCGGCTATTTACACGGGGGTTTCCTTTCTCTTTTCTTTTTGATTTCCCCCATTATAACATCCAATTATTATGTAAAACGAGGACCATTTAACAGCCATTTTCTCACTGCGCTGCGTTGTGTCAGTGAGAAAAGCTTTCTTAATCCCACGATAAATGCTAAAAAAATCCTTTTTTAAAAGCTTTCACACTGACACAATCCTGGCCCGTTCCAATAAAGGGCCAATCATCTCCGGCTTGGTGGCAGTGCGCTGGCACCGGGCAAGGCTGGAGTTTGCCCTGAAAAATGGACTACGCACGGGACCAAAGTAAATCTCATTGTTTTGGAGGCTTAAAGAGTAGTCATGCGTCATTCTACGTGTTATAACAGACCATTAACTCAGGACTAGTAGAAATGTCAATCATTAAAAGAATTCGTGGGAAAAAAAAGGCGCTGGTACGCTGCAGAAAGAGAAAAGAAAAAATGATGGTGCAGACTTATTGCAAAGGAGGCCTTCTTAGCAACGACAACTCATTTCCAATTACCCGTCTCTTTGTCAAAACACAAGAATGCAGCTTTAAATGGAAAACCTGCATACGGAGGGAAAAGAAATACAACTGACATGCTGACATACAGCCAAGGCCTTATCAGCACACTGCAGTTGTATTGTGAGTGGAACAAAAGGCCATGGTTGACCTTAGCCGTTACTGTTAATAGCCTTCCGTATTAGCCGCAGTACACAATCCCTGTAAACGGCTTCCAGCTCGCACTACTTGATGATGTCACACACATCGACTTTGTTTTCTTGATTCGAGGCTAGTCGTGTGACAATGAAGGGTCAGTTTTGTCCACAGACCACATGTGGAGTGGGGGAAATTATCATATTCTGTCACGCTGCTACAAGGACGGCCTTCCCAAAATAGAGCGCATCTTAACAAGCACACAAGCGGAAACAAGCGCAGAGGGTAACAGACGCCAGGCTGTTTCGGCCAGGCGTGCACGCACGATTAATGTGTCCTGTGTGGCCGCAACTAACTTTGTTGCATTCAAAATGAAAAAAAAAACATTCTGACATTCAAAAAACAGGTGCTGGTTTTTGGAGGTGGCGTCGGTGCGAGGATGTGACTTACAAAGTTGTGTATAACATTAGTGAGCGTCCACACCACGGGCACGCTGAAGAAGGGTATGCTCAAGAGCACCATGTGAAGTATTCCAACCCCGAGCGCATAGGTCAGCCAGATCCCACGACTGTTCATGACCCGAGTATTTGGGTTCACCTCACTGTGTGCCACACCCACATTCATTCTGGTCTGTGGACAGAAAACGCATATACATTCGGTCACAAATCAACTTTCTGTGGCAAATGTTTCCTTGTTCATTTTGGATAAGAAGTAGTAATATTGTAAAGGCGATATCGAATGCACTCTGTAAATAAGCTACCTGCAAAAAGACAACGGGAGTGCACCGCTAGCAGGTTGCTGTATGGGTACATCTTTATTTGAAGACACAGGACTACCTAAATGCAATTGCAACACTTCAACCTCCCTGAATTTCCTTTTGTGAAAGCAAAAAAACAACCTTATTGAACTTTACCCCTCAAGCAGACAGGTTGCAAAGTCAAGGTTTTCTTTCACTTCCCCAACATGGCTTAGTGCATGACATCATTCAGCACCATTATTTTAGCAGCCAGATTAGATTTTGACATCGGATTTTCTTTTTAAATAAACACGTAACGGTATAAACACACACACACACACACACACACACACACACACACACACACACACACACACACACATTAATGTCATTCTCAGCTTATATATATCCCGATTTAAAAGACATGATTGAGACCACTGCAAAGAATAATGAAAATATCTGACAATATTCGCATACCATAACACAAGTTGATTTACAAATGTTGCTGTTAATAGCAAACTGCAGTGCTTACATGACGTTACATTTAGTTAAACAAATACATGAAATCAAGCCGATCAAACTTTTCAGTGGCCTCGCGTAAGCAGGTTTGAAAGCTACTTCAATGTTCGTCTTGTGGTCATTAACTCAGATCGCGTAAACATCGCACATGAGACGTCCCTTGTGTGGGAAACGTCCTCGTCACCAGGACGTAGCCCGGACCAAACCACCGCTATTCCGAACGGCGAGGCGCCCCATGTGTTTAAAGGCGTAGCGTTGAGCTCCCGCGCGCGGAGCCATGCAGACTTACAGGTAGCAGCGAGCAGTGGATGTGGGTGTAGAAGCAAACTGCTACGGAGAGAAATGTTTACGTCCTTGTTGATGTGTGCGGGTCCCGAGCGCAGACGGCACGTCGTTCGAGTGACCTGAGCGGAAGTAGTCGTGGTTCCGACGCAGCCCGGGGAAAATGTGCCCTACATTTGCTTCTCAGGCTGCGCCACGACACCAACAAGTCAAACGAACCAGGTCGTTCTGCTGCTTTTGACACTAAACACAAATTAAGTAAGAGGCTTTCTGTGTTTAGTTTTGTCACGCCGATCCGACACAAAGCTCGGTTTCTTATCAGCCTGAACCAGACGTTCTACCTTTCAGTCTAAGCTCAGGGTTAAAATTACCCGTCGATTATGGAACCCGCCTTCATTTCCCTCTAACCAATGAGCGTGTAGGAAAGGGGGCGGGAATCAGGTCGTTTCCGCCGTGGGTCTCATGTCTGTTTATGAATCGATTCAACGGGGTCAGCTGTCAAAAAGACACGTCCAAGTCAGTATCTAACTCATATTTAGCTGTTTACTCTCATTGATACTTTGCTCAGTAGGATTTTGTTGAAGCTAATGAGGAAGTGGAGTTTTATTAGAATGCTAACGACTCAATGCAACTCAGATAGGTTCCATAGCAATTCATTTAGCTAATGGTAACATCAGTAAATTTAATCTAGAAAGAGGGCGAAAGAGTTCGATTATCTGGTTCGGGCGATATCACGTTCCTATAATGAGTTGAATTGTTTGTGACTAAAATAACCACTTCAGTGTTTCTGTAAACTGGCACTTGATTAGTTAGTAGAAAATCTACTAATCTACTAACTAAATCTACCAACGTTAATGTTGAAGTACAGAAATCAGGGCTTGGATCTCTGTTTCAATCAAGATCAAGCTTGTTAAATGCAAAGGGTCGAGCATTCGTTTGCCTAGCTTAATGCTCTTAATGCTCTGCTTCTTGGCAAACATCGGTTTTTCTTACAAGTTTGCTGCAAATGCCACAAAATAATAACACCTGCTCATTTAATTGTCGTCATTGCAGGCCGGAACCCTTGCCTGTATTTTAATTGACATAAATGAAATTGGCTTAACATGTTTTAGATGTTTTGTTAAGACCCTCAGAGATGCATTTGGACCCTTCTGAAAACAATATCAACAACAACAACAACCAAGAGCAGTCTTAAATGACTTTTTTGCATCAATTTGTGTAGTCCTAAAAAGCAGACATGAATGTGTTCAAACCTTTTGTCTTTACATTCTGTGGCATCAATTTTTACATTGAAATTCTTGAGGAAGCGAGACCATGAAGCAGCTGCCTGCGGATACTGTGCGGCTGTTGTCGAGCTCCCAGGTCATCACCTCTGTGGTGAACGTTGTGAAAGAGCTGATGGAAAACTCCCTGGATGCCGGGGCTTCCAGCGTCGACGTTAAACTGGTACGGTACCCGAAGGACCTTAGAACGAGGAGAAACGTATTTATAAAAACATGATTAAATAGTAAATGTTGAACTAGAAGTAGTGTTGCCTGCTATATGAAAGAGTACATCTATAATTTTTGTCACAGGAAATGTACGCATGTTTATCTTCATGCCTATTTTGCTGCAATATTGTTGTTGTCATTTGTAAAATACCAGCATAGAGCACAATGTTAAAACAATACGCTGATATAAAGACATTAAAGATTGTTAATCCTCACCAGTTAAAGTACTCATTTTGGCAGTCTATAAGTAACATTACATTTTTGCAGGAGAACTCCGGTTTGGACCGGATAGAAGTGCGGGATAACGGCCATGGAATCAAAGGTGAAGATACTCCTGTGATGGCCGCGGCGCACTTTACTTCAAAGATCTGCAGCACGGAGGACCTGGAGATGCTGGAGACGTATGGCTTCAGAGGAGAGGCGCTGGGCTCTATCTGCTCCGTGGCCGAGGTGGGAAGTGTTTAAAAAGTCCTTCTGTTACTTTCCGAACAAAAGAAAAAAAGAGACAGGATGTTGCACATACTGGTCTGTAAGTTGTGTATATGCACTGAGCTAAAAGCAAAGTTCAGAAAACTATTGATGCCTGCGTTTATATTAATGTAGAGATAACAGGACTTTTTGATTTATCAGTATATGTATGAATGAATGTATGAAATATACCCCTTAATACAGTATATAAAGTGGGATTGTTGGCAACCTGATGTTTTATTGTAATCTTTACTTTAAGGTGACTGTCGTCACAAAGACAGAGGAGGATGACATCAGCACCCAGTACACGCTTAACTTCTCAGGGGAGATTGTCTCTCAGAAGCCGTCTCACTTCGGTCAAGGCAAGGCACCAATCCAATCGGTCTAATATTGTTTTTTACTATGAAAGGTTTCAGAAAAAGACACTCTTTGACAGGTGGCCACCGGAGTCCTTTAACCTTGTTGCACAAGGAGTACATTTTATGTCAAAAGCTGTCGCACAACTCTGCTCTTTGTGTTTTTTAGGCACAACAGTGAGCGTACTGAAGCTTTTCAAGAACATTCCGGTGAGACGTCAATACTACTCCTCTACAAAGAAGTGCAAGGAGGAACTGAAGAAAATACAGGACCTGCTGACGGCCTACGCCATTATAAAGCCGGAGTTGAGGCTCACGCTCATTCACAATAAGGTCAGTTACTCAGTAACATCTATTCTGATCACTTTCAAATAGCAGCATACAAATATAAACACAATTTTTATTATTTGCGGTCAGCAATGGTAACTCATTTTAAACTCCTGTTCACTTAACGGGATAATATAGACAAGTTTAATAGTGATGCAGGGATCAAATCCCAGCGCATCTCCATGCACAGCGTCCACTAGATGTCCTCATTAGTCTTCAAATGGACCAACATCACTGGCTCAAAATCAACTAATATTAGTTAACACCAATCACACCCTTTTTGTTGGTGAGTCATGTATTTAAAGTGTAGTGTCGGGGCGAGTTGTGTAAAAGTATTTAGAACCCATGTGAAATGAAATACTATGTAGGAATATTGACACACAGGAACATTATTTAGATGTAAGAGGGAAAGAAGGTGTGCTTGATTCCATGAAGCATGTCGCTACTGCTGCTGCTGCTGATACATTCAATTCATAAAGCACTTCCTAAAAATGAGCGGCTTCCAACAAAATAAGGTATTAACATAATGCGACTGGAGTAACTTTTAACCCTACATTTAATACAAATGGTATATATAGAGATGAATCCGCCCTCTTAAATGTAAAAACCTGTAATCAAACCCTGTTACACACTTGTACCCAATTGTAAAATTCACTCATAATTAGGTCAAACCTTCTAACTGTAGGGTTATAAGAGCACATTCAGGAGCTTGTTAGGCAGATTATTAATCAAAGACCTTCCTGAAGACAGTAGTTGTCTCCAGCCCTTCTGTCGTTTCGTTGTCAGTATTTTCAGCTGGGAAATCGGTACGTGTGACGGAAAATATTCATTCGGCTCGTTGAGGAACACATGAACCATTTACCGGGCCAAGCCAGGACAGATAGACTAACTAGATGGGAAGGTTACCGAGTCCTTTTCAGGCTCTGCTTGAGGAAAGTTCAGGTCATTAAAGGAAACATGTCTCCAAATGTCATGCATGCATAAAATACACCTACCTATTAAGGGACAATAATAAGACTGATAAGGAATCTTTCAATTATCCTCAAAACGTACAAGCTTTCCTGAATACAGTTTACTACATATATGTGTGTGTGTGTGTGTATATATATATATATATATATTTATCATGGCTGCTGCTGACAATCAGCTGTATTACTTTTTTCTTTACATCGTTCAGTCATCACAAAGTCAGAACATTGCAGCTAAAATAATAGTAGATCCTCACATTGGAAAATTGATTATCGAAGCAGGTAAACTTTCTACAGCTCTGCACTAGTATTTATTAAGTATACTTAGGGAAAGTCTATGTTAACCTCTTGGACAATCACATGATGGAAAATGGCTGTTTGGTCCTTCACCAATGCAGTGATATGGCATTCCGGTGCGGCTTAAAGATGCTCTGTTCTTCTGAAAGGTTCAGTCGTGATCTGCTGTAGTAAACTGTGCTTCAGAGCCTTTACCACGTCTGCTGCCATATTCATCGACCTTTAATTGTCATCAGTTATGAAGAAGTTGCATGTCTTTGGTGCAAGATCGATGTCAGCAAATCTTGTTTTTTAGCATGTTTTTATGACCCCGTCCTGCGGATTGAACCGGGTTGTAGACCTTCGGAGTGCAAAATAAGAAAAGCCAGTTTTTTCTGGGGTCATTCCATTGCATAATCCAAAATTAATCAGCAGTGGAATTATTTTGCAATTAGACATTTCCATCCCTTATGCCCTTTCCCACCACAGCTAAGCGTAACTGTCAGGTGCTCCGAACACAAATATGGCTGACTGTGAGCTCTGATTTGGCTGATTATGACACCTGAGTAAGTTGCTGCACACAGCTGCGCACTTAACCCCGGATTCGATTTCAGGCTGCAGCCAGTTTGTACACACAAGTGTACAGGTGGTGCGGGTCACGGAGGGGCCACGCGTTCATAGAAATCAGTTTCCAGGTGATTAGAGGAAAGTAGTGGAGACATTTCGTACAATCAGCACTCGGTTGCCCTTATCCTTTATCTCCAACGCTGCTATTTGGCCTTGTGTCGCGTTTCACAGCTTCTTCAAGAACCGTTTACTGGAGCGATCCATTTACATGGGCCAAATTGCGTATTTAATAGCCGGGACATGCTCTGCAAACAGAGTGCATGCTTTTAGAAATCAACACCCGGGTAATATTTTCACTGGTGGAAACAAACTACTAGCCCACACGTTGCGGGTGTCGACATTGTGTACCTGAAATATGTTGTATCATAACTGGATTAGATGGAATAGTTCATTTATTGTAATGTCGATTTAAAAAAAACAATCTTTTAAATTGGCAAACAAGGACCATTCCACATCTTTTATGTTACATTCTAGCAAATTCTTTGTCGGCTGACAGAAACAAAAGCTATGTTACGAACTTGACCCGTGTTCGTGCAGTGTGACTCGGCTGATCTGACTGGTAATAAATTATTGTTGCAGGTGGTGGTTTGGCAGAAGGCCACGGTGGCCGATCACAGAAGTGCCCTCCTTGCTACCCTGGGCGCCAGCACCGTTGCCAACCTGCTCCCTTGCCACCACCAGCAAGAGCAACCAGAGGTAAGTTAACCACCGAGGTGAGACAGAACAAAAGAAAAAAACAGTCATTAGCAATATATTTTTTTAAAAGACAACATTTGCAGTGTACTTTAAGAATTTCTTTAAATGGTCAATTAAAGGCAGCAGCAAATATAATATCTGTCTTGTCTTTAATCCGGATTTAAAGGAGCTGAGGGACTTTCTGGAACGTTGTTATTACATATAACAAGTAAAGGTGGGGGTCGTCGTGGCGCAGGGGCTAGAGAAGGCTTGCTGGGAAGCACAAGGTTGATGGTTCGAGTCCAGGCTGCCCCGTGTTCCATGTTGAAGCGTCCCTGAGCAAGACACCTAACCTCTAATTGCTCCCCGGGCAAAAATGTAAAAAGTGTAATGTAAGTCGCTTTGGATAAAAGCGTCTGCTAAATGACCTGTAATGTAATATAATGTAATGTAATGTAAAAAAAGACAAGTCACAAAAGAGACTAAAAATACACTTTTTCAGTATTTTGAATGGCCTGAATTTAAAGGGATATTGACTATTTCCTGGAGGCCTGGTGTGATGCAATTAAAAACATTCTTTAGAAAGCTTGGCGGAAGAATGTCAAGGCTGCACGGGGGAAGAACTTAAACGTAACACAATCTCCTCCCGGGTGTTATGGTTCATGGGATCAAATTGTGTCCTGCGGATAGAATTGGTTTTAAGAGGACGCATGGGGAACAGGACCCTTTGCCTAGTACAGAGAACTCGCTACGGAGCCTGGTTGCCGAAACTAAAAATGTTTCTGGATTGCAGCACATTAACAAACACAAAACCCCTTATTACAACCCGTTTTGTCAAGATATTTAAGAAGAAACCGGGGGAATTTAAGAGCGATATACTTTTGATACTGTTGACCCTGTCTGACTGTCGGTTGGACAAAGTCCCCTTCGAAAAAAGGATGTGATTAATGTGGAGGGACAACAAGGAGTGCAATGCACTATGATGTCCCTTTGCCCTTCACGGTGGGGCCGTCATGGCAGATCACCTCAATGTCTTCCTTGTTTTACTTGTCTAATTGTCACTGTCAACGTTAAATGCCCGGTTGAGATGGACGCTCTTTGGGGGGGAAACGAGCGCACGCACGTTACACACTGGGCCGTGAGCTAATAACCTCATCACCAACGCCTGGTCTCAAGCCAGCAAATGTGGTCAGCTGGTGGCCGGCCAACTATTCATTCCCTTGTCCTTTTCTCCCGAGTTCTTTTCCTGATGAAGGGCGAGTGCTTTCGGTTAGCTAAGCTTTGTTGTGCTGACCGTAATTGAATTACCGTCAAGCGGTAACTTTTCTGCTTGGTCACGGTAGGCGCCGTGTGGCTCGCACCTGCCGCCGGGCCGCCAACTAATCGAGCCCGACGGATGTGGAGCAGCCCTTTCCACCCCGTTTCTCTCTCCTCTTCCTCCTCCTTGTTGTTGTTATTTTGCTGCCGCGCTTTGGTGCCCGGTTATGCGAGCGACCTCTCACCTTCCTCTCCCTCTCGCTCCCTTTTCGGCGAACGTTTCTCCTCTTTGTCCCCGACGCCGCGGCTTAGCGATCAAGGGAACCGGGTTGACAACTTCGCCTGGGGCCTCGCTCCGGGAGAGTTGTGAGAGCTGTGCCTCTGCAGAACAACACGTGACGCTCTTCTGCGGGACTACGCGCCGCCGCGGCCCTCCGGGGGCCAGAGGGGCCATTCGTGTTCCCATAAAGTGACCCTAATGAGCAGAAACGGACAGAAGCACATGTGCCCCGACCTGAAACAGCAGTTCATTTCTTAACTTCGTTAGCGTGCGTTGCTGCTAATAACGAGCCCGAGGCCGCGTGTGTGTGTGTGTGTGTGTGTGTGTGTGTGTGTGGGGGGGGGGGGGGAGAGGGGGGTCTGTAGAGCATTAAAAGCTCTCCATAATTTCTTACTAGCTTACATTTATAATGTCGTTTTAAGTATAATTGTTCATGAGCTCATGAGAACGGCCTTTGGCGCGGTTGTAGGTGAAAGGTAGTCGCGTACGGCGTGTTCGCAGCAGGGCGTGCACGTCGAGAGGAGCCCGCACACTCGGGCGTCTCACTTGTTTCCAAATTTACTGTAAAAAACAAAACGTAAAGGCGCTGAAGAGTGTTGCTTCACCTCCTTGTCCTCATTGCACCGGGACAGTGGACAGAATGCTGTGACCGGTGCGGAGTGCGTGTTTGCTTGCGCACATCCAGAATTCCCAGCTGTGCAGCTGTGCTGGCGGCGGAATGGATCGGTGGAGGTTATCAAGCGTCCGGGTTTTAAGGGGTCACCTCGTCGTGCCGCCGCGCCACACAGCTGCTGAGCAGGGCTGAAGCTGCCATTCAGGAAACGTCCAATTCAGCGCTCTGTTAAAACCGTTTTCTGCTGTGAAGTGTCCGTTTTTCCTGGTTTATGTACGACACCTTATTTGTTTAATATTCACATTGTTTTGTATTTCATTCAGTTGCTTTTAGATGGATTTTTTCCAAAGCCTGGAGCGGATTACTCCTCAACCAGCAATTCCAACCCTGACAAAACATTTATATTTGTCAACAGTCGGCCTGTCCACCAAAAAGACATAATGAAGGTAGAATCTTTCTGGGTAACTCCCGACAACACAATTCCTACAACCACACTCTGTTAATCTAATCCATTTATATGTTTTTGACCTGCACCCTTTATCCCGCACTGTGTGTGTGTGTGTGTGATCGATGGTCAGTTGCTACGTCAACACTACGCCGCTCAGTATCCCGATGACCCGGCCCGAAACCGCTATCCCACCGCCATGCTGAAAATCACCGTCCCACCATCCTCAGTCGACGTCAATCTGACTCCGGACAAGACCCAGGTTCTTCTCCATAACAAGGTAGCTCTGTCGCTAAATCTGTTCGGATGCCGTCCGAGGCGAGATCCAGCCTGGCTTTATTTTTTAACGGGGAACAGGCCCTCGGCTGCCACGCGCCGCTGGATAATACATGTGTCCGTATCGTATCGTGCTCCCTTTTGAAACGCAGGAGGCCGTGCTCACCGCGGTAGAAGCGTTACTGGTTTCTCTCTATGGCTACCGGGCCGACGGCGACCCCCCGGCGGAGAAGCAGGCCGGCCTCGAGACACCCCCCTCGCCGCCCGGCTCTGTGCGGGCCGACGCTTCGCCGCCAGACCAAAGTGCGGAGCGGCACGCCGGCCTCGCCGGTCGCCGCGGTAACCTCCCCAACAGCGGCGGCGACGCCGCCCCGTCGGCGGGAATAAGCGCTGATGCTTCGCTGCGCCGCCGGACCTCTGACGGCAGCTCTTCGTCGTCCGTGGCGGAGGACTGGGTCGTCAACCAGATCCCGGCCGGCGTCGAGTGCAGCGCGTTCTTCCACGCCGACGAGACGGCCCAGAGCGCTCGGGCGGCGACGGTGGGTTTGGTGGAGAGACTCGAGGACGAGGACAAGGCCGCAGCCGCGTCAGGCGCGGCCTCGAGTGAAGGCCGGATATCGGCCGCGGACTGGAGCCGGGGGACGGCTTTGATCGACCCGGCGACACGAGAGCCCCTGCGGCCCGTCGAAATCCATCAAGCGCCGAGGAACGGTGCCCCCGACTGCGAGGTCGAGGGTCGGAGCAGCTCGAACAGAAAGATGCTCAACGCCATCACAGAGAAGCGGGCCTCTCTGACGGCCTACGACCTGATCAGCAACCGCGCCACGAGGGCGCCGCTGACTCCCGTCGCCCTGTTCGAGAAGGAGGCCAGAGCGGAGGTCCTCAGGGAGAAACCCACGGCCAGCCTGCTGGATGTCAGCGGCGCCGTTCACGAGAGGTGGAAAAATCTGAGGGAGGAGGACCGTAAGAAGTGAGTTACCAGGCTCTCGTCTTTCCAAGCGTTTTAAAAAATGTCTTACTTGCAGGGCAAAGAGAGGAGGGGAGGGGGGGACCTGTCATTTTCACGTGTACTGTCTGGAAATTGTGTTGATGCGAGTTATGTTACTAATTTCCACTCTCACTCATTTCCAGCGTCTAAAAGTGTAGATGACATTTACCGAAGTAGAAGATTTACCACTAATGGTAAAACATGTCCTCTATTTCCAAAGTACGCCATCTACCCAGAGAATACACGCTTCTCACATTGCAGTTGTCTTGATCTGCCATACAATAGATCCCTTACAGGAATGAGACACTATGACACTCCTGATTTCTAAAAAAAATAGAAGTTTTCAGATTCTAGTCTCTCTGTCCATATAAAATATCACCCTATTTCACAAGTAGTATGAGCAGTGAGCCATAGTCGGCCAGTCAACCTCGGACTTGGCACAGAAGAGATGGATGTGTTTTTTCCCAAACCTCGCTCCATCAGAGTCAAAAGGTGAATTTGCCTCCGACTCAAGTGTAAAAAAAGTCCAAAATCATTAAAGAAATGTTGCTACTATTGGTCACAGAGCGCCGCACACAAATCTTTCGCAATCGTTTGATTGTATCAAAACCAAAAAGGAAAGGAAGTTGAATCTGGTCACATGGCCTCTGGTAACCTCTCCAATGGTCCAGATGCTCGGCCCGATCAGCAAAATAAACGGCATAGCGTGCTGCCTACCTGCTGAGCTCCTCGGCAAAGAAGCTATGACGGCGTATAGAAAAAAAGACATCTGGTTAGAATCCTGTCTTGTTACTGTTACTTGTGCTGTTACTGTCGTCTTAAACGTGAAACAAGCACTATGCTCCACTAAGCTAAGGTAACCCTAATGACATCACTTGGGTTATTTTCTCAGCGTCTTTGGCGTTCTCCCTTGCGACGAATGAACCGAACTTCATGTCTAAAATCGGCGGGGGGGCCTTTGGATGGAGCCTTGTTTTAACCCCGGTGCTTGGGCATATTTTTGCAATACAAATAGTGAAATCAGTGCGTGCTTAAACGGTAACCCTAAACGCTTGTCACTACTGTTGTAACTCAAAGAGACTCTGTTGAACAGGTATGAGGAGAAGGCCCAAAAACACCTGGAACACCACGACCAAAGGACCAAGTTGGCCTCTGCCGAGGGCCACAGAGGGGCGAGTGGGAGCCCCTCGAGGGGCCCCGCACAGGGCCAGAAACGCAAGGCCCCGCTGTCCAACCAGCAGCTGCTGGACCAGCTCTTCGCTGCACAGCCCCAGAAGAAGGCGAGGAGCCCCGCGCCCAAACCCTCGCAGCTCCTCCCCTGCAGCGTAGCTGCCCTTCGGCTGCAGCTCCAGCGCCTTTCATCCCAGCGCAGCGCAGTGCCACGGGGCCTCCGTCTTGTAAACCGGCTGGCCTCTCAGAGCGCCTGGGTCATTTTATATGGTCAGAGGCTCATGTTGTTAAACCCATTTCGAGTGGAGGAGGCCTTACTGTTTAAGAGACTCCTAGAGAATAATATACTTCCAGCAGTGAGTCTCCAGAACCCCATAGAGTTAACAGATGGGTAACGTATCAGCCGCTTCTCACCTGCAAATTGCACACCCTTTGGAGAGCTGCACGCTCATCCAATTTAGTTACACACACACTTGCTTGAGATCTTTTTTTTTTTTTAAATAAATAAATCACAGTCCTTGATGTTGAACATCTCCTTGTCTCTCTTTTATAGAATTCTAGGGGGGGCTGAATATGCTGAGGCTTTGTGCAATATGGAGAAACGGAGCCCCGAGCTAAACGGAGGGGCCTTGTTCTGTGATCCCCGGCTGCTCGCTAACGGGTTTGAAATCAGACTCACTCCAGGTAAATTGTAAACAGGAATACTGAGTGTAACGCTGTTATATGAGGAAGTCTAATACGATGGAACCCTCAGAAAACAGGGCTTAGTTTCATTATGTTGTGGTTGGGTTTTTAAAGGTCTAATGGATTATTAGACCTTTAAATGACCTTTCAGTCATTTGTAAATGTCACAGAAACAGTCCTGAGTAACTGGATTACAGGCGATTATTTCTGACCGTTTTTGGTGTCAGATAAGTCTCAGATCAAATTTAGATATTCCCATTCTTTCAACAAATGTGTCCATTATGAAGAACTATGAAGAATTAAATAGAGACATTTTTAATCACGCTTATTAAATGGAGACGTTTTTCATCATGATGATTAAACATATTTTTAGTGTTGTCTTTTACAATGAATCAGTTGAATCAGTATGATTAACACATTCAGAATTTTATTATTATGTACATTGATCAAATCATCTTTTTTTCACACACACATAAAAGGAGTAAACTACAGTTTTGTGAGTTCTATTTGATGTGAGCCGTTATCTTAATATTTACCAAACTTACCATATTAACCAAAAACCTAATATCTAAAACATTTAAGACGAAGAATGCAGATAAGATACAATGCATCTGATCTGATAGCGTAATTCTTGAAGAAAAAGCATAGTTTTTCTTCAAGGAGATCACACTTCTGATCTTTAAATTGATGTAATGTAAGAATAAACCCTAACATCTCCAATTAAACTTGTTTTTGTTGGCTTCTTCATCCTAATGGGACATTATTTCTCCGTCCTGCGTGTGAGGGTTGCACAGTGTCCCGTGAGCGTTGGTTGTTTTTGTTGCTGGAACGGTTCACCTCAGTTGACATCGGATCTCTGCCGGACTGAGTGGTCTCACAGTGGGTTTGTACCCCAGTGGGTACAATGTGCTCAGAATGGTTGCCCTTTGAAAAATTCCAGGAATTTTCATTTGGTACCTGCCAGCCTCGGTGGGTGTGCATGCGAGTGGGGTGCAACGTAAGCTGCACAAATATGGAGGTTTCGTTGCGAAATGCTGCATGTCCTAGTCTTAAACCGTTATTGCTTTCTACGTATTTATTTTAAGCCAATTTACTGGACTACGCAGTGTTGCACAGGCAACTCATCCACCATAGACGTATGTAAGTTAAAATATTATACCAGATCTAAGTTTATTTTGCATCCAAAGTCATGTGTCACTAACATAAATTGTGCATGAATTTCCTCATAAAGTGAAAAGCTATCATTCTTCCACCCTACAAGACAACTTCCTTCCAGTCTGCTGGGCCTTCTATTAGTCATTAAGCACTCCATTTGGCCCTTCGCTTGTTTGACTTGGTCCTCATTCCAGCCGTAAACTACAATATTTATTTATTATTCTTTCCTGAAGATAGTAGTAGCGTCTGGAGTATATTTATCCTTGTTTTCTGCTTGTTTTGGCCAGGCCTCACGTCGGCCGAGAGACATCTGGAAGTGACAGCAATGGCAGACTGCGTGCCTTTCCTCGGCGTGGAGGACCTCAGGGAGATCCTGACAGCAGTTCTTCACAGGAAGGCCCGGACGCTGCAAGAGTGCCGGCCGCTTAAAGTCAAAAACTACCTGCAAGTGAGAGACGCTTTGAATTAAGCTAAGCAGTGGATGACGTTTTTGCTCTAATGTGTCGGAGATGGATATATATATATATATATATATATATATATATATATATATATATATTTGTCTCTTTTACCTCACAGGGTGAAGCGGTACGACTTGCCCGTCAGTTACCTACAAATCTATCCAGGGAGGATGTGGAGGAAACCCTTCTACGGATGCACCAGCAGCTCGCTGGGAGCAACCAGACCTGCATCCACGGACGGCCGTTCCTCCGACACCTGTCAGACATTCCTTCCACAGACCAGGAAGCTAAAGCTCTGCTGAGGCCTTTGGAGCTGTAGGAGGAAGACACCTCAATCCAAAAATATCAGCAGTGCATCTACGAAGCAGCCGCCTCGTTTTAAAGTGACTGATATTTGCAGTGTGTTATTTTCATTCTGCCCAAAGGATGGCCAACTTTGTTATAGAACAGAACATCCAAAATAAAATAATTTGTCCACATTTGATCAATCATTCAACTCATGTCAACCCTAATTGTCCATTTATATTTTGTTCTTCCATTTTGCAATATATGACCTGTAGTTCATTTTACACAGAATTGATGAAGTAAAACTATGATGTTTAATCTCTGATCAAATAATCTCAGTTTAAAAGAGAATCCTATTTTTCACAGGGCATTAAAAAGACGGTGGGGGGGGTTATGGTTTGGCTTGGCCGTGGAAGCATGCAGTTTATAATCCTCAAACAGTATAGATGAAGAATGAAAACATGTGTCTAAGCATTTGACAAGAGCTTTTCATAGATTATGTTGTCAGTTAGTGACCAATAGTCGGGGACCAGATTTGAGTTGAGTTGAGTTTTACTCAGAAATAGCAACTAATTTCCAAAACATTTCCAAAAATCAGAAAGTGTTCATCCTAGGATTTTGATATGTAGAGAAAGGCAAAACAAACTTAATAGTGCATCTACAGGAAATCTATTAAACTTTGTTTGCAGTTTACTGGCAAGAAAATAACTATATATATATATATATATATATATATATATATATATATATATAGTTCTCTTACAAAAGATTAGCCAGAATATCTCTTTGTTTGAATTTTATGTTTCAGTTTCGTAGATCAATTTATTTTATATTTTGCATTTACTCTGATCAACAAAAGCCTTCTGCGACCTGCAGAGAGACATCTGACCCCTTGACTTTACTTGGGTCACGTAGGCAGAGTATCTTACCCATGAGCCTCATTGTGGTTATTGGTGAGCTCCAACCACAGTCCTTTTCCCTCAATTAGTCGCCCTTTTCTATTGACAGATAGTTGTATATTATCCCTGGCTGCAATAAATCCTACAGACATTTACACTTCAATCATTTAGCCACAAAATTGATCAAATCCTTAACACTGCTTTAACTTGTAGTGCCGCCACCTCCTGAAGACGTCTGTCACGTCATCAATGAGGTTTCCTGTTGGCAAACAAAGTCAAAGCACATTAGCAATTATTTTTTTTAACATCAGTACAATTTCTTAATATTTCCAATAGGCCTTATGTACTGAGTAGTGGCGTAAACCGAGTGTGTGATTTCATTGGAAAAGGTTTGGTTCTGTCATTACAGCAAGATGGGCCGTGATTTAACCACACCTGGAGAACAGGAATACGTAAAAGCCACATGAGGTTTCCACTCATCGCCTTTTCACATGGACACTGAATCCCACCGCGGGGAAGAGTGCAACCTGACCCCTCGCCTTATGATAATATTATAGTTAGGGCCGTGAAAGGTCAAACCCCAGCACACGTCTTGTTTTACGTGGCCTCTGCTGAGAGAACCCACAGATGGCTTCAGCATTGCTGCAGGGCCAACGCTCCGCACAGTGCCTCTGGGAAGGGGATAAATGCCAGCGACGACCTCTCGCCCTCCTCTAACCCTTCGACCCGCTCAGCTTTTTTGCGCCTCACTCTTGCACGGACTCTTGTTCGAAACTTCTCACACCTCAGTCGCAGGTACAGAAAATGTGTACAGAATTGCGCACGGCAGCAGGATGTACTCGGTACGCGGTGCCTTCGGCACCCAAGGGGCATAGCAGAGTAATTGGCGAGGATTCACTGACGATCGTTTTTTGACCATGTGACCGCACTGTTTAAAAAGTCTGCAATAGTTCATTTTACCAGCTGTCTTTAAAAAAAAACAACCCACCTGTTTCACTGTTTTTGACATTTTCTACAAGCACATTGAGGTATTCGCTAATGATTAACCCAACGTTATGAACTGTGTAAAGGAAACGTTTTGGAAGGCGCACAAAATGTTGAATATCCGAGCCATGATACAAGAAGTCATTTCATATACAACGTCAGCAAGACAGTTATTTGTTCTCAGATTACCGCCCTAATGTGCACAGCTACTGCTTCTCAAGTTGTAATCAGCAGCCCGGGCAACTGTACACCACTCATAACCCAGAGGTAACAGTGTGCAGAGTCATCAAATCCAAAATAAAATTACATGAACTAAATTTAACACCTTTAACGCTCTATTTTAGGAACGGTTATGAGAAGTGGTCACATAGAAGCCCGGCACCGGGTGCCAACAACACCTGTTTCTGTTTAGAAATGTGCAACTTAATGGAGAGAATGTAGTGATCACATGAGAAAATAGCATGACGCATCGTCAGAAGACTCAGATGCCATCGGCACATTGCAAAGACTAGATCTCCACACGATGTCGGAACACACACACACACACACACACACTCGTTTTCAATGTTCAGAATCCAGAGAGGATTTTTTAGTAACATCCCCAAAACATCAACAAGTAAACTGTGATCATGTGTTTCCCCATGACGGAAGCCTTTTACCATGTGCAGCCGTTCGGAGCAGCCACAGACATGTACGGACAAATCTTTAAACAAACTGCTTTGTATCAAGCATACGCTGGTCTCTAACCAACGCATATCTGATTAAAGCTAAGTCTGTCTAATGCCTGACAAAAATACACTTTAAAATCACAATCTGAGTGATTTTCAACTGATAATTCAATGTAAATTTGCTTGGATTCTGCTACTAACGTTTATCATTTTTACCTGCACAACCCAAATAGACTAATCTAATATGCTATGATGCTCACCAGGGCAATGCTCTGTCCTTGTTCTCCATTAGCTCTGTTGTGATTTAGCATATTAGCATGAGAACGTCGTACAGGTGTTTACTAATCAAAGTACTGGTAAAGTTATGGGATCACATTATTATAATCTGAATCAATTTACACTAATAAGCCCTCTTGAATTGTCTGGGTGTGTACAGACTTTGATTGACAGCTTCTTAGTTAGTTAGTTGTGTTACGCAGTATGATTGTATATCCACCTACTTCCAGGAAAGGCTTCTGTGTTTTACCTTCTAAAAAATAGTCGCCATAGTTGGTGCTTTCAACTGTCGATTACTAAAACTACTTCTCCAAAACCAAAACCCAGTACACACACACATCAACGCCAAACTTCTCCAGAAGGACTTAAGAAAGCTTCATAGACCGTTAACCACACCATGGTCCATATGGGACCAACAATAAAATCTTGCATCTAAGTTTGTGTTTTTCAGCTGGTAATTGGTGCTGGTGCCCTGTTGTGACTGTGCACTTTTCTGCCAACCACAGAAGAGCCACTTAGTTCTTTTTACGGGCTTCAGGCACACACTAATGTGATGGGCGTTAAAACGCCACAGGTTCTCAACTGTTGGAGAATTTACTGCCACACCACATTCAATTTCATGGGTCAAGGGCATCCACAGTGGGGCCATCAGGTCTGCTCTTTTTTTCATTTTTAATCACTTGACAACAATTCCCACAGCAAGTTTAGAAGTTGTGCTCCAAGACTTGCTACTGGAAAGGCACATTTCACTTAGTTTACGTAAAGTACATTTACACAAATTCACAGGGCAAAAGAATCAGGCTCCTATGCGCAACCAAACTCTGCTTTCAAGGAATATCAGGCCAGTAGAACATGTTGACTTCAGACTTTTGAGAGAATCCAACCTATAAATAAACAGTGTTTATTTTTCAAATAAATATGCCGCTAACACACCGAAACATTTTTGACCGTTGGATTTCCCTTCATATTAAACCAGCCTGTGCGCAGACGGTCTCCACAGAGGCGTAACTCTTGAAAGTCCTGCTTGACTCAGGGACGTCACTCAACTGAACTTCCTACAATAATCTGTAGAAATGTACCATAAATGATATTACTGAGATTTCAGGATTCATCCCGGCCCCTTGACACATACCTGATACCTCTCTACATCCGTCTGTGTTAAGAGCATAGGCGTAGTGTTGAGAGACAGGAGGTTTCCATAATCTGACCTCCCTTAGTCTCCTTGGAGGAACATCTATTCTTCATCACTGTCAACCCTTCGTCCCCGGAGAAACGATGCTTTGCTGCTTTGGACCTTGGATGAATTTTGGCCACATTTTTCGCTGGTCACCTAACCCTTCCTCGCAAACAAACGCTGACTTTGAGGAATTTTGTCAACATATCTGGCGTTAAACCCCAAATTTGTCCTGTCTCCAAAACGTTCAGTGGCCTTACAAAGTCATTAATCATGTGATAGCTTCCCAGAGGTGACTGTCAGTCTCGAGGTAGGAATAGTGATTCCTCATCCCGTAAGTGAAAAAGCAAGCGGAGAGCGGACGGAAAGGATTAATCACTGGGGAAGTGAAGACAGCAAGCATTCAGCAGCTGGCCATCTGGCCCTTATCGTGTCCTACGCTGCTTGATTTTATTGCTTTTCACTGCTTTCCGTAGACCCAGGAGGGATTTTCACAAACAACCTGTCAATCAGGCTCGAGGTGATCTAATGGTTGGTGAGGTGATTTAATCGTGCAACTTGAACATCATGGCCACATAATACAAAGTTTAACAGTGGCACATTGTTCAAGTGACCCTGGACATTGGACTCTCAGTACTGTGTGATATTTAAGTTACTGATTGTAATACTTTGTCTGGAAAAACGTTAATTAAAATGTTCCCAAAGTTGTCACATAAAACTGTATTTTTAATCTACTAGTGAGCAAACCTAATGGATGGACCTCCCCATCTACAACATGACGGTTTCTGTAATTTAATGATGTTATAAGCCTGGCAGTGGTAAAAAAGAGACCATTTTAGTACGGTGGCCCTGAAGTGCAAATCACAACGAAAATAGGAAAACACAACGACGTTAACTTCTTACGGAAAGAGTAGGACCCATCTAGTAGAGGACGGACCCCGGATTGGACAGACGGACTGACTGTCTTTTAACCCTCTTAATCCGAAGCCTTCCGCCGGCGACGGAAAGTGACGTGGAGGATTCAAATTACCGTGACTCCTTAACTATTTGCACAATCAACGTAATTCTAATGGATTCTGAAAGCTGAGAAATGCCGCTTTCTAGATTCCACATTTTATCTTTAAAACCTCATGGCAGCCCCCGCTACATGTTGGGTTACTGATAATAATCTACGAGGGTGAAGACAAAACATATCACTTAATAACTGTAAGGAGACAAAAAGACACTTGCAGTTAAGTTAAAATGTTATCTGTTAACCCACACAGATGCTTTTAGGGAGGATCTTTGGGCGTAAATAACAACAGTATATGCCAAACGTAGATGGTACATCATATCTAAAAGCCAGGAACCTGAAGATTAAGAGATGCAGATGCATTTCAGCAGTGTATGTCAATTATTATCATAAAAAACAATTCATATATTCAGTGAAATAAATTGTGAAAGTGTCTATGGTGTTAGAACATTATGATGGCAGCATATGATGCCATCTCTCGTGCGCTATTTGGTCTTAGAGGTTGTTGCAATGATTTGTTGGTTGAAAGGTTTAATGTTACCACCGTTGAATCGATTGAAACTCCTCTGTGATTTGACATCGAATACTTTATCTTACATTTGTATTTTTGGCGATTGGACGGCAACTGCTAACCAAAAAAACATTTTGTTTCCAGTTTTTGGTTATACATTTCCATGAAGCTGTCATTGTCCTCTCAATGGGTAATTTTATACACAATTGTCTAGTTTTTCAATATGGTCTCACCAAATTGAAATGGCTACTATGAGGACTAACATAGCATGAATACGATTGTGCACATTGCCTCTACATTCCAGTCATACAGTCATACCCGTGTCATCATAATTTTTCCCTGCTACGGCAGACAGTCATCACTGTGATCCCGCGGGTTTCAGAGGATGTCATACATCACTATTTGAGGAGCTTAAGTTGTTATGTTTTGTTCCTGTTGAGGGGGGGGGGGATAAAAATAATGTCTGTGCATTTTTGCTGTAAACATTGTTTATTTATAATTCATGATATCACCCAGAAACGTTCGCTTCTGTCTCTTCATCTGTCGTCAGTCTTGAACCGTGTTGTTATCGAGGAAGATCTTTGCCGCAGAGCAATCTGCCAGCAGTTACTATTCCCCAGAGGATTTGCGCTTCTGTTAAAATACTCCAGATGTTTTTGCATACACCTGGCAAGCCCCCTTTCTCCCAACCGGTAGTCCATGGCCCGTCACCACAGCCAGGACAGGGCATCCCCTCGTTTGTCCAGATGTGGGGGAAATCTGGAGGCCTATAGACATTCTGCTCCTTAAGGTAACTGACTATAAGGGTTTCTGGACAATGAAAATGTAGAGAAGAAAACTCCCTTATTATATGTCATTATATTATATGTTTATTCAAATATTCCTATAATAAAACATGGCAAGTGCAGCTCTAGTTGATGCACGGAAATCATGATCCTGACAATTATCAAACCTTCATTCAAATTTGTATTCAACCTATTGTAAAAAGTTATGAAATATGATTCCTCCATATACAGTAAGTTAACACAGAGAATATAATCATTGTACACACACAATGTGTAAGGTTTAAAGTAAAGGCGAGCAAACAGACACACAGCTGATTGAAGGGACTTTCAGTTTGTCTGTAATGGATAACCACATCCCAACAGACGCTCAACAGCTCTGTCTACAACTCCTGTAAAGCAACTACACTGACCTTCTCTGGAGACCCTTTAGACCTCCCTAAAAAGATAGTTATAATATGGAATCCCGTGACATTTTCTATAGACTATGAGACAGAGATTTTAATTCAAATGTTGGGATTTCATTGTTGGCTTTGTGACCCTTTGTGTTTAAAAGGTTTAAAAGGTTGACATTGTTTCTTAGTATTAGATAAGCAGAGCCTGTTTTCGCATTACAATCAAACCTTATTAAGCAACTGTGTCACGCGCCGTTAAATGACAACGGGGATCCTGTCCAATAACGGGGTCTCCAGCTGCCTTGGACTACTCCTTCTCCCCGCCGACATCCCTCTTCCCGTTCTCTCACTCTCACTTCCTCACCTGTCAGAGGTGGAATGTCGCTGGCGGATACAGTCCTCCAGGGTCCGACTGCCGACAGATGTGGCGATGCTCAGTGAAAACGTTTCCCACCTCCTGTTCGCGAAGTCGCTCGAAACAAGCAGACGGCAGACAATTAGTGCAGGACACGTCCGGATGAAATGATGCACCTGAGCATTGTGGAATCATCCAGCTGATTACAGCTGTAGCTTTTTAGCTGAAGTAAAAAGGAAGATGGTTAAAAGGTTCAGGATGGTAAACTTGTTTTTGCACCTCCTTCTGTTTCCAGGTAACTTTTGTGTTTTATATCTAAACAGACATAAATGCCTCAAACATCAACATTCAAATGTGAAAACCCAAATTGTGTAAAATTGCTACTTTGTAGCAGAAAGCCATGAAAAATGGACCAGTAATGATGTGTTTATCCTTTTCCAAGTCTCATTACACAGCATTAGTAACAATGTGAAAGTGAAGAGCTGGAATCTGTGGAAGAATATTAGATTTATAGAAAGTTCACGTCAAACTGCAGATGGAGAAATCACAGTTCACAACGAAGGAGATAATAGATCTGGAATTGGAAGTTCTCTCTTCTCTTCAATCAGCAACAGACATTTGGCATTTTACCTTTACTTATCTCTTGTCAATAGAATGCTCTCTTGTTTACATATGTTTTCCGTTACCCCCCCCCCCCACGCTCTCCGGCACCAGCAAATAGAGAAGAAGTTCTGTGGATCCACTCTGCTCTCCGCTGCAGCCGATCCTCATGGCAGCTCTCCAGCTCTCAGCAGGAAAGGAAGCGGCTCTCGGGGGCAGTGCTCAATTCGCCCTCTACTGGGCGGAAGTCGGGCCTCAATGAGGCCGTCAGTCGAATGGGTCACGCTGTCAGAGCGCACCGGAGTTCACATCCTCTCATTAGACAGCAATACTTTCATCATCCCTTCACGGGGCAAAAAAGAAAAGAAAAGCTAAGTCAGGGAAATCGGGCTGAATTACTCTCACAATAAAACAGGCTTATGTTGATGGGATTGTGCAACTTTAGTCAGGTAGAGAGTGCGCGTGTTGTCATTACTTTGCTCCGGGCACAAACACACACACACCAGTGCACGCACGGACACATTCTCACACCTCCTGCGTAGTCAGTTTACACCATTTGTTGAAGGCATAAAGATTCTCAGCTGCTGTAGTGTGAAATGGCGCCGCCATGTTTAGGTTCAGGCCGTGGAGGTGTGATACTGAAACATCAAGTTTGGATTTGATCTGAGTCAGCAGAATGATACTAAGTCCTCTCTGAAGCCACTGATATTGTGTTTTGTTGTAAGTGGGATTTCATATTGTGTTTGAATACACAGACACATTGTGTCCTCCGCTTATTCCCGGGATGAACATGTATCTGACTCAAAAGTAAATATAACTTAAATGCTCAAAATGCTTTAAACGCTTGCCTTTGGGGAAGTGCAGCTGGTAAAGTCAAAGAAACCAAACTCAACAAACAAGCCAGAAACTTTATTTGTTAAAACAAGTATATAGAGTTGCTGCATTACAACATTTATCTTGCTAGATTGTGGTTTTATACATTTACCAACAGGTGGTTTAGAAGGGCAACCCCTTATGGAAACAATGGCATATGTATACAATACAAATTAGCAAACATATCAAAATCAGTTTTTACAACTTTTGTAGCAACCAATTATAATATTGGTGTGCCATAGTGCAAACTGTGCTGTTTGTAGACAGAGTTTAAGCATGATCTCAACATTCATACATCTCAATAATCCATTTTCATTGTCTTAAAAACATTTTTGTTTTTCATTTGTAGGCTGCATTCACTGTGCCTTCAGTTCAAGTCCTTCTGTGCACTCTTGTGAATTCACAATCAGAATAATTCAAGTGTATCTCACAGGTTCCAGGCTCAGGCTGTTTTGTTGGATAGATCATGTCTGAACACGAGTGCTCCTCGGTTGGATACGTCGCCGCATGTGTGTATGGTGAAACCGGGTCAGGAGTGGTACTTCACCCCGGTGGAACAGTGGAACAAACCAACACGTCACCACCTCTGTTTAGGGTTTTATACCCAATGCGGCAACTTAAAGTTGAATGCAATACAAGAGAGAGAATGACTTGCAATTGATTGTCCAAAATTGGGTGCAGTTCAAATTATACTGGAGTGATTAAGGGTTTGCCATGCAGCCACTTTTCATCATTTGTACCAAAACATGTTCTGCCAAAGCAGAATATCCCTCGTATCAGCCTCCAGTTGTGTTTTTCCGAGCCCTTTTCAAAAAGTCCATGAGGTTTTCACTCTGACAACATAACTTGAAAAATGATTACCACAAGCACATATCTTAGCAAAAAAGTGTAATAGCTTTTATGTTGGCTACATGTGAAGTGGAGTAGATGGCGTACGAGTATAATCTGTCGGCATGTGTGTATAAATGAACAGCAGAGAACACAGATACGGGGGCAAAAAAACGTTTTTTGCATAACTTCTTTCTACCTTCCCTCCCAGGTTCGCCACGTGTGTTTGAATGTGTACGTGACTTTCTGCATCCATCTGACTTCCAGCCTCTATGGCTGAGATTTCAATGGAGGAAATAAAAGCAAGCGCTAGGCTGGTTGTGAAAGCGCTGCCCTGCGGGAGGGTCGGGCTGTTTGCGGCTACTCTGGTTCTACTGCACCGTGTTCTGCAGGAAAGCATCGGAACTGGCGGATTGGTTGTGTTAAAAAAAGTTTGAAGTTGGGGGACGGAAGAAGCCACAGCCCCTCCATCCAACTCAAGAGCATCCACAGCGGTCCACCACCATGGAAGGGATCTTGCCGTAGATGATCTGCTCCTTTCTGTTAAAGTAGAGCATGTTGATGGGCGACATCTTGGTGGGGGTGCAGCAGGGACCGGCGCTCCCTCTGGGGTTGGCCTTGTTCACCAAGTGGGTGTGTGGATACTTCTGCAAGTGCATGTACTCACACTCCCCGGAGCAATAGTTGGCCTTGTAGCGCTTCGGTGCAATAATCCAGTCCCAGCCAAAGTCTTCAAAGTCCACAGTGAGCGGGTAACGACAGCACCGGGACTCCAGAGAATTCTCGTCACAGTCCAGGCCCGAGTCTCTCCTAACACGCTGGGGCCCCTCTGAGATCTTCACCTCCATGAACGGTTGCTGCAACGACAAAGCGCCTGCGTGAATGCTTTGAAAGTGGCCAAAGGAGGCGGATGACAGCATTCTTCCTACATCTTTTAATCTGGCGCCCCCCTCGGCCCCCTTGGCAGCTGGTTCTAAAACATGGCATGATAATATTATGAAACTTTGAGTTCTAAAGGAATGAAATCATCTTACGGTTGGTTAAGCACGGCCGTCCACCGGTATTCTAATTGCCTGACAGCCAGCGCCAGTACTTGAGCCGTGCGATAAGTGTTTGTCATCGATAGCTGCAGTGTGTGTGTGTGTGTGTGTGTGTGTGTGTGCAGGCAATTACTCTGATTTGCACAGTCACACAGAATACTTTAAGGAATTTGGGGCAGCTGACTTTTATGTAATCAAGCAATAAGATTTGAGCTTATTGCAGACTGGGCATTTGTCCAAATGCAGGTGTGCGCCTGCATGGAGTCTGTGTTGATTAACAGCTTTCAAAAGTCTTAAATCTCGATTCTAGCTTCCAGCGGAGAAACGCATGAATGTTTAGCCACCTGCTGACTCTGCAAACCTCTCTGCACAGCCCAGAGTCCAAATCTCCGGACGAGCTCAACAAAGAAATCAAAATGCGCTGGATGTTTAGAAAGGATTTTAGTTTCATGCAGGGTGTGATAATCAGCATCATAGGACACAGTACCAGGTACATTGGGCATGTTCTGCTGCTGTAGCTCTGCGCCCATGCCGTGCGTTTACTGACGAGACAAACAACCTTGTTCTTAAGATTTCAGCGCGAAGCAAATGAAGGATTCATCTCACCAGTCCTTCCTCTCCGGGCTCTGTGGAGGTTACGGCCAAGTCATTTCCCCTCGAATCGAAGGCGTTAATCTCGATTCCCCAGTTGGTCTCCGGCTGCTGCAGCCACACGGCCAACACTTGTTTGACGTCTATGCTTTGCCAAGAGCTGAGCCCGGCATTCACCTCGATCTTCAGGGAGCGGATGCGTACGTGCCTTCTCCCGTCCGTGACTGGCATCAGGCGGGAGAACTGCATGAACACGGTGGTCGCCTCCTCCGACGGGCGCAGATTCACCCACAGCTGAGCCCGCAGTATGCGAGTGGCTTGAAGCTTTTGGTTGAAAGAGAAAAAGCAGCACTTTGGTAGCCCGTCCGTTTGGACGATGGACTCGGCTGGAGGGAGACATGAAATGAACTGGCGTAAATAAGCGTCCCCGACCCCCTTTGAAAGTGGGCTCATGACATTTAGAAAACTTCACAATCTGATCGCGTAATAAGCGCGCGCGCTGTCTTCCAAACTGTACTCTCGTGCACGTGCAGTTTAAATCTAGGAAATGCTCGTCCACATATCTATAACCAAAACCTGGTTAAAGGTATGTGTTGTTGAAATACATACTTTCGTTGTTCCTCCGTGCGCTTTGTGCCGTGCGTAAAGCATATATTGGAGACGTTGGTTTGCGTCCTTTTCATTATGCAAAAAAAGGGAAATAAAGACTTACGTGCAGTGGCCATCATCATTATTGTCTCCGTGGTGGCATGCTCGTCGTCCTCCTCCATAACCACATCCTTGTTGTCGTCTCCCAGCACGTCGTACTGGTCGAGAAGCTGCTGCAGCGGCGGCGCTTTGGGCAGTAGCTGCTTCACAATATCTCGGCTGATATTTGGAGCTTCTTTCATTCTCAGTTTGCTCAAAATCTGAGATTTAATCGCGTTTAATCGCATGGTTTTAATCTGCTGTCGGACTTCGCAGCTAGCGCACTGCTCCGTGTCCTCCGGGCTGGTGGCGACGGGCTGCTGGTGCGTCTCTTGGTCACTCAAAACTACTGGACCCAAAGCAATCAGCAAGCTGAGATACATCACAGTCTGACACAGATGCATCCTCTCTAAGGTGTGCAGGTTTGTTTAAAAAAAAAAATCCCGCGATGTGTGCTGGACCTACTGGGCGACTGGACTGGGATTGGATTAATGTCCCACTCTGATAGGTATCACACTTTATTAGCGCACACCTTTTTATACTCCAACTTTAGGCTCTTTTGTGTCGTCAAAAACTATGATTGGCTGGACAGGCAACAATGAATTTTAACCGACTGACATGATGACTATTTTCCGTTGTCAAACCATAACGGGATGGAGACTGTGGGCATGTGCTTAACGGGTCCACGGGCGGATAGATCCACTTTTCTTACATTCATTGCGCAAATTGCTTGTGAATTTACACATGATCCCCGTGCGTAAGCTCCTTATGCAGACCGTGTTCATTCAGTTCTTTGCACTGTCTCCATTTGACGTGATCTCGCGTGTCTCCGATATTATAGACAGAGATTAATGCATTCTGTTATAATAATTTTGAAACCTGGCTGTAGCCAAATTATCCTTTGCGGGATAAGGAAGTTTGACTTTACTTACGAACCAAATGAAGACAAAACAACAGCATAGCCGATATTATAAACACATTCATGACTGTATGCTTGTTTTAAAGATTGCATTTAAAATCTATTCCACTTTTTTCAAATGTGTACGTTTAACTTGTTCAAATTCAAATAGTAGTTGCAATTTTCGCCATTCAAGTCATCTTGGGTCAGAGAAGCTGATTATCAGCACACAAACAGTCAAAAAGTAAAAATAGACTTAATCGTACCCCCTACTGGGAAAAATAAAAATAATTGAAGAAAATAGATGAAAGATAAAGTAAAGTATCGATGACTTGGTGAAACCTGGTTGTGGCAGATGAGAGGACAGCGCCATCGTGTGGCAAGCTCATGTCAGTCAGATCAGAAAGGCCAGAAGTCACACAGCAACCTGATGATTTGACATGTCACATGACGTGCACTCAGGTAAGCCACTGTCCAATCAGATTGGTAATGAGCAGTGTCCCATTTACCTGAACCTTACAAGTTGTATCATTTTCCAGAGCCCACTCAGCTCTCTCATGTGTGGCAGCATCAAATAGAAGGAAGCGTTAATCACGTTGGCCGTAGGAACTGATACATTATTTATTATGGCCTGAGCCGACTGAAAGTCGGGCAAAGCCCTATTGTATTTTTTTTTTCTTTTTTCACCACTTCAATCGCACTCTTGAGGCCTTTATCATATTCAAAAACTCTTGAATTTTGTTGTGCAAATCAGAAGTGCAAAAAAATTTGCCTCAGGAGCTGCTGATTCTGTTCTACACCACCATCATCCAGTCTGTTCTCTGTTCTTCCATCACTGTGTGGTTTGGATCGGCCACCAAACCGGACAGAGCCAGACTACAACGGATTGTCAGGTCTGCAGAGAGAACTAATGGTTCTATCCTGCCCTCCATCCTGGACTTGTACACCTTCAGAGTCAGGATACGGGCTGGCAAAATCACTGCAGACCCCCTCACACCCTGGACACGAGCTGCTCCAACTCCTCCCCTCTAGTAGGCGCTACAGAGCACTGTACCCCAAAACCACCAGACACAGGAACAGCTTCTTTCCACAGGCCGTCACTCTGATGAACAATTAATAAGACACCTCCATCTGCACTACTTGCACCACTTGCACTACATATTTATATTAGACTACTGCCACTTCATATTTATATTGTACATATCAGTAATGTTTATGCTTAGTTTTTGCGTTCTATTTTGTTGTTGTTGTTAATGTCTTTTTTCATTTTTTTTAGACAGACAAATTCCATTTATGTGTAAACATACATGGTGAACAAAGCCGATTCTGATTCTCATTCTGATTCTGATTCTGGTGACTTTGTTCTGCAGAGACACACTCAGTTTTTTTTCAGTCCACAAAATATATTTGCCAGACCTCTACTCAATCAGAAAGGTGTGTACTTCACAAGTTAATACATCTCTGTTTAGCAGAAGCTGTGTGATTAACTCCCATTCTCTGCCTTGAATGAAATGGAAGTGATATTTTATTTACTTTTTGCATGTCTTTGTACAGCAGGCCCGGTAGCCCAATGCAAGTGTTTTGCTTACAGACCCCAGAGACTCCCAAATCCCAAAATACCCCACACACACCTTTTTTCTCTTACCTTTTTTTGTTTTCTTTTTGACCGTGTGTCCGACTGACCGCTGCACACCCAACATGCAAGGGGAGACATTGTACTTATAATGGCCTGCCTCTGGGTACTTGAATATGTGTTTCGCAATTAATTGCACATTATTTTATTAGCTTATCATGGTGAACACATGTAGTACTATGTAGGTCCATTTTTTGTAAAGGAAAAAGAAAATTTGACAAAAGTAACTTTATATATAACTTCTGCAGAATTGCTTTGAACGACAATGTAAATATGTATCTGCAAGGTATACTGAGTGTACTTTAGTGATTGTAAATAAGGAAATTACCTCTTTATAGCTGTTGTTTTACACACACAAATACATAATGCTGTAGCTGAAGGTTGTCTTCACTTCTAATATTTATCGCTAACAATGAAAAGTGCTCAAACTAAAGTGCAAACCATTTTGTCCTCAACTGATATCAAGCTGAACCAACCAAATTCTAGGTGACTCTCCGAAACTTGTGAGTACTCACCAACTCAACTCAAGGACCCAGAGTTTTGTCGTTCTATTTGGTGAAAACAAACATCTATTGCACACACATTCAAAAAGTAGCTAAATAACTTCTCAAGTGGACAAAGGTAATTGGCAGTGAAGTTGATGATGATAGCATGAATGAGGTAAATAGCGTAATTAGCTCTTCTTCCATCCACCAAACTAGCATACAGACCTTTATTCCCATTTCTATACCCAACACACCACGCAACTTATTGTTAATCAAGGAAAAAATGGTGTACAATATGGCACCAACAATATGTGGCTCTATATTCCGGTCCCTGATTATTATGGTCAATCTAGTAATAATTACAAATGCATTACACATGCAACAGGACACAAGTTTCAAATGTAAACCGTTCATATTCCAAGGTGGTTTCCAGCAGCTTAGCGTTGAGTCTTGATCTTTACCATCACCCTTGGGTCAAAGTCAGGGGATCGAAGCATGGAAGTCAGAATTCAATTGACTTCTTAATAAGGCATATCTTGGTTACAGCTGGAAAAGGTCTTGATCCGTACTTGTCGTACAAGTCCTCTCCAGACTAGAAGATGGTTGGCTTGAAGTCGTTTGAATCGGTGGATTCCTTACTGATGTGTCTAATGTTGAGGATTGATTCCATCTCACAAAGTGTGTGTGTAGTGATTCATCGTCTCCAACATTGTGTCGTCAGAGGGGAGTTGAAGACCGTTCTTTTCGAGGGCTGGAATACTCTGTAGTGTGGAATACTGACTCTATTCCGCATGTCCAGTGGCTATGAGATTGTTGAAGGTGGTGTTGTCTTTGTGGGGTAATTCATCACTAATTATACTCCTCTGTCCACAAGTTTTTCAGTTGTGTTGTTTAACAAATTACACAACGGACAAGTATTCATCCCCATTGTTATACCCAACACCACATGGCTTGATTGCTGTAAATAACCAAGAAGGGTGTAAAAACTACAATACGTGGCCCTTACACAGATTTTGGAATTGGTTTTGTTTCTCAAAAACCTTCTCCGAGCAATTTGAACAAGAGGACACATTGCGTCTATTAAGCGAGTTGCTGCCATCCTGGACTCTTTAAACGCAGCTGTGAATAGTGAAGTCCGATCATGTAAACACTTCCTTAGGTTGATATCGCTCATGTCCGGGAACGTTGTGATAAAACAACATTCATTTCTTATCTCGTGCGAGAACTTTGTAACTGGCCTCACTGGAGACTATTGAGCAGGTTCTTTCTCTATCCAAAAGTAAATGCATTTATTTTTGTGCGTTTATTGTCTTGGCTGTAATTCACATGTGGGGGAAAACAAGAAGCGCAGACCAGCCTCCAAACTGCCAACATCAGAATGTTCAGGAGTTCGTTGGGTGATCACAGGATGATACAGTGACATTAGTTCTTATTTTCTTGACTATGACTTGGATGAAGGTCTCTTTTGCAGCGTTGGGAACCATGGATGTCTCTGTCTCTGTTCTCTCCATTGTTGTGCTTTCAGTTGTTGTTCTTTCAGTTGTGCTTTCAGTTGTTGTGCTTTCAGCTGTTTATTCTGTCTGTGTTCAATCCGTATTTGATGAGTCAGTTGGTGTGACATCTCGTGGTGTTTCATCAGTCGGTGTTGGCTCTGTTGTTGTTGCTCTTGAATGCATTTGCTTCAGTTCCTGTATTTCCCCCATTTGATTTCCTACCAACGTTTCAAAGTCATTGTAGTACCTTTATTGTAAGAAGACCAACTCGTCAGCTTTCTGGCCTCCTGTTCATATTGCTTCTACATTTCCTTCAGGTACGTATCGTATTGTAACTCCAGTTCTTCTCTCTCCTTCTCCTCCTGCTCTGTCCTAGTTTGATCATCTTCTTCTTTTTTGATTTCCTGTCTTTCTCTTTCTTTTCTATTCTTCTTGCAGCGTTTTCAGTTTCTTTTGCTCCAAATACATTTCCTTTTCTATTTCTTGAGATTTTTAAGCCACCCTTCTTTCCTCCTCCCACAGCTTTTTTTGCTTTTCCATCTCTTCTTTACTCTCTTTCACCTCTTCGACAAGTCTTTGCTCCCAGTCCTGTTGTATAATGTCTTTTATTTTTCTGTCCTTCTCTCTTTTCCAGTTTTTTCCTTCTCTCCTCTTGCTCCTTGTTGATGTTTTCTGCCATTTCTTTGAGTTGTTTGGCTCTCTCTCAATTGCAGCTTTCGGTTGTTTCATCATTCTCTTCATTGCAATCATTTCTTCCATGTGTTTTTTTTGGAGCGTCTCCTTCTGTCTCTGCATTTCTTCATCTTCCTCATTCAGAATTCTCTCCACCTCTTTCTTCATTGCTGCTTCGGTCTTTTTGAACATCTCTGAGGTGTTGCAACCGCCTCCACTCGCCTCCATCACTTTGTAGGTTTTCGTCATCAAATCTCTGACTTGGGTGCGCTCGGTTGGATTCCTGTTATTGAAGACTTGGTATCTGCCTCCACAGTCTTTTATCAGTTTTTTCAGAGAGTCGTCACAGTCCTCTAAGTAACTCTCAATTGTTTGATTTCCCAGTTCATCTCCTTTGGTGAATACAATGACGATGAATTCTCTAGACTTCTTTCCAAAATATTTCTTGATGAGCTCCACAGACTCTTTCTCCTCTCTTGTAAAGCGTCCGATCTGCAGCACCAGTAAGAACACGTGAGGTCCAGGAGACAACAGGCTGACACATTTCACCAGCTCCTCTTTAACTTCATCATTCGTCAGAGTCGTGTTAAACAGGCCGGGGGTGTCGACTACGATGACGGGCTGTCCATCAATCTCTCCTGTTGCTTTCTTGCAAAACTTGGTCACTGACTTTGAGCAAATAGCAGATGTAAAGCTTTCTTTGCCCAAAATGGTGTCTCCTGTTGCACTCTTTCCACTGCCAGTCTTCCCGATCAGCACCATCCGGAGACACTCTCTGCCCCAATGCTCAACATCTACTCCAATCTTACTTTTAGGTTTTAAATCATTGACTTCAGCTTTAAGCTTTGAAACCTTCTCCATCTCAGCCTTGGTTGACATCGTTATAGGTCCACACACCTCTCCCTGATATTTAATGCTCTCCGAGGAGTTGGAGACTGAATGAAGCTCTGTCTGACGTAAAATGGCCCTGGCTGCTGAAGTCTTCCCTGCTTCCCGGTTCAGAGATGGTTTCATCTGGTCAGACTTTGGTGTCACGATCAAACCCTTTTCCTCAAACTTGTCACATCTCACAAGCTCTCCATTGTTCTCTTTTACAGTTTGACCCAAACGTGTGAACAGCTCTGGACGTTTAAGGTTCTTCTGGTTCAGGTATCTGTATCTACACATTTCGATCATGTCTTTTAAGGGCTGGTCTTGGTCCATGAAGCTTGAATGCGCCTCTCTAGATGTCGTTATCAGGATGAATGAATGATCCAATGGTCGATGACTGAAGCATTTCAGGACCCCGCAGAGCTTCTCTTTGAGTTCCTTAGTGAAGTCCTCAGGCTGTAGAACCAGCAGGAACACATGAGGTCCAGGACCAGAGAGACTCTTACACTTTTCTACATGTTGAGTCAGTTTGTCTTCAGAGATGTTGGGGTGCAGCAGGTCTGGAGTGTTGATCAGAACTATCTGTTTCTCCTTTAATCCTCCTGAGGCTTTCAGACAGCAGCCTGGTTCTGCCTTAGTGTTGAACTTGGTCTCTCCTAGGATGAAGTTTCCTACTGAACTCCTCTGAGACCAGCTGTTCCCCAGCAGAACGACCCTCAGCTCAGACACTGAGAAGGAGACATAAAGTGATGAACTATTCTACAAAAATCAAGACTTCAACCAAAACGAAAATAATAAAAATAGATTTGTAACAAATGAAGACGTGAGCTTCTTAAAGGTTAGTGAATCATTTAGAAACTCCAACCTTCACCAGTGACACATCACACATAAACACTGTAATCAGATTATAATAAACAGAAGTCAAACTCACGGTTAGGTGGCAGGAAATCATAACTGCCGATCCGCTTCAGAGGCTGATGATCATCTGACACTAAGAATAAAGAGACTTGATTTATTCACAAGTTATCTTTAATTAAGAAGACACTGTCTGATAGACAATTTGCTGGAGAAATTCTGTTACTTCCCCTTATTGTTGTCTGATAACTGAATGCTGTCACTTACCTTTACTTCACTCCAGTTAATGGGTCTGTGATTCATGATTTGGTGTAATTCATTATCATTATAATGATACGTAATGATTCAAATGAGCTTGTATTGTCTATGACCAACCAAAAATAGGACTGATTGTACCATTTTTAAAATGTTATTGTTCATATGTACCAACTCAGTATGAGCTGTCAGGCCTGTGAATTAACTTTAGTTTTTACATTTTTCAAAACAACTTGGTTTGTAATTACAAAATCAAATCATTGGCCTCTCAGAGGAAATGTTTCTTTCAAACAATAAGATAATTACTGGCCTTCAAATAACTTCAAGTGAGAATAAAAATAAAAATATGGAATCCCACAAAAAGAAAAAAAAATCCCCACAAAAACTAAATAAATGATGAGAAAAAAAGTAATCAGAGGCAAAGAAACGGAGAGTTATTACTCATGTCTCTCTCTCTCTCTCTCTCTCTCGCTTGCGGCAGTCTGAGCCCCCTGCGTTGCGCGTGAAATCCTCAAATTTTTTATTTTTTATTCATATCTGTTTCTGAGACTATTTAATGCCACTATTTGTTCTTTACGTGGTTTACTGTGTTTAAGGAATTTCAAATTCCCCCACCTCCTACGATCAGTTGTGGTTTGTAACTTTATAGTCATTTTACATACTGTAACCACTATGTACTGTATGGTTAATTGTGATGTGCCTCTGGTCCTGTGCGTGTGTGCTTGGCATCGTTATCGATGTTTAAAAGTGTTGAACTGGATTCATTGAAACATTGTTGCAGTGTTTCAGGTCATTTTCACACCTGTAGTTTGTTTGTTTGTTCCGAATCAGGATTTAATACAACGTTGCAGTTGTCCCTTTGTTCGGTTTGTCTTCACACAAGATTCAACACCGGACCAAATATTGTAAACAAACGAATGATCAAACTCTTCTCCCGTTGTTTCAATTGTATTGCAGCTATGAATAGGCAGATAGCTATGAGGTCTGAAAATAAGCTAAGCTAAGTAAGGCAGTTGCCTGTTTAGGCCACAGGGTGGCACTGTTCACATGAGGTTTTTTTTAGTTTTTCCCGTGTGGGACGCCACGTTTTTCTTTAGTGTTTAACTGCCTTTGCCCGTAAGGTAAGCGTGGTCAGGCATCCTGCCTTATGTACAAATATTATGTTTAAAGAAAAATTAGTTTATGCGTTTGTCACTTCCAGACTGGACTACTGTAATTCTTTGTTATCAGGCTGCTCTTGTAAATCTCTTAAGCCTCTCCAGTTGATTCAGAATGCTGCAGCACGTGTATTAACAAGAACTAAGAAAAGGGATCATATTACTCCTGTATTAACTTATCTGCACTGGCTCCCTGTTGAATCAAGAATAGAATTTAAGATACTTCTCCTCACCTACAAGGCACTTGCTGGTGAGGCACCGTCGTATCTTAAAGAGCTTGTAACACCGTATTGCCCTACAAGGCAGCTGCGCTCCATAGATGCTGGGTTACTTGTTGTTCCTATTCAGCTTCTTTCCGGGAGTTTTTTGTGCTTTCTCCCCGATCAGGTCTCCGTAGATCGTAGTCCCTTCTGGACCCTAGTCCTGACACCTGCCGTTTTTTCTTGAAAACTTTCAGAGTTGACCTTTTTTTATTCAGTCCCATACTGAAGTTATTAAAGTTATGTGGATCGGCACGGCAGTTTGTGTCTGTTAACCCCGCCTTAGCACCTGAGACCTTCTGGGGCCTTCTCACCTTGTTGTGTAACACCCTCATCTACCGTTTGGCACGACTCGCTTTGAAGAAGCCTTTTTTAAGCGTCCCGCCTCGCTGTTGTCGGCCCTGTATGAAGGTTTCGGATCACCAACCCCAATGAGTAGGAACTTGTCAGACCAGACCAGGCACATTCTGACCCCCAACTAGAAATTCCTAGCTCAGTGTTGTTATGACTTCATGTCAGTTAAGATCAAATTGTAAGATGTGTTGTATGAAATGAAGGAGTCTTCTTCAAAAGGAGCAAACATTTTCACCTCCAGTTTCCTCATTGTGTTGTTGGAATGTGTGTTCAGAAGCTTAAAAACGGATTGGTTTTCACCTGTTACACCAAATTTGGTGCAAAACAAGCCAGAACTGAATTATCGAACAAATATATATAATATAGTAACAAAACATTCAAGTTTTGGCTATAAAATGCACCAACCCGTTTTTAAAATACTCACACACTACAACAAGTTATACAAAAAGAAATGCAAATTAATCGGGATATTATGCACTATGCGCTGAAAAAACTGAACAATGCTTCGAAGCTAAAGGCTGAAACGAAAACGTCACAGCAAACAACAAGCCGAGAACATTGCTCTCTGACCAACCATGCCGAATTGAGTGTACGAAAAACACCAAGCCATCAAAACGTATCATTCATAAGCATCTCCTCCCGTTTTTGAACAAAATTATTAAATGAATCCGCCGTTTCTGCAGTGCAATACAGCCCTCTTGCATGACTCACACAGCTTACACGACAGCAGGAAACACAGCAGGAAATTATACGGACAGAATGAGGAAACATGTGTAATTGTACTACATGTATAATGAACTCACCGGGTGTTTCTGTCGCCATGATGTCGCCTTAACTTCTGAACTTCTGATCTGAAAAAGTAGAGAAAAGTTCCATCATGTTAATTAATGTGTATTTTTGTTGTTATTAACTAACATATTTGTTTACACGCGTGATTACCTATTTTCTCATATAACATGTATATGCAAACATGTGACTAAACATTTCAGGTTTGTGTGTTTTAACCCTCCAAAGATGATGTTATTATCGAACTCGTATTTGTACAGTGTGGTATTGTAACTGTACCTCTTTGTTAATCTGATATCTGTTCAAGGAAAAATCAAAGGATTTTAGATCCAAGAGAAACAAAACGCGAGTAGAAGCAAAGAGTTAAACAGACAAACAGGATCAGGTCATTTGGACAAAAAGCACGAGGGATCCATGACAGCAGCAAACCCGGCAGGGAGCCAGGAAGCAGAGAGAACGGGAGGACCCAATCCGGGCAACACAATAAACGAAGAAGAACAAATATCAAGACAAAACTTACATCAAAAGTTCCCTGATGCAGAATTTCAGTTGGTAACTCAGGAAAGAAGTCTGACGTCCAGCCTTGATTGCGCTTCAGGTTGAAACATTCCTCCAGTCCTTGCTGTCTCTCTTTGCTTAGATTTCCTCTCCCGGTGCATAATGTGACTCTGACACACAACCCTCCCCATGACAGGCCCTGCCCATTCTCAGGAATGAACCTTAACCGTCAATCAGCAACAACAAAATCATCACAACTCCTTTTGTTTTATTTTAAGTCATATTATCACACAGACATCTTGCTGTCCCTCTTGTGAATTTGTTCTGCACCTTGTCGGCACTCAAAAGGAAAACCGAAGATTTGATGTGTTATTTTTAAATGTATATAACTAAGCATCTTAAAAAACCATGAAGTGGATTTCCATAGAAGTGCTTTTATCTTTTGCAACTGAACCGTAGTTAAAGTGTCATATCGTTCTGTTGGAGGAGCCGAACAAACAATGAATGAATTGTATGAATTTGTAAAATTGTCGTAAAACGCTTTATTCGTAATAGATACTGTATAGCTCGTTAATGTTGAATTTCTAAATGTTTTATTGGTTGACTGCACAAAAAGAGGTAATAAAGAACCATTAAATGGCATAGGAAGTTAATTATACATTCAAACAGCATTAATATTCACTTTGATAGCATTGCTACAATGAAACTGTTTCATGTTTTCTCATGATTGATGCCACTCTGAGGAGGGAAGCAGACGGGGCCCTGTTGTTCCTCATCTTGTCAAGAGGAAAAATGACACAACTCAATTTACTGAGGAAAAACATTTGAACAATTTCAGTTTCCTCTTAAACATTATTCTTTGGATGGATGAATAATGTCTCCCTCTGCTGGAACAGACGCAACTGTGTAGTTTTTACATCCGCATCCAATTCATCCAACTCATAGACAGGATGTACAGGGATATATATATATATACACCGCTTATCCTGCACAGAGGGTCGTACGGGGGCTGGAGTCCATCAACTTCTGGCAGATATGTTTTGGGAACTGAACACATTGAATGTGTCTCTGCAGAACACCAGCATTTAAACATATAGGACAACGTGGGTGGCTTCCTGAAGAGAGCAGAGAACGACTGCAGCGTCAGGTCAATTGGTGATCATGGGGGAAAAGTAAGTTTATAGGCCAAAATTAAACATGTAAAGGGGGTGCTAGAGAGCCATTTTTTCAAAACCAAATGCACAACGCCAAAAACATCAAAGGTTTTCACACTTCTGATTTCCAAGAGTTTTTGAATATGTAAAGTGCGATTTAGCGCAATAATAGCATCTAGAAAGTGCAAAAAATAGAGGGAATATTCACACCAAAACAATTATAACTGACTTCCTGTTCGTTTTAGAGAGTGTCAAGGTACTTTCTTTTAAGTCTCCCTGTCATACATATGTTCAAAAATAATTCGATACCGTGCCATAATTCGCACAGGGTTCAGACAGGGCGCAGGGACTGCTTCGTTGAATACTTCCAGGGCGCAAATTAGTAAATGCTCAAACCAAAGTTAATTATGTAAGAGAATAGCTGAAGGCTGAAAGAAAGTGATTTCATCCCAAGGAAATACTTGATTGACTTGATACTATGATTGAATTAGTTAGTTATACATTCTTTGAGTTTTAAACATTTAACACGATTACAGTAATTAATGATACATACAGAAATATAATAGTTTAAATACGCCATTTTTTTTTTTACTGGGGTAAAGAATCCCAATACGCTTAAACACACCGAAAGTCAGCACACTTCTCTTGGATCGGTGCAGCGCTTGCGACCCGCCGCCAGGTGGCGGTGTCGTACCGGCTCGCCGCGGCGCGCAGCCACCTGTCAGCGAGCAGCGGCCAGACTCCCGCTCTCCTCCCGAGCTTAACCACTTAACTCCGTGCAGACGTTTGATTCCCTCGCTGCTGGGGCGCGCCAGTCGGCGTTGGACACGCGTAAAGGCAACAGGGAAACCTCGGCCGTCATGTTTACTCCTCCCTTTTAGGGATTATACCGACATGTGACGCGGAGTCCTTCATTCTTCAATAAGCACGCCGGTGAGCTGCAGCAACTTTGGATGTATTATATATAAAATATTTTCTTTCTTGCACACAATCAATAACGTGCTAAATTGAAACCCCACGGATGGTGCGCGGAGAGCTGAGGAGTGGGCACGAGAACCCGCGCCATGCCAGGTGATGTCCGGATTATTGTTTACTTGAACGACCTTGGGTTATTTCTACCGTCGCTGGGTTCTCTTTTTGTTGACATGGAGGAAGCCCTGACGCATTTGCCACACTCTGCTAAAAGTATGTACAGCTCTGCAGGATCTCAGCACATCCTGTTCATTTTGATGGCATGTTTGCAAGGCTTATTTCCATTAATGAGGTATCAGGTTTATCCCAAATCCCATGTGTCTTGTCTGACAGCCAATTGATGCCCTCGCACTTGCACATTAACAATAACACACACTTGCCACTTTTTAATCTCATTCACACGATACCAGATTTGGCGGAGGATTTGGTGACATTTGTAAATTCTTGCCTCACATTGTTGTTTATACACACATAGTGTGTGTTGGGCATAAATCATTCATGGCCTGGGGTGGTGTAGACCAAAGCATGCAGCCTTCTGAATGGAGCGCATGTTTGCTGTGTGCCAGGGCCTGTAGCCCCCCCCAAAAAAAGAGCTGTCAGTGTGAATCAGGGCGTCGGGACTCGCTTAGTGAAGGACGCAGGCTCCAGACAACAAAACAGCATCAGCGCACTCAACCCAGAGACAGACGTGCCTGTGTCATCCAACACAAAATAGGCCGAGGAAATTGAGTCATGAACAGTTCTGAGGTAGCAGAGACGGGGGGGGGGGGGGGGGTTAATGCGCGGTTGATGTGCAGAGTGTTATTTTTTTTTTAAACGTGATGACGTGAGCCACCGGAGGCCCTGACCTCCAGTCACATCAGTTCACGCTGTTGCCACAACCGCTGTGGAAATCCTTTTCCTCGTTGCCGGCGTCTGGCACACGCAGGCAGCCTCCGATTGAAATGAAATCACTATACATCCCCCGTTTTACCTCTCCTCAACTCTCTCCGCAGTTGAGGAAGCGACGGGCCTCCGAGGGAGCAAGACTGACTGTTTCAACGGCACCAGACCCACACGGGGATGGGCCTCCTAGCCGCCGTCGCACCAGCGCCCTCCGAATTTCCCAGGCGTGTCGTCGCTCGGACATGGATGAGAGAGGGAGTGGATGACGCCAGCTGAACAGAGCAGAGAGAAGTCGACCGGGGGGGGAGAGCTTCTGCTGCTTCTGGGCCGTGACTAATCCCTGGAAATCGAACCAAAGACTACCGCACGTCGCTGCGGCACTCCCGCCTTTGGAGTGAATCAATGCGACATCCTCCAGAGCATGGGGTGTGTCAAATCCAAGAGGTGCGACTCTGCTGGCCAAAATGCAAACTCCACAGAGAAGGTGGAGGGCAAAGCGAGGGGCGAGAAAGCCTACTTGCTCCACCCAGAGGCGGGCTCGCCGGAGAGCTCCCTTAAGGTCAACCCGGTGCTGCTGGAGTACGCCCACAGGCTCTCCGAGGAGATCGTGGCCCGGGCCGTGCAGCAGTGGGTGGAGGTGGACCGCCGCTACATCGACATCCCCTACATTGAATGTGACGTGCCGTGAGATGAGCAGGGATGTCGCAGCGGGAAAGGTCGGGGCCAAACCGGGAGGGCCTTGACCTCCATGCTGGAGGTTGAACCCGGGGATTGAAAAAAGGTACCGGTCTCAAACGCCTTTGTTCAGAATGAATCTCTGGAGAATCGACCTGCTGTGTGTAGGAATATGAATGAGCTGCCAGTAATTCTGATTCGACCTCCTTTTTTTGGTTGGGATTATACTTGGATAGAGCCTGAAAACCCTCCTGCGAAGCGACATCCGTATGAAAGCTGCCGCCCGCAGTGTCTGCCGGCTGGATGTCTCCTCCCCGTCACACCTTATTTGTTCCCCCGAACCCCGTCGGTCCTGACTGTCTGCCGCCGGCGCCATGACGCGAGGCAAGAAGCGCTGTCAGATCGGCCTTGAATTGTAATGCTCCTCCTTGCCAGTGAAAGTCCATCCTAGTCATCGCCGCCGCCCCGGGGTCGAGATTCAGTCCTCTTACGGAGGAATTTATTAATAGGTCCCTTCATCTGGCCACGACTCTCAGTCGAGAGCCGTCACAGGGAACCGTCGGGTCAGGAACACGCCCCGCTGTTCTGGCTCCTTCCGCTCGGACAAAAAGCTCTGCGGGCTGATGTTCTCCTTTTAATGGCCTCCCTGGAGATCCTTGTGGCCGAGCTGCAAAGAGGAGCGTCTTCACCCACGTGGCCATTAGGACCGCAGCCGCTGCACCCAGCAGGCAGACAGGCCCCTGGAAGTGAATACAGGAGGTCCTCGTGCATTTGTGTTACGTTATTCTGTGTACACAACGTGGGAACCTTTTACAGCAGGACTCACTGGGGACCGTCAGGCCTGTTGGCCCAGTGCGTGAGAGAGGATTGACACACTTTTCAAAGAGGATTTGGCTCGCTAACAGAACTGGAGTTGAAAAAAACAACAACAAAAAAAACACATGTTTTTTTGTTTTTTTTTAAATGTTGTAGGTGTAATTTTTGTCAACATTGTGTTATTGTACAACGTCTAACTGAGAAATACTGTCATGTCCCCGATAGAGGACAACAGCACAAATATGCAAACCTCGAAACCTTTGACATGTCACTTCAATCTCTATGTACTGTTTATCGTCTTAAAATAGGGTGGTGCCGCACCATAAAGGAGGGCAACAATACAAACCAGAGGGCGGAGGAGAGATATTTGGAATACCGGTTTAATACCGCCAAGGTCCTTAATGAATGTTACTATGGGCCCAACACTGTTTTGTAATGTATGATTTATACCAGAAGGTACGCGATAAAGGTCCGGTCTCCGTTCACCGGACTGAGATGTAGTGTAGCTGCACATTGGTGCACAGGTACTCTTAATGATGTCATTGGGATTTGCCCAAAATTCAAGTTACATTTGACGACACTTAAGCCGTCATTCAACTGCGTGTTGCGTAAGAATACTTTAAAACGAGCCATAAGCCTGCAGCGGCCGGGTATTTTGCTCTCCACTTGCCTTCTCCCCAGGGCCACTTACAGCATCTACAGGGTTTCAGTGTGGACAGAAAACCATCTACATTGATGCGTGAGCCACATTGCATTGGGAAGTCTAAACAACACCCGGGCCAGTTGCATACTGAGTCTCATACTAATCTTAACTTTAGACTTTATACTTAATCTACTCGTCTGTTGGAAAAGTACTAAGACTGAATTTATTTGAGAAAGAAAAGTTGGCCTCGTCTCCTACTGGCTTGAGAGCGTTGTTACTATGGCAACAGTAAATCTATTACCTTTACCCGACCATTTCAACGGTTTATTCATTACGTTTATTCATATATTTCATATCTAACATTCCTACTCAACTATTTAAATAATTTTGAATTAACCATCTTTGTCAGTTACTTTTAGCAACATTCTGTAAATCATTTAAACGATTTATTGAGAACCTTTTTGGATTTGTGAACCGTCGCCCTGCATGGGGTTCTGAACATCATTAACAGATCAAACAACCAATTAGATTTATTTTTGTGGTGTTGCTGTTTCTTCCACAGTTTCTTATTTGCCCCATAACGCCGTTGGGACAGGTACATGAAGGTGTCTTTAGCAGTTTTGACCTTTTGCCCTTGCCTTTAGTAGTTTAGTTTAGGTTTAGGTGAGCTGGGTAACGATTGATCAAAGGGCTGCTGATTTACAGAGATTTTCTACACCTCTATTCAGATATAATGTGTAGGAACCCCCCCCCCCCCCACACACACACAAACATCACTTCAAAGAACAACTCTGAGACAGAACTTGCACTAATCTCTTTGGGCAGATTAATCTGTTGGGGTCGTCCCAAACGTGTCGTGAGCACACTGAAGATTAGCGATGACGTGCCGTGTTCCTGCTTCTAAATCTGACTGCATTTGTTTTGCTACAAATAAAATGATAAGCCTGACCGCCCCGTTGTGCAGAACACTCCTTCCATCGGAAAGAAAAGGCCAGCGCACATGAGTCAACGGCGGTGTGAGGACAATGTGATGCAATTTAAGATGCCCATTTTCTTGACAGTTGTCGTGATGGAGGAAGAAGAGTCATTTTATCTTACACCTTGCTTGTAAACAGAAAACCGGGCGTTCCATGTGTTTGTTAGGCAACACAGGAAAGATGTTTCCATAATGTTGTAATGTCTAGACATTCACCGGAGATTCGTCTGTGCGGCTCTGTCAAAGATGAACTGCAGCGGTTGTCCCAAAGAGAAGCACCTGCTTCATTAGAACAACCTTTTGGGAAACCGCTATTTGTGGTTTGTGAAGGTCATCCAATTAAAGTTATTTATTGCCAGCGGGTGTTTCAGACGGCAGCTGCCGCCAAAGCTTTTTGAAGGACATTTGAGACGGCTAGAACCCCGCAGGCTTCAGTGCGGATTCAATCAGGGCTGCCACCAACGATTGTTTTCATTATCAAGTGAATTCCTGAGGATCTTTTTAGTCTTTTAAAACGAAACATACGCGCTGTAATTTCCCGTAATCCAAAAGTCATCCAGCTGCTTTTTAAATCCAACCAACCGCCCCAAACCCCAAAGATGTTCAGCGTACCATCACATAGCACAAAGCAAACCGACGGGATTTTATTGACAGGCGGTCAGAATGGTGACGAGCTGAACGGACTCACTACTGACAAGGATCGACCTCCGGGAAGTAGCGTCGGTAAGAGGATACATGTCGGCCTGTGGAGGCGTCAAGAAAATGATTAACAACTTTAAATGAGTGACTTTTTGAATATTGCTGTGGTTCAATATTCATTTGACTAGCAAACTGTACATATACAGTATGTGTAAAAAACGTACGATGCCAATAAATATGATTTATGCCTTGCATCGTTATTTCAATATTGATCTCTAAACATCTGCGTCAGAACAACCTCACACAGGAGCCTCTCCACATGTTAGTGGCACGTTCGCCCTCAACAGTATTTACTTAGAACACAAGCGGAGAGGCGCATCCTGCATCCTGAATGAGCGACAGCAGGTTAGGTAAGTTCAGCAAGCGTGAAGAACAAACAAAACCATCTGTTCCTTGACTATTCAAATGGTGTCCTGAACGAGGAACAACTGCTGGCCAATATGTCACGCAGACTATAAAGAGATGTGAGTTATTGAGTCAGACGGTGAATATGGAGCCGGTGGGAGAGATTGAAACAGAGATTACGTACCGCTGTTCCAAATCATGAAATAAAGCTGTTGGGAAATCTGCTCCAACCGGAACCGTCGCTTAGTCAATCATTTGTAGTCGACCGCGGCCTCTAATGAACTTTTGGACCGCTCACATGAAACTGTCGGTAGGACAGGACAGTTTATAACCCAACATGGAACTAAACCAGACTTCTCATGTGCTCGTGTGCAGATAACAAACCGTCGCTGTGTCACAGGAACACTTTACAAGCGGTTCATAAAAGGCCGTGCCCTCAGTAAAGCACAGAGCCGAGACCACACATCAGTTTTTTATCAGCTCTCTTTATTGCCGTCTTTTGATGCCCAATCAGGATAGTTGACTCATGGATAAAGCAACAAACGAGAACAATGTTTAGCAAAGCGGTTTGATACTCAAGTTCATTACAAAAACACGCTGTATCTCACGCACACACATTTATCCACCACAAACAAACGTAACTCAACAAAAGTATTTAGTTCTCTACTGGGATTGATGTCAGAACAGAGTTTTATCTACATTACGTCTGGAAAAAGTAGATTAGTGAAAAGAAAGAACCCCAGAAAAAAAAGAACTAAGAAAACTACAGAAATAGAGGCAATACTTCATAAGCAGCAGCAGGAATACAGATGATACCGATCCGTGTCACATCAACAAACACCCACAGGAAGTGTAATGAAGCACTCAGTGGAGGAGATCATTTTCTCCTCCCATGTCCTCCATTGATGCTGCTGTGCAGCATAATCCGTGTGTTTGCAGCAGAAGAGTGAGTTGCTGCTGTACAGCTTGTATAAAAATACAAACACTCCACTCTCACTGCACAGCCAGCTCAAGAGTTTTTTCTGTCCTGCTACTATTCTAAGTTGAGACTAGCAGCGTGAATCAGACCTTTTCCGCAGCTGCAGAGGAGCAGCTTGTATTTTCCTGTGAAATGTACCCACAGCAACGAACAGTATGGAGACAAACCATCAAGTGTGCGACGGTCATAAAATAACAGACTTTTCTTCCTCCTCGGCCGTGCAGAGCACCAAGGGGAAGGAGGCTTGGTGGTGTGGGTCTGAAGGTGGGAAGCATCAGAACCTCAGGTCCTTCTCCCCCAGCGAGGAGAAGCACTGATCCACGCTCTGCTCGGACACCTCCTCCAGCGTTGAAGGGCTCCACTTGGGACTCTGGTCCTTGTCAACCAGCACTGGAAACAAATCACCACAAATAAGGAGAATCACACGATGTGACCGAGACGCTGTCACGCTAAACTAGTATTTGTTTTTATCCTTTAGAACATTTAGAATTGATATTAGCATATATTTCATTGGGGTTTAAAAGGTTCTTATTTCCCTGCTTTACCACTACAATTCAAATCCACCCTATTTGTGGTCCGTGCGCTGCAGTGACTTACCGGCTCGTACGCCCTCATAAAAGTCGTGGCCTCTCTGCAAAACAACAGAAACAATCCCATGAGATAAAAATCGAAATTAGATTTGACTCTAGGCCACAGCAGATACAAAAAGCTGGTTCCGATGTTAAAGATAAAACTAACATTTCTACTTAGAAATATCTAATAATAATAATATAATATATACATTAATTCATGAGAAAACACAATGTGCTCCTCAATCCTCAGATTCCTTTTGACGTTCTGATTACTAAAAGAGAGAAACGCATGAGAATGAAGCTTTTTACCATGCAGGCCTGGCTGAGTCGGTACTCCATCACCAGCACGTCCTGCAGGCTCAGAGTTGCACCCGCCTGCAGCTGCTTATGGGTGATTTTCAGGGACGTCGGAGACATTCTGGACAGTGTCTGGAGGAGGAGACAGAGGGAACTATTTGGTAAAATTAAAAAGTAGTGATGCACCGATATCTTTTAGATTAAAAAAAACAATATATATATATATATATATTATTAAATCGAATCATAACAAAAACAACGCAACGTGCAAATAAGGTGGCAACAAATGGCTTTAAATGTTTAATGTACAATGTACTGAGTCAGCGGTGCAGTAACTGAGGAAGTGAGATTGTGAAAAACATTTAATGCCTGAGCTGAAGCCCCCCCTGACCTCCATAAATCATATTTCATGTTTCAAATCAAACAATAAACACTTAATAACGGACAACAGCTGACCGGTTTTACAGTATCAGTAATCCTAGAGAGATCAAAAGGGGGGGCGATGAGGAGAGGGGGTCTAATCTGGGGCATGTGCGCTGTTACATAAGGTCATACGACTTCATTCTCAGGTTTGATCTCATTGGAGTATTGTGAGCTGAAAAAGTGACGTAGCGATGAGCATCACGTCCGTGAAGTCAGTTTAAGAAAAGTTGAGGAAGACCTGTGGGAAGAGACCATGAGACTCTGGTCTGCTCAGAGCTCGGAAATCTCTCAGGGGGGGATTCTGGTACACTAACCCCATTAAGTGCTTAAACTGAGGTAACCACTAATTACAGACATACACTGCTAAAGCCAAATAATGCCCCGGCTCCATCCCTGCACCGTCAGTGGGGTTTGTCGGGTAGTAGAGAAACAGGGCTGCAGTTTGTTCAAATAATTAAGATGGCCGAAGGTGTGCAGGAGTCTGAACACATGCCTGTGCAGCAGTGTTGCCACCTGCCTGCAGCTTTAGAGGAGAGCATTAAAGAAACAACTCATTATGTCAGTGATTTGAATCAAGCCGCAGGTCGAGAGCGTACCTCAGCTTGTTTGTTGGCGAACTCGGAGCCGTCTGCCTTCAGGTTCTGCACGATGCCCTCCACACTGCTGGAGCTGAACAGCCTGAAGGGAGGGGAAGGTTGCATCAGTTTACTCTCAATTGCTAAAATCAGACGGACGATTTTCCTTGCTGTCAGTGTATGTTGGTCTCGGGGCAGAGAGGGAGTACAGGGAGGCTGGGAACACGTAGAGATGGAGTGAAACACTGCTGGTTTCACATGGCATTTGTTACAAGCTCCAAAATGCAAAATGCCGAACATCGCAGCCTCATCATTTGAGTATCTAGCCGTTAGTTTTTGAGGCACTCTCTTTAGATTAAGTGCATTTTTGGGAGGAGGAGGAAATGGAGGCCTACCTGTCAATATCAGACATGTGTTTGTCCAACACAAACGGCTTCTCGGAATCTACACTACTCTGTGGACAGAGAACAACCGTCAACAAGGACGTACATTATGACTCAAGTCTTCATGTCTCAGCCTATTCAGCCGTTTTTGGGGATATTGTGAAGGTCAACGTCAGGCGTTGAGGATTTCGACCTGGTTCTGGAATGAATCCAGCACTCTGGAGATGTCTTCCGCAGAGGGAGACTTCAAGCCCACCAGCTCCTTCTCCAGCTCTGGGATCTATTGAGACAGAAGGCTGGATATTAGAATCAGCCACTGGGAAATTGGTCCCAAATCCCGTTGTGCACGGCGGGCATTTTTGATAACATTTTTTCTTTAGAAGACTACTCTGCATTCCTGAATCTGTTTTTTCGTTTTGTTTGGATTTGTGTGTAGGTGTTAAACAGGCAGCACTTGGGACATTGCAAGTCGACTCTGCATGCTGCAAAATGACTTAATGAGAAAACACAAAAACACACAAGAAATTATTATTTTGTATTTTGGAAACTGCGTTTTGCACAGAAAAAAACCCCTAAATCCACCCACTGCACCTCTGCTGTTGAACTCAAGGTCACAGTCTGAACTCAACTCCACTGCCGGCTGTTCCGACCTCACGCCAACAGCAAGAAAAACAACTAAAACCTGCCTTTGGCCCAGCTGGTGCCATGTTGGCAAACCAGAGTGAAACAGCCAGTGACTCAGCTTCTGGCTTTCCAAAGGAGCTTGAACCTCACCAACAGTGCTGCTGAACTGCAGCTCCACTCTCAAACACACGCACGCACAGTTCAGATAATAATGAGTTAAAAAAAAAAAAGGCATCCTGGTCGTCTGGCCTGTGAAGTGTTTTGTGCCGAACCTTCTTGGACTCTACAAAGTGAGTGGCGACTCCGGCTCTCTGCACGTCTCGTCCCTTAAGGCGGAAGCCCGTCAAGGCGAGGAACAGCCCCAGCTTCCCCTGCAGCCGCGGCAGAAAATAGCCACCGCCCACGTCGGGGAAAAGCCCTGTCAAAACAACAACAGGAAACAAGGTGCGCTCTGAAATAATAGGAACTGATATTTGAGTTTAGAAAAGGACAAACGTTGGCCGTATTTCTTTAAAAATATTGAAACGTAACAGACGAGAATCACCACCTCATGTTTGTCAGTCCAAAATATCATCTTCATCACTCTTCTATCCCATTAAAATGCTTAGTGAACCGGTAAAAAGTAAAACGTATGTTCACCAGTTGTGGCCAAAATGCGAGGTCACAGAGCTCTCGACCTTTGAAAACCGAATGGGTATTTGGGCCAAACTTTAAGACTTGAAAGCGTCCCGAGACTTTGCGTTCATGAGATGGAGACGGAGGGATGAACAATTTAAAAATAATGCAAAGGCTGTCACAGAAGCATAATAGTTATAATATAGATTCATTTGAATTGTATAATTGTATTACTGTCAACCAACCCAAAGTTTATTGCTGTCGAACAAGATTGATTCTGATGATTTCAACTAAGATGTGGATGCTTTCATTAGAATGGCAGTCTGCTTGTATAGTGCTCTCATACATAATTACAAGGTCTGGATTATGGGAGAAGGAAACCAGTTGCTGAAGGTGATATCGTTTTTAATTTCATGGAGGTTTTGTCAGAAATAGCCTCAAATGAAATACGTTGGATTGTTTTTTGATTGATTTGATTGACTTTTGAATGATTAAATCCTTCCGCTGACTGCTGTTGCTTAATAACCAACTGTAACACGTGTAATCCAGTACAACTGTTAATTTTTCACCCGATGCAGCATTATCCTCCACAAATAACATTTGTACCTCGACTAGAGTATGATTAGGTTCAATCATTAACAAACCAAATGCTGGCACGCTACAAAAAGACAAAACATGAGGCTGGCGAGCAATCATGATTATAAAACATACGCAGCCTTAATCTGTGCCAATTATTGAAATTATCATCATTCTGATTTCGCAGAGATGTTTCCATTTGATTTCAAGGTTTCTGACAGAAAGAGAGATTCCATTGGTCACTTTAGGTTCCCTGACAGCTCTTGTATTGTGGCGAGGAGGTTGGGGGCAGCGGGGGGGATTAGATGTGTTGACCTGATTCACGGCTGAAAATGTAATATCATAAATGTGACAGATTACGGTGTTCGCTCAGAGTGAAAACAGGACCCGGGTTCAATCTGTTAATCTCGCCACGGAAGGGGTTGACGCTTTTTGTGTGAGCGTAGCGAGGCTGCGAGTGCGCTCGCCATGAAGTACCAGTTATTGTTCTAACCTCTGAAAACACACATGCTGAGTAACAATAGTGGTGTGGAAGAGAATAACACAAACGAAATGCTCTTAGAGGGCCGCTCGGGGTTCAGTGTCTCTCGCAAGGACACTTTCAAAAGCATATTTCAAAACTATTCCAGACCTTGAAACTTGTGTAATATTAACAAAGAGCCCGGATGCCACAATGTGGCTGTATTTTTTTTTTTTACTTCTAGTCACATGAGAGAGGTACTTGAGGATTGAAAAGGCCTAAAACAAGCATGCTGCCGCTGTGAGATTGCTGTTGCCTAATGGAGATAAAGTCCAAGTTTCTGGCTGCAGAGGGGACGTGCTTATAATAGCGGTGCAGTGGCCTGGAAACAAAGAGCTTTTAGTAAAAACAATACTGCCAGTGTGTGACAACAGCAGCTCCGAGGAGGATTAACGAACATTTCCTGCCTGCAGGCCTAAGTGATTGGAGAGATAAAAAGCAAGAGTCTCTTGCTTTATCGAATCATAGAAATAAAGAGACCAAAGTGCTAGTAGCCAGAAAGTAAAGGACGACACAAGGAGGTATACAAGACACACCCTGAGTCGTATATCAAGCTCCTCATGCAGCCAATTCTCCGCCTATGAAATTGAATTGAGGTCCCATTTCCTCCCACGCTTCATTGTGGCCTCGCCTTATGCAGAACCCTTCCGCACACCACGACCCAGAGTACAGCGTCAGCTGGACATTCATGATGAGTCCAGAATGCTGGGGAATAAGCCCGATGTGTGTGTCTGCGTCCCTGTGCGAGTGCTCGTGTGTGAAACAAGTGTCCTGGGAGGTTTGCGAGTGTTACGCTTCGAGAGGATGAACAGAACTACTAACTTTAAAACTTATGCGCAGAATACTTGATTAATTCAAAACTAAATGTATCTCAAATTTGGGCAGAAAGTCTGTGGAGCCTTTAAAGTGATCATCGAAGATCCTCGAGGACCAAGTGGGTTTCCATCGACTCTACGACGTGACGGAGCGTAGATGGGAAACACCGGCCGTCGGGTCAATTCATACGCTCTTTCTTTGCCACAAAACCAGAGGGATTCATGCTTTGGTGTAGTTCCTGGAAATAATTCATACACAATTAAGGGACTGTGATAAGCCATCTGGATTTAAGTAACAACCAGCTAGTTCATGCCAAAGTCAGCTGTAATTCGTTAGTTGTTAGAGATTTGTTACTAATCCCCTCAGTGTCTCAGGAGACGGCCATCTGTCTGCAGCGGTCAATTAGCCTAAGAGCAAATTAAAGCTTAGCACTCTGCCAGTAAAACAATAAGACACACTCTAAATCATTTCTCAATGTAGCAAGTAAAATTACATTATGCAATAGTTGTGTTTTTTGGCAGTGTCAGGTTACGCAAACGCTTACTTACAAAAAGACATGAGAAAAGAATAACTGCAGGATCTTGGCTTTCTGCTTTTGTTTGATTGTTATGTTTCCCATCATTCTAAACGAGTCGGGCAAAAAATAAAACCCTCGCGTGGAGCTCCATCCCCAGTTTGGACCCAGCGACATTCTCATTAGCCACAGCTGCATAAACCCGCGGCGCACAGGTCAGGCTTACCTATGGCGGTCTCTGGCATGGCGAACAGCGTCTTCTCAGTGGCCACCCGAAACCGCCCATGGACTGACAGACCCACACCCTGCAGGAAGGAGAGGACAGGGTCAAAAAAGATATGACGACGAGATGAGGAAAGGGAGGCCGAGGAATGACATGACAGAGAAACCTGGGAGAAGACATCAATAACCGCGAAACCCTGAACTGAGGTTTGAGATGCAGAGAGAGAAAAAAATAGGAAAACCAGGCCCAACCTGCGTTGGTGTGATTTATGTTTGTTTATGCCGGCAGGGACAGAGGTGAAGGCTGATGAGCGGCCACAGGACCACAACAGTTTACAATTATGAGGTTGCCAAGGAAACACTATCCTCTCGCATACATTGATGCACATGTATGCTACTTGCTGGCTGCAACCATGTAGTTCACATTAGTTAGGACAACCCCCCCCCCCACCCCCACAGCAAGGATCGCTTATTGAGTAAAGTTTATTTAACAGAAATAATATGAATCTAGTCTAGAATAAACAGAATAAACTAACCCCGACAGCGCAATTTCATTTAGTCCAATCGAAGATTAGCAGTAAAATGAGTGTGTTCTTCAATGAAGTCTGCTGGTTTGAGAAGAGCATAGCAACTGTTCCTCATGCAACAGGATGAATTAAAGGCTTCTTTAAACCCAAACACCATTGCTGATTCTTCATACTGTAACGGACACTTTTGAAGCTCTTAATGTGTATAGTAACATTCAAGCGAAACATTTCGTTCATACTGAATGAGCTAAGATTGAGTGCACTCAAAATATAATATGAATTAACCGGCATCACAGCAGCCAATTCCACCAGTGTAGAAGTGTTTAATTGAAGAATGAGAGGAAGTAAAGAATGAACAGTCTTCTTGCAATGATCGATGGATCCACCAGCACGGAATATGGCTGCGTTCAATGTCACATTCCCGGTTTTACCATAAAAGCAGTGGAACTTTGTTACGTGCCGGCGTGCCACCACCGAGTACCATATAAGAACATGTCGGCAGATCCTGCTCTCAAAGACGGAAATGTGCAAAAGTGTGCAGACGGCTTGTTTATAGCTTACGCTTCCAAACAGGACAGGCTCTGAAATGTACAACCTGGCTGGGAACAGTTTACACTGGCTAAGAATACGAAGAGTACTGTAGTTGAACTACTTTTCACACCGCAGCTCTTCAAGGAGGAATTCAGATTCTTCTGCCCGATAACATTGTAACGCCTTAGACTTTGCAGAAGAATCCAGGCGTTCAATCAGAAATGAGTAGCGATGCTGTGCATGAGAGCGGAAGCAACAGTTATAAACACTTCGAGAGAAAGTGACGCTTGTTTGAAAAGGACTTTTCGCATCACTGCTCAAGCTCTGGAAGACTGGAACCTCAATGCAAGGATTGAAAATCTGCCTTTTTTGGGGGGTTAATGACTCGGTTCTCTTTAGATGATGTGGACATTAGGAAGAAGAGCTCTGTGCTCCACAGGAAAGATTACAGCCGGGTGGCTCCACACCGCCTGGTCCGTTTCAGGCCTTAATTCTAGGCATTATAAACACGGAGAGCAATTAATGATGTGCGTGTGACGGAATCCCGCTGATGCAGGAGACAGGCAAACAGCAACTAGAGTGTGTGTGCGTGCGTTTTGTCCTGCCTTTTCACTCCCTGGAGCTTTGTGATAACCAACGCAAGAATACTGGTTCGACGTGGGAGTTCTGCCCTGAGCTCAGTGCCGATCTGGGAACAAGCACTCTGGTGCCTGTAGGACTTTTCCATATATAGAACTGGCCCGCTGTGCAACCACTACACACCTATTAACAGCAATCACCCTGCTTCCACATCCGTGCCTTCTCTCTGCTGGCATGCAAGACAGGAGAGGTGTTCTTCAAATCAATGTATCCCCATAGATGAAAAAACAAAAGGGGGAGGGGGACTTGTCAGATTAAACATCGCACTGCACTGTAGATGTTGTAATGCTACGTTTAATCTGAAACTAGCCTCCATCGCTCCACTCTGCTACTCTTTTGTTTTTTTTCCACCAGTGTTGCTCTGACAAATAAATGATCTCTAGTGGAAAGCAGAACGGTAAGCGGGGGCGTCATTGTCATCATGCTGTCTAAACATGATACTAACAAGCCACCAAGAGGATTTGGTCTCGGTTCACAACTTTTAGAATTAATCCCACTGTGAATTTCCCCAGTTTGAAATGTTTACCACAGTGGGAATACCAACAACATTTTGTATCGGCAGTCCGAAGCAGCCCTAATTTACAGGTCGGGCCGAGATGGGGATCACATTTAGAGCACCACAACAGTCTGACATCGAAGCCAACCCTCCTCTTGTGGGTGTCTGGTCTAAATTGAAACCAGTGGGGTAGTTTTGATCGTTGGGGACTTGCAGACTGCTTTGGAGGAGGAAGCACCACGTACACACTCATACCAATCATACCTATGTGCAGAGACAGTCTCACCACTAGGAGCCCAGAAGGTCAGAGGAGCTGGCTTGGATCTGGGTGAGCACACCTGGCCATTAAAGAAGACTATTTTAACCCCTTTAAAAATATCACCACATACGCTTGGAGTATAACAAGCGGCAGTCAAGCCGAAGATGACAGTTGAATGTACAAATGAACACAAACGCAAAAAGTCCCACATCGCAATGCTGTTCTTCACCTTATCTCAGCTAACAACAGCCCCCCGAAGAATACAAAGACACAGTAACCTATTGAAGTTATTGATTTGCATCCCCTACTGCTATAAAAACACCCGATTGTAAATTGCTCTCTGACAGTTTGGTTCAGTGTTGTGCCAAAGCTTGCTAGTTACGTCTCCATATATCTCTGTGCCAAAGACACACACACACACACACACACACACACACACACACACACACACACACACACGCTGAGTAATGACGCCAGGGAGCACCTCCAGTGCCACCACGGAGGTAAACTTACTGTCAGGGTCATGTGATGGAAATAAAAACTTAAAACCGGCCGGAACTAAAAAGGCGGGGGGGGGGGGGGGGGGGTTGACCAGGAGATTGAAACAATATCAATAGATCACAGACCTATGCGATAAAGGTAATTTATGATATATGAACATTTGTTCTATCTTTGTCTGAATAACGTCTGATTGGGCTTTATGTTGAGCAAAGGTACCAATTTAAACTTCAACCAGATCGGACGCATAAAGGGTGAAAAAAGTGGCAGTAACAATGCTCTGCCCTTCGTGTCTCATCCAATCAGAGGCCACCGTGCCACCGGCAGCATGAGACAGTGGCAGATAGTTCTCTGCTGACACCTAGAGGCATATTTGAAAAGCACGCTTCACACAGAGGAAACAATGTACACAAAAAGGAACCAAAGTTCAAATAATACTCACCCCTCCCATCGTTATTCCTTCAATAAGAGCGATGTAGGGTTTCTTGCATGATCCTAAAAAGATCAAATAAAGTGTTTTTTTGTGGTTTCGTAAATGTATAGAGGGAGACTTTATGTGAATAATGAGCCATAGATAACAGGTGTGTGATAATACAGATGTAATATAACGTGTAAAGCCTACCAATAGCATTGTTGAGAATGTATTCCTCACGGAAAAAGTCCACTGCCAGAGGGCCTCCAACTTTTCCTGCTTCTGTGACCGCTGAGAAAGAACAGATCACATCATAAATGACACAACATGTCGGCTTACTTTACTGTCCCACTGTTGCATATAAAAAGATTGAATAGATCCATATGACAGTTGCCCGTTGGATCTCTCAAGAACGCAATCATGGATATAATGATGCCAGCAAGTTCTGACATGTTACACTGTATCCAACCCTTCATGTCATGGCTGACCTACTATGACTTTCAAACATCCAGTAATGTTGGATACTGGATGCCTGGTGAGAGAATTTTAGAAATGCTTTCAAAATAACAATAGGTTCTTTTCTCTTTTATAGGAACTGATGACTGAATGAATGAATTACATGAGAGGCCCACAGTGGGGCTACACAGACCCCTGTGATTGATCCTAAAAGGGTGCTGCTCACCTCTGATGTCTCCACCAGCACAAAAGGCTTTTCCACCTGCTCCTCTGATGATCACAATGTCAGTCTCATTGTCGTTTTCCCATTTCTACAATAAAAAAAAGAGTAACATTTGTAGGAAATTATCATCAAAACAAAGATGAAACAGGTTTCTGCTCCATTTTGGTGATGGTTTAGTTCAAAGGCTCCAACAAACACAACACCAAAACATACAATTGAGACGCCATCACAACAAGTTGGATACTGAACGCGTTTTGAGACGTATTAATATTAAAAAAATATGAAATGTTTGTGTCCTCCAATTTATAGTAAAATAGGTCAATTTGAATTTGATAGGAGAGGGCGACTATCATTACAAAGATTTATACGACACTTTGTCTTCTGCTATCAAAATATATCCAGACTTATATTTGGAGAAAATAAAAATACATTCATTCACTAATAGTGCGTAAAAGGTTTTGTACAAAATACAAGTATCCATTTAAAAGCGGTATACAATCTGTAGCACGCTGCTATGAGAAATGATACTTAAGAGAGTCAAGGCCTCAACATTCAACCCAGTTGAGGTAAGCTTAACCAAGCGGTCCACATACCTGCAGCTGAGGGGCGATCTGTCGGATCATGGTCAGGTTGAGGGCATTCAGGACTTTGGGTCTGTTAATAGTGATCACACCTGCGTTGCCAACTTTCTCCAGAAGAACGCCTGGATCCACCTGACTCGACATCTGATCCAAAATAGAGAACAGGAATAATTCTGTTAAAAACTTTCAAACGACACATCGAAATACGCAGTACAATTAAGGAAATACACAATTGTATCAATACAATCGTGAGGCCACATTGTGTAAACAGTGGGATCGTGAGGGGGTATCTCTCACCATGTGGCCCTGGATTCGCTGCAGTCTGTGGAAGGACCTCAGCCTGGAAGAAACAGTGTTGGAAATATTCCAAATATTTACAGACTGGACACACAACATCTGGAAACATCAATTTTACAGTAATGTTAGCAGTCATGCTATTGACTTAATTGCCTCAACCTTTTCCCGACATGTTTGACATGATATAACACGCTAACGTCTGCAGACTCGCCGTGTCAAGGAGACACCAAACCATAAAGTAGAAGTTTGAGAGAAACATTTCCACGGGCAACATACCTGTAAGCGGATGTCAATATGGTTAAGGACATTATTATATTTGACTGGTGTCCTGTGGCGAGCGGCTGCACTTTCAAGTACAGCTCTTTGCTCGCTCGGTACTTTCCGCGTTTACTTCCGGGTAGAGACTCTGAGCCGCTGCTGATTGGTCGGCTGGATGACGTCACGGTGGGCGTGCGCAGCGCCGGCTGGCTGGCTGCGTGTTGCCCCAGTGCCACCTAGTGTGCAGGCAAGGTAATCTCACTCTTGTGTTGAGTATTTTGTATTGTTTATGGCCAATCCTGGAATTGATTGCGATTACATTGGTAAAACTCTGTGCTAACAGCACGCTTTTTCTAAATTTAGTCATTTAACCCTGGAGAGTTATCCTATTTCAAACCATATTACTTATTACTTTACAATTTACTGGGAAATATCATACTTTTTACTTTAGTTACCCAACCGTATAAAGAGGAGTTATATTTATATAGTTGTAAGTATGTAGTGCCAGCTACAAAATGAGAAAGACTGCAAACATAGAAATGCATCATTGATTTTAATCCAATAATAAATATAAGCTCTGACTTATAGCTTCTATGAGTACTCAATGCACCCAGTGCATATGTGTGTTCTCTTTTCTTTTTTAAATCTCTGTCCTGATTGGGACACAAAGCACTTTGTTACCTGTGTTAGAAATCCTGACACAAAAAATACAATTTCCATTACTTAGTTTGGATAGTTTGATTATCTTGTGCTTTTAATACTACACAAAATTATACTGTACTAATTATGAATGCAGGCAATGCAGAGTATTTTAATTGTTGCATTGCTACTCTAACTTAAGGATCTGTATCTTCACTCACTAACTACAAATACTGTTCAATTAAAGTTTTAATTATGAACTTGTACATGGGTGGGTAAGTGTTTGCCTGCCCAGGCTATCAAAATGAGATTAGGGTGTGACCCAATGCTGTGACGGAGGTGTGGCTGAGCAAATAGAGAGCACACTGTGGTGACTTCAGCCAGGGTTGCAAATAGAAGGATAAAGAAAACTGGAGACAAGTAAAATGGAAATACAGTTTATCGTCGTCAGAGAGTACTTTTATTTAATTTTCTAAAGAACACAATCATAGATATAATAATGTCAGCAAGATATCTCTTAAATTGAAATTCTGACATGTTAATAATAATCATGCTATGGGTGACCTGGTATGACTTTCAAACATGATGCAACATCCAGTAATTTTGGATAGTGGATGCTCGTTAAAGTCATAGACTTTGATTAAATTGATACAAGAATAATGTTTTAATGATTGTAGGTGAAAAAACATTTAGGCAGTGACATGTTGATCTCTTTGTTCTCTTGTCTTGTTCCTCCTCCTATGCAGCCGTCGGCCTCTAGTCAGAGTCGCTGCTGCAGGAGCTGCTGGACGCCTACAGCAAAATGACACAACACACACACGAGTGAATTACTTTAATCATCAACACATACAACGTAAAGCTTGAATTATTGCTTTTTTATTGACATTTGAAAAAAAATTTCTTTGATCTCCTGTGATCAGCTCGCATTAATGTGTAACGCAACACTTTTGTTATGTTCTATGTTTCACTGTTTAATTTTTAAAAATATTTAGCAAACATAAACAATACATCATGTTTAAAAAAATTAGTCTTACCCCACGACAGTCCTTTCCTTTCTTGTGACACTGGCCGTGCTTGTGACCGTCCTTGTGCTTGTGCTTGTGTCCGTGGCCCTGTCCATGACCCTGTCCATGTCCATGTCCATGTCCTTGGCACTGTCCGTGACCCTGTCCATGTCCATGTCCATGTCCATGTCCTTGGCACTGTCCGTGACCCTGTCCATGTCCATGTCCATGTCCGTGGCCCTGTCCATGTTCTTGGCTGGGACCATAACCAGGTCCATGTCCTTGGTTGGGACCGTAACCAGGTCCATGTCCTTGGTTGGGTCCGTAACCAGGTCCATGTCCTTGGTTGGGACCGTAACCAGGTCCATGTCCTTGGTTGGGTCCGTAACCAGGTCCATGTCCTTGGTTGGGACCGTAACCAGGTCCAGGTCCGTGTTGGCCTCCGTACGGGCCGTGAGGCCGAGGGGGGTAGTTCATCGGTGCGGTACCTGGAGGATGTTGAGGGTATCCCCCAGGCATCTGCTGAGGGTTGTTGGGGTAACCAGGAGGGTACTGGTTTCCTAAACACAAGGATATGACATACGGTTCAAAGTCGGCAAAGGTGATTCTCAAGTCGGTAAAGCATATTCAGCCATTTAAAAATTGTTTGTGTTATTTACCTTGGTTGTATCCGTACATTTTTAAACCTTGGATGAAACTTCAGATCCTGCAAGAAAAAGAGGAAGCACAGTTTGTGTTTTTAACACACACTCCAGAACCTGAGAGCTGCAAATCCTCAGCAGTTTAAGAGGTGAACTTACTGTGTGCTGGAGAGCCGTGTTCTGATGCTCCTTTTTATGTGCAGTGCACTTCGTACCACCAGGGGCGGGGCCTGAACTCCCATTAGAACATTTTTGCTTGGTTACCTAAATGGGTGTGTGTGTGTGTGTGTGTGTGTGTGTGTGTGTCTTCAACATACATCTAAACTGTATACATCAAAAAGTCGGTACACACACCCAGGAAAAACAATCGCGATGTTGTTGTAGTCGTCCATATGACAACAATGTTTACCGTAGTCCCTTCAACTGAGAGGACTGATTGGCAAAGCGAGGGTCATTGAGGACCGTGTGTTGACACGTGACCTGGGACAAAGTCATCAAGTAGAGAAGGAGCTTGACATTTGATGCAGGAATTAAAAGGAACAGGCTCTTAGGTGGAATGGGTTTCCACAGTTGATAGTGAGACCTTTGACCAGGTACATACACGGTATACACAGTATGATGAATATCAGACATATATGTAAACACAGAACTCCACTGACCGGGGCTGGACCGGAGGAGCGGTTTGTTGACAGGTCTGGGTCGGTAGAAGGCAGTGCAGCAGTCGCTCGCCCAACGAGAACTCGTAACATTTCATAAGGGCAGTTTACTCGGCTCACCTTCCCATTTCTAATGTACTTAGAAAGGATTCTCTGGTTTATTGTTTTGCTTCAGATGGTGCTATTAAAAGAACAAGAACAGCGTAAATGAGGGATCCACGGCGTTTAAGGAGGAGAGGTGTGAATGTTCTGCGGAGCGGCAGGGTGTGTTGTTTATCGTTGGGGAAAAGCCCTGCTGGACAAAGCTCTTGTTCATTCAACGCTCCCTGGGTAAATACAGATAATATGAATACACACTGAGTGGTAACACACAAACAGGGTAACGTTAAACTACAAGGTCAAATGAAATAAAAAAGACAGAGGCGCTTTAGTTATTGGGTTACTTGTTGTTGAGATAAACAGAAAGCAGTTTCATGCTGTTTATTACAAGGGAGTAATGTGATCACTGTCTAGTAGACAATTTGTCGCACACTGACTACTGTGAAGAGAATTCAACTGTATTGGTTCAACACTTCATAATATGTGACAGCTGAACCTTTAACAGGTTCAACAATAAACAGCAACCTGTGTAGTGTTTAAATAACTCAACATTTGTTTTAGAGTGTTTTACAGTTTATTACTGAATATTGTGAGGATCGACAGGATGACATTTTCCAAGTTTACAGCCTGTAATTGTCTTTCTTCAGCGTCATCTAATCCGAGTCGCTGCTGCAGGAGCTGCTGGAGGACTGCAACAGGGACAAAAACGTTCATTTAATTTAGCAACAATGTATCAATCAGTTCACATAAATGATGGATCTATAATGGAAAAATAAGTTGGTCCAGTGGTCTGGTTTTTGGGCGAGGAATATATTTGTAGGATTTCTAGGATTCTATAAATAACATGATTCATTCTTGAATATCTTTATGTTTTGTATCTCGGTGACATTCTGGCTGCTTTTTATTTGTATTTAAAGTTTGGGCCACACTCAACCTCAAAGCTGAAGCAGAAGTGTAGCCAATAGTTGGTTTGCAGAGCTAAAGAGAACTGTACCAGTACCAGTCATTTGATCCGTTGTAATCATACAAATATCTGTGATCCTGTCACCTCACTAGGTTCAATCAGGTGGTGTGTATTCTTCAGCAAACAAGCACCATAGAGGCGGCATTAAAAAAATGGCAGGTTTTGGACCAGTTGCTTTGACACATAGAAGACAAAAAATAAATATATATATACATCTATATATATATATATATTTTTTTTCAACTTCAACTGAAAGGCCAAATAAAGATATTTCACATCTAAGATTAAGATTTTAAATTTGTTTAAAAAGTGTAATTGGCTCCTTTGTTACCAGACTGATACATGTATAGTTGGGACACCATGATTTGTACTTTTAAATTATCAATAAATAAACAGCATCTTACCCCGTGACACTTAGTTCCTTTCTTGTGGCAATGGTTATGCATGTGACCATGCTTGTGTGTGTGGCCTTTGCCGTGCCCGTGATGTCCACGTCCATGTCCATGTCCATGTCCACGACCACGACCACATCCATGTCCACGACCACGTCCACGACCACGTCCACGACCACATCCATGCCCACAATCATGTCCATCTCCGTGTCCATGATCATGCCCATGATCATGATCATGACCATGACCATGTCCATGTCCATGATCATGTCCGTGTCCATGATCATGCCCATGATCATGCCCATGATCATGACCATGTCCATGACCATGACCATCTCCGTGTCCATGATCATGACCATGTCCATGATCATGCCCATGATCATGCTCATGACCTTCTCCGTGTCCATGATCATGCCCATGTCCGTGCCCAGGACCAGGACCATGACCATGTCCATGTCCATGTCCATCGTGACCATGTCCATGTCCAGGACCAGGACCATGACCATGTCCATGTCCACGTCCATCATGACCATAGCTGGGCCCGTACCCTCCACAAGGGGGGGCTACAGGATAGTTCACAGGTGGCCCACATGGCTGAGGGGGGCAGATTTGGGGTGGGGCAGTCCATGGTGGACATTGAGGAATTTGTCCCCATGGTGTTGGCTGAGGACCATAGCCAGAAGGGCACTGCATTCCTAGTTCAACAGAAGGGATGGGGCTCATCATCTTTAAATTCAGTTTGTATACACTTAATGCTCAATTCATTAAAGAATACAATAAAGACATTTTATTTATTACAAAGAACAAGGATTTGGTTTTAGTAAAAGGGGAAAAAACACTAAGAGATTGATTTACCTCTGTTATTCCCGTACATCTCAAAAATCCAGATGCAAACCCTGAAACTGAAAGAAGACATTTCATGACCCCAAAATCCCCAATTTAAATAACTTTGAATGAAAATTCAGATATAGAAAAAAAGCAGTTAGCCAGTCTATTTATAGGGTTTCAGCAGTAAGACAAAATTAAGCATCATCTGAATCTGAATAATCACCTGAAATCTCATTTGAATTTTGTCCTTTCATCATATGACAGAGTTTACTTTTGAAAATCATGGTCTGTTCGTGTGTCTTATAGGGAACAGAAGAGACTAAAAAGCAGAATAGGCAGCAAGAATGTCTCGGACTAGTGCAGCAACATTCCAGTTTAGTAGTAAAAGATGAAGTAAAATGTTTTTAGAACAACAGAAGCAGAAGCCGTCTGTAGGATTTGTTTTCAATATTTGAATATCCTCAATGTCTTTCTTAGCTGGCGGCTAGAAATGGTGTATTGCTCGCAATAAATGTAATACGGGAACCTCTGTTTGGTTGGACCAAACCATTGTATTTATCTGTTGAAGACCCTGCAGCATGTGGCTAACGTGATGGGCACTGGAGAAATGTGCCCATATAAAATAAGTGGGTCAGAGCCGTGCGTAGCGCTTCCCTGGTCAGCTGGTAACTGGTAATAAGTGTCACATTGTGCAGTTTTCATGTAATATCATGAAGCCATAACATGAAATAGATGTGTCTTTATAGGTTTAATAAAGATGCAATCCCAAAAATACATTTAACAAACTAAATATATGTGAGCCAGATTATCGACACACACCACACTTTGTTATTCCTAGATAGGTAATAGTGACCTTACCGTGTGCTGGAGTTCAGGTCCACGACTGCAGCTGTCAGCTGGCTCTGCCTTTATATGAAGTCAAGGCTCAACTATGAACTGTGCCAATGGCCGTCATGAGGGGCGGAGCCTAAACTCCCACCACCAATTACTAATTCTGTGGTGTTGAAACATTTTGAGATTGAGTTCTTGGGCACCCGGCCTTTCCCCTTCTATTGTTTCAGGGTTTTACAAACTCCATCAGATTCATTTGAAGGGGTCTAAGGATGGAAGCTATTCTAGTCTGTACAGACTATGGAGCATTTTTAGGACACGGTTGACCCAAATCCAGTGACATGTTTTAAGAGAAAAGAAAGAAAACTGAAGCCTCCCACCAGTCAGAATGAAGAACAACTGAAGCGGTGCAGAGAGACTTTATTTTCTAGTATTTGGTACAAAGCCATACGACCAAGCACTGGATTTGTTACGACATGCTTTTGAGTTGCAAAGAACCTTTTCGGTTCCAACATAGTTGTTGCCAAAGCTTTTACAGGTGGTAACTTGTCTTCTTGTCTTTGCCTCTTTTCCAAACCAACAATCGTCATCTAGTCAGAATCACTGCTGCTGCTGCTGCTGCTGCTGCTGCTACAGGAGCTGCTGGAGTACTGTAGCAGGGACGGACATACGAGACAGAAGAAAATATTGAATTTTTTCAGTTCTTGGCAACAGTGTGTGTTCAAAAAAATGTATTCCGAGCTTCATGGGTTCACTCCCATACAGGTGTAAATGAATTTAACTGTGAAAGTGGAGGACGGTGTCCTGCAAAAAATAGCTCCTAAAACATAAAGCTTCCCTTACCCTCCATGTACTGTACGTACAAATGTGAACGTATACAACATAGAAATAGACTTGGATGTTAACAGTGTACCAATCAATATAGAAACCGATTTCATACATTTATTTTTGAATAACCTGTATCAACTAAATATTCCACATTCACAAAAAGGCTGTTCATGTCAGATGTGATGTAAATGAAAGTCTTACCCCATGAGAGTCCTTCCCCTTCTTGTGACACTTGAGATGCTTGTGACCTCCCCTGTGCCTGCGCCTGCACTTTGGGCATTTTCCTTGTCCATGTCCATGTCCATGCCCGTGCCCGTGCCCATGACCATGGCCATGTCCATGACATTGCCCATGACATTGTCCATGTTCATGTTCATGCCCATGACCATGTCCATGACATTCCCCATGTTCATGTTCATGTCCATGTCCATGCCCATGTCCATGTCCATGTCCGTGTCCGTGTCCACGCCCACCTCCACGGCCTCCTCGATTACAGTGCCCCCCTGTAATTTGTCATAAAGGACTTTTAAATGTGCATGTCAGGTATGTAATATGCACTCAATACATTCGAAAGTAAGAGGCGAGACTGAACCAAAAGCATTTGTTATTCACCTCGTCCAGACATCTTCAAAGACCTCCGGCAGGCAGCTGAATGTCTCTTTAAAAAATCAAATGACAGAAAATTTTACAATAGATTCACATGTTCAACATGTAAGTAGCAAATGCAACTGTAAGGCCTTTTAAAATAAAAAATGAAAAAAATGAATTCATCATACCAAAAGCTTGTTTTTTGGGCAAACTTACTGCGTGCTGGACAGCAGATCCACAAACACAGCTGACACCTGCTGCTCCTTTTATGCAAAGCCACACCTGAACTCATAGTTGTCCAACAGGGTACCACCTTCCTCCTTATCAGAAACTATTTCTATTGTGAGAGGACAACAGGCAGTTTGTATATTCTCAATCATAATTGAGTGTAGCTATATAGACAATAGGTTTATTGCAAATGTGTTAAAAATGCAAATGAAAAAATGTCAATGTTTTCTGTAAAACTAATTCTGGTGTTGTGGACATATTGAGAAACCTACAGTTAGGGATGTGCGTCCCACTCACAAACAAACACATCACTCAGCGTGTCTGCCGAGCTTCTTTGTTTGCAACATTCTCTTGGTAGCGAAGCAGTGTGATGTTATCATGAAGGAACGCTCCGCAGAAGAGTTTGAGCTCCCTGTGCCGATGCACACAATACGCTTATTTACAGAAAAGGAGTTTAAACTCTGAAGTCTGAAATGTGGAACAAGTGGCTCCATCCACAGTTCAGTTTAAGCCAGAATGAAAACATGATTGGAGTTGTGAGATTTAGGTTTGAAATCTGAGTTTAAAATAAGGAATTCTGAAGTTTAAAGACAACACTTTAAACTAAGTTTAAAGTGAGTATTCCTTCACTTTGTTGAATGTAGAAACAGCAATTAAAAGAAACACTATATGAGCAACTCATTTAGAAATTATTTCGTTGGGGTGCTAAAGGTTTGAAGACTCCAGGCTCACATCAAGTATTTAGAAAGTAAACCCTCAGGTTTAACTGTTGTAATTCTTACAGATCTGGATGAATATTTGAACACATGTATATATTTTTACTTAAGCTTAAAAAAAACTCCTGTTGTGCAAAGACTTTTCCATTCGCAACCTCCTCCTTCAACAGCAACATCCTTGTCTTAAAGGGCCTGGAGAAAATGAGTCATTCTGTCATTCAAATAGCACACTTTGCAGTATGAATTAAATTATTTCCTATTAAGACACAGATTCGTCATTCAGAAGAAGCCATGTGAGAAAGGTGGGGGTGTCAGATACAAAACCAGTTCGCCTATCAGCACCTTGTCACACTTTAGACTTTAGAGTGAATAGAACTGGTTCAACCAGTTGAAATGTTTTATCTTGTGCATTGACTGCTAAACAAAATATCCCAGAACACGTCATGTCACCTCAGAACACCTCATGTCACCTCAGAACACCTCATGTCACCTCAGGACACCTCATGTCCAGAAAAAAACACTTCTGTAATGTTACCTAAAAAAAATCAGCAATGCCAGAGACAGCGAGACTGGAAAAAAGGCTTTTGTAACCTGTTTCTTGTCCAGAGAATACATCAGGATATCCCGAACGGCAAAGCCCTGTATCAACATAGTAGAAGCTGTGACACGTCTCAAGCGCTTGCAGTTTGAATCCCTCTGACGGTCTTCAGAGAATGAAAGTTTGCATGATCGCGACATGCACTCTGGCTGGATTGAACACTCACCAGTATGTGAGCAAATACAAACAAATACCAGTACAGTAGGAAATGCATCGGCTCTGCCAACTCATTCGGCAGAAAGGTTAAAAAAAACGTCATAGGACGTTTTCAAAAGCAGGTCAACATGTTCCTGCTGTGAAGGTGCTCACAATGTGTCGCAATGCTGCATTTTGAGCCTTTGCACAAAATTCCTGATTGATCAGCAATTGAGTTTATTTTATTCAAAAGAGGACATTTCCATACAGTATGTGCTCCCTGTTCGAAGCCAATATGAAGCAAGCTAGGTACAAGTATGTGGCCAAGAGGGGCCATTGGAAGTACATCCACTCAGGACAACATCATAGAAAAAAGATTTATCATAAAAGCCAATAGTAGAGACGGGGCAGGAAGAAAGGCAACGTGGTCATATATATTTGAATACGCTTAACGCGTTTTGGACAGCAGCCTGTTAGGACAATATGTCCTGATGGATTAGGCGTTTAGGAATGTCAACACACAGTTATTCAAAGAATGGAATGATCGGTTGAACTCTGAAAACACGGCTGAAGTGATGAGAATACATTTTGCATAATTTGTAGACTGACTGCATTTCTACATTCAGTAATCCCATAAAACGGTTTGTGTATCGACCCCAAAACAGAAAACAAATACACGTTCCATTGATAGTCTGAAGTGATCGTGGCTGTTTTTTGCGGAGACGTTTTGCCATCGTAGCACGTAGTCTGATGAATCCTTTAAAAGTCTTCACAGCTGGACCTTCCCCGCCAACGGGCTGCTGGGGTAAAGTGTTGAGAAGCGTCCGAGGGTCCACACTGTGAAGACATTCCTGTAGGAGGTGTAGCTGATCGCACAGCTCTTGTTGAACACACCAGCGATATTCTCCTGAGAAGGGAGACGACACAACATAAAATATCAAAGCTAACATTCTATTTAATAACGCCATCGCATTTGTTTCTTATTAGTTGTAATATCCGGGACGCAAGCTGAGTTCAATTTGAGGATGGGACATGTAATTAATAAGATACAAGGGAACTACCTGTGGCCAGTCGCCGTTGGGCAGCTGGTGGTCAATCAGCATCTGCACTCCTCTCTCAATGGCCCTTCTGTCAGGATGCCTGGTTACGCACAAAAAGGTCATTCCATTTAATTTAGTTTTCATTTATTTTGCTTGGATTAGGTTCAATTCAATTTGCTGTAGCCAGGTGAATGCACCAGCAATGGTAAATAAAAATAAGATATAAATACACAGCACACAAAGACCAACCCAAAGCCGAGCCCTGTTTGCCAAATTACACTCAGTCACATTGAGATCCAGAATGAAAACAGAGCCTTTTGGTGCAGTCCTGCTTTACCTGACGGCCATGAGGCCTAAAAGAGCCCAGCAGGTGTTGTGGATCTGAGCGCTGCTGCTCTGGATGTAGAGCCGCTCCTCGCAAGACTCAAAGTCCTCCCCCCAGCCTCCGTCCGGCATCTGCCGGTCCAGCAGGAACCGGCAGGCTCTCTGCACCTCAACGCACACGTCCCTGGTAACAGAGGCACAGCTGTGTGAGTTAGAAGGTAGGCTGGGAGTTCATGGATGTGCTGTGTGCCTCGGCAGGTTAAAGGGAGACTAGATTCATTTTTAGTGTTCCAGACATTGTTGTTGTGGGTCAAAATCGATGATCTCAATTCAGTGTGAAACTTAATGGCTCAGTGTTTGGAACACTTACTCATCCCTGTAGACGTGACCCATACAAGCAAAGGCTTCAAGCCCAAACCATATTCCATATGTGAAGCACACTCCCCAGGACCTGAGCAGGAGCACACACAGATTTCTTTTATAATACCACGACCTGTCCACTGGGTAGGATATCTGGTTGTGAAACAGCAGGAGTGGTCTCACCCTTCCCAGGATCCATCAGGCCTCTGCACCTTCCTGCAGTACTCCAGTCCTTCTCTCAGAGTGGACCTAAAAGACAGAAGGGAACAAACTCATAACCTCTGTCTTGGTCCTTATTATTTTAATTAGGTAAGAATGTCTTTGTGGGTCAATGCTTTTTTTCTTCTTTTCTCCATCTTTCAATCCTAGTTTTAATTTATGTTGTGGAAGATTTAGCGCTTTCCATTCATTCCGTCAGATTAGTCAGGCATTGTTGTGCCATTCAGTGATTTCAACTTAAATATGTGTTCATCATATACCTTATTTCCTCAGCGCGGTGTTCAGGGTATTCCTTCTGGAAGTGCCTCAAAGCCTGCATAACTGCTGACGTACACTCCACATAGGTATAATCTATCATGATGTCCCCTGTGGTGTGTGTAATAGAGAAAGAGACTAAAAACATCACATTTCACAACATACACATGCATCCTCTTTTTAAAAAGGGAAATATGACAATACAGAGACCTTTGTCGCATCAGCGTATTTTCAGGTTGAGCAACACAGCAAGTCCTGGTAGCATGAGCATCAACTCAACTGAATCTGTATCGCTATATATCACAAATCCCTTTCTTCAATCGATTTGCCTCAGAGAGTATTATAAATGATATATATATAAATATACACAAATATCTGAATCAAGCTCATCGATGATTTTCCATTATACACTTTGAAAGCAGATTGAAAGCATCAGACTGAACATACGTGTCAGTGAGGTGCCCTAAGAGGACAATGAGCGAAACAAACATACCAAACACCTCGGACGGGTTGAGCAGCTCCAAGAGTTTCCCTCCTCTCTTAGTTTCATACGTGGCAAATCCGCCGTCACAGTTTCTCATGCTCAGCAACTACAAGGAGAAGATTGACATTTGGTGAAGGAGCTTGGATGATGAAAGACTTCACGCGTGCACATGGACTGCTGTCTGTTTGGATTGCAGTGTGATATTGGTCTGGTATCAAACAAACGTTACAGGACGTGGGTCAGGCTGGCTGTTTACTCCAGTTTTTGTTTGGGTTTACTTATTTCTAGCTTCAGAAAGCGATCATAAGCAATAATAACATAAAACCAAACTGTCAAACCAGTGTCATCAAAATAAAACGGCTGCTAAGTTTTCATTGGCGGAACAGTGTATTTTGGTTCAAACTCATGTATGAACCTTCATAAAAGGTAAACATATTCCCTGCAGACTTACTACATCGACAGCATCATACAGGCGCTCTGCGGGAACAGGCTGGCTGATGGAGGGACAAAGCTCCTGCAGCAGCATCACTGACTTCAGGCCCTCCGCCGTGCAGTCGGCCACGATCCAACCACAGTCTCGGGTACTGAAGGGGAAGCCTCCCTGACCAACACGATGCAGGGATTTTTAAGAAACGTTTGTCCATGTCAGGCCTGAAGGACTTAGGTGAAGTCCTTATGTTATTTCACAATATTTGAAAGTGTTAAAAAGCAGCTCTTGTGTGAGTCTAGTTTTACCTTGCTCATCTGCCTGTAGTACTTCTGGTACTCGGGAGGATTCTCAGGTATCTGTTAAAGTGGAAAACCTAGTCAGAGCATTACACATATACATCATATTTTCTTGATAGTAGTGTTTAGGTATGAGCTCCTCATCCATGAGCAGATACATGCTTCCTTCTGGCCCGTTGATTCTCTTGAGTAACATGCTCATTAATTAATTAATTAATTTACACCAACGCAAATTATTATGGAGGATTAGTACTGTATGAAAGTGAAAAATAAAGCTCATCATACGAGTTAAATATCTAGATGCGTCTTTTTTTCTGCTCGATATTGAAGGCTGTGTAATGAGATGTTGGTGGGACCTGTGTGATGGTGAGAAACCGATGAGCATCTCGTAGGCACTCAGCTAGTCTGGAGTTATCTTGAGCGCCCGCCTGAAAAACCACAAACAAACAACTAATTATAATCAATTACTACTACGTGATACATTTCAACCAGGATGTTAAACCAACCACAGTAATCAGACTGCTTTTCTCAAGTTGGCCAATGATTAGATTAGTATTTAGTGACAATGGTGACATTTCTGTTTTAACATTAGTCTAATAGTAATAGTAGTAATAGTAGAAGTAGTAGTAATAGTAGAATGTTCTGGTTCAGTACTTGTCTGCTCTATAGCTAAAGGCAAAACAATTGTCTGTGACAATTTTATATCCATGAAACGTCCCACAGGGTTTAATACCGAGACCACTGCTATTCAGGAAACAATTGCCTCTATAGAACACAAAATCAGTTACAGAGCCACTTCCCCCACATACAAAAACCTTTACTTATCTTAAACATGTAACCAGAGTAAGAACCTTTTGGTCTCCGGTTCATGCAAAAAATCTCTTGTTAGTTCTGATCTGCCTAAAAATACTGATAACGGACGACAGCTGACATAAAACACTGCACCCAAATACCTAACAACAAAGACAACATGTTGTCACATTACACCTCTTCTTGGATTTTTAATACAAGCCTGCTTGCCCGCATACACACATCTGAAAACATGGGCATGGTTGCGCTACCTCAAGGAAAGCCTGTACAGCAAAACAAGTATCCCAGAGTTGAGAGCCATTGGTCCCCTGTGCACAAGGGAAAAAGGACATGCTGGTCAAACACTAAAACTCTCACATCAAGACAAAATACAAAGGGAACTAGCAAGTAGCTTAAAAGAATGTTGACTGAGGGTGAAAAGTTCATCGAGTTTTAAGGGCGGTTTTAAGTCCATCCATCAGTTTTCCACTCCTCCATGACTCAGTTCCTCAATTGCTTGAAAAGTGAACCCTTGTGGTGACAACCCCTTATGATGCATAGTGATGTAGCATTAAAACAACTCCTTCATCTGCATAGACGCGTTCGATCAAAAAGATCACAGAAGAAATTCTCTCACCTGCATTTTCATGCCATCCAATCCCAACCTGCCACACAGAAAACGTATTATTACTTTTTTTTTTTTTATCGCTACGTTTTTATTTTTTAAGCTTCTTTCACAAGTTTAAACATTAGAACTACAAATGCAACACCCAATTCTGATCAGTGGTACAACAACAGTTTTTTGTCATTAGTTTAAGACGTTAGTAACTGTTGCACTGACCAGAGGTAGTCTGGGATCCTGGACACGTGCTCCTGAAAGACCGGCGAGGAGGGGCCATCCACATGCCAGCGAACCAGCATGTTTATAGTCTTTGAAATCTGAGGAAAATACTTCATGTTCTAATTTCTTTCTAGATGACAGCTTAACATTATAATTTATTTTGTCCGTGCTCTCATTTTTTCATGTGTGTATGTTTTGTATTTGGATGTACGCTACCGGGCCGATGCTGATGCATTTAGTGAAGCGATCGTCAGCCTGGATGTGATCGTAGAGTTCTTTGACAGCCTTTCCTCTCAGGGTGCTGCTGTGGTGGGCTTCGTACATATTTAACACCACTGCGGAGCAACAGGAGCGGAGTCACAAGGTCAGGGGAGTGAAGCACAGGGCAACTTGTAGGAAAATTCCACTGAAAAATTCCACTTTCATCATCATTGCAAAAAACATTTTGGTGCCAAGAATCACACCTCATGTTAGACGTTTGCGCAAGGGCCGTACCAATGCTGCTTGCAGTATTCATTTTCTTTTGTGTTTTATGTCTCACTTGACTTCCTTGCCAATCTGCCATGTGGAAAGTATTCACGCGTCAACGCCTTTATAGTCAAAGTTGGTGAATCTCAGTCGCAACCCGTTGATTCAATTACTATTACAATTACAAAAGAACATTTGTGGCGGATGACGTGCTTTAGTAGGAGGGGATTTACCAGGATGCTGCGCAGTGTGTTGTGAGTACTCACTGTAGGCGACGGTGAGCAGTGTGCTGTGAGGTGTGTACATATCACAAGCTGCCACATTGTTCCTCTGAGCGGGCCAGTTAATGGTGCCATAGTCCTGGACATACAGCTCCTAGTACAAAAAGATTGGTTATGTACATCAATGTATATAGTGTGTGAGGGATTTATTTTTTTGTTCATCTTTTATATAAAAGGGAGGTGGTTCAATTGAACTTGTGTCAAAGATGGTGAAAATAAAAGGTTCCTAAAAATAACTGCACAAAAAAAAAACACAAGCCAGTAATGAAAAGCAAAACAAAGCTTCTCCTCTGACGCGGACTCTTGTGGAATGAGTTGGTTTCAGCACCTGTCTGAGGCTGAGGACGAGGGGGTCCTCCTCTGCAGCCAGCCGGACAGCATAACAGTAGCTCATGGGGAGGTAAACCTGGCGGCAGTGACACCACAGGGTGGAGGGGTGGGCTGGCATCCAAGTGGGAAACAGCCTGGAACACATCAAAAAGAGATCCATGGTCCCTGAAGAGAAAACTCAGAAACATATTGCTTCATGGAGAAGACTGACTTTTCTGACCCTTGCCATTAAGAAAAAAGAAATCTGTGCAAGATGCGGTGACACTACTCATATTTCAAGGAAGATATTTTATATTTTTCCCAAAAGATTTATTGCAATTTGTAAACATGTCAAAACAAAACATTTCTTCCAGTGCATACGCAGTTATTTTGGAATAACAGGTGTAATGTTGTGTTAGTGTGGCTATTTTAATTGTATATTAGGTATATAGTAAACAGTATATAGGTCAATAGTATTTACAGATGTATGAAGAGAGCTGGATAAATAAAATAAAATAAAATAAATTTAAAAAAATAAAATAAAATAAAAGCTTTGGAGGCGGCGGCCCGTTCATTCCTATAAAACGTTGCTCAGTGTTGCATGAAGAAAAAAAGTAAACGTCCGACTATAAAATTCAGTCAATATCAGACCGATCTTCGGGTGATTATTTGGCTCCCGGCAATTGTTCTAAGGCTCCCTCACATGATCTTAGTTAGCATGAGCAGTAATGGCCAAAACCTAAAGAAACGTTATCGACAGAAAACGCATAACAATTTATGACAACATTATATGATACCTTAAAGTCACGATGAGACAATACATTTTTGACTGGGGCAACATAATCGTATTCACACTTGCTGAAATCGTCAGTGCACTTAAAGTAGGACTGATGGCTAAAAGAGGAGGTAATGGGACGTTACAACGTACCACATCTCTGGTAGCAGGGTGTTCATTCCCTCCCAACTGTAGACATTTAGGATGGCCAACCAGAATTTACCCCATGAGGGAATCCCCACAGCGCCTCCTGTACAAAATAAAATACACAACATCTTCAGTATGAAGATTCTACCATCAATAATTATTGTGCTCACATTAAAATGTTATGCCTTTACTTAAAACAACCATTTGGACATTTATGGGTTGGCAGTACATTTGTGTGTGTATATATATATATATATATATATATATATATATATATATATATATATATATATATATATATATGACACATTATCTGAGGTCAGAGTGAACTGTAATTATGAATGTATGACTAACTGCAAATCTTATAATGATAGCAACATATAATAAAACATCAACAAGCGACAATGCATTTAAGGGACCGTTTCTTCCCATTTGCTCCCACCTTTGCTGTGCAGGTTGTTCCTGGCTCGAACCATATCTGGATCGTCAGGCTCTAATCCCAGGATCCTTAATGAAATGTAACTCAGCGCTGTGCCAAAGACGGTCGACTTATCTTCAATATGTCTGAAGAAAAACAAAAAACATCAACGATGCTGCCATTGGAAATGTTTCAGACTAGCAATGACTACAACAGTCTCCCTTGGCATCAATAACTTACTGTATACAGTATATGCAGATGCTTGTATCATATCACATTTCTCTTTAAACACTGACCACATCGTTTTTAGAAGAAGATGACAAATTGATTTTGGAGATCAACTTTGCTGAAACAATCCTCTGCAAAGTACAACCCTTTCCTGTTTCATAACGTGACATCATCTTATAGTAGAAGCACGCTCGTGATGTGGCCTGTGTGGATCTTCATTAGACTTACAGACCCCAGCCTCCATCTGGCAGCTGCACGGAGCGCAGGTACCTCACCATCTCTTTCTGCCAGGCGTCGGCCAGCGGGATCTTGGCCACATGACATGTGATCAGGAGACCTGTAACATGGACGCCAAGAAAAACACACGTTTGTGCTGGATTGTATTTAGTGTTTTTATCATCTTGCAAAAACAAAAGAAATCTGGTGATCCAATTTCTAGGTCGGATCTGTTGTTTTCCTCTTCTAAATTACTTACTCTTTAAAAAAAAAAAGTAAAATACCTGTATTATCTTTGTTATGGCTAGAAATGTATTCAAGACTGCACTAATCTACCTTTAGGGAAAACATGACTGCTTTTTATGCTATTTGGAAGATGAGGAAATGGTGCACAGCCTCTTATGGTTGACATGAGTATTACAACAGCAAAAGCTTAGAAAAATGACCCGGGCAGAAGAAATATCAGCTGGCAAGTTCCTTTCCACCTAAAACAGATATAAGTCCCTTTGAAAAATGATCTGAAGAAAGCTTTTTATTTTTTGTCTGTTTAATAAAGCAAGGAAATAATTAAAAAACGTATGAAGACTATGGAAGGGGCGGCACGGTGGCGTGGTGGTTAGGACTGTCGCCTCACAGCAAGAAGGTCCTGAGTTCGACTCCGCCCAGTGGCCTTTCTGTGTGCAGTCTGCATGTTCTCCCCGTGTCTGCGTGGGTTCTCTGGCTTCCTCCCACAGTCCAAAGACATGCTCTGGGGATCAGGTTGATTGGGGACTCTAAAATTGCCCGTGAATGGTTGTATGTCTCTGTGTTAGTCCTGCAATTGGCTGGCGACCAGTCCAGGATGTACCGCGTGTATCGCCCGAAGTTGGCTGGGATGGACTCTAGCCCCCCCCCCCCGCGACCCTGCGTGCAGGATAAGCGATTTCACCAACAGCTGCAGTCCGTCAAGCTCCTGAAGTTTGCGAATGACACCACCCTCATTGGACTGATCTCTGGTGGTGACGATTCCGCCTACAGGTGGGAGTCTGACCATCTGGTGTCGTGGTGCAGCCAGAACAACCTGGAGCTCAACGCTCTAAAGACAGTGGAGATGGTTGTGGATTGATGGTTGTGGCGGAACAGAGCCCCACCTTCCCCCGTCACTATTGTGGACTGCTTCTGTTTCCTGGGCTCCATCATCACCCAGGACCTGAACATCAGCTCCACCACAAAGAAGGCTCAGCAGAGGTTGTTCTTCCTGAGGCAGCTGAAGAAATTCAACCTGCCAAAGACGATGATGGTCCACTTCTACACGGCCATCATTGAGTCCATCCTCTGCTCCTCCATCACCATCTGGTACGCTACAGCCACAGCCAAGGACAAGGGCAGGCTTCAGCGGGTCATCCGCTCTGCAGAGAGGGTGATCGGCTGCAATCTGCCGTCCCTGCAGGACTTGTTCGCTTCCAGGTCTCTGAAGCGAGCTAAAAAGATCGTGGCCGACCCCTCCCACCCCGGACAAAAACTGTTTGTGCCCCTTCCATCTGGCAGGAGGCTGAGGTCCATCGGGACAAAGACCTCCCGCCACACGAACAGTTTCTTCCCGTCGGCAGTCGGGCTCATCAACAGAGCCCGGGCCCCCACTGCCTGACTATAACACTCCACCGGACACTGCACATGTCACTTTAACTGTCATTGTTCGCTAGTGCACTTTATGCTTAATATTTTTTAACTTTAACATTTTAAATTTTTAACTTTAATTTTACTCTCTTGTTTTATACTAACCCATAGCCTTATTCTACTAACCCATAGCCTTATTCTACTAACCCATTGCATTAGCATTTCATTTTACTTTATTTTATTACTTGCTGCACTGCTGTCTTGTTGTCTATTGTTACACTGTCTACTGTCACGCACCAACCGCCAAGACAAATTCCTTGTATGTTTGACATATTTTGGCAATAAATGTTTCCTGATTTCTGAATCCTCCTCCTGACAATGGATGGATGGATGAAGACTATGGTGGCAAATCCCCCTTTCCCTTGTTCTTAAGTCACTAAGAGAGGTCAATAGATCGGACAATGGATCATCACAATTCATCTTCTTTACTTGCCTCCCCCTTCGGTTTTAGAAGGTGAACAGGCCTAACAACATATCAGGAAATCAGCACTTAGAGGTACTCAAAATGTGATCTATATGTAAATTGTCACATGACAATACAAGCAGTCTTTTTTTTTAATATCACCTGGACAAGCGCACACGTTAAAGTCCCGGACAAAGGAAAGTCAGAGCACATTTACCTTCTGTGTTGTGAGTATTCCCCGATGGAACAGAATAATTGAGCGGTGTAGTTACGAGTAGGATCTAAAATAAATCCTTAGAATTTGATTGGACCGCTAAGTGAGTGAGATTAGAATGCAGCGCCATACTGAGCTACAGAGAAGTCCCTTGTTGTTTAAAGTTGCAGATTGTTTGATGGATGGTTGCCGTATTACTGGTTGAAATAGGTTGTTATCAGATTACAGTTACAAAATAAAATAAAAAAACTTTAGCGGATTCTAAGGGTAAAAAAGGCATTTTAAACTAGAAATACAACAGGGAAACAAATGACTGCTGCCGCTGAAATATAGTATATGTAATCTAAAGTTAAAAAAACTAGACGAGGAGGATTTGTCTACCTGGGAGCAGGAAGAGAGGTCCGCCATAGTCCCCCGCCCAGTGACCGTCCTCGGCCTGGAGCTGGCTGTAGAAGAACATACCTTTCAAAGCCGCGTCTACAGCCGTGTGGGCGGCTTCAGAGCCGGACACAAATATACTCTGTGGAGAGAATGAGTTAGAAAATGACCAGCAGATAAATATAAAAGCCACTCTGGTTACCACTCATAGAAATAGTTTAACTGTTCTATATGTGTACATTAGAATCATGTCTATATAAGTATATTAGCTGCATGATAATGCTCAAAACCTTACACGCACTTTATTCTCACGGTATATTACAGGGGTTTATTGGGTCAGATATATACTGTATATATACTGTCAGTGCAACGTCAAATGTCGGGAATAAGTGACTCACCAATCAAACATTCTCTAATTTGAAACATTTGAAAAAATGACAAAACTAAAAATATTCAAAGCCTACCGTGTCCAAGCCCAGCGAATGGGCTTCCAGCATCGTCTGCGCTCTGTCAGGGGTGTTCTGACCTTCCACGTAGCACCAGGCCTGCCGGCCCTCCACGTTACTCAGCCTCCAGCGGCTCAGGTCCGTGGCGGGCTCCGTCTTGTACGGACCCCCTCTCCTCCGCAGGTGCCTGAAAACAGAAAGTATTTTAATGCATGGCTGTTTCTACTATTTGGCACTGGATTCATCATTACATCTTTGTAATTGATGCAAGTTACGATCATTTCTCACCAAATAGAAATAACCACTTGGTTCATTATGTCGGTTGTTCAATACAAAACGGCCATTAAATTGCCAGTGGATTGAAATGCTATTAAGCTGATTGATTGAGTACAGCTGCAGGTGTCTGTAATAATACAAAACAAATGTACTTACAGTATGAAAAGTTATTTTGCACACTGGCTCCTGTCAGTATTATTGATCATTTGATGCAATCAAACTTTGGACGGTCAATTATAACAATGAAGCTTATACAATGCCACATCATATAACTGCATATCTCGTGTTTTGTAGGCAGAACACTATTTTTTAATATCAATATTTCTCTCGGAAATAGACTAAACAAGAAAATACATCTACATAAATTGGAAGCCATTAAGTAAACTAACTACTTTCCACTATAGCCTTTACTATATTATACGTCCCGCTGACAAGAAAACAACACACATTTGAATGAATGATTGTCTTTTCTCCGTCTTTTCTCCGTAGCGGAGCGACTCGACAATTACCTTTTAAGTAGGTTTGGCAACATTATTAATGCATTTAAACAAAATACTTACGTTCCCTCAGGCATATTTTAGTTTGACAGAGTTGAATCCTGCGCTGAACCTTAATAACGAATTTCTCCCCTGGTGCTCTGAAAGCTGTATCGCTTGTGCTATTTTCCTTGGGAATTGTAGTGGTTTAAGGAAGGCATAGGATGATTTTCAGCACACTTCATACTTCATTTCCCAGCACAAACTGCGGTACCGTCCGAGGAATTACCGACATGGAAAGACATGAGCAGAGACTCTGCCGTCCAATCACTAAGCCGTTGGGCGGAGACATGGGCGGGCCTGCCTCGAGGGCCTCCAATCAGAGCGCTGCTAAAACCAACGCTGCACATGTGCTCACATATGGAATAAATGATTAAAAAGATCGAGCCTAGAATGAAAACTGGGCTAAATGTTAAGTTAACTTGTAAAACTACATTTTTATTAGGAAGTCACACAACTCATTACAAAAACATGTTCACACAATACAGACATTTAATGAATTGTAATACAAATACAATCTAACACAAACAAGAGCAGTCTTGCCTGAGATTCACATTTTAAGAAAAATCATGTTTATGCAAAAATCAATATAACAATGATACAATGTATCAGAGACATTATTTAGTACTCAAGTTCATCAATCATCAACAATGTTCAGCAGACCACTCAGCTTCAGTCTGCAGGCCAATTCTTCCTCATGGCTCGCTAAAATCTGTCGCTTGAGTTCCTTTAGTTGCCATTCTATTGATAGAGGCTTCGTTTTAGAGCGATCTGCTTTGTCCGACAGATGATCCTGCTCTGGCTCCTAGAAGGTCAAAACAAGAGAAAATGCTGGATTAATGTAATTCGTGAATTCACTAACTGCACAGTTTTGGTCTCTTCATATCGTTTGCAGCCACACATAAGACGCTATCATGTAGCAACAGTCCTCCAGACAGGGGACATGTCATACCTGGGTGACAACGGCTGACGGCGCACACATTATAGCTGTGGGCGTCGACAACAGAGTTGAGGATGGAACGAAAAGCGGTGTGGACAGGTAGTCCAAGGAGTCCCCATCCAACCAACGCTGAAGCTGCTCCATGCTCCTGTGGTCAGACGTTGAGTTAGACACGACTCTCAAACTGTGGATTACTTTATGGCAAACATTATAAATCAAATACCTTTTTTTGATTAAGTTAATCATTTAGTATTCATACACACGTCATCCTTCAAAATAGCATATTCCCAAAGCACACATTCTGGATGAAATCAGAACTTTTAACAGAAGCGCCGTGACTGTACCTTTTGCTTTCAGCCTTCTCCTTCTCCAAAATCCTGAATACTTTGTGTGCAACGAGCTCTGGTGCTGTGGGAGTGTGCGTGATGTCCAGTCGGGCCGCCGGGTCCTCGAGAGGCTCGACCAGACTGCTGAACAACCTCTGTCTGAGGGACAGACTGCTGGGCGTGGCACAGGCAGCTGCATCAGCACTGAGGACGGAGGACACAGTCAAGGAGGAGTACCGTGATTGAGACTTGCACTTGCACTCATGTATCCTCTCCAGCGGTTTTAACATCAACAACCAAAGGCTTCCTGAACTTTCTCACCCATCAGTCTCTTGCTGCTTCTGTCGGTGGGTTTGTCTGGTTGCCTCGGTCCATTCCTCGGGTGGCTGGAAACCCTTTAAAGATTCTGCGGGGAGGTAAACCAGGATCTCCCCGTCGTCCGTCACGGCATCTTAAACAACAAAACAGAATAACGTCACGTGATTCATCGTCAGTATCATATGAAGCATGCATATTGGTTCTTATCCGTAACGACAGTCATGCAGTTTTCCCAGAGAATGTCCTCACCTTCACAGATGGGTAGTCCGGGGATCTGCCAGTCTTTCAGTTTGTGGTCGATGCAAATCACCACCACGTCGTCCCAAGGAACCTGACTGAAGGCTGGACACGCGCTCTCCTCGTTCCAGTTGCTCATCGCTGCGTTGGATGCGCGGGTCCGGGTGTGGAGGCTCTTGAGCCTGACCCTTTCCAGAATGTTTTCCAGCCGCGACATCAGGAGAGGCTGACTGCGTTGCGAGACTGGGATCTGAGCAGCGTAGCGGAAGATGGAGGAGCAGAGCGCAGACCACGAGTCTAGAGGGAAAGGGAGGGATGATAAAAGGATATAGAATCTGTTTCTTTTAGATATGGCACAGTAATGGGAGCATTAATAGAAAATCTGGAGCACTAAACAGCTAAATTAAAATCTCCGCCGCTGACCTGTAGTACACAGTTGCTCCCACTGTGGCAGCTGCAGGCTGAGGATAACTTCACGCAACCATTCCTGGTGCTGCGCAGAGTTCCAACCCAGATGAGGTATGAACTCCCGAGTGTCATGCAAGCAAAACTCTCCTGGCGGCCAGGAGAGTTTGCCGAGATCCCGGGACGACACTTTGTCAGCGATGTGAGCCAAGACGCTGTTGTACAACTGGATGACGGGCACAGGGCTCTGGGAGGGAAGCCGTGCGGCGACCCGCTCCTGCCGGTGAGCGTGAACTCTGGGGCTGAATTCACGACTCAAACTTGCCTCTACGAGCTGCACTAGCGTCTGACAGGAGAGCGGGAAGGGTGGCGGAGCACGAGCCAGCAGCCAACGTGTAGCCTGGCTGAGCTGCAGACACACAGCAGGACGGGGAGATCACTTGCCAGAAAATATCTACTAAGGCTACTAAACTCTCCACAAAATCCCACCAGCTTTTAATTAATTACACTTCAACACAATTAAATGAAATCACAAAAAGTGAGAAAGGTGTTTTTCTGTTAGTTTTGTATCCATGTTAATGTGGAATACCTGCTTGGATCCCTGTAGGTCACTTGTGGTCTCGGGTATGAAGTAGAATGTGTACTCCGATATCATGCCCTCCTGGACCAATGTGTGCAGCATCAGGGCTGAGGAACAAGGAGGCGGCGTGAGAGGAAGAAAATCAATTTAGTCCAAATTAATTCGGCTACTGTTCCTTCCCTATTGCCTGACAATAGAATGCAAATTAATTATCGTACACCTTCGTTTCGTCAATGGAAATGTGAACATCCCAGTTTGTTTGTGTGACCATTACTCTAATCCTTGGAAATACCATCTAGACATGTAATATGTGTTCTAAAGACAATATGAAACATTACAATCCCAAAATGTCTCAATTTCTTTCATCATTAGTGTCATTTCTCACCTTCTTCGAGTTTCTGTACGTCACCGTTAGCACACTCTGTTCCCGGCACCAGAATGGCCAGCGGCAGCGGGCAGTGCCATGCGCTGGCCTGCTGCAGCTGTTTGAGCTGAAGCAGAGCCGACAGCAGAGGGACGTCCTGATCGTCGCTGCCCGGGTCCATGATGGGCATGGCGGGAAGCAGCACAATCAGAGCTCCCGTCCCCTGGAGATCACAGCACTCCTCCGTTTTGCACAGGCCGTCCTCGGTAAGAGGGCCTCTGGATGCCTGGAGGGGGGAGGGGGCACCACCAAGACTACAGCTCAGAAAACACCTCAAAGTCTTATTTTATCTACATAGAAGACCAACAGAAGTTAAATGGATAGAGTCCAAACTAATGCATATCTAGTATTTATGGAGGTCTTTGGTACTGGTCAGCAAAGTTGATAGCCCTCTTTAACGCCGCCATTAGCAACATCTAACCACAACTTATTTAGTCAAGGACCGGCCGATGTAGCAGTTGTCGTGGAAAGACTTTCCCTTTAGCTCCAAATAATGTATAATAAGAATCAATCCAGTACAATTAGCAGATTTATTGATGTCTTCGTTTTGCATTTGACTGAATTCATCAGCGGCAGTCTACCTTGATGCTGATGTGGACTTTGTGAGTGCGTTGTCCTTCATCCCGGAGTGTGTTGGTGACACAGAGGGTCTGCAGTGTGCCATCCAGCTGCTCCTCCCTCACCTCCGACCCTTTGCCGCCACCAAGCTTCACCTCCAGCCAGTCCGACAGGATCCTAAGGACGACAAACACAGAAGAGGACACGCTCAATTAAAAGGTTCGGTGAATAAAGAAGGGGGGCTTCTAGGAGAAGAAATCCACCTGCTGCTGCTGCTGCTTACCTGTCGGCCAAGGTGGCTACACTCTCATGGTCACTGGGAAGGAGGAGAACAGCTTTCCAGAATATTCGGTCAGGCAGGTTGGGGATATTCTCTGTCACGAGAGCCGGCAGATCGAGTGGCTCCCACACCCGCTCGCTGAGAGAAACGGCAAAGAGAGGTCAAATGCTGCGTCACGACATTGCCCCGACTGGATAGACGTAGTGTTGACTTACTCGAGCAGCTGTTGATAGTAGTAGTGGACTCTCATCTGGTGGATCACTTCTTCCCTCATTCTCAACAATCTTTGCAGAAAAAAGAAAAATGAATACATGTATACATATTCCCAAAACTGTACTTTGAGAAGCACATACCTGGTGCTGGAGAGGGACAAGGTGCCAGAGTTTCCCAGGTTGACCACGCCACGGGCCAGATCTGCCATGGAGGTCTGCTCGGGGGCGCTGGGAGCCAGAGCCCTCAGTTTGAATCGAGGGTCCACGCAGCAGGGGGCGGCAGGGAAACCTCTCATCTGTCTCTTCAGCTGCCGGCGTACCGCTACCACATCGCGCCACCTGGTGGTTCAGACGAGGGAAGAATGGGTAAAACAATGAAAAATATCCAACCAGCAGAGGAGCAAAGCTCGCATGGAAGGGGGCACTCGTGAAACATATTTCTAGGATGTGTAAGACAGGTGAAAAAAAGGGAATCAAGATCAGTTTCTGTGTAGAATGTTGTTTTGTTGTATCCATCTATGATATTGATTTTGTTACGGTGCGCCTTGCTTTTAGGATTCTCAAACTCAAGATAATAGACTGCCTACGTAAAAGTACCTCATAGAACAACACTTCTATCTACACATTCGGCCAGTGGGAGAATGGGATCCTTCGTCAGGATTGAAATAATTCGGACGGGCAAAATGATATTGGGTTTCATGGCCGTGCTTGGTTTTAAATGATGGGCGATAGATTTCTCAGTTGCTTACCTTTTGATATACTTCTGGATGCGTTGCAGCTCAGCTTCAAGGACGTCTTCAACCAACAGCGCGATGTCCGCGTTCAAAGTCTCCTCGACTAGACTAGTACAGACCTGCTCGGTGCACTTGGCTACGCGGCCCACTTTCTCTTTCATTGCCTCTCTGAATAATCGGGAGGGGAGTCAAAGTCAGTGAAATTCAACTAGTGTGCCACGGGAAGACATTCAACTTACTGGATCTCAGAGGTGGCGGTCTGCTTGATGGTCTCATCCAAAACTTCGTAGATGAGCTCTCTGCAGAGCGAGAAGCTGAACTGCACCAGGAAGGCCTCTTGCTCCTGCCTCATCCTGGCACCGACAGACATGGAAAAGGAAATGGTGTTGTGGCCAAAAAAGCTTCTTTGACAATTGGCCTGCTATGGGAATGTGACGACTGATCAATATTATTGGTGCTGTACAGTAATTGTAGAACATGTAGAAAGTTGCTCGCCTGCAATTTCTGGTGGTTTGATATTGTTTTTCTTTCACTTTGCTAAATTGAACATATATCATGTACACAGCCTGATGCTGTGTATATGAAGTCGGAGCAGAGGATGCCGTTCTCTTTCACGACCAAGCCGAGGGGTTTTGATAAAGCACAGTGAGTATTGAATCGACAAGCTGCCGTGGACTAACCTGGCCTCTTCGAGCGTGCGCTTCTCGTCAGCGACGCGCTGCCGTTCCAGCCCGATCTCGGCCGAAGAAATCTCTTGCAGCATCTGTCCCAACACCTCAGTCACCATCGACTCCACCTGCACACCGCTCTCCCTGCAGAACCAAAGTCAACAGCACAGGAAGTTACATTTAAAAACATCAAAGGGGGTCACACCTCCACTGTAATCCCATAATCAATGATAGCTGTGAAGAAGTGAAGTAAAGGCAAATGTGCACAGGGAAAGCTGGTACAGACCAGCTGGATGGACGAAGCAACTGAACTTACGCGAGAGCCGTTGCAGCGTAGCTGGCGCCTGCATCTGCTACGTCCCTCACTGCTGCTCCAACCACCTCCTCGATCACACAGTCCAGTACAGCCGCAACGTCCTGCAGGAAGGAGGGGGACAAAAACAGTACAGCTGGTGTCAAACCTGTACTAAAGTCTAGTTCATCGCTGCTTCAATCACTTGTGAATAATACACAGATTTTTTGGTATATTTTTGAATTACATTTAAGGCCTGTTGTTTTAATTATCATGCAATACGACAATTCTTTCCTCTATTAATTGTTTGGTCAATGAGGTGTAAGAGAATAGTTAAAAATGCACATGCAGACATCTGCTAAAGCTGGTGGTCTTGACGTTAGTGCACCTGTGATGTTGGTCCAAAACTAAAATATTGATTTTACAATCATATAAAAAAAAAGAGCTGCATATGTCATGATACCCGATCATATAAGAAACTGAAACTAGGGATGGTTTTGCCTTTTTGCAAGAGAAGCTGACAAAATATCCCTCCTTGACTAAGCAATTAATAGTTTCAATGGTTTTAATTTCAGACCCAACATTAACAAACACATTGCAATTGGCGGTAAAACAACAACAACAGATAAGCAATAGTAATAGATTTAACTGATTATTATTGCAGGTTTATTATTGTACTTGTACAGGTGTGCCTGAAGTGGAGTATTGGGGTTTACACTTCCCCTCTGACAATAGAGCAGTACAAGAATAAAAATGAAATTCAAGTTTAAGAGCCTTGTGTACATAGTTAATGTACTCGGTCTCCCACCGTTTCTCCATCCCCAAATCTACAACACACCAAGTGGTCCCGCTTATGTGGTCTGACATAAAGAGCCGCGAGGTCTTGCTCACCTCATTGCTGTACGCCGGCCGGGGTTTGGGTGGAGGTGACGGCGCTTTGACGGGCTGAGGTTGAGGGATCGGCTGGAACAGCTGATGAACGTCTGCCTGGCGTGCCGAGCCGTCATACAGATTGCCGGGCTCTCCCATCTCAACAATGGCCGCGGGGGGCAACGCAAACGCAGAGGGCATGTCTGGAACGACCCGAGTCAGCAACCCAATGCTGGGTGGTACCTTCACCTCTGCCTTGGCAGCAATAGCTGAGGACATTAAAACACCGGGTCATTATTAATATGTAACCTATGTAACAAAAGCAATCCTACACACACTATTATTTTACAGTGAAGTATCTTATTCTCAATAAAAATGCATTACAGTAGTTCTACAGTGCAGCATGAAACAATGCTGTACAGCAACATGAGGAATTAAAACTTTCCCAGGCTTACGACGAGGAGCAATTACCTCTAAATTGGCTTGGAGTGGGCTCATCCAGAGGGCCTTCCCCGCGGTACCTGTTCTGGGAGTCAAAGCTGCAGACTGGAGTGTGCTGGAGCGGTTTAAGGAGGGGGCCGCCATTCACCACCTCTCCAATCAGCACGGTTTTCTTCGCAAGGATGACTTCGGACTTCTTCTGGGATAAAGGAAGATCTGGCTCCTGATAGACTACTCGACTCAGCTCGACCACACTGTAATCAATATTAATTAAAAGCATTAACATATATATCTGTTGGGCATACGTTTTAATACAAAGGTGGATAAGGTTAACAGTGGTTTTATCAATACCAGTGACTTAAGTTGTATTAATGAGATTTTTTTCTGTCTGGAACACTAACCTCAGCTCCTTTAATAAGTCCTAAATAAATCAAAAATACACAGACCATTAAGGACAAAAATGTTCCCATTGAAACCAACATGTTGGATCCCACTGTGTTTACAGAATATCATCGTTTATTATTTTGCATCACCCTCATAAGCCAGCACACGCTTCGAAATACTCGTTTTTACTATTTTCCATGAGAAATGATAATTGACACACTTTCTCGCGTTTGCCCCATTAGGTAAATGGATGGTATTTCCCTGGTTTTCAACCTACCTGTATCCAGACCGTGAAAACGAAATAGCACTCAGTAATCAGATAATTTGTTTGCATGAAAAAGTGACATTCGGCCAACAAACGGATTAAGGACCTGAGAAATGAACAAATATTTGGCCGTGATGATCAAGCCTAATGTTGGTTAAATTATTTAACAACGGATATCAGCTCAAAGATATTTAGGCACGTACAACCTGAATACATTTCATTGAAGTGCGCATCAGACCACTAGTAGACACTCACCCTTCGTTGACGTTGAGGCCGTACTGCTGGATGAAGTCGGAAGCCTCTCCGCTGTTGCGGAACATTAACATCCGAACTATGTCCTCGACTGGAAACGCAGTCGATCTTGGACCCGTCGTGTGAGCTATGTTCAAGGTACTCAAGGCTTTGGCTCTAACCTGTACGCATAAAAAACACATTTGAAAAAACAGAAATATTAAACAACACAAACTTCTTCAGTTTTTCTCAGTTTTGTTAATCAATGAAGGAAACCGTTGCCCACCTGATTGAAGTATCTGTGCAGGAGGCAGCTGGCGAGGTAGGAGGCTCCTTTCACCAGCTTGAAAAAGCGCACAAAGTTGTTGCTGTTGACTGCAGTGAATGCCTGCACGGCCAACTTTACCTCAGGGGAATTCCGCACCTCGTCGCGGAATTGCTGAACATCACTGTGTGGACAAGGGCGGGAAGTTATTTCTTGCAGTAAATGCAAACAAACGCGCCTCGAAACATAAAGTACAAAACGTAGATTAAGTAGAACCAATCCAATGACATTTCCCGACAACGTATCTCCATTTGTGCTTCCGCGGACTGACCGAAGGATGTCACCGTCGTTGAGTTTCAGCAGCACGTTGTACTGGCGAAACTCCGCCTCCATGGGGCAGTAGACCTGACGCATGGCCAGGTCCTGGTACATTTCTTTGAGGCTCTGGAGGCACTTTGTCATGTTCTCGTTGTTGATCTTGGCGTCAAAAGCAGACATGTGCTCCTCGCAGAGGTGGTGAGCGCAGTGCACGTGGAAGCGCGTGCACTTCTCGATCAGCGACACCGTGTGAGGGCAGCACAGGTGCTGCTGGGTGATGTCCTACGGGGACATGTGACCACTTCTCAAACTCAGGTTTGCAAAAACAGTACAACAGTTGCATCGTGTTTTTTTAAAACTAAAAACACTAGTGGTTGGAAGAAGGCCGCTACCTTGCGGATGGCACGGGTCCTGTTCCAGACCAAGTCGTACCAGTCCCGGTAGTTGTCGTGGCCCTGGTCCATTATCTGAGTCACCAGGTAGTCCATGGTCATGCTGAGCACGGGCAGGGGCCGCAGCTCATGGGGCAGCGGCTCTTCCTGGTCCGCCGATGAGCGGCTGTATTCCTTGATGGCAGCCGAGTGGTCCACCTAGTTTGGGGACAGAAAGCTGGTTTATTTCTTGGCAAACAGACCGCCTGCCTCAACGTCTTTGACGTACTTGGAAGCTTCCTCTTGCATTATTTTTCACAAGTTGTACAGTATGCCTGGAATGTACCTAAAATATGATCTTATTGCACCCATGTATAAGCATTCCAGTAGATGACAATAAGTGATGAATGCAGCGAGAGAATAACGCAAATAACGAAAACCAAGACAGAAAAGAAGCCTGAATGTGGAGCAGTATGAAGGACGTTACCATCTCAGTATCTGGGATGACCTCGAAAACGCTCAGCTGCTTCCTTGTTTCCCTCATGAACCTCTCCTTCTCTGGACACATGTCGGGACACGTCCCCACAAACACTTTGGACAGGTCCAGGTCCGTCCTCTTGGGCCGACCTGTGTGGACAGATGATGGTCTCAGTTAGAACGTCTCTTGTGTATTTAGAAACGATAGAAACGGGGCAGTTTAGATGTTCTGAAGTGGGGGCTGTGCGAGGTACTTGTCCATTCACTGCGTGTTTCCCACAGCAAATGCAGACCGGACACCAATAGTTGTTAACGTACTGCCGTGGAAGTGCAGCTGCGAAATATATTCCAGCCACCTCAAAAAAAGACCTAACTTTAAAAAAGGCGGCATTTTTTTCAGATGCTCCAATGAGCTAATCCAGACTAGTGGCGTACAGACCCTCGACCACTGGAGGCAATACACTGAATATGTAGAAGTATGACAAACAACCTCAATCCAGAACATCCAAACGATCCCTTTAAAGACTGCAACGGTTTGGTGGGAGAGATGTTGGAATAACCTTGACGCAGGATCTTGTCTCTTTGCTCCAGGAGGCGGAACTTGTCCTCAGCGGTCTCCGCCACCTGACCGATGAGGTGGAGCAGCGAGGAGGGGACTGGGCGCTCCGAGACGAGGCTCTCTCTCTGGGGTTCAGTGTCAAACTGCAGAGACTTGGCCAATGGCGACTTCTTTACCGGAGAACTGGCACATGAAAAGACACGTCAAAGAGACACATCAAAAAGACAGCCTACAGCGGGCCCCAACCTTTTTTTGCACCACAGACCGGTTTTATGTTGGACAATATTTTGCGGAAGGTGACTAACAAAATAACTGGCTAATGGCTAAAATAAAACAGTTTTCATAACAAAAAGTTAAATTAAAAAAAATAGAGAAACGGGATTTATTCTTTCTGTTGGGGTCCCGGTGGGGGCTACAGCGCTGTGTTTAGGGTAGGCATTGGTCCGGGCCAGTTTGTATGTAAAATCGGTGTAATAATGACAACGACTTTTATGTATAAGTGTACCTGCGGCTGAAGTTCATCAAACTGCTCATTGCAGGACCTCTGGCTGCAGCTTTTCTGAGTGGGGAGGAGGTGGACTTGGACTCTGTGTCCTCTTGACTCTCTCCCTCTGCCTCCTCCTCCTCTCCTGCTGCACGTCTGCTCCCTTTGTCCTCTGGACCTAATGCACAAAAAGCAATGCAGTGACTCACTGCAAATAATTAAAAAAGGCAATATTGAATGAACCACTACATTTTTTTTTTTTTACGCAGCGTAACTATAGCTGTTGGCAATAGCAAAAGCAATTATTTCAATAACAATTCAACCATCACGGCAAAATATTCACTTTGCTTCTTCCTCTGCCAAAAGATGGCGATTTCGTGTCTATGTAGTTGTTTTCCTCTCTTCTTTGCCCTCGCTGCTGATGCCTGAAAGAGAGTTAACAGAAACAAAATAAGAAAAGTACACATCAAGATTAGCGGCTAAGCTAACTAACTGTTGGAGTAGTCCATGGCATTAAACATTATGAGCTCAGTCGAAAAGGTCAATGATGCCACAGACTAAATCTGAGAATATATATATATATATATATATATATTATATACACTGTATAACGATATTGATGCTCCACTCTGGCCACAAAGAACAGGAAATAGCAGGTAGCTAGCGGACACTATGAATAATTAACACAACTTATTGTAGTAAATGGAATGAGATGAAAGAACTGAGCTCCGAGGGGAGCAGGATTGGAAATGGGTTAACATTACGCCATGTTTGGTGAAGCCAGGAAAGTCAAAACATGCAGGGTACGGCAAGCATGCGTTACCGTTGGTAAGATAAAGTCAACTCACGTGGTCTTCAAAGTGCACTTTGACCAGGTTCTTGGCCGGCTGGCACAAGACCTTGCGGACTTTGCCGTAACGGCCAAAGTGCTTCTCCATGACGTCCCTCCTGTTGAGGTTTGGGGGCACATTCCTGCACTGGATGACGGTGCAGTCGGTGACAGGCATGCCACTCAGGCTCTCCGAGCTCTGCCTGCGCCTCATGGGGGTTGCGACCCCGAGGTTCGAGGCCGGGGCATTTGCTGAGTTTAAAGAGGGTTATAGACCGACGAAAGGATAAGCATATGTAGAAGATATGTACTCGCAATTCAGCAGGAAACACCACTGAAAAATTACGGTGCATAAAATTTCATAATTTATTTGGGTAGGCAAGAGTACATTAAGAGTCACGTATCATGTTGAGTTGCCTTTTCTAGTGCAAAAAGTTTTGAAAACATTCATACACCTCATACAAAATGTAAGCACACAGCATGTATTATTTGCATGTGTTACCTGACTCTTCAGCTCTTTCCAGCGCCTCCCTCGTCAGTAGTTGCACCGTTGGAGGTGCAGCAGGTACGTCGTCCCCCTGAGATTGAACATCTTCCTTCTCCGTCTCCTTTGTGACCTCTCTGCGGAGACCACTTAATGCTTTCCCAAATAAACCTAATGGTGGAACACGGGACCGCATTAGGGGCCTCTTTGAAGGATGCCTTGGTGAATCTTCTTCCGCTGGAACATCCTCCTCCTCCTCCTCAGCTCCTGTGGCAGACTTCTCTGGGACAGCGCCGGGGAGCGTCGGCTCTTCCTTTCGCTTGGTGACTTTACCGAGTCGTGCGAACACACCCGTCTCTCCTGGGCCCGCAGGCCTGCTCCGTTTCCCCTCGGTACCAGTCTCCGCTCTGGCTTGGGCGTCACCGTAGGCTGGGGGCGGACCAACATTGGTTCCGCCAAAAAGGCTTTTCGCCTGGGGCTGGAGATCTTTGGCCGAAAAGCTGAAGGACGACGGGGTGGTGGGCTCGGCCGTAGATCCCTTGGTGGTCGAGCTGGAGGGAGCCGCCGGCTGGGAAAAGGTGAACTGCAGCGTGTTTAAAGGGGCGCCGCTATTGCCAGTTGTCAGTGCGTTGGTCTGGGCGGAGATCGAGGGGGCCGCGGCCGGCTGAGAGAAGCTGTAGCCCAGCGGCCCGGACGTAGCCCCGCCTGACAGCGAGAAGCCGGTGGCGGCGGGGTTGGTGCTGCTGCTCGTGATGCCGGCGCTCGTCTGGGACCCACTGCTGCCGAAAGTTGAGCTGGACATTGCTGTAGTTTGAGGGTTGGCGGGCTCGGGGCTGGCATTGAAGATGGGTTTGAACAGCGCCTCATTTGCTGGCTTGAAGGTGTAATTGGAGGGTACAAAGCCACGGCTCTGGGTCACGCTCGGAGGGCCGCCAAATATGCCGGTGGAGACACTGATGGATGACGGCTGTCCAAAACCCATTGGCTGGGCTTGGCCTGTAGCAGTGGACGAGCTAGAAACCATCTGGGAAGTTCCAAACCCAGCGGGCTGCTGGCCGAAACCGGATGGTGGCGTGACGAATCCCGGGGCCTGCTGGCTGAAACCCGGAGTGTGCCCAAACGCCGACGGCTGACCAAATGAAGGAATTTGGCCGGAACTCGGGTTAGTTTCACCAGTCTGTCCAAATGCCGGAGCGGAACCGTTACCGAAGCCCGAGGCACTCATTCCTAATGGTTGCTGTCCGAAAGCTGGAGCGAGGCTCGCTGCGGGCTGCGCGGGCGCCTGTGCGAAGGCAGGGGTCTGTCCGAACAGGCTGCTTCCGTGAGGCGAGGCCTGAGTCGGCTGCCCGAACGCTGATGGTTGAAAGAAGCCCACAGATTGGGCCTGGTTGCTGGAGCCTTGCGGCCCAAATGACTGGAACAAGCCAGTCTTCGTGGCGTTGCTCGGGGCTTGGAAAGCTCCACTTTGGCGACTGCCGAAAGGATTGGACGGATTCATGGCGCAAATGCTAGCAGGGGTTTACAATCCTTGTTTTGTGTTTGTTTTTTAAAAGTAACGGTCCTCGTCCAGGCTTTCCAGCTGCACAAATGCACAAGACTGATTCCGTCTCTTGAGTATTTCAGTGTAATGCCTTATCACGTTTACAGTCAAGTCATGCTACGAGGTCAGTGACGAATAAAAAGAATTGGCTCGGCAGCTAGCATGAGCTAACAACACAAACATTGTTAAGTTATTCTATCCATTGCTTTGAAAAATATCACGTTCACAACAAAAGTCCTTCAAAAAATAACGCGATGATACGACAGAACTCTCACCCTTCAGAGTTTGTGTTTGCCATGTTGACAAACGTTGTTTTGATAAGTGGTAACGTTATGCTTTCAGAACCATTCTCTGACATCCGCTTCCGGTCCGACAGCTAATTATGTCCCCGTTAGACGCTACATCCATTTCCGCTTCTTCCAACGTTGCGGCCGATTCATTGCTCGAATAAACTGCCGGGGCACCGCTTTCCTTCGACGACACGACACGTTTAACTCCTCTCGAACAACCCAGATCCGGCTTAAATAATCCGTTTGGAGTCCTCCGTGTTATCGCGGTGTCACCTTGAATTCGGCCTTTCCCGGAATGGCTGGACATCGTTCGCGACTAACGCAAAGCTGACCAACCGATCTCTCAAACCCACCACAACAGAATTATCAGTCACGTTGAAAATGCCGGCCGTGGTCTGAGGTGGGTTATTTTTGTCTATGTCTCTAGGTTTTTTAATAGCCCTTTCCCCCTTCTCTTTACGCCGTTTTTTACAATGGGAGTAGTGCTGCGGAATCTCCAGAAGGTGGTGCCTCTCCGCCGCGCCAGACTGCGCAAGGATGTCGATACACTGAGGCACATTCTGGGCATCCATAAGTTTGACCTGGGCATCGTTTGCGTGGATAATCACAGAATCCAGCACATTAATAACATTTACAGAAAGAAAAACGTGCCCACGGATGTCCTCTCATTTCCATTCTACGAGGTAAATATGAACTACTTCCGTGCGAACATGGGACAGAATTGCTCCTAAAGAGTATGAACTGGTCCAGAAGAAGCCGGATGGGATCTGTTGAGAGGGCGCGTGTGTGTGTGTGTGTGTGTGTGTGTGTTTGTGTGTGTGTGTGTGTGGGGGGTCACATGGGGTCAACAACAACAACAACAGTGATCCGTTATTTAATGGACGTCCTGATCACAGCTTAAATGTATGTCCATGTCTTTTGCAGGACCTGAGGCCCGGTAAGCTGCCTTGCCCCCTTCATAGAGATGAGCTGAACCTCGGGGACATTTTCTTGGGGGTGGAGTTTGTGATGAAGCAGTGTAAAGAGGACTCCTTGGATCTGCACGGAACCCTCGCCGTGAGTAGCTGCAGCCCTTCACGCCATGTGAGCTTCCTGGGAATGCAAACTGTTCATTTCACAGACTTGTGTGTGTCGTGTTCGACCGTGTTATTGAATTCCACCTAGTGTCATGTCTTCAGGCGGCCTTCTCTTTTCAAGATGAACATTTTACTAATGGTGTATGTATGCAGTGACATGAAGTGTCCTCCTCTTCTGCCTCGTGTTTTAGGTCGTCACTGCACACGGCATCTGTCACCTGCTGGGCTACAGACACGAGACGGAGGAAGAATGGACTGAGGTCCGTATGGGCGATAATAAATCATTTTGTTAAAATTTTCTTAAAGATGAGACCAAAAACAAAAATAACTTTCGGTAAATAAGGGCGAGGCAGACATGTGAGAACAATCATGGTTAGATATGTTGTTGGCGGTAACAAAAGGAGAGCGGTTACTTTGAATTTGGGTGTACTGGTCCTTTAACTGTAAAATGTGTGCAAAGCAGCTGAAGAAAGCTATATGAATACATTGCTTGTTTATCTGGTTTTGGCTGCTACCGAAAGTGATTTTCTTTTGGGCCAGATGATTTTATACTAATTAAAGTCTTGAGTGTTTTGTCCTACTGTAAATAAACAATGTACACTGTTTTTCAGATGCTGCAGAAGGAAAGTTACATTCTAAACGAGTACAACCGTCTCACAGGGCGAAACCTGGAGCCGCTGATGAAGAGATGCGGTCAGGATCGGTGAAGAGCACCTGCTGACTGTACCTTTGCACTACGGGGATTGTTGTTGTCGTCACTATCTTGACTGTATTCACTGTGGTTTTGTCTGTACAATCACACGCCACTGATTTTATGGACTTTAATCAGCTGGCAGTTTGACTGAATGTTTTCAAAAACAGGATGTGTTGAAGTTTTAAACATCAAATTAAAAAGTCTGTGCACTTTCACTGTAATATTTTATTAAAATCTGCTTCAGGGAGAGTCAGCTGTGTATGAAGGGTAGAAAAAAAGCTTTTCATTTTCACTTCACAAAGACATTTTACCCTCTTTACACAGCAATTGGGGCAGGACATTCAGGAAAGAGCCTTGTTTCGGAAATGGAAAGAATGACATAAAACAGGATCAATTTGCAACTTTACCAGCTGTTATAAACACAGGTATGAATGTTCTTTGTGCAACAGAATACTTCAAGAAAAGTCTAATAATGCACTTTCTTGAACAGGTTATCAAGAATATCGATTCGCCCATGTTTTACGATGCTATATCATGTAGATTTGTGAGAGAAGTTAAGGAAATGATTTGATGTGGTCTGAGTATTTCAACATTGCACATCAATCACAGAGTACTGAAATGTGATTTAATTTTTTACAGTGAAAAACAGCTGCCTAACCAGTGCGTAGTAAAAAAGCAAGCTCGCCTGATGGGAACTAGTTGAGAAGGGTTAACTGAGGTCTATGGTGTGAAATACTGGTCACAACGATGGGGAATTTAAAGGCTGCAGCTAGCTTTCCTGGTGCTGTTGTATTAATTGCTTCTTTTTGCCCTCAGCATATCAACCATAAGTTGCAATAAATAGAAAATCTGTTGGCTTTTTATCAAGGACAGTCGTACTTGCACAAACGTACTCAAAAGCAAAAAGTTTGTACGTATTTCAAAGTAAAGCTTGTTTACATATTTATAAAAGTTTATCTGGGAGGCACAGTCAAAATCCCCAAAAGAATAAAGTAGGCTTTACTGAACATATACTCCGTAAAAACAGGCTTTGTTGTTATGCTTACCGAGGTCTTTCAAATCCATCACACACACACACACACACACACGTTCATAAGTCAAGCATAAAAAAACAGCCACACGCTCCTGACAGAAAGCTGATTCAAAATTGGCCAATTTGAGCCAAAACATAAATATTGCACCAAATGTACCCGCTAAATACAACACCCCTCTAACTCTATAATAGCTTATACTCCAACATAGAATATATCTTTATTTAGTTTATATGGGAAATAAAGGGTCTGCAGAAGATACAATCTATGAAACACCAGTAGCATCTGGTGTTTGGTAGTTGCATGTGAGCGAACGGCTTGAAAGTCAGAAAGTGTTTCAGGAAACAAAGAAAACGTTACATAACAGTTTGATAGAAATCATAGCTAAAGAAAAACTCCAGCCCCCAAAAGGTGGGAGAACAAATTTGATCCACTGAACATTAACTGCATTTCTGGCATTTTAAAGAGTCTGGAAAGTTTTAAGCCAGCATTTACAGGCGCTAATTTAGCAGGGCAGTTAGCGCGTCGTCGTGGAAACGAAGTGCCTGAATACTACCAAAAGACGGGGACGGCAATCAGTAGTATTCGGTTGTTGAGAGGAGAGCTTCAGCTAAGCAGAGGAGGTGCACGCCCAAAAGGTGTCCCACTCAGAGTGGCTGCAGGACGTTCCTTCCTCCCTCTACAGGGGCGTTGGCTCCAGCTCTCTCCATTTCAGACAGCTGCTCGAAGACATCCCTGAAGACACCCCGGGTAAAATAAAAATGTTTAAGTTTCAAAAGAAGAAAACCCAACTGGTGTAATTTCCACAAACACAGGTCAACATATTACAGATGGATTGAGTGGTTTCATCAATGGCTCAAATCCTTCACTGAAAATGCATTTAAAAAAGACCCACTTGTGCATGTAGAAGAAGATGTATCCGCTGCGGTCACGGTCTCGCTGCACAGCCGCTTCCTGTGTGCGGGACACGTCCAGGTCGTTGTAGGTCAGCCACGACTGCTTCTTCATGTCGTACACGTCACTGATATAATGGCCTATGGTGGAGAATAAAGTGTTTTGGATTGTATTTTTAGGTCATTACATTAAAATCACATGAAAACTTTTTACTCCCTAATCTTGCCAAAGATGTTGAGCACTCATCTCGTGAGGCGAAGAGTGGTTCGTCTGTCATCTCGACACACAACATCAAAATCTGGCGATGCGCTTCTATGTTTTGACATTTAATCTGGTGCCCGTAATGGTTTTTATAGTCTCTTTCAACAGAAGCTGTAAAACACTCATGCATTACTTCATATTACATACAGGCATGCATTAATGTTTTGACTTTCTTAATCAAGAGATGGACATTGAGACGCACCAATAAAACCTAAAATAAATACAAACGTTTTATTACAATAATGGTGACCCGATGTCGCCTGTACCCAATTCAGCTATTTGAGTCAGTATTGGTGCATCTGGAGAAAAGAAGCTCACCAGAAGACGAGCTGCTCCCAATGTGACTGACAACGCTGATGAGTCTGAACGAGTTGGCCACGTCTCCGCTCTGCGGATCACAACATTCACAATCAAGACCCCCTGAATCGAAGCGCCTCAGTGTGTCCATTATGAATACGGCTACTACTAATTTCATGGAGTAAATACATGTTACTCTGTTTATTACACAACAGTTGCTTTTTAGTTGATTGAGGATACAAAGTTTAAGAAAAAATGAAATAAAAGCTTTTTACTAGACACAGATAGAGAATTCCAGTGGTTTACAGCGGACGTCGGTACCTCAGCGTTCCTCTTCAGGTTCTCAGCCTCCGCTTCAGAGTACTCCATGTCCAGCACGTCTTCGTTGCCAGAATCCTCATCCGAGCACGGCAACTCAGGCAGAGAGTTGTTAAATTCTGTCGGGTGAGAAGGAGGTGTTGATCATGGCTATACGGCTTCTGACAGCTTTAAATCAAAGGTCTCCCAATTCCCGTGTCCCCCAGACATCACCACTACAGACAAAATAAGGATGACATGAAAGTCCTTCATAGATATCTACGAGCTGAGAGGTTTAGGGACGCCTATCGAGTCCCATGACGGTCTTCCCTTTCCAATATTTAGCTCAACCCTTCTGGCAGGATAGGATTTGAGGTCCTGTATGTTCATGACACCAGCATACCGGATAAATTCTCATCAAGACGCAAATGTGGGCAGAGGGTTCTTGTTTTTTTATTTTGCTTTCAAGCGATGCAGTCGGATACTCAACGTTCGATCCACCTCGGTTCATACCTTGCAAACTGAGCTCAGTGGCCCTCTTCAGATCGTCATCCTCCCTCAGCTCTTGGGCCTCCTGTGCGGGACGAGGTGGAGACGTGTTACATTCAACATTGCTCTTTCACTTGGGTCATGTACGCTGGGTGTCTGCCTGCCCATTAGTGGATTATCATGACATAATTGGTAAAAGGAAAAGAAGACATGCTTCAGAAAAATTAAGTATATTTGTCAGAAAGTACTGTAATCTAACACAAATTTTTTCCTGGCGTTATAAACACCTTACTTTATACGGCCGGATAGGAGGATTAAAAAAAAAAAAAAAAAAAAAAATCATAATTTGGTTGAAAATCAGGTTTTTATTTGGCAGTTACCTTAGCGCCTACTTCTAGTTTGCATATTTGCTGCAGGTACTGTCATCAGTGTTGGAAGGAAAGGTGAGTAGAGGTCATGTGATCTTACGTGCTCCTGGAGGCTCTGAGCCAAAGCCTGCTGCAGCTCCTGTTCCTCTCTCTCCTGATCCAGACTGTACTGCTGGACCCAGTCCAGCTCACCTTGCTGCTGCACGCTGTCTGGAGTCTGGTTCTCCTTGTTCTCATCCATGGTCAAGTCAAGGGAATCCAGTACTTCTACACAACATCGACACCTTAAGTCAGTTACCATAACGACTAGTTGAGTTTTCTGCTCTTAAGAAACACCCAGATATCAGAGTTTGATAAGAATAATGTGTCTTGGCCCAAGACATTTTGTGCGCTCAGGTTTTTGTGTCACAGATTTCATTGAAGAGTCGACTTATGCAGTACAAGCCATTACAATACATTTAACTACATTCACACATGATCCCTCAGTTAAACTGAAACTAATTTTAAAGACAACCTGACAACTGGACAGCCCCCCTCGAATAAACCCTCTTTTCTAGAATGTTGGACTACCTGAAGGCGGTTTGCTCTCAGTTTCCAGAAGATCTGTATGATAGGCCATGTCATGGGCATCTGTATCCCCAAACCCCGTGTCCGGGCTGCTGGATGGCTCGTTCTCCGGGAGGGGCGGAGCCGAGAGCCCGGCCTCTTGGCGACTCATCTCCAGCACGGCTGCCAGCATTTCGTCATCATTTATGCCACCGAAGTCTGCAGAATCTATAGTCGCTCCTCTCTGAGGACACACGGGGCCGTGTCTAAACAGCAACACGCAAAACAGGAGGCTGCGTCGTGATTGACCGGGCCCGTCAGCAGACGCTTACCTCCTCGGGTCGGTCGTCGTCATCAGGCGGACAGCTGCTGAGGCGTCGCTTGCGGCTCATGTTCACCTTTCTGCTAAGCTCTTCTTCACAGTCGGAGTCCAAGAGAATAGAGGTGGAGGTGGCCACTTTCGCCCCAATCCTCCTACATACAGTCACAGGCTTTGTATTTATAACAACAAAAACACTCAAGAGCTTTAGATAGATAGATAAGATACTTTATTGATCCCTCAAGAGGGAAATTTTGGTATCACAGCAGCATGTATTTACCAAAATACCTCCTGCCATTTACCAAAGCTTATGTGAGGCTGTGTGAGGTTTTTGAGATGGGTGTGAGATTGTCTTGTATTTGTTTTAACATTGGAAGTTCAACCTTAGCTGCAACATAAACTGCCACTTTACATTACATTAAATATTATTTATAATACGGGTAGATGAAATCCAGCATTCTGATTGGTTGAGTGTGAGTCATAGGGTGTGCATTATTTAACCATAATGTACAGCAGCTGTTCACATTGACCCGAGCAAACAGTTAGATCTTATTCGACAGTCAGTTGTCATTTGAGCTTTTAACTCGGTGACGTTTGCCGAAAAGTGACCGGAAACCCTGAAAATCATCAGTTTCGGGCAATGAGAGCTTTCGCAACCGATCTTGCTTTTTTGTTGTTGTTTGTCTGTTGCATAGCAACATACGGGGACTATT